CAGTAGATATTCTTAACAGGTTATAGTGCCCAGAAGTATAACATACCCATTTTTGGTAAACACATTTTTGACAGTGTCTCCAGCAACATGTACTAGGCTTCCAACCCCATCATTCATAGCAATAACACTAAATGTAAAAGCAAACATAAACACATATTATAGAGTATACTATACATTACTAAAATCAACATCTGTTTTAAGTAAATACTAATTCACATGTACTTTAAAGAAATTTCATAATCTGCAGTTGTACTATTTTTCTAAAATCAATGAACTCAGAAAGGAAGGGCATCCAGTTGGCAAGCCATCAACTCTATTTGTGATCTCCCATTCTATTCAACCTACTGGTACAAGTAGTTGATGTTTATGGAAATATGTGCCTTATTTAATAGATCTTATTCTACTTTTTAGGAAAGCCATAATTGGTTGCAGTATATATTATGGATGGGGGAATATATTTTAAGAGTTAACCTTATGCCTGGCAATTGGAGAAAATAAAAGGGGGGTGGGGGGAAGGGGGCCAGCAAGCGATTTCTGCTAGAAAATTCAACAAATCTGGAAGATTTTTTCAGGAGAAAGTTTACTATTGAATTGCTGAATGAATAAGGCCAGGTACAGTGTGGAAAAATATTTTGAACCAACAGTAAGATATGAGCTCTATTTAACAAACAACTTAACATGCAAACTGTTACCACCGGCCATTTGTTACAGCTACCGCGCCACACAAAAAAGTTGGAGACCATAACAAAATGTCAACACTTGTGGTGGTGATGCAAAAGTTATGTTTTTGCTATTAATCAAGCAATGGGGTCTATGTGACCTGTCATAAATAAGTGACATTAATATTACAAAATCAATGTGGTTGCTGGCTTTTAAAACAAAATATGTCATATATAAAAAATAATAAAAAATGGAACGGAGGGGGAGGGAGTAAATAGAGGAGGGAGTCGGTAAAATGCCAGTAATGACATCAATTTTGTGATAATAATACCAGTTACAAGATATTTATAACAGGTTGCTTGATTAATAGCAAAGACAAAAACATAGACTTAAATTTTGCAAAGTCAGTGACGTTGCACCTTTTTAAATAGATTTCATACCTTAGAAGCCTATCGGTTCAATAGAATCCTAGAAGACCTAGCATAATTTACTATACCGTGTGCCTATTCATTCAGCAACTCAATAGTTAACTTTCTCCTGAAAAAATAAATTTTCCAGATTTGTTGCATTTTCTAGCTGAAACTGCCTGGTCCCCCTCCTTTTATTTTGTCCAATCACCGGGCATGAACCTAACAGGTAGAAACAAGTACAGTTCACAGTATGCATGTGTATATCCTAGGAGATAACTAACAAGTAAATGACATGTGTAAAAAGCATTGGTATCCACTGGAAATAGAATGTGTAAGGATCCTGGGGAGGGATATAGTATTTCTTGCCTGATTATCTTACCCCTGTTTTGTAGTTTCTAATGCTTTCATTACCCCATCCCCAGCCTTATGTACAAGGCTACCTACACCTGTATTAACTTGTGACAGGCCATTGGAAAAACTAAAATAATATATAGAGGACACACATAAAACATGAAATGTATTTACTTTCACAATGAAGTATCATGCATTAAGAAACACAAACTTGTGATATATACACAGCTATAAACTACAGGGGTTTCAATATATTCTTAGAATATAATTCTTGGAATTGGAAGTACTGGTCAAATTGCCAAACAAGTGACAGTTTTGGTTTTAACAGGCAGAGATGCCTCATACATCTTCCTATTGAAACCCCTAAATCTATCAAAAATATACAGGAATAAAAACTAAAAAAAATATAAAAGAAACACATGATATATTTTTTGGTAACCCCATCTGACATTGTCTTCTGTTCTTGCTACCATATGCTTGGAATAAAATGAAACATCTATCCACAAAATGACATATACAATGAACTTAGTTCTCTCAATATCAGAATTATACAAAAAGGTTGATTTAAAAGGAGTATCTTAAAAATAAAAGTATATACGTGTTTTTATTTTTATGTTTATTTTGGGGAGGATGTTTTTTAGATATATCTTTTTAATCAACCTTGCTTTCCTATTTTGACTACAATGGTGACCTGTTAAATTGAACATCTCTAGAAGTGGAACACCTCTATAAGTGGAACACTTTTTAGACCCAGGACAAATTGACTTAATGTTAAATGAACCTAAATAAATGGGATACCTCCCAAGTAGAACACTTTTTAGATGTGTCAAAGGTGTTCTACTTGGACTGACTTCACTGTACAATATTGAGAGCTAAGTACATTACTATGATTATCATTTTGTTCTAATGAGGTTTGGATGGATGTTTCATTTCAATCCAAATTGGAAGAAAAGAACAAACAACAGTGTCAGATGGGTTTACTAAACCAATTAGGCTATCTAAAAAATATATAAATGATTTTAAAATTTAATTGTTACCATTCAAAGACCAACATTGAACATGTGTATTTTTTTTAGATTTTTTGATAATCAGTTTTAGAGACAAAATGTTGAATTTAGGTTCATCAAATTGTAGTAGGCCATTTCCTTTCAAAAAATGTATCATATCATCATGACATGCATCAAATAATTAGCATCTTGATGATACATAAATCAAATCGTTGGTTTTTGTATCATGGGAGCAAGACAATGAAGCTAGACAAACATAAAGCATTCAAAACATCAAATCCCAAACTGCATCACACATGGAATCAGAAAATTAAATTAAATGTCAGTGGGCCTTATGGGAATTTAATCCCAAAGCATATCAGTGTTAATAATGAAAATATAGGTAGACATGAAATCAGTATGGTAAGCAGCTTAAAATTTCTGCACTTTGGTTGGAGTTTATGCGTCACAGTAAATAAGTAAGATGGAACTTTTATTTGATGTAATGAGAATCATTAAAAGCAATTTTCACTGAGACTCTTACAGCTATCATACAGGAATGCATCAAAGGCGAGTACATTGTACAATCAATACTTGTAGAGTATGATAAGAGACTGCGTCATTTTCATGAACTGGCTACTGTGGCGTTATTCATATAATAACTGTTAATAAAGATATTAGGTCATAATTTGGAATCATCCATTTCAATCAACAGGAACAATATTTAGAGTAAACAAAACACTTGTGCATGTATATATAAACATGCTATCACAAAGCTATTAAACCTATAAATAATCACCAATTGTTGTACAGTTTCAAGTTTTACAAAATAAATCATTAACTTTCTATGACATAACACTCATATTATTTCACTATCAAAATCATACCATTGTTTATATGTATTTGAGTTTGATTTGTTTTTTCTTTATACATGCATGTAGTATCATTGTTCCACTGGAATGTACATGTAGTATATAACATCTTATTGTCGTGTACTTGTTGCAAATCGTGAACTTGTGGATAATTAAGTTGCGTTATATTGATTTCTTCCTCAAAGAAATCATGGAATTTGCCAATACATTCCAATTAATATAAATACACAGTACACTATTGAGTAATAAGTTGGGTTATACTTAGGTCAGCGCATGTATAATTTATTTATAAATATAGGTGCCTTGATGTTGTATGTACAGTGTATGGTGTTATTAGAGTAATTAGACTTTAATATTACAACTTGTAACAAATGCATGAGAGAGGGGGTTACAAATTACAAGTCATTCCAGGTAAATAAAATCAAGGTCTGGTGAGAAATGAACCTAAAAATAAGATAAGAAACATAAAAATTGTATCATGTTTCTTGGTAATATCGTCTATCAATATATCTGTTTTTTGCAATACTATACTGTTTCCAGCTACTGTCACTTCTCATATTCTCTCAATTTATAGCACAAACACAGTTCAAACAAAAGAAAAAGGTGATTGCTAGTATTAATACAATATGATATTAAATTTACAAAAGTAACATAGAGATGGAAATATTTATGATTTGCTCAATGTAACTCTATCATGGGCTTTCAATTGATCTCATGAGATATGAACCATATACTGTTTGAAAAGTGTTATCAAATATTATTTCAATATGATTTTAAATCTGACAAATTGAATTCTGGCATTATGTGCTGGATATAGAGATGGAATTATGTTACCAATTATGAACATCTTATCTTGAAAGCTTGACCACCCTCCCTCCCCCTCTTCTAACGAAAAGTACAAAATGCTGAGCATAATGAGTTAAAATGTTGATTTGTATGCAGCGTACAAGTACACAGCATACAATATCTGCAACTGCTATAAACAACACCGATATCAAATTCCCTTATATCTGTTGAGTATATTTATGATCATACTATTGCAGAAAATGCAACCCTGGGAAGCTAAAAATCAGTTGTCCCTCTTTAACATTCTATTTTTAAACAGTATGTAGAGTCCATTTCACTGCTTCATTGCGTCAGTAGAACGGCAAAAATAAGAAATTGGGAGACCATTGTGCATGGAAAAGTATATTCATAATGTTAATCTTATTGAAAATAACATGGCAGAGAAGCATCCAAATATAAGAGGCCACACGCTTTATAAGCCAAACTAGAAGCGATCCAAGATATACAAATGTCATTCATGTACAACCGGAATATATTTTTCCATATATTATTGCAAAATGATATTTTGATTTCTTATTTTTTAGCTTTTACTGACGCAGTTAAACATTGAAATGGACTCTAGAAGCTGGCAAGATCAGTCAAGACTGACAGACACAATGCCAAAATTAATGAGAATTTTGAATGGTGTGTATAAACATATAATTCAGTTGTTTCATTGAAAAATTAAAACTGTTTTTGGCAAAAACAGTATGATATGATGTCAGTTGAATTAGCTTTTTAGATTACAAGGATTGAAAATCTCAACACCAACTACATATGACTTACGTTATCTAGCTAAAAGCCACTATGACCCTCCCCCCCAACTTGAAGCAAGATAATAGCAATATACAGTTCCGGTTACGCTGAGTTACAGTAACAGTTCTAAATGTACTCACTTTGTTCCAATATTTCCTAGCTTGTCTCTAGCTTTATCCTTGAATGATCTTTTGGTTGCAGTCGCCATTGTAGACTTGAGCTAATTGTGCAATTGTAAGTATTGATCCAAAAATTAGATCTAAATTGCTAAGTCAAATCAAAACAAAATATTTTCATATCTTGAAATTTAGCCCGACACTTCCTATCATTTTTCGTCTTCGTTTCATCGAAACATATAATAACGAGGTGTCTCGTTTATGACTTGATATACGTTACTTCTCCTGGAATATACTTTTGTACCAGTTTGCTTCACAAAGTGAAGATAAAGCTGTAAATATTCAATGAATTACGTTCAACTTCCTCTTTCCTGCCATGTTTTGATTCAGAACGAGGCTAAGTTAAATATTAGGAAAAGACTGTTGCTCAATATGGCCATGAATTATTTTTGAGTGCTGACATAAATCAAACAAATCCATCATTGTAATATTTATCATGATATACATGTAACAGTTGTTAATAAATGAATAAAATAAAGGATTCATATATTCACCATGACATTTAGTGACATTGTCATTTGGTAATAAACCAAGTTACCAATAAGGGACAGCCTGGTCAATGTATCATAGGGCCATCATGTACCCATACATGGGGCCATACATGTATGCACACCCACTTTATCTAGTTCCAAGACTCATTCTATTAATAAGTCTTGGAACCAATGCTGTTTGGGGAGGGGTAAAAGTCAATATTGCATTTTGTTAGCCAACATCAATCAGGGGTGTATCCAGCAATTGTCAATTGGGGTGCGTTTTTTTGAGTTTGCATCACTGCGAGTGAAGCGAGCCCTGAAAAGGGGATACAGTGTTCAATTTAGTACATTGTATATTGTGCATTTTTAGCATTTCAAACTATGATTTGTCAATGTTTTTTTAACTAATTTTACAAAATTGCTTTTTCTTCTTTTTTGTGAGGGTGAGTTGTTGCGATACACCAATCGCATCCCCCCTTTGGCTACGCCCATGTCAATTTAAAAAAAACATCAAAACTTTCAATTTTAAAGAGAAAAAAAAGTGTTCAATTACATTTTTGGGAGGTCGTTCTTGTGTTAAGTGTAACTAATAACTATGTTTTGGAACAACACTGTTCCTAAAACTGAAATTATTTATCAAATATAATACATCTCCTTTAGCTGAAGGCTAGTGAAGGGGTATATCTAATATACTACATATATCAGTTGTTGCAGTGAGTTCCTCCTATATTTGGAGGGGTATTATTATATTTCTATGGGTCAAACTGATGAAGGGGCAGTAATACACTCAGGCTATACTGTACTATTAGTAATCTTGTCTGCCATCTATCTTGTCTTATCGGTTGAAAATTACTTCCTCAATATAAACATGCAAAATAAGTCGGCTTGTCATAATCTTTTTCTTTGTACCTGGTGTGGCATTACATTTATGAGTATCACTAATAACATGTGAGGGTGTTATAATTGTTCATTATTGGAATTTTAGAATTGAATATGAAGGTTTTGAATCATCATGGAATACCATCACTCTTAAAAATTATTACTTGGATTTCCTTATATTGAGAAATTGTACTACTCATTTTAAGTCAAAAATTACTTAAATAATCTTGAACTACTGAATAATTTTTAAGTAATTTTTAAGTAATTCATTTATGGTGAATTTACTAATGCAAGGAGAGAAATTGAAATACTTACTGTAGTAATTGTAATACTCATTTACATAATTAAGCAATTAAAATACTCAAAATGACAATATAAGTTAAACCTAAGTAAAATGAAGTAAAACTAAGTATTTAACTTTAAGTAATTTTTATACTTGGGAAATACTCAAGTAATTCATTTTTAAGAGTGATGGCTCTCTCTTCTTGCATCATAGATTCAGCTTAACCTGTTAACACAGACAGGTTTTTAGATGCGATGTGTATCAGAATGGTTTTGAATGTGTTACATAAAATACTGATGAAAAAAGTTAGTTTCTCCAATGTAATAATTTTTCATAAAAACAAAGACTCATTTTATATTTTTATATTACAGTTAAAACCCCAATTTTATTCACCATTCCAATATAAATGATGCAAATGTCCAGTCTTTTTACAATATTCTACCTCCAAACAATACATCATGTACAAAAAATACATCCTGAATAACTGCAGACATATAACAGTCTCTTGATGAAACAGGGTGTACAACCGACATAGTAACATGTAACATAGTAATATGATAATCAGTGCTACTGCTATGTATACAGTGCAGGAGAATTTATCCTAAATCCAAACCAAATTAATTATTAATTCCTAGTCAAAAGAAACCTTTATATGTCCAAATTCATTAGCCCTAAAAAAGGGGCATTACTTAAAACTTACATTTTCAAAATTATTGCCAGGCCAGGTAACATTAAAAATGAAAGGGTTATCATGAAAAAAGTCAGAACTGTTGAAACTGTCAAAAATAGGCATGATATGGCATATTGTGAGGAATGCGAATATTGAACTCTCGTCTTTGTTGAACTGAAGAATCTGAAGAATTTTATTCAAAAATATTAATACATGTACAAACTAACATTTGGAGAGAACACAGATTTTGTAAAGTATAGTTTTCCATTTCTTTTTTTGGGTATAGCATTAATCAGCAATTCTAACAATACTCCTATTGGGACTTATGCAAGACTGTATGATTAAGATGAATGTAGATGGATTCATTTTCTAATAAATACTGTATGGTTTTGGAATTTATATACAGCTAGTTTGAAAAAGTTATAAAATGATAGCTATACATTTTATTTGTTTACTCAAACCATCAAAATTTCAATCTTGTATCATGGATTTATGAATGTTTTAAATCTGCCAGATAATGCACATCTCCCCTCCATACTTTTAGACAGCAGAATATCAACTGTTACCCTTTGTAATAAAATACTACTAAAGCTAGGATGAGGCCCACAGTTACCTTTCGGAAAAATAAACAAAAATAAAAATATTCTATGTTCCCCAGTTTATTTGCCTCAATGTGGACCTTGTTACACCACAGCAAGACCAAGAAATAATAAGGCACCCATATTATTAAATAATAATACATGTACATTATGTATATTACATTTATATATAAAATAGTGCCAGTGCAAATTATGAATTCATGTGAGCCCTTCCTCTTTCATATCATCCTCCATACGCAGGGCTCCAAAATCCAAAATTCAGAATATCTTCTTTCTTTGAAGGAGGTATGGAATCTGGACACCTGCTTAAGAGAATGCTTTCACATTGAAATTATTTCAAGCATTGATGTATCCTTTCAGTTACAATGTAAACAAAGTTCAGGGTTTTTGTCAATCACAAGGAAATGGCACCCAAATCCTAGTTTCTATGCACCGCATAATGGTCATGATCATGACTTAATCAAATCAAGACGGACAAGGTTGGGCTACCATACATTACATATTCCTTTAAGAACTAATAAAAATGAATACATAGTTAGCTTTAATAATTATATATTGCTACATTTCAGCTTTAGCAACTGGTTGTGCTATACAGGCATTACCAATTCAGCAATAATACAAGTCATATTGATGCATGTGACTTATATAGCCTACCAGTAATTGGATTTCCAATTTGTTCATAGCGGAAGCAGACCAGGGCTTCTTGAATTCATTTTGGCCATACCCTTTAATATAAGCTTCACTCTTCCCCTCTTAGAATTTCAGAGCACTGATTCATATACACATTGCAGATGTTTCAATAATATTCTCTATGTGCAGATATCATGATAATCGTACAGCACTAAGACTGTCACTAGTTTTTCGAGATCTTTGAGCTTCTTTTTCTAATTTTCGTTTTTGATGTTCTAATTGTCTACGTTCTCGTTCTAAACGTCTTTTTTCTTTAATAGTGGCCTCAGCCTCGAGTGACAAGTCTTCATCTTCCTCATCCCAAGCATTAGTGTCGTCCTGCCATTCATCAAGGTCAGCACTCTGAAATTAAATATAATCATCAGTGTTATCCTGCTTGCATGAGAGCACTCAACACTCTGAAAAACAATATAAGCATCAGTGTTGTCCTGTTTACCTGAAACCAAAAGATAGTTCAAAGGCTCAGAGAAATAGTCCGACATTAGGCAGCTGCATTTCCAAAATATAGAAATATTGTAAATTTTAATTTTGCTAAGACTAAAGGTAGAATCAGATCTATAGAGAGTGACAAAATTGCAAGCAATATGAACAATGATCTACCAATATGTTTCTTATGGTTTAAATCAAATCAGAGTTGATATTGCACCAGTGTTATCCTGCATTTGTTTATTTTGAATCTGGCAGGTATGCACTGATTAATAATCGTGCAATATTGGATGAATGTTATGTTTAATTATACAAGTCAAATATTAAATTTTTTAAACAACTAAATTATGTATTTTCATTGAAAAATCAAGTAAGGGGTAATTTAAAACCATTTCTAGCTTATCACAGACTTTTGTAAGTTACATTCTTTCTGTCATATTGTCTCATCATATATAATCAGCTGGATGCTAAAGTCACTGGTATTTGTATTCAAATATTTTACCTGTATGTTAATAGTAACACCAGGTTACTGAAAAGCGAGTCGTCAGGAGAAAATATATCCAGCAGCTCCAATAATTGAGTGAGAATTCCTCACTTCAGCTACCAGGATGTTATCTGGTGAATCTTGGTTATGTTGTCTTGCAGACTTTTAACGTCCTAATTGCTGAAGTTATGGAGCCCTTGGATGAATATACTTGTCACTGATTCGCTTTTCAGTAACCGGATGTTATTATTAACATAAGGGTAAAATATTTGGATACAAATCGACCTCCCTCTTGATGAAAATGATGAAAACAAAAATTTCCTCTGATGGAAGTTCATCCAATTTGTTATAAAGATGAAATGTGAGTGAAAGTGAATCTAATTTGTTATAAAGACGAAATGTGAGTGAAAGTGAGCCATCAATTTTTAATGTAAGAGTTAGTACTTACTGCTGCTGGTGCTACTGTGTGCATGGCTAGTCTACTTGACATGTTCCCACTCTGGCCTGAATTCAAATCTTGACGCTTTTTCACCAAAACCTAGAATCATGAAATATTAATGTTTTGCAAACCCAAATGGGCTAGATTTAAATGGTAAAGGAGGAACTTGGTTAAAGAGTATGAATATGTTTGAGAGGAGAATATCAAACTTTTTATTGATTAATAATTTCATTGCAAAAACATACTTGAATATTGAAAGTAAATAGCCCATGTGTCCCTTCACATTATTTACTTAGAGAATTGATAGTGTAAGGGTGAGGGGGGTAGAGGTAGAGGGAACTGATCAAATATTAAGGTATAACACCTGTTCAAATGTTGAACAATTACAGAAAATCATAAGGCACATTATAATATGGTCACTGTTTGCATCCATATACATGTACATGTACAGTATATATATTTACTGTACATATATCATAGCAAACAAAGTTAAAACAATCAATTGTAAAAATCACAAACCTTCTTTGGTTTTTTATATGATGGAGCCATGTCTTGAAAAAAGTCTAAATCTGGTTCTTCTTCAGGCTCAGCACTTTTTCTATTGCTGCTATGGTGACTGTTACTAATGATATTATTAGATGTGTGATTAGTTGCTGGAGCTATGTTGCCATGGTGATCTTGAACTGCGACACCTAATGGTTGTTCTTCACCTCCCCAATTATCCCATGATTGCATCTCCACCTAGAATTCAATCCACATATACTATATAAAACTAGGCAAAAGGTGTATCTATTCATTTTTTGTACAATACTAGGAGTAAGATCTCATTGTGACAGTAATCTCATAAACTATACTTTTAATTTGTTATTTACCTAATATTCATAATACCACATTTCTCTCACAATACATTGAAAAGCTAGGAATTGGGGAATGATACGCTTTCCCAAATCCAATGATTGTAGTTTACAGTACATATTCATGTCGATGAAACTGAATTCAATGTGAAATTGAATATTTTGCAGTAAAAAAAAGAATAATATTGATGTTCCTTGATTGAATCTTTTGATATCTAAAATTAGATCACTGAGTGTATGTAACTTTTAAGATGGATCATTAATATGTATCAAACATGCCAAACCTCTTCATTTCCTGGGAAGGACTGTTGTACTGATGATACGGCTTCTAAATGCTTGTTGGCAAGTGGAAGAATTGTGCCCGAGTCTCTCCTATGGCCCTTCACTCTACATATTGCACGTCTGAATAGTCGTGTGAATATCCCTATGATCCCCAGGAAAAATCCCAAGACCTTCTTCAACAGGAAGTTCATAGCACCATCTGAGGAATTGTTCACCTGAAAAATTGAACTTATTTAAATAAATATCATCTGGAATTGGAAGTTCCTAATTTTTGAGTCTGAAGGCTTAGACGTGGAACAATATACAGGTTGGGTCACAGAATTAGTACCCTTACGTAATATAATAAACAAGGGTAAGATTGGCGGGATGAGACAAGATGTTGTAAGATTATGGAAAACTTCAGTAAATGAAATTTCGACCACCATCTTGACAGAAATAACCCAGACAATTGGGGTTTGAACAAAATCAGGACTTATATTAGGAGTTCAAAAATATATTGAGCTATGTTATTTCAGTTGCAAGGCGTGCCCCATTGCAGGACTATAGTCTTTGTTGTATCTGCGGCGGACAAAAACCTGGCTGTTAGTTACTTGTAATTGTCTGGGTCTATTGTGGGAGGGGGGTTCAAGATATTGGTCCTTGGGAAATCCAACTAGGCTATTGTTGATTTTATAGAGCATGGTGAGCCGTTGTTGTTGTCTTCTCTGCTCCAGAGACTCCCATTGTAGCTTGGACAGCATAGCACCGACAGAGCTAACACGGTTAAAGTCATTCATGACATACCGTGCTGCTCTACGCTGGGTCATCTCCAGAGCTTGTTTTTGGGTTGATGTGTAAGGGTCCCACACACAGCCTGCATATTCAAGCCTTGGTCTAATCAGGGTGAAATATGCAGTCTGTTTAGAGCCTTCCATAAATGACATCTCAGCATGCCAAGGAGTTGATTACTCTTGGTTATGGATTTAGCAATATGCTGGTTCCACTTAAGGTCTGCCTGCACTGTAACACCTAGATATTCTGCCGACGGTACCTGTTTAAGGGCATGTCCCTGCATGTTGTAGATGTTCCAGTTTCCGACAGCACAGTGCACTTGTCTGGGTGGAATTGCATCAGCCATTGATTTTCCCAGGCTACTGCAGCATTAAGGCCTTCTTGTAGTAATGCTGTATCGAGTGGAGAATCAACTTGTCTGTAAATGATGCTGTCATCTGCAAAAAGCCTCAAGGTACTATGTTGCAGGACATTGGGTAAGTCGTTAATGTAAATGAGGAAGAGGATCGGACCGAGGACAGTCCCCTGGGGGACTCCTCACTCCATCTACACTAACTCTTTGGGTTCTTGCTTGCAAGAAGTCTTTGATCCAGCAGTTGGCCTGACCTCTGATACTGTAGTATTGGAGTTTGTAAAGCAGGTGGCGATGTGATACCTTGTCAAATGCCTTTGCAAAATCCATCACTATGACATCAGTCTGGTGATTAGTGTAATTTGGTTGGGTAGACAGGCCAGGAAAGCATTTCCCGCAATATAGAACCACCTAGTGTGTACGACCATCGTATGCAAGAAAAAAGAAATATCCAAATAAGAAAAAATTACAATAAATAACAGCATACGACGGTCGGATGTATATGACTAGATTTAGTGATACGATTCGATACCAGGAACCCTTACCAAGACAGCAAGTTTTCAAAAAAATCTTCAGTCGGTGATGTCACACTGTTTCTTTTAGATTAAGTTTACCAATTACGAACCAGCAAAAATGGGGCCTCTTCAAAACCATTTCAATTTACAAGATTGAAGATAAGTTTTAGATTGAGCATGAGATTCTAATATTCAGAAAATAAACAATTGTTGATCATTCTCTATGGATGGATTTTTGACTAATAAACATGATGTGATAGTGTATAATTACTGTATCTTGGGGATATATGTTTCAGCCAGTAAAAAGGACAATAAATGATGATATAGAGAGAAAAACTTACGTTTTGGATTTATTTTACCAGATACAACAGTTCGGCAAATGTTGAAGTCTCGCAGAATCTCTGGGGTTCTCCTTCAACTTCTCGAAATCCCCATGACAACAGAAGGAAACAAAAGTTTACTTCCGGATTTGCGTCGTTTACGTTATTGAAATTCTGTCCTCGATTTTTCATTATAAACAAGAGAAATGTAAAGAGAATTATAGCATGAAGTAGTTCTTTATAATAGACAGTACAGTAATTAAAAAGTAGAATCCAAATTTTAGGTGACGGGAGCGGAATAGAAGGTAATTAGACAGATAATTTGTAGCCTATTTATTTTTCAACAAGAGAAAACAGATGGCAGAATTTTTCTAAGAAAATACATCCTAAAGAACCATAGCATACGGTTTTTTAGCCATGACATACGGCGCCGTATGCATAGGATGTATTTCCTAAGAAAAATTCTGCTATCTGTGCAGTAGACTAATTAAAGAAAGTATTAAAATTGTTAGTCTACATATAGATCTAATCAAGAACACATAGACTATATTTTTGTCTTTCAGGTTTATTACAAGAGAGAGACTATCAAAACTAACAATGTCGGAAAACAATGCTGACACACTTCCTCCAATCAAACAAAAATTCGTTCCAAAGGTATGGACTCATTTTAAAAAATCTGAAGGATCATTGCGGAAAATGGCACCACAACTCAAAAGCAGGTACCAAGCTTATGAAGAACCTCCAAAAGAAATTAGTGACGCTCAAAAAGAAGTGAAAAAGAGACTACGAGAATTAAAAAAGAAACAAACTCTAGCAAATATGCCAACCCCACAAGATGAGATACAAGAACAAGATAAACACGAGAAATTAATTGGACAATTAAAAGCAGCTGAAGCTAGGAATAGATTACGAATTATGAGGCTGCGATATCAAGCGAACAGAGTGAGTTTTTGTGTAGTAGTCTTGCATCATAACTTTGTGACCCCTTCTCCCATACAGACATTTTAACTCCACGAAAGTGAGAAGGAAGTGGAAAGGGAGGGGGAGGATGTTCTCGAGACTTGATGCACAACTATCAATTATATTATAGTAAACAAACAATACATTGTATCATGAGCTTTCTAGAGAAAAGTTGACAATTTTTGGTACTTATTAATATTATATATACATAAATTGTTATTATAAGGTTTATTTTTTCATGAAATATATCATGTATTTACAGGCTCAGGAAGTGAATCATTTAATAGCATGTCAGCCTTCAGCATTGAAAGCAGTGAGACTCCAGGCACTGGTACCTCCCTACCAGGGGAAGGATGGCAATGGAGACAACTTAGACAAACTTGATGTAAGTGCATTTTAAATTATCTTTTTTTGCATTTGCTTTAGTAAATTCATGTACATTTTCAGTTTTACAAGTCACATAGTAATTGCACATTGGAAATTTATACTACCATTTGAAAAATGGCTTTGAAATTAATGTAAGATATCATTAATAGCTATGTAATATATGTGAACTGGTGAATGTTCAATATTTTTTCTCATGCAGCAATTTTAGTCCCATTGTACATGTTCTATCACTTTTCTACTTGCAGAGGAATCGGGTAGAATCTCTATTAGAAGATCCACAAGGCTTGCTGACAAATAGAATTTCATAATACATGAACTGTATGTGCAGGATTTAAATACAATGGACCCCTGATTCCAAGGACAGTAGGACTCTGATGAAATGATGAAAGACAGTTTAGAAAATAATGTGTAAATACATTGAACATGATCATTGGATAGGCCTATATGAAGTGCTTTAAAACTTTACAAATCAATGAATGGAATGAACATATGCTGATGAAACAAAGGTGTCATGAATGGATGGTCTTCCAGAATATACAACTCATTGTTGTTAAATTTACATGTTGTGAATGGAATTAGTAAGAAATCAATGCATTTTAACTGCCCAATGTTTCTAAAACTTGAGGTATATGGTCATAATCATTATCAACCATCTCACATCTGATCTTTCTATCATGTATGACAAGTGAGTGGAAACCAAAAGAGATTCAAACCTTTATTTTTCTTTCATTTTTTCAGTCATTTACAAATCATAATATTTGAATAAACAAGTTGATACTCTTAAATTAATAACTATTTTTGATATTGAAAATACAATAACTTTATTTCGTTATGAAGAAAAACAGTTTAAATGAAAATCAATATAATTATTATTTTTGATATTGAAAATACAATAACTTTATTTCGTTATGAAGAAAAAACAGTTTAAATGAAAATAAATATAATTATAAACTTGAATTGAATTATTCATGTGGTAATGACCATTCACTGATTGTATTATTATAATAATTGTACAGTGATGTACATGTATGTTTAAGGACAGAACAAGATGTGTATTGTATGTTGTGCAATATCCAAACAGAATACTTTATATAAATAATCATGTTGTTTATTGTTATTATTTTATTTAGTTGGAACAACACTACAATGATATCACACATTTACCTATAAAATAACTTATCTCTCACACAATCGGAATAAATAGTGTTTGTGGCATATGAAATACTGTAAAACAAGAAGCTTACACATTTGAATAATTTTGTATAAATCCATGATTCACTATTTTCTGATCATCCCAATATTGAAGTGAAATTTTAATTTTATTGCAAAAATGACAGTTTTACAGTATTCATTAATATCATTCATAGTGATATCTATTCAGAACAGTATTTTCAAATGTTTTCATGAATCATTTTTATAATTCAAAATTTGTATTTTTAATTACGTGTTTATTCATCGATTGCATGCAAGTGGAAAATAACAATACCTCTGTTGTTAATTTATAAAAAAATATGTTGGCTATAAAAAATGCCTTTTCATGGTGTATTACTAAATAATTTTGGCACTTGCTGGCGGCATTTTTTTGGTGACATGCATTTACAGCATAAATAGTAAAATTCATTCCATAAACCTTAATCTAATTTGCCTGATCTATTAGATTCATAATTGGTATTTCTCCCTACTGTTTTACTATGTGCAGCTGTAATCCATGTGTCAGTAAATCTCAAACCTATCCAATGAGAGTTTTCTGTGCATTTTGTGCATTAGGGGATTGAAGTACCTCTCCTTCACCTCCTTTGTCCTTAGCTCCATGTTTTAATGTTTTCACAAACTCAGTGTAGTTAAACATTCCCTGGTCTATAGGGGCATCATGAAGTAGTTGGTCAACCATATCATCTGTCCAGCGATTGCCCATAGTGGTCATAATCTCACGGAGTTTGTCTTCTGCTAATACCCCTGAAGTTATTATGGGTTTTTATTAAAACACAATAACTCAGTACACAGGGAATTTTTTAACAATTTATAACATTATTCCTGGGCTTCAGTTGTGCAGGATTCACCTAACAGAACTTTTAAAGATTCGCCTGATTGAACTATTCAATATTCACTCAACTGAATACTCACCCATTTGATCATCATCAAAGCAAGCAAATGCATTCCTGATGACATCCTCAGGGTCTGTTCCATTCAGTTTCTCACCAAACAGTGTCAGAAACATTGTGAAATTCAGTGGACCTGTAACAAACAAATCATGGATGTGTGAACACACATGAGTCTGTAAATGCATAACAATGGTTTACTGTCAATTAAATGCACCTAAATACCCACACTGTCTTCACACCACTAGCCACACTATCTTCCCACTACTAGCCACACTATCTTCCCACCACTAGCCACACTATCTTCCCATCACTAGCCACACTATGTTCCCACCACTAGCCACACTATCTTCCTATCACTAGTCACACTATCTTCCCACCACTAGCCACATTATCTTCCCACCACTAGCCACACTATCTTCCCACCACTAGCCACACTTTCTTCCTTCCACTAGCCACACTATCGACCCACCACTAGCCACACTATCTTCCCACCACAAGCCACACTATCTTCCCACCACTAGCCACACTATCTTCCCACCACTAGCCACACTATCTTCCCACCACTAGCCACACTATCTTCCCATCACTAGCCACACTATCTTCCCACCACTAGCCACACTATCTTCCTATCACTAGCCACACTATTTTCCCACCACTAGCCACACTATCTTCCCATCACTAGCCACACTATGTTCCCACCACTAGCCACACTATCTTCCTATCACTAGTCACACTATCTTCCCACCACTAGCCACATTATCTTCCCACCACTAGCCACACTATCTTCCCACCACTAGCCACACTATCTTCCCACCACTAGCCACACTTTCTTCCTATCACTAGCCACACTATCTACCCACCACTAGCCACACTATATTCCCACCACTAGCCACACTATCTTCCCACCACTAGCCACACTATCTTCCCACCACTAGCCACACTATCTTCCCAACACTAGCCACACTTCCTTCCTACCACTAGCCACACTATCTACCCACCACTAACCACACTATCTTCCCACCACTAGCCACACTATCTTCCCACCACTAGCCACACTATCTTCCCACCACTAGTCACACTGTCTTCCCACCACTAGCCACACTATCTTCCCATCACTAGCCACACTATGTTCCCACCACTAGCCACACTATCTTCCCATCACTAGCCACACTATGTTCCCACCACTAGCCACACTATCTTCCTATCACTAGTCACACTATCTTCCCACCACTAGCCACATTATCTTCCCACCACTAGCCACACTTTCTTTCTACCACTAGCCACACTATCTACCCACCACTAGCCACACTATCTTCCCACCACAAGCCACACTATCTTCCCACCACTAGCCACACTATCTTCCCACCACTAGCCACACTATCTTCCCACCACTAGCCACACTATCTTCCCATCACTAGCCACACTATGTTCCCACCACTAGCCACACTATCTTGCTATCACTAGCCACACTATCTTCCCACCACTAGCCACACTATCTTCCCATCACTAGCCACACTATGTTCCCACCACTAGCCACACTATCTTCCTATCACTAGTCACACTATCTTCCCACCACTAGCCACATTATCTTCCCACCACTAGCCACACTATCTTCCCACCACTAGCCACACTATCTTCCCACCACTAGCCACACTTTCTTCCTACCACTAGCCACACTATCTACCCACCACTAGCCACACTATCTTCCCACCACTAGCCACACTATCTTCCCACCACTAGCCACACTATCTTCCTATCACTAGCCACACTATCTTCCCACCACTAGTCACACTGTCTTCCCACCACTAGCCACACTATCTTCCCACCACTAGCCACACGTTCTTTCTACCACTGGCCACACTATCTACCCACCACTAGCCACACTATCTTCCCATCACTAGCCACACTATCTTCCCACCATTACAGAGGATTTTAGTTTTGGTACTGAAATGATCTTAACAATCTCAAATGTAGCTTCAATGGACCTTGAATATTTGAATCAAAATTACTAAAGTAATTTTATATTTTCTCTCCATACCAGGGGCCTCATTGATCATATCCTCCAAGTATTCATCAGTGGGGTTCTTCCCTAATGATGTCAACATTTCTAACAGGTCCTCCTTGTCCACAAAGCCATCATGATTCTGGTCTATCATGTTAAACGCCTCCTAGAGTCAATAAAAAATTGATATTAAGAATCGGAAAATTGAGAGCATTAAGAAATTATTCCATCTATGCGAATTATTATTAGGTAATGGGCAATGGGTAGTTTAGTATTTACCTTAAATTCCTGTATTTGTGCCTGGCTGAACATGGCAAATACATTTGAGGTGTACCTCTGGGCACGCTCCCTCTTCTTCTTCTTGGCTTTTGCAGCAGACATCTTTACCTAAGGCTAATGTAAAGAAATGAATGTTTAGCATATCCCTCCTCAACTATTTCACTTGCCATAAGAATAAGGTCAATGCAGTACTAATGGAAAATAAATTATGGTTCTCATACTTTTCATTTATTTTGACAGAAATAGGTACTCTATATACTTTGATAATATGGTATGATGGGTGGATTCCCATAGATTTATGATTTAATAGTCAAATCTTTATTCCAAGTCATTATTAACCATTATAAGGCTGCTGTAGTCTTTGTCCCATGGGTCATTTATTGAATTCTTTTTTCAAAGTAATGCTTATGGGGATTTCATTTTAAGGGAAAGGATACATTTTTATTTGTAAGACAATGTGTTCAATGAGACCATATACCAGCCCCTACATAAATATCTGCACCTATTTTGTATGATTATTTTGTGATAAAATTAATTTTGTGATATATACAGGGTGGTCAAAAAAATGGAAACCCTATTACCATTTTCCTCATATCTTTGTTATTTTAAAAAATAACTCCCTGATATTTTACACTTTTGTACATCATTCAATTTGCTACCAGCCTACCTTATTTCATGACCATCAGATCGATAGTCACAATGTTACAGTACTTTAAAGAACATGCCCAGTGGCCACTATTGCGTTGTGGGGAAACCAGTACTCATCGTCTAAAATGTTCCTACCTGTGGGGATATAGCAGCGATAGAATATATGAGAATGACCTCAGGACAATTGCAAACCTCAAAAGTGAGATCATCTGTTTCATTCAGGCCATACCTGCTGAGGAATGCATTTGGCTCATTGACAACTGTGCTGTTTTGCCTACACCGCGATAATGGTCAAATCTGAAGCACGTTATTCAAAGTGCTGCAAAATTGTGACTGATGGTCATGAAATATGGTAGGGTGGTAGGAAATTGAATGATGTACAAATGTGTGAAATATCAGGTAGTAATTCCTCAAAGTGACAAAGATATAAGGAAAATGCAGGGTTTCCATTTTTTACCACCCTGTAGTAAATAAATGTAGCATTCTCAAAAATTTCTCATAATTTATGTCAAGTGTCATATGTCAAGTGACACTAATTATTAACACTTGTGTCAAAGTTTATTAAAACAAATAAATGCAGTACATTTGTTTTTTGAAACTTGATCATTCATTGTTCTTTAAATCTCAATTGTAAGGTTGAAATGAATATTCACAAACTTGAAGAAAAAATCTTCAAGTCTACTGTATTGTATGAACACTGTCTAGCCATTATTTGTTTTAGGCTAATTGTACAAATAGCCTATTGTCTATAACAGAGACATATAAAACGTTTATATGTCTCTGTCCTGTCTATAATAGTGTGTACCCCAAATTGCTTCATCATATGATTATGTAAAACTGGCCATTGTATGTATGTATCAATGAATTGATGCCCCTTTCAGGAGTTTGATTTTACATCTGAAAAAGAGAGTTTTATTTACATTTTCTGAATGAGAAATAATTCTCTGATTTAGCCTTATCCAATCAGATATTAGGTCTAGCTATCCATTTTGAAGCATTAAAACTCTGTGAATTTGTCCATCCTTGTCAGAGGATCATCAAAAAGATTGAGATTCACAAATTTTCGATTTATTTCTAAATCTTCTTCAGAAGAACTCTTGTCAGAGGATAATAATTACTTGACTCCAGACTTCAGGTTGATGGTTCAATGAGTGTGTGATTATGTAACCAGTCAAATTATATCATTATCAGACAACACTTATAATTTATTTGAGATGTGTGAGTCTAGTCTATTTTTGCTAACTTCTTAGATTGTCCTTTATGCCAACTCTGGTTTTGCTAAATTTACAAAAAAACGTATGATTAAAATGATTTTAAAGGTTTCTCAAGAAAAATTATTTGAAAGGGTCAAAATCACTTAAACATTTTCAATCTGGATATGCCTTCAGAGAATCTCAAACAGGCTAAAACTATTAAAACATTTTGCGTACATCTTATAGTATACCATAGATTATATACATGTATTTCCATTACATCTGTTATAATTACATATTCAGTTCTTGCGAATAAAGATTCTTTTTAATGAAGACAGAATTCTCACCTGTTCCCTGTATAATCCTATTTTTGACTATGATCACATTCAGTTGAGGAAGTAGAAACTGTTGCTTTTTCTATTTCTAATAAGTCAGATAGGTTCCTTACTGATGTTTTTTTCACATTAACCATTCCTACATGAGAATCTAAATTAATGGTATTGATTTCCTGGGGGAAATTAGCATGTATTGACCTTATCTAAGTTTAAGTGTTACTCGAGGGCAGAACCAAGAGAGAAATGTAGAATTGATTTTAACTTTCATAAGGAACCATCTTTCTTCATTGATATTCTTTTTTATGTGTCCATGAGTAATCAGAGTTTGCACTTATGCAGGGATAATGTAGCATATGTGATGATATATTAGTGGAGGAAATACAGTAACATATCAACATTGATACAGAGCATTGATACATCATCCCCCATTTTGGCACTATTTACTGTATAAGTGGTATTTAGTCCGAGTGGTTAATTTTCCGAATGGTCACATTTCATCATTTTCCTAATTTTAATTTTCCTAATGACAAGAAACCTCCCATTGGATAACATTATAAAGACAATATTTCTGACATTTAATTTTCCGAACCTGGCAAAAATTAGGAAATAGGCAAATTAAATGATTAGGCAAAATTTACCCTTTGCATTCGTTTGACTTCACTTCTTAAAAGAGAGCTTCGTAGTTTAACTAGACTCTGCACGCAGGGTAGGCAAAATTACCACTTATACAGTAATTAAAGGTGATTTTTTTTACATTGAAGACTTTTTGAAGAGTTTTCATAGATGACTTACTATATATCGATTGGAAAAAACTTAAAAAAGATGGCAATATGAGTATTGTTTGGGCTAGAATACATGAAGAAAGTTACTTTTTCCAAAATTAAATATTTAAAATTAGACTAACATGACTAAAGTAATGTAAAACTCAGGATACAACCAAGACGACTGAATGATCTTGTTGACATGAATATTGTGATTTAACCGTACATAACTAAATGAAACCAACTTTTAAGATTTTTTAACAGAGTGTCAATGGGTATTTAGCACAACCCTCAATCTCTGTCAATCTCTCTTTTGAACTGGTTTATGGTTTCACAGTCAAAAATGTGTTCTTTGGGGTAAGCTATTCCAGCTTTGAATGTTGCTATTCTTGTCTGTTCATGAAATTTTATTTTTTGTCATATATCGAGGTGAGTCTTTTTCAATTTCTGTATCGTGAAGGAGTGTATTATTGTTCATTACATAGTTTTTGTTTACGCTTCCAATGTGCATGGTTTTACATTTTGAGGCATTAAATGGTGATTGCCATTTCAAGTGATCCATTGGTCCAAGGCATCAATATCTCGTTGTATATTAATAAACTTCGTTTTAATTCTATCTCAGAGGGTGTAAAAATGCATAACATTTAATATTTGCATATCAATTTTGATCAGTCAGATACACCTAGGCTAATAATACAGATATTTTTGAATATCCAATGATTTTTTAATTGAAAAAGATGTATCACTTTATTCTGCATTCATCAACAGAATATATATTTTGTCTCAGCTTATACTGATACACATGTATAGGCTTCAATTTATTTCATGTATTTTTCTACATAAAGCAACATTTATATTTAAAGTGTAAAAATATCTATAAAATACATATAATTCTAAACTAACATTGGTTCATTGAATACAATATTCATGTAGAGATTTTTAACAAAGAACACATGAACAATACTTTTATTATGGTATACGTCACTGGCACATGGATTGTCATTTAGAGACAATGCAATTCGTTATGCAACCTAAATATATCAGGGGTGGACCTTTAAATCAGCATATTATATTGATAATAAAAGTAAATCATTTACACCTTTTTAGGCTCACATTTTAAAAAGACAAATTGTCCAAAACCTTGAAAGAACCTGAAAATGAGGCCCATCCCAGGCCCACCAGTGAATCGTATTTATTTATAAACAAACAAAAAAGTATTTGTTACTCGTATTTAGTAAAACCTGTGTATTTGAACACCTCTCTAAAATGATCACTTCCAGCACTTTGATGTCCCATTGAATCGCATTTTACAACAACCTCCTAGTGAGAACATTAAGTTATGAAGGTTTTACTGTATTACTGTATTATACATTCATTTAATTATTTGGCAATTATTTTCAGACGACTATTATCACTGTATCTATTCTTTACAAGAACATTTTGTGAGACATTTTCAGGGATATGTTCAGATTTATTATGTCCATGTTTAAACATACAGGATTCGACTAATTATTGAAGGACACAGGTTTGAGTCCTACTGATGTGGATGTCGTATTAGTGTCCATCTTTCAAATGTGTCCCAAATATTCCAGTGACTGCTGTTGACTGTGAAGTAATAGAATGGCACCATTGGAATGGTATTGTACCGACGTTATGATAGTAGGACAGGAGTCTCCCTGCTTTTAATCCATTTCAGCCAACTGTAAATCAAATGCAATAACCCTGATTTTCAAATGTACATGCTTTTATTTTCCCACTTAATGTATTACATTAACCAACTAGTATGCTTAATGATACACATCCAAAATTGGATTCAGTCATATTAAGATAATATATTATTGGGCGAGGATGTTCCTTATCATACTAATTTTATAATAAATTGATGGAGATTTAATTACATTTATATACAAGTAGAGGACCATCTTTAATAAGCGAAAGGCTCTTATTGTCTCAATGAGAGTTCATGCGATTATCAGTTACCTAAAGAGGGGGAGAAGGTGATCACTTTTGAAAAGGGTAATCTGTAATTACACTTACCAGATCATCTGCTTCTTCCTCCTGAGTGGGTGCTGTGTCTTCAGTCTTTACAACATCTCCCTCTAATAACCTATCTGCCTCTTCCTTTGTAACATCACTCTCTGGACACTCACTCTTATCAATTACCGTAACCTTATCTGGAAATACATGAATTTGTATTAAAAATGGGTCAAGTGTTATGATGACATGGTATTGTACGGTCTACATGCTCAAATGTAAATAACTAGGATTTGGTTTTTCAAAAATATTGTTAATTTACGAGATTTAATATCTTGCCTCATGGTTTCTCACTTTACTTACCCTAAATGAATTATCAAAGGAGCATTTTTATCAAGGCATTAACGTGACAAAATGTCACCACCTAGTTGCTCACAATATTATGAGTTCAATCTTTGGTCAATTTGAAGCAAGTTAAAAAATACCGTTTTTGACCCTGAGAAGGTCATTGAAGGTGAAATCCCAAATCTAAAGTCAGATTTGAACTTCTGAGAATTTTTGACCTTGAGAATGTCACTGAAGGTCAAATCTATAGTCAGATTTGAACTTCTGATAACTTGTAGATGATTTTGAAAAAACAAATTGGTCAATCAAGTTGTAAAATACCTTTTTGACCTATTTTTGACCTTGGAAAGGTCATTGAAGGTCATTTCTTAAATATAATGTCAGATTTGAACTTCTGAAAACATTTAGGTGATTTCGAAAAGAATTGAAGTCAGTCTAAACAGTATTTGTTAAGTTATTGGAAGTTGTAAGAATTTGTTACAGACGCCGATCGCCAACCACCGTCAAAAAATTGGAAAACATAACAATATGTCACCACTTTTTGGAGGTGACATAATAAAGAATGCCTTAGACCTGTTGCCATTGTGTATTTGTACATTGTACATAAATATATTAACATCTATGGAGCTAGAGTTAATGTCCTCATACTCATTTCTTAGAAAATAAAATTCTAAATAATGAGATGTACCAGTTTGGACAATTTCTATGCACCCGGAAATGACATACCATATACAATCCTGTCCCAGAAATCTTTCTTTCCTTTACCAACTATTGTCTCCTTCAGCTCCCTCAGGTATGTGTTAAACATCTTTGGCTCACTGTTCTAGAAAATAACAGAAGGACCTTTATCAACATGCATCTTGTATTGAATTAAGGTATTTCTCAAACAGAATACAAGAGCACAAGATGAACATAGGAAACCAACTTAAAATATTAGCCAACGAAGCAAAGAGATAACAACCAATGGAACAAACCATTAATCATATAACATTAAGAGGATACACCTCAGTGCACCTACATTAAACCTCAAATAATTCAATGCCTTTGAAGGAGACTTTCTACTGTATACTATAGTCTTGCATCAAGTCTCAATAATGTATATAACTTAGTGCAAAACATATATAAAGATGGTGATTGGGACTCACCTTTATGGACTCCTGTCTGAGAACAGTCAAACAATCCATTGCTTTACTGTAAGCCTGTGTACCAAAGGAGTCCATCACAATTTCTATCAGTTTTTTCTGCATCATTTTACAAGCTAAAAATAAACATTGTAAAAACTTATTATTAATTTTAGGAAAGTCTCTCAAGGATACATTCATTACAGATATACATGTAAAAGAAAGATATTCCTCTTATAGTATACTGTAGGTTAGAAATTCAACAAAGCACCAAAATTAGAAGAAAAAAACATTCTACTCTTTATTTGATACTTTCTCTTTTTTCCAAAGCTATATGTATACTCAAACTTTGCACTGAACATATTATCAGTATGTAAGCAAATATTAAAGAGGAAATCACTTGAAATTTTTACACAGTTTATACTTACCTTCCTCAAAGCGATCCTCATCTTTCTGGCTTATGATTGTTTTAAAGTCATATACTGGATCTACCGTACCAACCTGAAGCAAATGAAGAGGTAATAGTTGTACATTGTAAGGCATTAACATAACATGCAAAATGTCACCACCTAACATTTGTTACAGATGCTGGATACCGAACTTCAACCACCAAACACCATCCACAAAAAAAGTTAGAGACTAAAAAGAAATATGATTCAAATTCAATTGAAAATATGAATTCATTCATATGAACATACCTCTGTAACTTTGGACTTAGTTATATCTTCCATTCCACCTTTCAAGTCATCATCTACCTTAACTTTCTTGGCAGGAGGGCCATCACTTGATTCACTTGAAAAACAAGACAACTGGTATATGCATTGAGAGACATTTTGTTAAAACTGATTATTTCTATACATGTACATGTATAACAGCAGAAATTATATATTGGTTCATATAACGATATCCTTGTCTAACCATTTTCAAATAAAATGGAGATTATATATTTATGATTTCTGTACAAGTACCTGGCCACCTGAGGTACGCATATTTATAATTGATTGAGATTGTAAATGCTTATCTTCATTTGTTTCTTTCTATATGTATTTGTACTTCCATGAATACTGCAGATTATCCTTCTAGAAAATGAACATTTCTAGATTTTTTCAAATTAACCATTCATTCTTTTTAAAAATCCATGCATGCTAATATAACACAGCATAATGACTTTCACCCCTTCCCAATTTTTAATTATATACCATCAGATATATAATATAGACATTATCTTCGACTTACCCATCCTTGAAGACATTTTGCCCAGTCTTTTCCTCCTTATCTTTTTTCACCATTTCCAATTTGAACAATGTTTTCATTTTCACTACAACAGGCTTTGCATTGTTGACGATATTCTCTGGAGGAATCATAGACTTCTCTACAATGGACGATAACTCAGGTAGGGGTGCATCGGGGGACATGCCTCTTTGTTGAATACACTGAAATGTATGAATAATACCAGATTATTAGTGCAAAACAACCCTAGAACTGGTATTCTAAAGAAAGGCAAAATGAAAGAAATGTCATTCAGTTGATTTTCAATGCATATATTTTCTCACATTCACCAGATATATTTTTGTTTTCATTTTCCATGTTTTTCTATCAATTGCAAGTTGATAAGATTAATGTAATAATGTAATGATCTCACCTGGTATAAACGTTGGAAATATGGATTGAATGTAAGTTTTGGTTTAAAAGCCTCTTCAGTGTCACCATCTTCATCTCTACAACATATACAATATAATTTAACAGATACAATAAAACAGATAAATGTACAATGAACAGGTACAATTTTATACATCAATATGGCAAGTAACATGACATGAGGCTAAAATTTCTGGATTGAAGAAATGACTCTAGTACATACATTAATTGATGTGATACAACATTTATATGAATTTCAATAAATGTTGATCTTGGGAGACAATCTTACAATAAAATAGAAGGATTATGATTTATAATACTTCAGGTAAGACCCCCCTCTACTACAACTTACACAATTGCTTTGGAGAGATCCATATTCTCAATGAGGTCATCCATCACCTTTAACTGATCACCTGAAATATAGGAACCCAGGTATAGGAAATGAATCGAATGATCACCTAAAATGTTGAATATGATCACCTGAAGTTTTGAAAATGAGCATCGTAAATGTTGAAGGTGATCAAGAACTAGGCATGCCTCAAGTCACCCCCGAGAGGTCACCCCTCAGCTTAACATTTGCGGATCTTGGATGGGAGATTCTACTGCATGTAATTGGATAATTACATGTGACTAAATGAGATTTGAATGTGCTTACAATGTGGATGTATTGTTAAATAAACAAGAAATTTGGAAAATAAAATATAGCAATCTTCCAAGCATACATAATAATAACAACTGAGCACAAGTGTTCCATTTGAAAGTTATAATGCACCATCCTGTTGAAAATGATATGTGGTGATAATTAAAATTAAGCAGAGAATAAAATCTGGAGAGATCACTGAATAGTTAGAGGGACACTTAATGCAATAATACTTTCTGGTCTCTACTTACTTGAAGGCTGCTGTTTCTTGTTGGGTAGATCTGAGTTGTCTTCCTTGATTGGTAGGGAACCAAATGTAAACTGTCTCAGATCTTCCATGAAGGGCAGTTCAGTGTAAAATAAACACTGAAATTAAGAGCAGTTTTGTGTAGAATTTATACTGGAATTAAAGTAGCAGAGTAGAAAAGAAGAGTCTGGAACGATTTGTAAGAGGATCAATTTTTACTGGAAATAAAAGCAAGAATTGACAGTTTATTACAGATAGATTGATACTGGAAATAAAAGGTACAGGTAGTTTAGTTTAGAATTTAATGATGTTCTTTAGGAACCTGACAGTACCTTACCTCATAATTTGCCTTTATGTGTGGAGACAGGAATCCTATCTTAGGGCTAGCTGCAGCACTATAGCAACGCCTCACTATGGCAACTGAGTTTGTTTCATATAGGGCTTTAATTATGGCAGACAAGGCAAGGGCTGCGGCCTGTAACATAATGGGACAAAGTTAAAACATTTTAAGTGGTAAATTCCAAATGAGGGTTCACAAAGCATGATTTCAAGAGATAATATCGAATCAAAAATCCAATCTAAATCTACCATCCAATGGCACATTAAAATTGATATATTTAAGAAATCTCTAGCATTTACAAATTGCAGAACATATTGTGGATATGTTTTCTGAATTAAACAGACATCATGGTACCCTGGTTGTATGGCCCTAACTGTTTCGGATTGAACATTTTGCTGAAATAGTCGGTCCACTACAGAAATGATCTATTGTTCTTATTTAAGGGATGTTTGAAAATCAAAACTTGTTATAAAATTCATTCCATAACTAGTATTTATATTGTTGTAACCTACCTCATCGCCTTTCTGTGCAGAAAAGGCCATTACAGAATTCCCCATGTAATGATGTCTTTTTATCTACAAGGGAAATTATTTATGTCTAAGATTTATCTAATTCTAAGCCTCTATGTAAAAGTTTGGCTTATACTGAAGTCTCACCTAACGTAAACAAAATGTAAAAGTGATTTGTGAAACCATTCTAATATTAAATATTTCTGTGTAAAGGATTTTGTATGAACATCTTTACTTGTTACACACATCTATGTGTGTATAAATAATACTTTACACTGATGCATTTATTCATTTGTATTTTGGACTTATAAAAATACTGAACTTAATAATTCAAGTCCTGATTCAACTTACATCATCACTTTTAGAAAAACAAAGCAGCTTTAAACATTTAGTGGCTTTGAATTTCATATTTTCCAAGTCATCCTGAGAAAATGGGACTAAGGTATTACCATACCTATGGCCTGCAAAATATTAACATTTCAATGACAATATTATAATGCAGCTTCAAAAATTATACAAGGAATTAACATACAAAATGTCACCCCTTGCCATTTATTACAGACATCAAACACCATCCACAAGAAAGTTTGAGACTATAATAATATGTCACCAGAGAGTTAGAGTTAGTATTTTTTCATGAATCTTGAAATATGCATGTAGACTTTATAGTAATACTTTTATCATTGAATGATTCAGTTTGAATATTTAAACTACAGCTTCACTTTGGCATTGATTTTTTCTTTTATAAACTTTTAACGAGAATATTGAGAAACATGTTTCCCAAAATATATACCTTGAACCGTATCCTCTTTTTCAATTTCTGTTTCATCATCATCATTGAGATGATATGTCCGCACTGTAGTTATCTGCTCATCAGGATCTTTAGCGTAAACCTTCTTAAAAGACTTGGCTGTTGCAGCTTGAACCTTTTCAATATACAAAATAATCATATGAAAGCTATTTATCCAAAGTTTAAATGTCATGCTACTTAGATTATCAATAATATCCATGAATGCATTAACTTGAAAACTTAATGTCCATCATATACACTCTACAGTAACATCTATTGACTTTACTGGACAAAGCTGCCTCCTTAGGACAATGATACACTAGCCTATTGTTGATCAAATATGGCCATATACACTGATGCAATGTAATACAATTACATGTACATACAATTTATTTTTCTCTGAGCAGAAATAACTCAGATAAAATGATCGTGTTCGTATTGAATAATAAAACCTGAAAGATGAACATTCACAGATTGCTATGTGGTTTGGATGTTACATTCTGATACTCATAGCATCTTTCTGTTTCACCTGAATCTCAAGGCTGAGAAGAAATGAGATGTCATGGTTTATCATGATGTGGATGTTAAGTCAAAATACCTTTATCAACCCCTGGACAGGGATCTCAAGTCCAGGGCCAAGTTCAAGGGGAACCTTCCATGCCATGGATCTTTTTTGTCTTGCTTGAAAGAAGCTTAGGGCTGGCAGGGCTTCACTGAAACATTCAATACTTGGCTTTCAACAGTTATTCAATGATGAGTAAAATACAGAAAACATTACAATGTATCAAAAAAACATTTTCTATATTTTATGAGATAATTCAAAGTGTGTGATATGTTAAAGGGTAACATAGACTTTGTACCCCATGGCACTTTAATAAAGAACTTACTTATGTCACTTGAGAAAATCAGATCACTAGAAACTTCACCATCACTGAATAAACCAATTTCATTGATTTGAAATTGCACTATTATGGCAAAAATATCAGTTATGTTCTAGTTCAGAAAAATTGGGATCTTAAGTACATCAAAATTTGGTTATTGGGATTCATTTTGGCCTGGTTTATATATGGAGACCATGCTTTTTTTCTTAAGGGTAGCCTACCTAAATGCATAATGTGCTCCATCTACAGCCTCAATTATGCTCCTGACAACTACCTCCCCAGCTTGTTGTTGGGCAGTCTTCTCCTTCTTGTGACCATTAGCACCACCTTTAGCATCACCATCTCCAGACTCTTCATCAAAGTCTGGACCTCTGCAACAGTAAGCAATATTTGACTTGTGACCTTTATAGGCCAAACCCTTAGCATTGCCACAAAGCAATATTTTAATTATGCCATACCTTTTGTACCATATCATAAGGATTATTTTTTCCAAATTATGACGAGAAAAAACAGTGACTCCATAAGGAAGCAAATTCTACCAAACAACATTTTCTATCCAAATCACTTGATGTAAAAAAGTCATGAAGTTCATAAATATAGCTGGATAGTGATGGGGCTCATGGGTTTGATCCCTACTGGGATGAACTCTCTCATCTACCCTCAGCACAGGATTTCATTCTGTATTTTCTATCGCAATAATTGGAAAAAGTGGTCATATTTAATTTAAACACAAAACAATTCTGGTGAATTATTGAGGAATTGACTTTTTTACTTGGCTTAATTCCATTATTTAATTTGCAGTAAGGATACTGTGAGAAGTGTTAATTATACAATTATAAATAATATGGTACATGTACTTACATAATATTAAAATCTACATTTTCATGTTTCATGCTTGCAACTATATCTTCCAGTCCATCTTCTCCAAACTCTCCCCCCAAGTCAGAGAACAGGATGATTCTCTTGCCAGTAAATCCTTTCTTACCCCTATAACAATCAAGCATTGCCTTTTCCAATATCTATCACATCTAATATGAAATAATATTATTGAAGTCAAAAAATAATACTGTACAGTACTGTTCTTCTTCTTTGGCGGCTGTTTTAATTGTTCAAGTCAAATTAAGTAGCCACCAAATTCAATATTTCATATTTCAATCATGACTCTGTATGGTATATACATTTCATTATTGCAAGTCAACCAAATGTTCAAAACAGCAAAACTACCAAAGTTGTAATAAGTTGTACCAAATGAAGTATTTTCAGAAAATAATATTTGTACCACAGTCTATTGAGGAAGCAAGTAATGGATCATTATGAATCAAACACATTAAGTACAAGTGCAATATTAGAATTAGAATGACAAGCACTTCACCAAGCACAAACCAAATTGTTTATGTTACTTACTGTATTCCCTTCACAAGATGATCCATTGCAACAACAGTGGCATCAATAACTAGAAGTGGTTAAGAAAACTGACCAAACAAAACAAATAAGCCTTTATCTATGACAACACCAGAAGTGGTGACATATTGTTAAAAGTCTCTAATTTTTGTGAATGTTCGGCATCTTTAACAAATGGAGTCTATAACAAATGGCAGATGTTGAGATTTTGGATGTTAATGCCATGTTCAAGCTATATGGATTAGAATGAAATTGTTGAGAAGATGTGATATACCATAATCACATGAAATTTAATCCTATTTACAAATTGCTTTGCTAAAAAATGATGATGGCAATCATGCCATGATGGCAATCATAAAAGGGCTATATCCCCCTCATTATTTAAGTTACTCAATGCAAGGATACAGTCTCCACTGACGGAGCTTGGTTGGATGTCTTTTTGTACCATCTCAAGCAGAGGCCAGTCAGGCAAACATAGGGTACGCTTTACAGTGATGTTCTCGTAACTATCTCCATCAGCAAGATCATTTTGGGTGTCTGCAGTACCACATAAAACTAATGCCACTTCATCTTTAGCCTCGGCAAAGATCTGGATAAAAAATAAATATACTACTACTGTATGTTTATCACCTGTACTATCTAGTCTACCTCGTATAGTATCTCACTGTAAACATGCATGCATTTTTATACATTTTACTTCTTTGTGTATAACTATAGAATTAGAAATGAGAAAATAGCTGAACAGAGCTTGACAGAAGGCCAGATGGATGGACTTGTAGGTGGTGATTCCATAGACTCGTTATGTGAGCCAAAGAGAATTGTTTAAGATTATTGTTCTCTTGATCAATCTTTATTTTCAAATAATATCAAAACGAAAAAGGACAAGTGTACAGCTACAAATGGGTCATATCATTGAGCATATCAGGTATCTCAATAAATATAAACCATATACCATTACCAAGGATATAAAATTTTAAGACAAAATTCATTTAAAAGTGATGGCAACGTCATACATATATATGTATTACCCAATACAATGGAATTTCAATAGAGTATCAAAGTATTTTTTTGTAAATATCAATTTTCTCACCTTCCTTTGTAGAATCATAGTGATAGCATTGAGCGAAGACTGTAGAGACGTGATCTCACCAGGGGGTGCCTGGTTCATTGAAGGACCAATATCCAACACTATTGCAATAGCTTCCTAAAGACATGTAAAGTATGTTTGTATATATTTATTAGATGTTATCCAATACTTAAGTCTGAGCCCTATGGGACATAAAATTGTGAGTGGGTGATCTACCTAAGCCCCAATGTCATCAAGGGTTATTGATTTATTAATGATTATTGTCGTTACTTAAAATTTGGTCATTAAAGTTGTTTATCTATGAATGGCAGTTCTGGAAATTCTAAAAGAAATTAAAAACGGGTTTTGAATCTAATTGGCTGCCCAGCTCAAGGCACATGCCCGGTTTGCTGATGGTTGTGTACTCATGTCACTTGACAGGGTTTTCCCTCGATTGCCGCGATCGAACTCAATTGTGTTTAATTTTGACAATTTTTGATTCTGCCTACAACGCGTGAAATAAGGAAAAAAGAAAAATTGTACCTTCGACTTACTCCCGTCAAGAGCTTCCATGTTAGATTTTGAAAGTATACTTTCAAAATCTAACATGGTAGCTCTCGACGTGAGTAACCTTCGACGTTCCGACATTTTGTTACCGAAACGAACCATTTCGTTAACCAGCGTAATCGAGTGGATCACCAATAATGAGAATTAGGCCTTATAGTAATTTGGCTAGAGTTTTTAATGAATGATTTTTATATGATTCTCAGAGCTGTCAAGTGTCCCGCGAATGGCGGGATTATCCCGCGAATTTGATCAAAATTAGGCTAATTCGCGTGTCCCGCATTGTCCCGCGAAATCCCGCAAAATGTGGCTTTGACCTCCGCGAATTTCCGAAATTGTTGCAATCCCCTATATTTTGATTATCTTATCTTATATAAGAAGCTAAGTTTTTGCACTTTTGAGGAATAAAGTTTACCTAATTTTAAGTACCTAGCATGCTGTTGTTTGGTATCAAAATAAAGGGGAAGGGTTCAACTTTCATTTTAATTACGAAAATAGGGATGTAGGTCACAAATAGTTCCAACGTTGGCCTTTTTACTACCCGTGTGGCCTTCATCTCAGAACTGAGCAAATGTTAGCAAACGCGAGTTACAATAATGTACGCTGATATCTAGAAAGGGTTTGTATAAAAAACCGGGTACCGGGTAGTAAATCCTCCATGCTGGGTTCAAACTTGGTACCCGGTACCCGGTCAAAAAAACGGGTACCCAAAAAACGAAAAATACGAATATACAGGGTGTCCCAGAACTCATGAGAATTTTTTGAGGGAGATATAAGGCATGGGTGGTTTTTCTTCAAATTTGGTACACTTATTAAACACACATTGAGGAATAACTAACATGAATTTCAGGCACATATCTTTTATATTTCCGAATTTATTGACATTTGAATTCTACATCGCCACAAACCCTGGAGTAGTCAGAGAAATACAACAATTTACGTCACATTTTGATAATATTTACACAACTTCTCTACTCTAATAGCATTGTTTTCATTGAATTATTTTAGTGTTTCAGTACATTAGTTAATAGGATCATACACATTCAGCTAACGTATCTCTACAGGAGTTATTATAGCATATTATCTGCAGTTGATGTCGTCTTTTCAGCTACTCTATACACATTCCCAAATCGTCCAATAGCCATTTCTGTAGGGTCCTCTGAAACAACATGACTCAATTCATCCTCCGTTTCAGTGACATGGCTCACTAATCTTTGAATAAGGTCCCCAAAGAAATCAAAAGTCTAGAAGAGAAAAATAGTGCAAGTATATAGAGCTACTCTATACTGTGGAGTCTCAATAGAAAGTAAATTGGATGCACTACAGACACGCGCGAGTGACTTATTCACCGGTGCATTGTCAATATGCAAGATCATATTGGCTAGCAAATGAGGACATTTCTTTCAGTCCCTCAGGAACATGTCATTATGATATTTTAGCAAACCAAATGTACAGTCTGTTGATGTATTGGGTCTCTATCAAAGTTTATATATTGTTTTATCAAAGTGCATCATCAATATGAGAAAAATGCTGAACTAAGCTCATACAAAAAACGTTAGTTTTATAGTTGAGAATCTGTATAAAATTGACAAAATGTGACATAAACTGTTGTATTTTCCCGATAACTCCGGGGTTTGTGGCGATGTAGAATTCAAATGTCAATAAATTCGGAAATATAAAAGATTTGTGCCTGAAATTCATGTCAGTTATTCCCCAAAGTGTGTTTAAGAGGTGTACCAAATTTGAAGAAAAATCACCCATGTCTCATGTCTACCTCAAAAAATTCTCATGAGTTCTGGGACACCCTGTATAACATAATTAGATTATGAGAAAACGTGTAAGATTTGTTTTGAATTTGCAAAAATGTATGTAACATGATTCAAAATTGAGCTAGAAGCTTCAAATAAAAAGCATATTTTAAGGCACTTTTCTTCCTCTATCGTTATGGCCATATTTTCATTGGTTATGGGGGGGGGGGGTGCGATCGCACCCTCTTCTGGCTACGCCTATGACATTGTAAGACATAACAATTTACAATTCAGTGGACATTTTGTCATAAATTGGGATAACTTAAATTATGATTAATAATCAAAATCTTACACGTTGCATCATGCAAATTAACACACGTCACCTCTCTGCTAAAGCAACGATAGCTATTTACAGATTTAAATCATAATCAAAACAATTCACGTACCAACATACGAACTATTGAAAATAGAGTAAGATTGATTTGTCTTGTTTTTCAAATCGTCTTACAATGTCATTGGCGTAGCCAGGTGGGGGTGCGATCGCAACCCCCCCCCACCCATAAATACCAATGGAAATATGACCAAGATGATAGAGGAAGAAAAGAGCCTTAAAATGCTTTTTATTTGAAGCTTCTAGCTCAATTTTGAAGGAAGTTACATACATTTTTGTAAATTCAAAACAAATCTTACACGTTTTCTAATGATCTAATTATGTTGTGTATTCGTATATTTCGTTTTTTGGTTTTTTTCGACCGGGTACCAAGTTTGAACCCAGCATGGAGGATTTACTACCCGGTACCCGGTTTTTATACAAACCCTATCTAGAAAATTAACCTCATTCCCTATAATTTGATGTAGATTAATCGAACCCCTATATCATGGGCTTTCAATTGAAAGCACGTACCTACAGTATATGAATAGGTACATTTTAATATATAACATTATGGGGGTAAGCGTTTCATAGTTGGACATCCTGCAAATTTAGGTGGATGTCCCGCGACTGAAATCCCGCAAATTTAGGGCACTTTGTCTAAAAAATCTGTCCCTCTATGAAGTTTTTGGTGGTACACCTGTTAACTGTCCCGCAATTAGGGTGTTTGTCCCTCGAATGGTCCCGCGAAATCCCGCGAATTTGATAAAAAAAATCTCCTATTAGCGCAATCACGCAAATCCCTTAAGGTACAGCTGGAAAGTAACATTTTGGTAATAAATTGCTATACCTGCACATGTTATTTTCTGGTACAAAATAAAGTATGAAGGCATGTGTCAATTTCCTTGCTTTTTTCAGGAAAGTATCATTACATTGTCTTCTTTTAGAATATCTGGTAGGCGTTCAATGGAACCTCCAGGAAATTCTGATATTTCACACTTTCTATTTTTCCAAATTTTCTTTCAAAGTTTCCAGACAACACAGGAGCTACCATTGACCTGTTTCTAGATATTCTAAAAGAAGACAGTGTAATGATACTTTCCTGAAAAAAGCAAGGAAATACACACATGCCTTCATACTTAATTTTGTACCAGAAAATAACATGTGCAGGTATAGCAATTTTTACCAAAATGTTACTTTCCAGCTGAACCTTAAATGTCCCGCAAAATCCCGCGAATTTAGTAGATGTCCCGCAAAATCCCGCGAATTTTGGGCACTGGGTCTAAAAAATCTGTCCCGCGAGAAAATCTTTAGGGGTTGACAGTACTGGATTCTAATACTATTCCAAAAAGGAGACAGATTATACAGCATTTGATTGTGAATGATTGACAGATTCCCCGGGACAGATTCAAACACACAGACTGAGAATACAGAGAGAAAATCCCACCCCTAATCTCTTTGCCACTATATGGGACAGAAGTTGGATTAACTAAAGAAAAGAAACTAGCTGATATGAATGCCTAAATGTGATATACAAACCTTTTCTGCCATGACTTTGTTTGGTTTTGCTCAAGCAGGATCGACACACATGCCATCTATTATTATTGGAATTCCCTCCTAAAATGAATTCGTTGATTGGTCAACTATTGTCAGGTGACCATTATATGAGGGAATACGTTAAGATGGCGGGTTAAACTTCAAAACATATTTTTACAAATTTAGTAACAATTGTATATAACGAGATAAGTGTAAGTACCAAACTTCTATGAGTATAGTCGATTTTAATTGTGTATTAATTATGTTTGAATAAAATACAAATTGTTGTGATTGTTGAATGTGGCTATGTATAGACTAGTCAACAGATAAAGTTTTTTTTGAAATTTTTTGATAAAAATTAAAATAAGTTAGAATCTAGCCTAAGCTTACAGTCTGCCAAGTCTGTGCCCTCTTGTAATTTGAGGTCTGTCCGACATGTTATTTCTTTCAGAATAACATGGCAGAGTTACCATATTCTATGTCCAGTGTGGCCATAGAATATAAATAAGACAATCTTTGTTGTTTTGAATTTGCCTTTAATTGCCCAGCCGTCTTATATTTATTTACAATAACTGCAAATAAATCAAATAAAGTTTTAGGAGTAATAAAACGAAGCTACAAGTATATTGATGAGGACTCACTTAAGCTACTCTTCAATGGCCTTGTTCGTCCAATCTTGGAATATGGGAACTCAGTTTGGAGCCCACAGTATAAAAAAGACATTGAAGCCATTGAAAACATACAGAGGAGAGCAACAAGACTTTTACCAAACCTCAGGCAATTAACATACCCCGAAAGACTAGCCACACTTGACATGACAACATTAGCATTTAGAAGGTTACGAGGAGACATGATTGAGATGTACAAGATCATGAACAATTTCTACGACATCAACCCCAAGACTATCTTTCCCCAATTGAACAATATAACAAGACAACCAGCAAGAGGACATACAATGTACCTAAAACGACAACACTGTAGACTTAACACGAGGCAGCATTTCTTTTCCAACAGAGTCATATCACCCTGGAACAAACTGCCTGAATATGTTATCCAAGCAAAAAGTGTTGACCAGTTCAAGAACAGGTTGGATGACCATTGGTACAGCCATCCACTGAAATTAGACTGGGAGCATAAGCCTTAACTGAATATATGCCAAAAATTGACTTGATGTGTATACGAAATACACACACCCATACAGGCAAAAGGCTACATAAGCCTACAAGCCGGTGTTTTTCTTATCTTATCTTATGTTATCTTTGATGTAAACATAATAAACTCACCTTCATTGATCTTTACACGCAGTCCTAGTTCATACATTCGTCTACTTCGCAGGATGTTTACTCACAAAAATTAAGTTAAAACTGAAAGAAATATTTTATAACAAGCGCGGCCATCTTGTCTTTTCGCTATAGCGGAAATAAGGCATGCTTTCAAAATGGAGAACGGGACAACGTCTATTTTAAATGAAAACGTTCAATATCTCATCAACAAGACAAGCCATTACCATTTCAATTCTTGAAATATTAACAGGACGGTTTTTAGAATATTACTTAAAATCATTGGATGGCGGCTAAAGATTTTACAATAGTTCACGGTGTTCCAGATGGAATTACTTCTAGTCAAGAATTGGCTAGAGACTCGAGTAATGGCCGAGAAGCATCAAAATATAAGAGGTTACAGACTTTATAAGCCAATCGTGCAATATGAATATATTTTTCTATATATTATTGCATAATAATATTTAGACTTCTTATTTTTTTAAGTTCAAATCATAGGCTAAGGTCGATAGAAATAATTTTTAAATAAAGATGGCATGGTAATCGATCTGTGTTTATCTATGTTTCTCATAGAAAAAGATATATACTGGATTCTTTCTGGTGCTGCCATCTTTATATCGGCCCAGAACCTATGGTTCAAATGGTTGCCTTGAGGCAGTTTAACAGACACTGACTATAGGCTAGGTATCTAGATCTAGCCTATAAGTTATTTTTATGAGGACACACCATTGGTCTGAATCTCATTTGTCCGAGTCCCAATGGTCTGAATCTCAATCATCTGAATCCCAATCATCCAAATCCCAATTGTCTGACTGAATGTGATATTTTTGAGGGACCACAAGGAAATACCATGATAGAAAAACTTTGCTCGATGTCTTAGCTTCAAGTTTCTAAAATCTGCCTTCAATTCTGTTGACCAAATCTAGATGCGAATGACGTTTCTTTATGTGCAGATACATTTAGGGATACGGTAAACACAAAAATGGGGCTTTTGTACGTGTTGGATAATAACATATCTAATTTTAACATTCAAGTAAATTGTTGAACATAATAATCGCAATAGAGACGTTTCGCATGTCGCAACATTTCAAGCATTAGATATCAAAATCCGTAACGCATCGCTATAGAAAATGTGTAATGTATCTCTGACTATCTCAGCTCATTGAGTATGTGGTATAAAGGGTGTCTATAAAGTACAGTAGAACCTGTGTATCTAAACACCTGGCTAATCCGAACACCTCCCAATCTGAGCATTTTTTTTGGTCCCATTTTTTCCTCCCATTGACTTCCATGTTAAAAAAACCTTGAAATGTGAACTCCTCTCAATTTGAAGAGTGAACAGTCATATTTGAAAAGACAAATGGGATTCGGACCATTGGATTCGAATGATTGGGATTCGGACGATAGGGATTCGGAACATTAGGATTCGAACCAATAGATTCGGACCTATGAGGTGATCCCATTTGTATATGGCTCATTGACCGTGATCAACATCATGTGCATGTGGTCAGGTGGTGCATTTGTTGAGTTTGTTCATTCTAAATTTAATGTAGTTGCTGAGCATTTTGAGCCTAACATGACTAAATGTCAGATATGGTATATTTCTCTCAGGTATTCCTCATTGGTAAAAGTTTTTTGTTGTCCTTGTGGCAGTATTAAAGCGTACCTACACTAGGCCTAGTTTTTTGTTTACTGAAGCCGGAGGACGAACTTTGGCCACCTATACCAAATTTGTAAATAGAGGCCCTATTTTTCCACTAATAAGTTGGAGAAGGATTTTTGATGTGGTAAATCCCCTCAACCCCTTTGTTAATCTCATTTCACCTGGCTTCCCTTGATTGTCAGATATACCCCTCGCCATGTTATTTGTGCCTGACCCAATTTTTGTAATATTAATTCTGAACCAAATCAACATGTGAATACTTTTGAATTTCTATTGCAGAATAAGGAAAGAAAACATGTTTTCCAAACGTATCAAAGAAGAAACTAGTCAAAGGTTATCTGGTGGTGATAAAATTTACGTCAGCTTGGGTTCAGGACCAGGAACTGTTTCAGCCACTGCTCAGAAAGGTTTCAACAAAATGAGAATTGATGATGTCCTGTGTGATTATACCATCAAAGTGGAAGGAAAACAGTTAAAAGTTCATAAGGCCTTACTTGCAGCAGTCAGTGATTATTTTAGGTAAAACTGCACATCATATGTCTCCGATAGATCTAATGTTAATTATAAACATGGAGTAATAGGGATCTTAATGAAATAAAATTTTAGTAAAGTCGGTAATGGCTAAAGGCCCTAAAGGGATAAAGCTCTTGCCTTCATATTAAAACTTTCATGACCATCCTTTTTGGTTTTAAATGTCCCTGAAATTTTGAATGGCTGGTAATGAGGTCATTCAGTTAAATTAGCTGCTCCTTGTCTAAGTACATTAAGATGTGTGTAGATAAGTTTAGTGGCATCTCCATCCTCTCTTAATCCCTTGTCAGTGACTTTAAGGATACCGTTCACAAAGATTAAATGTCCTTAATTCAGTAATGTCACAGGTAAAAACAGGTGGAGCTTTATACATAAAGTACTTGAATTATCTTTGTAGGTCGATGTTTACAGGGGGAATGCTAGAGTCGAAGCAGGACTTTGTTGAACTTAAGGATACTAGTGTTAGTGGAGTAGAAGCTGTACTAGATTTCATATACACAGGCGAGCTGGCAATCAACATTGAATGTGTCAATGATATATTAGCTACAGCATCTCTAACACAGGTACTGTAATAGAAGTTTGTATACCATGTATACTGTATTATAAAAGCGCTATGGTTTGGGTCACATCTCACATTACTTTTCAAATTGTAAATTGTGGAATTTTGTAAATAAAGCATTCATTTTGTTTCTTGTGTATACATATGAGACATAGGCTTGCCATTTACAGTCCTTGATTTATATGCTGGATTTTAACATTGTAAATGCAGCATGGTCAATCTCTTGAAAATGGGTCACAAATAGGTTCTATAATCATGAAAATAGTAGGACATCCAAAAGATGTGACCTGAAAGTTTTATATAGAATTTACGTTACCGTCCTTTTAGATATTTTTTTCAAATTCTATATTATTAATTTATTTAGAAAAAAAATGTATATACAATAATAATACATGACTAATACTGACACCAAATGGCATATAAAATATATTAACTGATATTCCCCTTGGATTCTCATATCATCTGTTGTTATGAATATTTTATGAAACACTTGTCTTTGAAATTCCTAAACTGAAGATGACAAAATTGTATTGTACTTCATTGTTTCAGGTAGAAGATGCCTTGAAGTTATGTGAGCTATTCCTGCAGGATGCGCTAGACCCATATAACTGCCTTGAGGTGCTTAATATTGCTGATGTGTACAACTTAGAAGACACCAAGCAACATTGTCAGCAGTATATCACTGGTAACTTTGAACGTATAACACATACAGACGAATTTAGTAAAATCACAGTGGAACAACTAGAGCGTATTGTTTGTAGAGAAGATTTAGGGATTGATTCAGAATTGAATCTGTTCTTTAATTTAATGCTTTGGATAGCTTATGATCGACGTGAGAGAGAGAAACATGCTACTAGATTACTCAAGCATGTGCGTTTTGGATTGATTTCCCCTGAGGATATTGTTGATGAGATACAAGCTCATAGTATTATGAACACTAACTCTGAGTGCCGAAAATTTGTAGATGAAGCACTGAAGTACCACGTGCTTCCTTTGAGACAACCCCTATCAAACATGCAATCTATACGTACCCAAGTCCGTGGAGAGCCTGCATTAATTGTGCATGATACAAATGAATCGCCTGAACAACTCAGACTTGTACCAAAAAACATGCAATGGGAGAAGCTTCCAAACGCTCCTCAGCTCCGTGTGTCAACTGCATCTCTTGCCACTCACAACAACTTTCTTTTTGTATGTGGAGGTAAAAAGACCCCAACTGCAGACCCCAATAATATACTACGGATGTACAACCCTGCATCTGATAAATGGACAACATTGGCTAACATGAGGGAATGTAGAAGTGGCTTTCCACTTGTTGAGCTAGATGAGAAATTATATGCTCTTGGTGGGGAAACAGTGGATAGTATATGTACATCGACTGTTGAGCAGTACTGTATTGAAAAATGCAAGTGGCAGGATGTTAAACCTCTGCCCCAAGGGTTGATATCGCATGCAGCGTGTGCTTGTAAATCAAAGTTGTATGTGAGTGGTGGCTACAACACGTCGATACAGCGTCAATCAACCATGTATAGCTACCATCCAGCAATTGATAAATGGGACCATCTCCAGCCTATGATTAAGGTACGCTCACGACATACCATGTGCTCAAATAATGTTGATGAAGTGTTTGTGATTGATTGCTTAAGTGACCATATTGAGACATACAATGTTAACACAGATCAGTGGACATTACTTGACCGGGTTGACCTTGCAGCCCTCCATATATCACTACCAGTGCGTGAATGTAGAATCGTCACAAACAATACTGATGTTTATTTCATCTCGGAACAAGTAGACGATCCAACAGACTCTACCAATTTCAAACTGGACTTAAAAAGCATGAGTGTTAGAAAATTCGAAAGATACACAGGTCTCGATTCAAAACCGTTTGGATATTTTTTGACAATACCTCTTAAAGGAGAACCTTTGAAATTGTGATTCAGAATCACGAATGCTCCCCTAGGAAATGGAAGAGCGCAACGCTGTGCACTCTGGGGAACCAATGTATTCCATTGATTATCTTTGAGAGTAAAGCTTTTTATGAATCTAACTGTATCTGGCTATCATCATTTTTATGCAGAGGGGCAGCAGTTCATTAGCTTGAGTAGCGATAATAATTACCCCTTTTGGTCATCATGTTGAGTTTGCAATATAGAATGGAACTATAGTACTTCACACAATAATGTGTTAATCATTCCAATGAATTAAGTACAGGGTGACACAAAAATGACACTCACCTTAAGTTGCATAACTTGTTTGTCTATTAACATAGACTTGTCCTTTGGCACATTTAAAGTAGACATAATGCGAAAGCTCCTCCAAATATTTCAGATGTGTAGCTCAAGTGGGTCAAATTTTATGAGTGTTATAACATTTGCCCTTAAGTCGTCCATTCCTTCGCAGACACACATGGATTCTACACAAAAAATGCCACCATGCTTTTGTAACATAACTTTGTAAATACTAATGATTATGGCTTGTACTTTCAGGGAAATGAAGTCCATTTATTAAACACAAAATAAAGTAGTTGTTATTGATAAAATCGTAACTTATTTCCAAAATCATGATACAAAAGCTGGGTGTCATTTTTTGTGTAAGATCCAGTTGTGCCAGCAAAGGAATAGACAACACATTTTGAAACGCTCATAAATGTGCATCTAGGTGAGCTAGTCATCTGAAACTTCTTGTGGAGATGCAAAATGAAATTTAAATTTAATGTGTGAAAAAATTCAGAATTCCTTCAGACAAAAAAGTTATGAAACATTCTGTGGGTGGGTGTTAATTTTTGTGTCACGGGATACTTGTAGAAAAGTCAACCATCCATTCCATTTTTATAGAAAACAAAGGTTGCGACAAAGTATGTTGGTGATGCATATTGCTTGGTAATATGCTTTTTAGAAATACTAGGTATTGACTTTAAAACTGTCATGAATTTATTTCTTGCACCTTGTCAACTGTGAATACTAACAGTTGTAATGAGGTTAGTTGAATTGCAATATATATGGTTCATTGTATGGATGAAGTTTTTCATGAGATTTTGTCCCAAATAACTGCTTAAAAATAAGACTGGACCAAATAACTTCTTAAAAATAAGACTGTACCAAATAACTGCTTAAAAATAAGACTGTACCAAATAACAGTTTAGAAATAAGACTGTACCAAAAAATAACTGCTTAAGAATAAGACTCTGTACCAAATAACTGCTTAAAAATAAGACTGTACCAAATAACTGCTTAAAAATAAGACTGTACCAAATAACAGTTTAGAAATAAGACGGCACCAAATAACTGCTTAAGAATACAATGTAAGACTCTGTACCAAATAACTGCTTAAAAATAAGACTCTGCACCAAATAACTGCTTAAAAATAAGACTCTGTACCAAATAACAGTTTAAAAATAAGACTCTGTACCAAATAACTGCTTAAAAATAACATAATTTGTATTTGTATATCAACATTTGTAAGCTGTTACTTGGTACAGATTCTGAATATTTAAACAGTAATTTGGTACAAAGGCTGTATATTTTTACAATATTATGGTGCAGTCTTATTATTAAGCAGATATCTGGTTATTTGGTGCAAAATCTCATCAAAAATTGATCAACAAATCAATCAAAAGTGTATTCAGAATTCCACTTTCATAATCTAGCAAAGAAATTAACTTTTTCTCTTTAATGAATCTCTACCACGAATTTTGTAGGCTATTTTGACTTTGGTATAGGCCTATGTAGAATCATTGTGACCTTTATAATAGCACTGCTGACAACCGGCAAGTGAATAATCAACAGAATGAATTGTCAATCTATGTAATTTTTATCTAATACGATTATCCTATTTGTGCGATTATTAGAATGGAGATGATAAATTAATCTGAAACTGGTGTACATTTATCACTGTTTACCAGGCACCAGCATTTGAGAAGGAATAGGTCATTCTAAGGGGATGCGTGTACGTACTGTCAGAGAATTGAATGTTAAAAGTGCTTAAAGGAATGGGTTCAGATAATTTCGTTATTAACAAGTCTTACAAAGAATGCAAAAATTGCGCACGACGCAATATCGAATTCAAAGATGTTCCATTTTACGTGAATATTCAATGGTTTCTTTCTTGGATAAATAAACATGTAACGTTATTTCAATGCTCTCCAGGTCTTTTTACTTCCGTTGGTGCTCCTGGCCTGTGCCGCGTGTAGCATTGACGCCTATGGAAGCGGCAGTGGAAGCGGAAGCGGTAGCTATGGTGATGATGAGGATAGTGAGGAATCTGGAGAAATTGAAGAATCGGTTGAAGTGATCAACGAAAATGGTGAATTTTAATGAAGCGTGATAGGAATATGCGTTAGAAGAAAATGAAATTTATCTTTCAACGTTCTAAATAATATGTGCAACTGCATTCTGATAGTCCTAGCATCTTTCTGTTTCACCTGGGCTGAGAAGAAATGAGATGTCATTGTTTATCATGATGTTCATTGTTAATCATTATGCAAATCGTTCGATTCTACAGCTTTTTGTTCCAATGGTTGGGAGAGCTTTCGTGGTAAATGCTACTACTTTGGCAGAGCTGATTTAAATTTCACAAAAGCTAGATCATTCTGCCAAGGTGTTGACTCCGACCTTGTAGTCATTGGCTCTAGATTGGAAAGCAATTACATTACGAAGAAGGTAACTGAACATAAGCTTGGATGGGCGTGGATTGGCCTAACGGATGCAGAAACTGAGGGCCAGTGGAAAACTGTTGAAGGAAATCAGCTGAAATTCAAAAGTAAGATTGAAAGTCTGAAATAAGATTGCTTTTTAAACCAGCGTAAAAAGAACAAATATGACCATAAATGTAGTTTCCCCTCCTTAACTTTTTTTTGTATACCCTGTTCACTTTTTAGTCCCCAATCCTCTAGATTAGGGTAAAAGATAAGAATGATATTGAGTTAATTGCAGATTGGCAAGATGGCTCTCCAAGTCAGTGGCGGGGTGATACGACGGATTGTGCACATATCGGTTTTATACCATATGTTCCACACGGACGAGGCGTCGACAAGTGGAAAACTATACAATGTTCACAAGATTTGCCATTTATCTGCGAAAAAAGCGGTAACCGTTTAAAATGTTTTAATTATCTGTTTAAATGACTAAAAAGCGCATTTTCTCTGTTTTAAAAAACTTGTAAAAGTAAAAAAGACCTAAAATCTGTAAAGATTTGGTTAGGAAGGCTTTGGGAGGCGGTAACCACATACGATTCATCTATATTGATAAAAAGGCCTTATTTAAACCTTTTTCAAATGATATTGACCTCTTCCATCAGAGTAGTTCCAACACGATAATATTACAAAATAGTGTACATTATCATATCAAGAGAGCTAATAGGCCAGTCCCAATTTCCTATTTTCTAATTGTAAATATATAATCATTAGGTAATTATTACAATCAGAGGCATTAATTATCTACTACTGAGTATTTATCTGTCATTAATTAGCATCCGAGTTCTCTACACTGTTCCAACAATGTAAGGTAACAGGATTAGGGGCGGAGTACATGGGCAACGAGACCAAGACGAAATCCGGCAAGCCATGCCTAGAGTATGTATCAATAAACCAACTTATTTTCTCAATTTAATTCATGATTAGTTTGATACTTCCCCTTGTTGCCATGATAAAAGTTAAAATTTCATCATCTGTCAATAGTTGTTATATAAGTGAGGTTAGCCATGCGTATAATCGAAACGAAAACGTATAACGTATTAACACTTGAAAATGGTTAAAACGGGAAAATGAACGGAAAAGATTTTCCCATGTTTCCTAAATGTACAGTTATGTGTGTTTCTTCAAATGTACAAAACGTACATACGATGCCATTGGTAATCCTATAACTGGTTTTCTGATACATATTTTGAACAATCTCGTTTAATAAGATATTTGGAGTGCGTGACGTGCATCATTTTCTTCAAAACATATTCAACTGTGAATCGAAACCAAAAATTCCGACATAGTATTAAATAAACATAAGTGTAATCATTCCCGTAGACACCTACGTGTAATTTCAAAGTTTCCATTCTAAACATGAAACGTTGAAGCTGAACAGGTACTGAAAAGGTAAAAAAGTATGCTCCTACTAGATATAGTACACATTCCTTTGATAATCAGATTTAACTTTATTGACTTCAAGTGTCTTTCCGTTCACGTTTACGTTTTGAAAGACCGTGCAAGCTTAACCTCTCTATTGGCGTACTGTTACGGAGCCATCCAGGGTTGTGGAAGCACTAAAATAATCCGATCCTATTGTGTTGTAATATTTGACAAGGACGATTGCTTTGATATCTCGTTGTTACTTTGTTGAAGAAAATCAAATGGTGGAGGTGCATGAGTTACAACTGGTCCATATCTATGAAGATATCTATGATTTGGTAGTTGGCTATTTGGTTTTATATGACTCGCTATGGTTTATTACGCATTTTCTTCACATTTTGTACTTTTTAAATTCATCCATGTGGTGATAGTTGGGAGAAAGCTGTTGGTTCCAATAAGGAATGGCTAAAGGCTGTTGACTGGCCCAAATGCAGAGGATGTAAAGCTGAGAAAGCCGAAACTCCAAAAGCTAAAAACTCCTGTAGAAATCCAGATTCAACAGAATTTGGACCGTGGTGTTTCACGGATCTTAAAGGCACAAAAGAAATGTGCGATGTTCCATTCTGCGAAGGCCAAGACGAAAATATCAGTAAGTTTCGAGTCATTGTAGATAGGAACCAAGGACGTCTATCTCGATAGGCGTCCTTGTAGGAACTATGCAGTGACCAAAAATGCGACCAACGAATGATCATAAAAACGTCAGTGACTCAAATTCACAAGTTGTAAAATTTTTAACATTTTTGTAACTAATACGAGCCATCTGATTCTCTATGGCGATAGTAGTCTCCGACATATAACATCTTGGTTCATTATGATTCATTTCACAAACAGAGACAGTTTCTGATACGTACTCCGGCAAGGAATACACCTTCGTGCTTCCTCCTACCTTGATGACATACCGCACAGCCAGCGCCTTTTGTAACTCTCGGGGAGGAGCCAAGCTGTTGATGATTGACAACGAAGAGGAGGATATGTGGGTTGCCAAGGTGATGGTGAAGTTGGGTCAGCGTAGATCTCTAATTGGGATAACTGATGACCTCTGGGAGTGGGACTGGAGAACACAGGATGGCGAGGATTTTTACAGGTGGAAGGAATACCATAGTAAGATTTTCCTTTTAAAACTGTGGTGGGGATATTGAGAGGGGGGTCTATCGTAATACTAGTAATGTCTAACGTAAATGCTCGTAAAGATAGGACAGGCCTATATTGTCTATGGCACCTTTTTGGGAAAGGTGTGTCTTAGTCGTGATTAAACCATAGGCAATGAGCCATCTTTGGATCTACATTGAAATCGTGATTTCCGTGGCAATTTTATTGGAACAAAATTCACGCTTTGCAGATTGGGGATACAGAGAACCAACTACCATCGGAGGCGAAACACAAGACTGTAATTATGTAGATGTCGATTTTCTGATCGACCCAGCAATGCTCCCCTCGGCTAAAAAACCTTATTGGGCTGACACTACTTGTAATACGCCACTCAATGTCATATGTGAAAAGCCTTTAGCTGGTAAAGGTAGGCCAATCTTAGTTGAATTGTGTAACTCTTCCAAACAAATTAATTTCAAAGCAGACGTTCTGTATCATTTCGGTTAGTATCGGTCAAGATATTTACATTTATAGTGTATCTAATGCAGTTAATAATTTGAGAATTAGTAAAACGAAAACCATGGATCCAGAGTCGTTCAATGCTGAACTAGCCTACAACGTTTTTTTGTTTGTCTGAATTGTTCAAAAATAAGCTGAAACAAATACATGTACTTATATCCATGAAAACAAATATTGTCCGAAGAAATCATTAAAATTTTGCTAATAGCAGCTGATAGGCAAATAATCATTTGCTCAACGAAAAATTATGTTAAAGGCCCACGTATTTTCAACGTTTTTGAGCAAAATAAAGACTTACAATTAAATTTCATAGTATGTCGAATGTATTGATAAGAACCTTATCTTTCATTTGGCACCAACAACAGCTCAAACGGACCACATCAAAGCTTACAATAAATTATCAAAAAATATTTTCGATCTGTCAAGCTTTGTATACCAAGTTTTTATCAATGCCATTGAAAGATGGCAGAGTTGTTTGTATTACATGATACATTCATTTTTATAGAAGTGTCGTCATCTTTTAAATCAACAGTAATTTAAAACACGCACTTTATTTAACATGTGCATGCATGTCTAAAGATCTCTGAACTTCAAATGCTTTTTTCTATGCGATTATTTTTTTGGTTCAATATTAAAGCAAATCAAACTTTGTGTCATATTTGAGCGAGTGTGTGAATAACATTGAATGATTATTTCTTTATTTTTTTCTTCTAAATTAAGTATAGTGAGCCTTTAAATGATTTTTTTATTCTTATTTCAGGTAAAGAAACAAAGATCTAGAATTATGATGCATCCTCACTACTATCATCACAGATCGCACCGCAATGGTCGAACATATTTATCTATCAAAAGATGATCGTAGGAAGATGAATGTTCTTTTTGATGAACCCTGGGTGTCAGTATTCTGTACCTGTAATGAATATGAATAAAGTAAATATTAAGCTACATCTTGTGATTTTTTGTTAAAATCCTTTTGTTTAGTGGTTGAGGCAGCCGGGATGTAATAATCATTTGTTACTTCGGATATGTATACAATACAAATCACATTTTGGCTACAGTCTGCTAGCCATATGAGGATATGAGGCATTACGACCCTTGTCGTGCAGTACACCCGACGCTGCTACGTAAAGAACCTTCTCGATCAAGATCAGGCCTATCTATTTATTCGATTTCCGCATTTCCGCTGATATAATGTAAGTTAAGTCTAAAAATGGTCATCTACGATGAATTTACATTTTCCAGAACATGAATAACGGTCAACTCCCTTTCCCCTTTGGACCTGTTTATGTTTGGAAAAAACATCTTTGTCACACATTTCCGAAATAATTGTGATTGAGTGATATAAAGAGGTTATTTTATGGGAGGTTTTTGATACAGGGTATATCCGAGGGAATACAATATATCTACCCGACGGACCGTATGGACCGAGGTAAATATATTGTGTTTACCGAGGGATATACCCTGTATCAAAAATCGAGCATTCAATAATTAGTAGATGATGAGAATTGAATGTGCATTGAATGTTTAATATATCTGATATACTCTAGGAGCTAGCAAACATTTATAAGACATCTCGAGTACAAAAGGTTTGAGGCCTGTAATTAGTAGATGTGGGTCTAACATCCCCAAAAAGGCAACTCTTAAGTGACAAATTTGGGGCTACCACCAGGGGGCACTTTTTGAAATGCCCCTAAATTTAGTTTTAAATGACATCTCGAGTACATCAATGAAACCTTTGTCAAAATGTTCCTTTGGACCCTCTGAAACATTATGAGTCCTTAAGAGTAGCCAATTTTGGGGTTTAACCCGTTTCTGAGTGAGTTAAAGGTCACCATGGATACAGCCACACACAATCAAAATGCTGTATCAGAGCCTTGTGAACTTGAATATATTTGATATTCTGATATATCCATAAAATATGTAAGAAGACCTTTCTAACTGTCATAATACATCAATATATGACAACTGAATCCAGAGATATTGAACTTTTTTCGTCAATTTTGATCCGAAAATGTACACTTTTAAGCCTCGTCTAATTTGTGTTTGTAGCTTCAGGCAAAATGTTACAGCTTTAACAGCTCAAAATAGTATTCCAAGAACATTTCCAAGGTTTGAATGATATTGTAATACAATTTTTTTTAATGATGAATCACTATTTTGTAATTTAAATATGACGTTATAGTGCCCTACACCTTCAAAAAGAGGAAAGCAGGCATAGTCAATGTAATCATTTTGCAGCATTAAGTTGGAAACATGTAGCACTAGAAAGTGAATCAATGCATCAAAAGCATCTTCATATGTTGTTTGACATTGTAATTTATCTTTTACTAGAATATAGGACTCATACACATTTTATATAACATATATAAGTTTTCAATATAGTACATGTATTATAATAGAATACTAATGTATCATGCAATCCAGACAAAGGCATATTATAAACATTATATAACTATTAATATTTTTCATCTGAGTAACAAGATTTAAATTGTGCCCCATGTCATTTGAGGCATATACCTTAAATGTTGAAATCTGTATGTCAATCAATGTGAACTTAACCAGTGAAGGCCGTTTCCAGTATGCTTGTGCGATCTTAATAAAAGCATTCTGCTCTTCTCTTCTCTGATGCTTTATGGCTTAATGAGGACCGGGAATGAGAACTGCAATATGGTCAGATGATGAGAACTAAGGGGCCCTCTTCAACAATTCGTTCTGTCAAATATTTTACAAATATTTAATTACTCAGATGTGAGTAGGTAGTTACCAGTTTCGCCACTAGGTGGGTAATTTGGGGAAAATAACATAGCAGGGTATTACAAAGTTCTCGTAAACTTGAATATTCATTAGTTTTAGTGGTTCACATACAAATGTCCAGTAAAATAAAATATTATCTGCCCAACACAAGAAAAGATATTTTTGAATTTTAAATCTTTAATGTCGTAAGTCAAGATAATTTCTACTCGCATTTAGTCTATTCTATTGAGGTGAATACCTGTCTTTATTCCACCCTTAGTAGTGTTATAGGTAAATAACACGCAGGAATATAATTGATATGTGACGTGAGCGGATGATATATATATATCACCCGCTCATCTGATCTACAACATCAAAAATTCAGGGGGTAGATACTGAGCCAGGGGACTTGGCTTTTATTCCTCATAATCTCAGTTTAAAGGTGCAACAATTAGTGCAATTCAACAGTGTCAAAATATATTTAAGTTTGGATGTTTCATCAAGACTTAGTTATATTTTTATTATCTACGAAGAAACCCACCGGATGAACACTATTTGAAGTCTATTTCAGCTGATATTCCTCTTGAAACATAGTAGATCTTAAAAATCTTTAAGTGGGACTCCCTTTATAGAATCATTGAATTGAATTTACACTTCTTAATGCTGAAATTGATATATTAGTTTATCCATACATTTTACAAGAAAATAGGTATGCCAAAGAAGGTGTTAAGCCAAATGTTGACCTGATAGATCAAAAAAGTAACAAATTTCGAATTTTCTCTCTACAGGCCTTGTTGCCCCTTTAAATGCTCGATTTTTGATACAGGGTATATCCCTAGGTGAATACATTATATCAGCCCTCGGTCCCTCCTGTCCCTTGGGTAGATATATTGTATTTCCCTCAGATATACCCTGTATCAAAAACCTTCGATTCCATTAAATAACCTTTATATCTTTCACAAGTGATATTCCACGAAGCCCGAAGGGCTAATGGAATATCATCTTGTGAAAGTGCCACATTTATTCACCTCAATAGAATTAAATATTTGTTTTACTATTCACTGTTATATTCCTCACTCACATTCCTTGAATAATAACTGATGTGTAATCAATCACAACAATGTACTCCTGGGCTATATTAAATTGAAATAATACGGGACCAAGTCTTGACTGGTGAATATCATTTGATATTTGATGCTAGTCTTGGACTTCCGTTGATTTCGCCTATTATTTCCAGTACATGGACCAATCAGAGAGTGAAGAATCTGACAGTGAAATAATAAAATACAAATACTTAATTCTATTGAGGTGAATATTTGTACCTCTTTCACAAATAATATTCCAGAAATCCCGAAGGGCTAGTGGAATATCATCTTGTAAAAGTGTCACAGGTATTCACTGAAAATAGAATTACATATTTTTTTATTATTCACTAATATATTCCTCACTTACATTAATGGAACAACAAACTATTGATGTCTGATTAACCATAACAATGTACTCCCAGGACTACATTAACTTGAACAAAGTCGATCGTGACTAGTGAATATCATTTGATATTTAACGGATGTCACATGACTTCCTTTGAATATCGCTTGTTATTTTTAGTCACGTGTGGGACATGGACTTATCAGAGAGTGAGGAATATGTTCTTTTTTCGTCATGTATATTACATAGACAAATCAGAGTGAGGATGTCTAAAAAAAACATTGTTATAATTATAATATTTAGACTGCATGATTACATAATATTTCACTGATTTCATTTTAAGAGAGGCACTATATCAACAACTTACATATAAAATGTGAAGAATCCAATATTCTAGTAAGACATAAATTACAATGTAAAGCAACATATGAAGATGCTTTGGATGCATTGATTCACTTTCTAGTGCTACATGTTTCCAACTTAATGCTGCAAAATGATTACATTGACTATGCCTGCTTTCCTCTATTTTGAAGGGGTAGGGCACTACAACGTCATATTTAAATTACAAAATAGTGATTCAGCATTATATAGTTGTATTACAATATTACACAAACCTTGGAAATGTTCTAGGAATACTATTTTGAGCTGTTTAAGCTGTCACCTTTTGCCTGAAGCTACGAATGCAAATTAGACGAGACTTAAAAATGTTCATTTTCAGATCAAAATTGACGAAAAAAGTTCAATATCTCTGGATTCAGTTGTCATATATTGATGTATTATAACTTGTTAGAAAGGTCTTCTTACATATTTTATGGATATATCAGAATATCAAATTTATTCAACTTCACATGGCTCTGATACAGCATTTTGATTGTGTGTGGCTGTATCCATGGTGACCTTTAACTCACTCAGAAATGGGTTAAACCCCAAAATTGGCAACTCTTAAGGACTCCTAATGTTTCAGAGGGTCCAAAGGAACATTTTGACAAAGGTTTCATTGATGTACTCGAGATGTCATTTAAAACTAAATTTAGGGGCATTTCAAAAAGCGCCCCCTGGTGGTAGCCCCAAATTTGTCACTTAAGAGTTGCCTTTTTGGGGATGCTAGACCCACATCTACTAATTACAGGCCTCAAACCTTTTGTACTCGAGATGTCTTATAAATGTTTGCTAGCTCCTAGAGTAATATGATTATGTGAGAAATATATCTCCCGCTCACCTCAGCGGGAGATATATATATCACTCGCTCACCTCAGATATCGATTATATTCCTGCATGTTATTTACCTATAACACTACTAAGTATGGGATAAATCCGAATACAAACGTGAACATAATTTTAATACGCTATCCAATGGGACGTGATCGGGTAACCGAACGTTTGGAGTTTGAATATGATTGTCAATTTATAATGTTTTTACGACCGCATCGATTGTAATTTCTACACTAACGTCCCTATTGTTGGATCTTCATTCGTACCGCTATCCAAAGCTTTGCTCCTCAGATAAACACTTCTAGTTATTATACTATCCAAAGATTCGTTCCAAGGTATAACGTACATGACGTTGTCAGGGTTTTGTTCTAGAATAGCTTTACCCTGGTGTCTTCTCATACACAAACAGTAGGAAAAGCAGGATGCAATAACGATGACACAAATGCATATTGCAACTGTAATTGCTACGACAATCCCCAATAATTCAAGGAAATTATCATTTCTTTCGGAAATGCCAAAATCAGATTCGATTGACACTCCAGTTGCGTTTTCTTCAACATCAATCGCGTCCATAGCTGTATCAGTTGGGATTGTATCTACTTGCTTGGTTGTTCGTACAGTGTTAAAATAACTTTCCGAAACGTTTACATTCTCTGTGATTACATCCTCTGCTGATTCTGTAATCACGGGTATGAATATCCCAGTAGTTAACTCCATCTCACCACTAGACTCTTCGAAACCATGTTCCTCCACACCTTTTGTAGATACTCTAATCTGCGATGTTGTCGAGTCATCTCTATAAGGTGAAACTGGTGAATGATCATTGAAAGTGACGTGAGTAGCCGGGACATCAGTATTGCCTACACGGTCGCGATTTACAGTTGTTTTCATTGCTGTTACCGCTGTTGTTGATATCGCAGATGTTGTCATATCAGATGGCTTTACTTTTGGTCGTGTATTAGCAGTCTCCTTTGTGATCTTTTCTTCAATGGTATGATAAGTTGTATACAGTACATGGATCGGTTTGCTACCTATTGTTGTCGTTCTTGTCATGGAGTACGTTTGTATTGTAGGTGTCGTCCCATCAAACGCATTCGTATTTGGTTGTGTGATATCAGACTCTGTTTGTAGTTCTTCTTCAATGAAACTCGTACTTTGTTCTATAGTAGTGGTCTCGTTAAATCTTTTCATTCTCATCCAACTCTTTGTGGTCAATTCATTATCACCAGTTTGTCTGTTTGGGCTGTACCGTCTAAGTGTCGTCCCATTCCAACCAGAAGGACCAGTACAGTACATAGGCCCGATGAATAAAGTGGAACGTTTTTGTATGATCTCCTTCAATTCCATGATACGTTCATCACACTGAAAAGTGTTGTAAATTATGTTGATCAAAGAAATATTGGTGAATCGTTGAATGACTTTTGCTGGGAACGTTGTAAATCGGTTGTGACTGAAATCTAACTTTGTTATCCCCTTTGGCAAGTAGTTTACTTCTCTTGGCAGTTGAGATAGCTTACAGTGAGAACAATTGAATAATCCAAGTTTTAGCGGGATATGAAAGTCCAGTATGGCTAATGGATTGTGACTGAGGTTTAACTCAATCAGTTTTCTCAATTTTTTGAAAGTCGTCTTCCCAATTTTCGATATCTCATTATTACTGACTTCAAGTCTAGTAACGTATTTTGAATTAGCAAAAATATTAGACTTGAGTTCAACAAGATGATTATAACTCAGATCCAAAATCGTTAACTTCCTCAATGGATAAAAAGTCCGATCCTCGATTATTTTGATTTCATTATGTGAAAGTATGACCATTTCCAAGGACTTTACGGGCCGGAAAGTGTTATATGCTATAGATTCGATATTATTGAATGATAAGTCCAACAGTAGAAGACCAGATGGCATATTGGGGGATTTGGTCAACTCCGTGATGTTGTTGTAGTTGATCTCGAGGCTGGAAAGATTCATCGGCAGATTGTTCGGAACTGCAGTCAAACTATTGTTCAAACATGTTGCTACGGTAGATGTGCACTGACATGTTGCATTGCACGGGTTCCCGTACGTGACATCATATAGATGCAGCAATAAAATCACAGTTATCCACATCATCAGTGATCTTGCAACATTCAATAGCACTTATTGATTCATAAGTACGTTTTTCACAATTTTGAATAATTTTCTTCTATATACTCTTATATATAGCTTTCACATTTCCACTTATGAATCGTACATTGAGCGCGTATAGATAAGTTCATTTCTTGGAAAGTAACAAGGGAAATTATCTCTCAATGTGGGTGTTACTCCATCTGTGATAATCCACACTAATAGATTTCTTCCTGGTGCAGGCACTTTCAAATAAGAACAACAAACCACTGATACTGTATAGTGCTCCCATCCAATAATATTCTCAATGCAGGAAGAGAATACCATTTGCAAGAGATCCATTTCATCTACACTCTTTAATAGACTAGATCCAAGTAAAAAAATCTTAATTTACGTCATTAAAAATTCAAAATTCAGTCAAAGTGAATCTAGAATGTTGTTTTAAAAAGTGTCTATTAGTTTAGAGAATATAATTTTTTTTGAAACTGTGACTTCTATGACTTCATGATGTAAAATCACAAAAAGTGAAATTAAATATCTTTTCTTATATTGGACAGATATTATTTTCTTTTACTGGACATATTCTCATTTATATGACAATAACGTAAGGGTAACATGAAAGTTGAACCGCTAAAACTGATGAATATTCAAGTTTCAGGGAACTTTCTAATACCTTGCCATTTATCTGATCCGAATTAGTCACGCTACTCGCATCCAGGTAATTACAATATATTCTTTGATCCATCTTTTCAGAATATGAAGAAACCCACGATCGGTTTGCATTAGGTGAAAGATACATTTAGGTGAGATACATTTGAGATCATTGAGATCCCAACACTATTGAAAACTGTGAAACCATTTATAATAGTCAGAGGGTAGTGTAGTTAACTGATGGGGATTCAGGGTATGCCAAGAGGATTGAGACTTTCTGAGGGAATTATTCAATTAAGCTATATTAATTGCCTGGAGTTAGTTTTGATAAGAATATGTTGAGAGCTGAGATTCTGGAGGAGATATAGCCTATCTGCATCCTTCAGGAGTTTATTTGCCAACAGATATGGAAACACTTAGGCGTTTTGAACCACTGTGTTTTGATAGTGTATTCTATAGCCTACAGCACAGCATTGTGTATGAAATGGGAGTCTGTAAATCACACATCACTCCAATGTCCATGACCTTTCAGAACAAGGCATTAACATGACAAAATGTCACCACCTAGTTGCTCACAATGTTATGAGTTAGATTAAGTCAGATTTGAATTTCTGAGAACTTGTAGATTTTAAAAAAATAAATTGGTCAATTTGAAGCAAGATGAAAATAGACCTTTTTGACCTTGAGAATGTCATTGAAGGTTAAATCTTTTTTGACCACGAGAAGGTCATTGAAGGTCAAATCTAAAGTCAGATTCAAACTTCTGATAACTTGTAGATGATTTTGAAAAAATTGGTCAATTTGAAGCAAGTTGAAAAAAGACCTTTTTGACCTTTATTTGACCTTGAAAAAGACCTTTTTGACCTTGAGAATGTCATTGAATGTCAAATCTATAATCAGATTTGAACTGTTGAGAAAATGTAGATAATTTTGAAAAAAAATTGGTCAATTTGAAGCAAGTTGAAAAAAGACCTTTTTTTAACTTGATCAGGTCATTAAAGGTCAAACCTCAAATCTTAAGCCAGATTTGAACTTCGGATAACTTGAAGATGATTTTGAAAAAAATTTGGTTAATTTGAAGCAAGACCTTTTTGACCTTTATTTGACCTTGAAAAGGTCGTTGAAGGTTAAATCTTAAATATAAAGTCAGATTTGAACTTCTGAAAACATGTAGATGATTTTGAAAAAAAATTGAAGTCAGTCTAAACAGTATCTGTTAAGTTATTGGAAGTTGTAAGAATTTTATCCAGATGCTGATTGCCAACTGCCAACCACCAACCGCTGTCAAGAAAAAACGGAGACCATAACAATATGTCACCACTTTTTGGTGGTGGTGACATAAAAATTGAAAATAATTTGTCACATGTACAAGGTACAAGAGTAGTTATTTGCAGTATAGTCCAATGGTCTTATATATGGTGATCCCTAAAACTCATGAGGAAGATACAAATAACACATTTACCTAGGTTTTGCCTCTCACACCTCATGTTCAAAATGCCCTTATACTTTATCTTGATATTACCCCCATTTGTCATGTTCACAGAACAATAGCTGACTGTTTAAGCAACCCTTATATGACATCCATCTACCTCTTAAGCTGAACAATTTAACAAACATAACAAGGTCCACCCAAGGGTAGATAGAGCAGTCAATTAGTTCTATCAACATCGCAAATTTAGATCTTTACAGAATAACAGAGAAAGCACTTAGAACTTGGCCCTATGCGAACCTCAAAAATGAGAAGTTTCAGTGACCTTCTTTTTGTACTTTTAAAAAGTAGGTCACTGAATTTTCTCATTTTCATTTTTGTAAAAAAATGTTCTCCACATTCTTTTCTAGGTACAAAAAAAACCCTGAAAGATGTAGACAATGTGGGGAAGGAGGAGTTCATATTTGAAAAGTAAAACGGGATTGCATCAAAATGGACAAAAGTACAAAGTTACCTTAAACAACAGCTTATAGGCGGTGGGTAAACTAGGAAAATTAATAATAATGCCTGGGATATCCTCTTGAAATTGCATTTATAGAAATGTCATTTATGAGGAAATACCATTATCTATATTCATGTATTTTGCTAGAGGATGTATGAAATCCCCTCATCCTTATGTACAAACAAGAGCTTTAAGTTACATAAGAAACATTCTGAGAACTTGTTGATGATTTTGAAAAAATTGGTCAATTTAAGGCAAGTTGGAAAATACCTTTTTGACCCTTTTTACCATGAGAAGGTCATTGAAGGTCAAGTCTTAAGTCTAAAATCAGATTTGAATTTATGAGAACTTGTAGATGATTTTGAAAAAAATTGGCCAAGTTGAAGAAAGACCTTTTTTTGACCTTGAGAAGGTCATTGAAGGTCGAATCTCAAATCTAAAGTCTTTGAACTTCTGAGTACTTCTAGATGAATTTGAAAAAAATATTTAGTCAAATTTGAAGCAAGTTGAAAAAGACCTTTTTGACCTATTTTGACCTACAGAAGATCATTGATGGTCAAATCTCAAGCCAGATTTAAACTTCTGAGAACTTGTAGATGATTTTGAAAAAAATTGAAGTCAGTCAGTATTTGACATGTTTGAGAAGTTATTGGAAGTTGTAATAATTTGTTACAGGCGCCGATCGTCCAGGTCAATAGTACGAAATATTTGTATAATATACACTATGTGTGAAAAGAATTTAAGCATTGACTCATGAATTGTACATAATTTCTTGTCTACCCGCTGTTGAATTTGGATGCCTGGCCCAAAGTCTCAAACAAGGCAATCGTGCTTAAAATAATACACAATTCATTGAGCCCTGGGGTCAAATCGTTTAGTCAAATGTACGTAATATCAAATTATATAAAAAACAAAAAGTGAATTCTGTATGCTTAACACAATTATATTTTCTTCTCTATAAATATATTATATAAAATGGTTTACTCTATCTATTATCTAATAAGTCAGTCTCCTTTCAGAGAGATGTTCTATATAATATTTATATAATATAAATATCTTATAATATCAATAAAACATGTATAGACTATATTGTAAATTACAACTATGGTTATTTCAACTAGGTACTGATACAATAGAGTATGTAAGTATATAATAAAGAGCCATTCAGCACTAAAATTCTACAAGATAGCACCAGAAGCGCTATAGTAACAGGAGCGCTTGTAAAAGCTTAACCTGATATCAGCCAAAGGAATTCAGAATTATCAACTCAACAAATATAACATTTTATATTAAATTGGAGTTCCTTTAAGTTTAATATTTGTGATCATGCTTAAAATATCAGACAAATTATTAATTCAGATTTGTAAACTGAGCTGAATTCAGAGGGTTCTATGACCAAGCTCATCATAATTACATTACAGTGACTAAACTACCTTTATTTGAATATTCAAATCACTATATGCAAATAAACTTTCAAATAAATTTACGAAATAGTTCATTTTCATTTTTAGACTACATACACATGTATATGGTAGCATAGAAAGCATTTTGCATGTCTCAACTAATTAGTGACTTTCTAAGACAATTCTGGAACAATTTTGGCGAAAAATGGTTTCCTTTCGCAAAAGTCATGTCCTGTTACTTTTGGAACACCCTGTACTGCAAGGAAACCAGTAACAGGTTGAAGCATCAAAATATATTCTAAGAATCATATAATAATTTGCCTGCATCTCACTGGCTCACTTTGTTCAAATTAGACATTATTATTATATTTCAAATTAGTCTATCAGTCAATATTTTTAATAAGATGATCTACATATAGAGCACACAATGAAAAAAGAACATTACAAATATTCACGTTGCAAAAGCAATACAATGTAGATGTTTCTATACAGTACAGGTACAGTACATAACAATATCAAATGTGGTAAATTGAGTACCTAAATCCAGAGAATCAGAATACATGATTCAAATAAATATAAATATGTTGATGATTGTTATTTTCATTCCAAAATATATAAAATAGTTATCAGGGATTAACATGACAAAATTGCACCACTTGGAAATAGTTGTAAATGTGGAACATTGTTCCTCATGGTGTCACAAAAACCCTGTCTGTCTTGCTTACTACAGAGTGGGACAAAAAACAAATAGACAATGAAATGATAAAAATGAAATAGACAATCTTAAATGAAATAAATTATATACATCACATATGAATTGATTTCCAACATTTTGGTAAATAACACTTTTGCATTATCTGGATTGGGAAGCTGTAACAAATCAATATGCTGGAAGTCCTCTTTAAACCACATCTATGATGAATGTTGTGTTGTAATAATTTCTTCTTGTAAGATTTACATTTAATACAGTTTCTTTCTTTTTTGACCCACTCTGTAGATATCTCTACAATTCAAATAAATTATTGCTGTGATATACAAGTTGAAAAATGAAAATAATATAACACCTGAAATTTGTGGTTGAAATGGTGTTCATTCACTGGACATTACTCCATCAGTTATAACATAAACAGAAGATACCAGCTACATTTAAAGCCTCAGTCACAATTGCTTACTATGGCAGCCTAAAAATGGATTATTATTGTGCCTCCACTTTTCAATTTTCAAATTCCCCTTATAGGTAGCGATCTGAGGCACTTCGATCAGGGTGTTGTCGGGACAATTTCTCTTGTGACTTAGGTTATGTATTTAGGTCTATCTCAACAGATTTTACTGGTCTTATGCTTATGTAACATGGGGTCTATTGGGAATCAACCCGAACTAGAAGTCACATTTTCAAAAAAAATTAAATTTTCAAAGTTGATAAACAATTTTCGAAACCATATTTCTAGATGTACTTTTACATGTAGATTTCAAATATGACATCACTTTGAATTTCGAATATTTAATGACATAAATCAAGATTATTTTTACTCGCATCTAGTCTATTGCCAAGCTCCAACCACAAACCGCCGACCACTGACCACTGTCAAAAAAGAACAGAGACCATAACAATATGTCACCACTTTTTATTGGTGACATAAAAATGATAACATGATATGAACCATCCTCCTAAGCAGGTGTCCAGAATCCGTACCTCCTTCTTCCCCCTACCTCCTTCTTCCCCCTACGATAACCAATTTGGACGCGCCTGATTTAACTGAATCACATGTTCTAATTATGCACAATGACGTATACATGATTTCTGTCGCAGTGTTGCGACAGCCAATCAGATTGCGAGTTCTTAATCGGGGAAATGGTAACTGCTTATTGCTGGGGGTAAAAAGAAAGAATATGTTTTGGATTTTGAAGCCCTGTGATCGGAGGATGGATATGAACATGAAGTATTTATTTTGAGATGAACATGCCAATATGGCCACGCCCTTCTAAAAAGGGAAAGAGGGGAGAGGTAAATTGACCCATATAGGCAAAAAACATGTTAGAGTTTGAGTTTTTTTTTTATGGTAATGTGTTGGGGACATGTTAGTGCTACTTTTAGGAAAGTTCCATTAATATTAAACTGAGATTGATTGAGAAATTAAAAAATCAATTCCAATCAATGTCTCCCAACCCCCCTAAATTCTATGATTTTAGGGTGAAAAAATGTTGCTGTTTTTAAATAAAGTTAAAATTCTTCAATTTTTTTACATATGCATTTCAAGTATGATTACTCTTAACAGAAACACCAAAAGAAAAAAAGCATTGGTTGTTTAGTTTTTGTTTTATAGCTAAATAATAATGTACCCCCAAGAAATCTGAATTTTAGGGTCGAAAATGCAATTTTAACATCTTTCGCACCATTTGCGGCGCATAAGACCAGTAAAATCTGTTGAGATAGACCTAAATACATAACCTAAGTCACAAGAGATATTGTCCCGACAACACCCTGATCGAAGTGCCTCAGATCGCTACCTATTAGGTTTTATGTTTTACTTATACTTTTCTTAATACTGGAAGAAGTAAGGTCTACTAATATCAATATTGTCTGATATGATATGTCTAATATCAATGGTAATCGGTCAATGATGTGAAGTTTAAGATAAATTGTGAACACTGTAAAAGTATGTCTATTCTCAATGCCACAGCAAATAGTTGAACATTTTTGTGTCAAGTAAGATGATGTCAGGTGCAATGCACTTGATGTCAGGTCAATAATGCTGTTGTATGACATCTAATAACTGATAGCAGCTAGGTAAACTAATCAGTCTAGCTTTAAATACTCACTCATAAATACCCTTAATCTAATTGGATATAATATAACTACCGTAGATTTCTTAACTTCTGGATAAACAAAGTATGATCTTAGTAAAGTAAAATGCAATTCAAAATGGATTCCACGCTATTTTTCTGACCAGAGATGATCGCGGACAGAGTTGAATGCTGACAGCTGCAGGAAAATATAATGATGAATTTGATTTTGATTTTGACCCCTCCCAACATTTCTCAAATTCTGATATTCCATAGAAATCTAGAATTTTCACATTTGTTATATTCCTAATTTGGTGGGTGAGTACATTGGTTCATAAAGTTACAACCGAATATAACAAGCAGACATTTTTATGAAACCAATCCATCATGTAATGCTGTTGTACTTTACTGACAGAAAATCCATATTTTACTAGAACTGAAAAACTGCTTTCAATCTCTACTCTTACAACTAATTATATATTTTCCACAGCTGTTCATCCAGAAAAGAGAGCCCAATGATTAAAAGAGGTAAATGAAGTCCTATGTGGTGTGTCATGACTAAACGAACTGTGGTTCTCTGTCATCATCAGCATAAGGAACCTCTTGTTCATCACCACCTTCAAATGCTGGAGTCTTGGATAAAGCAGCTACTGAAATAATCAATTTCAAAAATTTAAAAATGCAGATGACCAGAGGATTGTTATTGATTTTGACCAGCTGATATGAATTCATTAAAACACTACTTGACATAGCGTGAATTGCAAAATAATTGATTTGGATACAAGAGGTGTCTGAAATCAAAACCGCTGAAATAAAAATCATGTTTCAGAAAACTGGTTCACATTGTACCACGGAATTGAGGAGCAAAAGCCATGTATCAACTTCTGTAGAATTATCTGAAGATCATATTAAACATATTATCTAAATTTTCTTTTGATATGATGTGAAAATGCATGGCCTACCTGTTGAAGGATTGGTGTCTTCAGGTTGACTAGTTTTACTTGGGGCAACTAAAAGAAAAGTTAAAACAAAAATATTAGTCAAATTGTCAAAGACAGTGTGGCATGCTTCTGAATATTTATATAATACAGGGTGTCATGAAAGTATGGCCCACATGTAACTTTCCACCATTTGTGAGTTGAACCATGATACTTGGCAAATCAATGTAACTTTGGATAAGCTTTAAAATGATATTCGACACATACTATGGAGACATTGGTAAATGTCTGCCTAGGGGGTGGACATACTTTCGGGACACCCTGTATATCAACAAAATCACTCTACAGCATTTCAAGTTACTGCCAAAAATTTAAAATAGCAGTTATGGCCACCAGTTTTTAAGATGGCTGCCATATTTTTGTGAAAAAGTGATTCGGATTCAATTAACATCATAAAAAGTATTATGCAAATAAACATATAAATATTACAATTTTATATTATAAAATTATTATATATTATAAAAATACTGTAATATTGACACTAGAATAGTAAGCATTTTGAAACATGAGGATATATGGCTGGAGGAACCATCTATATACTTGGAATATTAATCATGTTCATGTAGATATCAAATTTAATTACCTGAGCTGACAGATGATGATGCTGCGTCTGTAAGAGGGGCTATATGAACTGGATCTGCCATGCCTGGTAGGCTCATTGCACCAGATATTTCCTCCTGCAAATTAAAGTACATGTTAGCGTCATGTTGTCTTGATATTTCCACATGCAAGTACTTATGAGGGGCTATAGTAGACAGAAATGTAATTTTTAGTCCTGCAGAATAACACCATATTTTTATTAATGGTCCCGAAGGAGTATGTATGCTTTGTCTTTGCATTTTGTTAATTAAAAATCAGAACTGGGCCAGTTTGGCACAAATGGGCCGAATATAATTTTGTAAGAAAATATTAGCTAGACGTCATCTCCATGTCATAGTCAGTGAACTGAACTAACATATTGTTTCTTCTGTATCATTATTTGTCACAAATCTAAATGGTTTCAAGCCATGACTCTATTCATTGGAACAACAGAGCAAAACACTTACATCAGGGTTCATCTGAGAAGGCTGTACAAGGAGATCATTTGTTGAAGAGGCCTCTTTCTGAGATGAAGCCTCTTTCTGATCTGTAGTGTCATCAGCATTTTCCTCATTCAGGCTCTCTAATGTTGGCTCTGTTGTGAGATAAGAACATAATTCATTGCAATAATAAACCAAAATTGTAAAGGTCCAATTTTAAATCTTTAAATTGGCCCAATCAAGTTCATGCTTAAAGACCAAGGTCTCAAATAAATGGAATTCACATATGAAGGTCCAAAACTAAAAATGTAACGCTAGCTAAGTTCAAGGTGACATTTAGAGGTCAGAAACATTTAAGAATCTTTGATTGTTTCATTGTTCCAAGGTTCCTTTGAAGTCTATGGTGGCAAATGTAATGCATCTTGAGATTTGCCACCACTCAATGGCTAATAAGTTACACAGACAAAAATATATGAAACAGTCCCAATTTTAGTCAAGCAATCAATTGACCAGGAACTAAATGTTAAGAGTTCTGAGCTCATATATAATATTACATACTATCATTTATTCTTAAATAACTAGAATACCCTGGAGCAGTAAATTCCACCAAAATACAACATCCAAGTATTTTATAAGATTATTCATCAGTAGCCGTCTTGGAAATTCCTTCTTGAAAAAGGGTCCATTTCGATGACAGGTCATCTCAAACCACATAACTATCCTGTTGGCATGCTCACAATAAAATCTTTCACATAATAACAGTTTAAGGAAGTGATATAGGGAGCTGGGAAACTTACCTTTAGGCTGCATTGACTTAGGGTAAACATTCTCAGCAGGTCCAAACAGCATCTCTGCATTGATAATGAGGAGCTCAACAGACCTTGTCTGAAAAGGTGTATCCTTCAGGGAGTTCAGAGAGGCATTTCCTTCGCTGAAATATGAGAAAATATATACAATGACAGCATTTAGATATCCAGGATGGATCGTTAATGAACATATTAGAATAAATGAAAAGCCTGATTGATACAAGCTTAGCAGTTATCTCTAAAAACATAATTTCTTCAAAATAATTTAGCTTGGTGAATGGTAGTTCCCAGTAAAAATATATAAATCTTTTCATAATATGCTTAACTTTTAAAATAAAGCAATATTTTGTGCTTCTTTCCTACACTGTTATTGCCTATTGGCAAGGTTATGAAATTTGAGAGTAGATGACATCACTACCTGAGTGAAATCTTAAAAGATGGTAGAGTATATATATATTATATGATTATAGCTATCATATCAGGATAGAAATGGTCTGGCCAGGAATGTCCCTTTAAGGATCAGAATAACAGAAACTGTAAAGGGCTGTAAACCTTGTTAATAATTGAAACGAAGTAAAAAATATTAGAATATTATTTATAGAGGTGCAAGGAAATGAAGATATGTACATCCTTGAAAATGAGATGCTTAATTAAGTAAAAACTAGAAAACAGCAACGCCAAAGCAAAGCAAATCCCATCGAACAGCCATGGCTGGCATTTTTACAAACAAAGTACATGTATATAGAAAAATCGTAAAATAACATTTTCAAAATGGTTGCTCACTATAGCCAAATTGTCATCAGAAAGTGTAATATGCTTCTTAGTAGGCACATATAATATTTCAACAAAATCACACACATGTTCATGTAAATGGTGGCAATTTTTCAAAATGGCCGCCTACTTGCCAAAATGCATAAGACAGTGTGCAATGGTTATTCACATCACAAAATCACAATTTCATTCACAAAATCGCTCTATTACTTTTGAGTTATAGTACAAAATGTAAAATAACACATGTAAAAATAGTGGCAATTTTTCAAAATGATGGCACCTACAAAGGTGTCATTAGACAGTGTGCCATGCTTATAGTATTCACATACCAAATATGAACAAAATTGCTCCATCGCTGAAAATCGGCTTTCAAAAGAACTTCTACCACAATAGGGTGTATGTGTACTAAATATGAACAAAATCGTGCCAAAGGTATTTGAGTTATTGCCCGGACGGACGTACGGACAGACGGATGCATGGAGGCATTCCCTATTAGACTATTAGTCACATGAAACATTCAGTCTTGTGACTTACCTTGGTCGGAGGAGTGTTGGACCAAACACAATGCCAAGATTACAAGCTCCCATCTGATTATGTTCTTCCATCTTACTCACACGACTTAAATGGTGCATCATCATTGCACATGTTTTAAAGTTTTGAACAGGGAGCTTCTGGACTAGAGACTTCAGCGTTTGCAAAGTTTCGGCACTGCCACCTGTTTCTGTTCCTTGGTCTTTTTCCGCCATTTTGATGAACTCAAGGTAAAGTCTAAATGTAAGCAGGGGCTCTGGAAGCTGGAGAAAAACCCAGAAATTTATTTTTCTACTATGTTTATATACATTATCTGTATTATATTAAAGCATAATGAAATTGCACAAAATAATGTGTATTGATATGTATATGTGATGAAAGCATGACATTTTGTACAGGTGGTAATATTCCTTTACAATTCTAGATACAAAACATTAACCATATCATTTCTTTAACTTTACATATCCAAGATGGTTGACAATTAAAATTTGTAATTTTACCCTTTCTCAGGCTGGTGGATGGTTCCAAACTTAAAATTAAAATCATAAGTATATGAAACAAACATACCTGCCGTAGATATAGCTTTAATACATTGGATATAACATTGACATTGTGTTCTGAGAGATCGACGGAGGATTCATTGTTCTCAAAACTCTCACACAGTTTCTCCACCTTTGATTTCACTCCAGACACCCTGTAGATCCCCTAAATTGACAATAATGAAAACAAGTTCAGTGGGATACACCCTGTAGATATACTAAATTGACAATAATGAAAACAAGTTCAGTGGGATACACCCTGTAGATATACTAAATTGACAATAATGAAAACAAGTTCAGTGGGATACACCCTGTAGATATACTAAATTGACAATAATAAAAAACAAGTTCAGTGGGATACACCCTGTAGATATACTAAATTGACAATAATGTAAACAAGTTCATTGGGATACACCCTGTAGATATACTAAATTGACAATAATGTAAACAAATTCAGTGGGATACACCCTGTAGATATACTAAATTGACAATAATAAAGACAAGTTCAGTGGGATACACCCTGTAGATATACTAAATTGACAATAATAAAAAACAAGTTCAGTGGGATACACCCTGTAGATATACTAAATTGACAATAATGAAAACAAGTTCAGTGGGATACACCCTGTAGATATACTAAATTGACAATAATAAAAAACAAGTTCAGTGGGATACACCCTGTAGATATACTAAATTGACAATAATGAAAACAAGTTCAGTGGGATACACCCTGTAGATATACTAAATTGACAATAATAAAAAACAAGTTCAGTGGGATACACCCTGTAGATATACTAAATTGACAATAATGTAAACAAGTTCATTGGGATACACCCTGTAGATATACTAAATTGACAATAATGTAAACAAATTCAGTGGGATACACCCTGTAGATATACTAAATTGACAATAATAAAAACAAGTTCAGTGGGATACACCCTGTAGATATACTAAATTGACAATAATGAAAACAAGTTCAGTGGGATACACCCTGTAGATATACTAAATTGACAATAATGAAAACAAGTTCAGTGGGATACACCCTGTAGTTACCCAAAATGTCCATAAGATATTAGCCTATAAAATTTGCACATTTGCACGTTTTAAAATTCACCAATTATCTTAAAAAAATTTTGAACAGAGCTCCTATATTTCTATGCATCAGCCTACAAAATTTTAACAAAACCTGTCACCTGGTATTTGAGTTATCAATCAAATATTACATTTTTTACGAAAAATCCTATCCTACACCCATAAGGCATAAGCCTGTAAAATTTGAATGACATCTGTCATCAGTTATTTGAGTTATAGCCCTGAAACACTAAAGAACAAACGGATGGCTTCTCTATATCCTGACGAACTTAGATTGGTAGGATAATGAGAATAATGATGGAAAGAGACATACCTTTATATCTATTCCTCTTTCTTCTATCTCTTTGACACATTTCTGCACCAAAATGGGGATTTCTACATTGGTTTCTTTGACATGAGCCATGAAATCTACACCAAAGGTAGTCATCCTCCTAACCGGTGGCTTACTTCCACATGGCACCCCTAGGACCTCTAGGCACTTCTTATGGCAGGCTAGACCACACTGGAAAAATGGTGTATAATCTTAATGATCTAAATAAAGTGCAATATCTTAACTTAAGGAAGTACAAGTGGAAGTGGAAAAATGGAAACTGGAAATTGAATATTAGATGACAATGGTGAGAACCTAGAATAGATGAGATAATTTTCTCATATTTCCGTTTAAAGACAACATGTTCTGTATTCTGAGCTTTGTTTAATAACACAACCTTTCATGCTCAGTTAAAGGGTGACGCATATCGTTTAGCAAATCGAACGCTCGTTTCTGGTGTTGCTCACCTTTTAGTATAAAAGGCCCGATCCCGGAATAATACTCAAGGGTTCACAGGTTCGAGGTCGTTGTGTCAACACCTCTAACTGTTATATAGCATAAGTATATTATAGATCGTCACACATTTATACAAGAACACAAATGTGTACAAAATGTCCCCACCAATGGGTGATCCCATGAAATGGTTATCCTGAAAATGAGTAGACAAGACTTTACTGACACAATTTGAGAACGGAAAATCCAAAATGGCTGCCTTAAAATTTACCCAGAATCCCCCAAAATTAGCTAGTTCTAGATTTTCATACTAAGAACCACCCCTGAAAATTTGAAATTGATCCGTCAAACAGTTAAACAAAACTTTACAGACAAGATTTTAGGATGGAAAATCCCAAATGGCTGCCTTGACATTTACCCAGAATGTCAAAAAACTAATCAGTTCTAGATTTTCATACTGAGAATCATCCCTGAAAAGTTGAAATTGATCTACCAAACGGTTCACCTGAAAACACGTAGACAAGACTTTACAGACAAGATTTTAGGACAGAATATCCAAAATGGCTGCCTTGACATTTACCCAGAATGATCAAAATACTAATCAGATCTAGGTTTTCATACTAAGAATCACCCCTGAAAATTTGAAATTGATCTAACAAACGGTTCACCTGGAAATGCGTAGACAAGACTTTACAGACAAGATTTTAGGACGGAAAATCCAAAATGGCTGCCTTGACATTTACCCAGAACGCCAAAAAACTAATCAGATCTAGATTTTCATACTAAGAATCATCCCTGAAAATTTGAAATTGATCTACCAAACGGTTCACCTGGAAATGCGTAGACAAGACTTTACAGACAAGATTTTAGGACGGAAAATCCAAAATGGCTGCCTTGACATTTACCCAGAACGCCAAAAAACTAATCAGATCTAGATTTTCATACTAAGAATCATCCCTGAAAATTTGAAATTGATCTACCAAACGGTTCACCTGAAAACGTGTAGACAAGACTTTACAGACAAGATTTTAGGACGAAAAAACCCAAAATGGCCGACAATAAAAAAGTGATTATGAGTTTTTGCTGATTTCCTTTTACAAAATTATCACATATAACTACTGTTAACAATAACTAGGCTTTTTCAACAAAGTACACCTGAAATTATTTATAAAGCTACTAAATAGTTAAAGTATGAAAACTCAAAAACACCATTCAATATGATACAAAGTATTATCGCGCGCTAACTTTTCTTCAGACATTCAAAATGGCTGACATGACTGAGCTAACAGGTCCAAAACCTAATCAGATGTAGAATGAAGTGAGCTGAACAAGATGTTAAAGTTTTAAAAGCAACTGTGAAGCCGTTTTTCTTAAAGTTTGCAGACAAGGATTTTAGCATTTGACCTCAAAATGGCCGACAGGAAGTAGCTATCAAGTTTATTTTTTTTCATCCACATCTGTATGCACTCACAAGTTATTCCTGAAAATTTGAAGGTGATACCTGTAGCGGTTTTGGAGAAAACTGCCGGACGTCCGGACGGACAGACAGACAACCAGACAGACAGACGGACGGATGCGCCTAGGACGACAATATGGCCCCACACTATGTGGTGGGGACATAAAAAGGGTGATTTTTATTTTGACAAATCAATTCCACATTTATGGGTGAAGTTTCAGGATCTTCTATTTGTATATAATAAGGAAAAATTGGCATCTAAATTTCCCCATAACGTAATAGCACACAGCTTGGCATATGAAATATCCTACAAATGAGACAAAGCAAGACAAACTGGTTTCTAATACAAGGATTTATATTGGCTGTTGTACATGTATTCTTTGAACGCAATCACTCTTTGGATAACGTTTTCAAAATCATTATAAACGGATTACTTTATCTCAAAGACAATTTCAATAAACTGGATTTTACAGAACTCCCCTTATTTCTTAAAAATGGACTGATCCAGTTGATTCGCCTGGAGCCGCCATATTGTTTTTATACGGGATGCTAATCGGAACCCTTTAAAACTAGAAAAACAGCAACTACACGGAGTGGACTATCAAAACAAAACTATCTCCCACCCCCCATTCAGGGAAAATTATCGCAATCCAAGATCACAAGACCAGGGGTTTCACTAGAATTTCTCACAACTGGATAAATAAATGAAAACAACAGGCAAAATTAATGGAAATCATAAATCTAACATGGAAAAGTTGAAAGTCCCTAAAAACAACAGGCAATTTTGTGAAAACAACCAGTGAAAATCGCCTGTTGCCTACTGCTAATGAAACCCCTGCAAGACCATGGGATATTTCATTCATACTGAGGACCATTACAATACACATATTGAAGAATAAATTAGAATTGATAACCAAATCTCTGACATCAAAAATAGAAATTTTACAGACATAAACATCCTGTTTTCTATATGCATCTTCATCATTAATAGTAGTGCTAATGGTTATGTAGTTTTTTTACATGTAAATGTCTTCTTTTTCCTTCCTTTATAATTGTTATAATTTTTGTTTGTACATGTACTTGACCCCAAGGGGTGTGAATGTACTTGAAGAATAAATAAATATGTATAACTTACCTTTTCACATTCAGCACCTTGAAAGTATACATAGCTGTCACACTCTCTACATTTTGCGGGTGATCTCAGTTTGCGGAACACATGGGTAAGGCCACATTTGGATACAAGGGCATTCTGAAATGGCCCACTGAGGTTAAGACCTAAAAGTAAAACAAAAATTGTTGATGAAATATTTATTTAATTTTCATAGATATTTCACAAATTAATGGATTAATGATTAATTCAAATTGAGTTCTAATATAGTTGAGCAAGGTGACAACATGAAAACATTTTTTGCGTAAAACTTTTTTCAAATAACCATATTTCGATCGATTATGGAGAAAAATTAGTTAAGTTGTATTAGAGTTATTTTCCAGACAAAGGGATAAACTGCTGGATGGAGGGGTTCACTATATCCGTATTGAACTAGGTTCATTTGGGAAACTAGTGAAACTCTCTAAGCCAATCAAATTAATCCAAATGATATTGTACTTTTATCTTTCTAATGGTGTATTGCAACCTTGGGGGAAATATTGTCAATTTGTGCACCTTAATGGAACATCTTAGAAGCTCAACTCTGCTCAAGAGCTCATGAAAAATAGATAGGAAGTATTATCATGCTATTAAAATGTGTAAAACAGCACTTTTTCAGTTGATCTTAAAGTAAAAAAAGAAGCTTACTAGCATCATTTTCGTCGTGGTCTGCCATTTCTTCCAGACTATGTCCACTAACGATCTTACGACGTTGTTGAGTGTACGGTGAAGCAGAAGGAGATGAATCTCGTGATTTACTACTGTCGGTATCACTCCCTTGTAACTGTCCCCACGCTCTTACTGCTTGCTGTGCATTGCGGTGCTTCTCTGAAATTAATATACTTATACATAAGAGACATATCATTAACTAGACTTGGGAAATTGAACGAAGTTCAATTTCAGACTCCAGATCTAGACTTTTTTTTAGCAGAGTCATCCAGAATAAGCCGAGTCATCCAAAATAAGCTGAGTCATCCAGAAAAAGATGGATGGATGGATGGATGAAAAAGGAAGGAAGGATAGGCTAGAATAGGAAGGGACGATAGGATAGAATAAGAAAGAATGATAGAATAGAATAGGAAGAAGGAATAGAATAGGAAGGATAGGAAGGAGAGGATACGAAGGAAAGGTAGATAAGAAGGATACGATAGGATCACAAAGGAAGGATGGATGCATTTTTCAATATTTTCTTCTCTACTCTTGACTTTCTATCAGGATACCATCAGATCGATTTTTCTCGAAATTTCAAAACGCCATAACTTTCGAACCGGAAGTCTGATCGAAATTTGGTTTGCAGAGTCGGATTCCTGAGAAAATTCTGACTTTAATTCATAACTCATATGTTAAATTTTGAGAACATTTAATTTTGACCTACTTTTCGGACACCATATCTCAAAAGTGGGTCGAAATACTTTCTGACGGCAAAAGGCAAACACTATTAGCACACTCTTTCCTACCTGTATACAAAATTTTGAAGCAAATCTTATAAATATAGTGTCAGAATCGCAAAAATAAGGAAAAACTATGAATTTGACCTAGATTTTGACCTAGGGATTTTGGTGTCCAAATTTTGAAGTTAGGTAGCCTTCGAGGTCCCCTTCTTGCATAGGCTTTCATTATTTTAAGCTGTACTTAGTCTATATCTCGTATTTTACACTTCAAAAAAATCCTTTTTCCCATTGACATAACATGGGGCACCAAATTTAGCGATTTTTGAGCTTTCAAAATGTCATAACTTCCGAACCGGAAGTCGGATCGAAATTTGATTTGCAGATTCGGATTCCTGAGAAAATTATATACTTAATTCATAACTCAAACGTTAAATTTGGAGAATTTTTTATTTTGACCTACTTTTCGGACACCATATCTCAAAAGTGGGTCAAAATACTTTCTGACGGCAAAAGGCTAACACTATTAGCACACTCTTGGCTACATGTATACAAAATTTCGAAGAATATAATTAATCTGTAGTGTCAGAATCGCAAAAATAAGGGAAAACTTTGAATTTGACCTAGATTTTGACCTAGGCATTTTGGTGTCCAAATTTTTATGAAAAGAGGGTTTTGAGGTCCCTTTCTTTTATGGGCTTCCATTATGTTTAGCTGTGCTTAGTCTATATCTCGTACTTTACACTTCAAAAAAATATTTTTTCCCATTGAATTAACATGGGGCACCAAATTTAGCGATTTTTGAATTTTCAAAACGCCATAACTTCTGCACCGGAAGTCAGATCGAAATTTTGTTTTCAGATTCGGAATCCTGAGAAAATTTCCTATAAAACTGATATCCTGGACATTGGATTCGAAGATTTTTTTTTTGGACCTCGTTTTCGGACACTGATATCTCGAAATCGGTTTGAGATACCAAAAAACTAAATCGACCCTAGATTTTCTACTTTTTTATGAGGAACACAATGAAAAAAACCCAGATCAAAAATATTGAAGGACGACCGAGAAAATCGAAAAAAGTGACAAAGTACTGGATTTGACCTAGTTCTTGACCTTTGACCTAGATAAAAATTTGACCCAATTTCCCACCAACTAGATACTGAACCTAAATGAACTGTATAATGGTCTTTACTGGATACCTTATAGTTATTGAAAAAACTCTTAAAGAAAAATAATAATAATAAGAAGAAGAATACTGGCAAAAACAATAGACTCCAGATTGACATCTGGAGTCTAATAATTAGTAACAAGAGAGGTAGCATAATTTATTAACACAATTTTGCCTTCAAGATTCCAATTCTCTTTTGTTTTAAAATTTAATTAGGAGGATATGTGACAGAAAAGTTGAAAATCAATGTTACATTTTTATTTCATGAAGGAAAGGCTATTATCTTTTTTCAATATTTTAAAACTTTAATAACGTAGTTACTGGGTAACAACTATGGGTGATTCTTTGAAAATTATTCATTACTATCTTCAATACTAGTACTTGACATAAGAAGTATTCCAACTCCCTCCCTCTATCCTTTCATTCACATTATCAACTGATTTAAACATGTCTCTGGATGATTTTAAGATATGTCGAATTTATCTATGAAATCTCTGCCTAGAATATTACATCCTCTATGAAAGGAGGAGGGAAGTTAGCGCAACAGATTTTGGACAGTCATATGTTTGATTTCGGCCATTTCCTGGGGATTTAAACAGGTGCATATGTTTGGCGAATGTTTTACCTCCAGGAAAATCACTTCTAGAGATGATAAAATAATTTTGACTTTGAGACAGGGTAGATGCAAACAACCCACCCACATGTTTTTCTGAAATGTTTTCCTGATTTTCAACCCCTTCCATCCTTTCTTTTTTAATTTTTCTTGCATCAATATGTTGCGTTTCCCTCCTCCTTTTACAGGAGTAGCGCTAATTGTTCTTTGTATCTCCTGAAATACATGTATCGTGTCATATCAAGGTAAAACTCAAATTACTATTCCTTATTAAATAAACACGAAACAATGTATTATATTAGTTCATATCTAACCAGAACAAAGCAAGCAGACCACACGAAGACAGACAAGACTAAGTAGCTAACTTTCAACAAAACAAATATTGTAAAATTGATTGTCTTTCTTGGTGTAACTATAGAATAAAGTAAAATGATTTTCACACTTCATGGTATCACAATAAAATATACAAATGTTTTTCAGCATAGAATATGCACAGACAGGCTTCAAGTAACACAATTATACATGAAAACTTACATAATTTAAAAGGATCAAGTCGTCCAAAAGCGCAATTAGAGTAACCCCTTCTGGTATTTTCGTGTTATATTATGTAAAACAAGTATTTCTATCGACTTACCAATGTTGGGGCTTCCGACTATTCTTTAACGTTGTCAATTTGATGATTGTTCTCAGCCATAATTTTCACTTACATCAGTGGTAATTCGACAAATGTTCGAAATAAAATTGAAATAACCCGTTTCAATGTGCTCTGATCTGTGATTGGCTGCCTGGGCTCAATATCCTGGCAACCAATGTTTTTGCCAAGACTAACGACTGGAAGTTCGATGCTCAATAAAACATTGTAATCAATTAATTCAGTTTCAAAAAACTTTCAAAAAATCATACATTTCAGTTGGACTCTTATCATCCTATCATTTTGTCCAAAGGTGGGGGTTAGGTTCCTGGCGTGGGCAATCTTTTTTTTCTTTTTTTTATTACAACATATTTTTATCCTTTGGGAATGTTATTTTAATTACTTAAAAGGGTTTTACAATATAGATTAATCTAAAAAATTGTATGTTTTAGACTTATTGTGTTCTAGACAATTGGTTGTTCTTTGTTTGTCCTGTTGATTTTCTCAATATATTGGTAAAACTGAGCTCATGATTTGGTCTCAACATATCTCTAAGGTATATATGATGTTATATGAGCAGTTATATAAGGACATTACTGGTTGTCCGGGAGAAATATCCGGACGATCTGATCCCTTTAAGGTAAATATATAACAGATTTTCTGAATTTTGCCGAGAACCATGTAATTAACACTAAGAGAGTACTATTACCAAGAGCAAGGCCATACTGGGCAAATGTCGGTGTCATTGATAATGGTGTGTAGCTAAATTTTTTGTTTTTAATTATAATATATAAATCAACCTTAGTGGAATAAATAAAGAGTAAGAATAACAATGTCAATAATCTTTTAATAAACAGGAAAGAAGATAGCTACCTATTGCCTTTTGCATTTTATGTCCACACTATTTATTTTTTGAAGACCTACTTGTGAGATTTTACCTTTAATTTGAAAAACAGCAACCATGCAGAGTAGCAAATGCCACAAAACAAAACACATTTTATCAAACCAATCATCATTTTGAGAATTTCATGATTGAAGTAACCAGGTAGTAGTATTATCCTATTTGGCAAAATCTACACCCATGACCTGACATGGCAACATATTGGAAATTTCTCCATTATGGCATTGTGCCCATAAGAAACAATAAAATTTGAATCAAATTCTAGTACAATTTCTTATTTGTCAGCAAGGCATATAAAATTTGAAACAAACCTGACGACTAGTGTTTGAGTTATCGAAGATTTTCATCTTTTACAAAGGATGGGAGCCATATTGGAAATTCACAGCGGTGGTCCTTAGCCTATATGCCATTGGACAATAAAATTTGGACCAAATGTGATAACTGGTATCTAATGGTAATCGAAATTGGTAGCCATCTCGAGTACATGTCCTATGACCCCAAGGCATCAGCATATGTTATTTTAACTAAATCCATCAAATGGCATCTGAGTTATCAAAGATTTGAATTTTTATGAAAAATTATGGACAGTTTGAATTGACTGGCAATATTCCTGAAATAAGCCTGAAACTAGTCTGTCAACAGGTATTTGAGTTATCCCTTTATAAATGGAATGGATGGACAAAGAAACTAACAGATAGTTGGCTTCTCTTTATCCCTCCCGACACTGGTGAGATATTGTAAGTTATCACACATTTCAGCACTTGATACTGGAAATATTCCATAAAAGGTAACAGTGTATCATCCACATTGATACATTGTTACCCGAGTGGAATATTTCCTGTATCACATAAACCAAAACTTGTGATGACTATTTTATCACATGTCTAGGAGTTTATAAGCATTTTGATTTGGTCAATTATGATTATGTCCTATACTCTGCACGGTAGTTTATTATATTTTGCGTGTTTTCAAATTTCACTGTGTAATAGTATGACATCATACCGTTGTCTCCGTACTTGTTTGTGAAATAATATGACCTCAAAAGTGATTGTGACTCCGTAGTGATTAAGTCTATCATATCACATGAAAATGAGTCACATGCCATGTGATATGGAAAATGCATCATCACAATTGACCAATCAGAATACTTAGAAACCATGTGATATTGAATTGTGTAAAGTGTACTTCATGCTGCATATAGCGTGTAGTGAAAAGCAAAGCACACACCCAAATATCCACCTTTACGAGGATATCCTTCTGTGTCATCAACTGTGATCTGCACGTCTCCACTCCCCTTCCTGTCATCTCTAAAACAAAAAGATTTTTTAAATATTCATCTGATATATTAATATAATTTCTTCCACTTTATGTGCTATATTGTTGTTGTCTTGTGCAGATGGGCCTGCATCTGTGTGTGTGTGTGTGTGTGCATTTATATCACATTTTTGTCTTGTTATGTTATTACAGCTTCAATAGTTTATAATTAAGAAATATTTTCTGGGAAACATCATACACGTATTTCCATAATGACTGATAACCCAATACCTCCCAGTACATCCTTACATATTAACACTGTATTCATATTTCACATGAAAAACACATATTCAAAGTGCAAGTTAATTGAACTTTTGATTATGTATCTTCGAAGATGTGACGCTCTCCTTTGTAGGAAGATCATATTGGGAATCATCACATACTTAACAGAGGTATAAGCTCTTACTTGCTCCCTGTATATGGCTCAAAGACATATGGCTCTGGTAGACAACTGGTCTGTGGTACTGGCAAGCAGCGAACAAACTCTGCATACTGGGCACCTTGCTCATAAAGCCTACTGCTCTCACAAAGTGTCTGAAACTGCAGTAGAGTATCACTTTAAAAACTCTAATTTTCTCTTTTCCAAATTAAAAGAAAAAAAATTGAAAAAAGTGTTTGTGGCAATGTTTGTCATATCATGTATCATCATATTTGATGTGTTTATAAGATTTAATTAGTCTTATGTTATGTTTATGGATGGTTAAAACAAATAAAATGTATGAATCATTGTAGTTATGATCAAAGTAACTGATAGGCATTCATTGTCACACCTTGTCTTGTATGCTTCCTGGTGTCATCATGTTTGAACATAATTCAACCTCTAAGAGCCATAGCAAGTACAAGGAGGTTAGTATGATCTTATGGATTTGATAAGTCTCAAGGGACTCGAGGGTTGCTTCAAATTACTTGGTTAAATGACTAAGGACTTTGCAAAAATAAACTAGACAACAGCAACGCCAAAGCGAAGCAAATCCCATCGAACATCGGCTGGCATTTTTACAAACAAAGTATATAGCAAAAATGGCAGCCATTTTTCAAAATGGCCACCTTCTACCAAAAGTGTCATTAGACAGTGAATCATGCTTATAGTATTCACATACCAAATATGAACAAAATCGCACTTTAATATCTCGTCGCGTGAGAATAACTTTGTACTAACTGCCATTTTCAAAAAAATTGAGATAGACATGGAATTTTACTATTTGAAACACAGGCTTTCATCTCAGATACATGCCCCATCTCAATTCCCTCTCATTAAGCTAGAATTCAGTGTGAAATTGTACCATCTCCAGACAAACAGCTTATTTCTAATTTCAAATTGTCATATCTGATATCAACTGTTTCAACCAATCAACTCTCTCAGAATTGGTCATGTGACTTGCAAAACTTGGAGTTATAACAATCTTATATTAAAACGAAGTATGCCAATATGCATGATATTGTATCTAGAATGAAATAATGTTTTGTAACACAATACCATGCCAGTTTGCATGCCTGGCCTTTCATGTTTTAGTTTTAGAACTATTACAAGTAGATCAAAAAATAAAATAATACAGTATGTGTAATCCCATGCATATTCAAATTATATGCCATCAATTACTCTTTGTATTATGGATGCTCATTGGATTATTCATGGCCACATGATATGAAATAGAATTACTAATTTCCTCGAAAACCTAAATCCTTGCTGCCAGGGAAGATGAAAAGTACAAATGACCAATTAATTAGATCATGTGAGCAGTCAAAAGTACCCTTTATCTTCCTTGCTACCAGGTCTTATAGGGGTTTGAATGGCCAAATGTAATAGAAATGCATATACGAAGCTGTCATCATTAAATGTTGAAAATGAAAGACTACTTATTTGTTTCTTCAAATAGAGTACATAATAATAGGTTATATACTAGATATAGTAATCAAAACAAATAGTAACTGTCATATTTTGCACTACATTGCTCAAAGGCAATCACTGTCTGTATACTATTGAAATCTCTTTCAAAATGATGTTTTATAGTTTGTGGAAAAAAGCTAAATCTATTTAAAACTAGCTTTAACTTTTACTGATCATACACTATATCAATAAGGAGTTATCTTTATGTTAGTATAGTCCCTTAAAACACTTATTTTATTTTCTGTTCATCTATGATTTACTTTGCGCTTTTCACTGAACATCTGGGATCTTTTTAGTTATTTTATTACTAGTATGTTTTTCAGATTTGTCCTTCCTTTTCCATTTTTGGGATCATTGTTTTTAGATCATCTACATTTTATTTTGGAAAAGTAACAAATTGGTTCAATTTCTTTACAAAGAGCCACTCTTAGTCTCCACTTCTACAATTGCTTCAATTCCCAATTGTACTCCACAGAGTAGCAAACAACAGAAAATGAATGGATAATGATAGCTGCATCCCAATGAACAAAATGTGATTACCTAAATCGAGGTTTCATCACTTTCATTAATCTAAAATGAATTAGAAATTATTTTTCTATTTTCAAATTTCTTCCATGTGCATGTAATAAAAATTGTTTATGTCTTAGGCCCTAAGGATCTGAAACCTGCTGGTCAAAATGGAATTACGGACCAGTTGCAATGTTATTCTCCTATACCCAGTGAAAAAATCAACTGGTCTGTATCAAAAATAACCTGATAATGACCAGCAGACCGGCCCTTAGGGGCTACATTGTAATGTGCTGGGAGGTTTAGGCTACAGGGTTTATACCGAGGGAAATATGTGGGGGACCGTATTGGCATCATTGGTTTCAATGCATTGTATTTCTGCCTTAGTTTCAAAGGCAATAAATTCTTTTTGAAGGGTGTCCTGAGATTCCAAAATTAAGAAATAATTGTGCTTATTTGAGAAATTGATTTTAAAGTTTTATAAATTGAATTTTCTTTATTTTATTAAATAATATTCTTTGGTTTTTGAAGATTTTTTTACAAAGCAAAACATTATTTTCATTCTAGATACAATAACATGCATATTGGCATACTTTGTTTTAATATAAGATTGTTATAACTCCAAGTTTTGCAAGTCACATGACCAATTCTTAGAGAGTTGATTGGTTGAAACAGTTGATATCAGATATGACAATTTGAAATTAGAAATAAGCTGTTATTCCGGTGGGAAATTGTATCAACTCCATTTCCATAGTTTTAAAAAAGGATCTTGTAAATTGTTTCAAGGTATGATATTTCATATAAGATATCTCTAGGGTGAGACCAGGTGACATACAAAAAATCAAGTTTCACATAGCAATACTAAGTAAGATACAGACCTCTAAACTTTCAAACCTTGATTTCTCAGTTCCGTAAAAATGTGAGATAGTACAAAGTTATTCTCATGCGACGATCTATATTTCTAGCTTTATTAATGTCCTATATTAAACAAATACTGGATGACCATGAGGTGGATATGCCAGATTATAACATACCTATGACGAAGTATAGTGTAAACTCTTCACAAGAGAGCGGGCCAATATAAATTTTGAAAAGCCCATGCCCGCTAACTTTCTAAATGGTCAAGCACTGGGACTACGTCATACATTAGGCCTAGGTCAAATTGACTCGTACATTCGTAAGATACAAACATGGGAATAAATCATCATTTCCGAACCATTGCTAGTCAATTAGATAAGAAAAAAAAGATACTCTCTGACCAGACTAGATCATCATAGGTATGTTATAAATCGTTTATGTGACTATAGTTGCACATATGCCCTCGGTTCTCAGTGATCAATGTCCCTCCCAAGGTCGGGCCATATATCCCTGAAACCCTCGGGCATATATGCAACGATAGTGACATAACCTCTAAATACCTATCCAAGGAAAAAAATACTAGGCAAGGCGAAGCCGAGCCTAGTATTTTTTTTCGAGGATAGGTATTCTGGCATATCCACCTCATGGTCATCCAGTATTTATTTTATTATGCACCTCCCTTGGTTAATATCATATTCCTAACATTAATTTACTATAGATAAATAAAAGATGGTGTTAAATTGTCAAGAAATACTTTACTTTAAAGAATGGGTCTACTAAAACAGAAGCCGAGCCTAGTATTTTTTTTCGAGGATAGGTATTCTGGCATACGGGATGGTTGGAGATCTCGTTCCTTCAATACTGGATAGAACGAGATCTTGCTGCCATGTATGGCAATAGATCCTGCAGCTCTTAACCAATCAGATTTGAGTATTTTAATGAGGTGCATAATAAAAAAATTTACATTTAAAATATATTGCTATTACAGTTTTACATATTGTACCTAAATTGACCCTATCATAAACTTTTTTAAAGGCATTTAAACAAAACTATATTCCAGTCTTAAATAATATGCAAGGGCAATCTGCTGAACATCATGTAAATAGCCCTAGCAGAAATGTCTGCAGCAGTTATAGCATTGGCAGATTTTTGATATCTTGGTATATCACAGCATATTTTTCCAAATATACATGTTCTAAAGTCATTCATAACTTTTTGTTTATATAGTGCTGTCATGTAATTTTTGATAGACAATATAAAGGATACCCTTATTGTTTTAATCATCAAAAAATGAATTAATTAAAAACATTACATTTTGAGCATTTAGACTCTAAACTTGACTTATTTGTAAAAAAGTCCCATATAACTGAATGACAGAATGAATCTGAGACTTTGTTTACTGCAGCATGGAGTAAAGCTGGAGATTTGATTAAAAGTGCAGTTGGAAACAGCCATGACAGACAGACGGAGGCGTTCCCTATATCCCTCCAAACAACGTTCGATGGGATAACAAGACATTAACATGCAAGAGGCCGCCACCTGTCACTTGTTGCAGACACTGAATGCTGAACACCGTCTGCCGAATGCCATCAAAAAAATGTGGGAGACCATAACAATATGAACCTGTAATAAAAAGTATTGAACTTATCAATTGTAGTATCCTTTACCTGTACTGGGGCTGGTGCAGTGGCTGTATGTTGGAGCTGAAAGTAGCCAACTGTGACTGTCTTCATTGTTTCATCACACTGGTGCATCAAACTTCTAATCCTGGCCAGAATATCAGCCTGCAAGCAACATACAATTTATAGTGACTGTTTGCCTCAAGACTTTTCATCAACTAAATCTAGAGCAGCTAGACACCTGTTATTCAAACCCTTTTAGACTAAATTGAGTAACTGGATAAAATACTGGGTAAACAGTTTCAAAATGTTTGTAACACATGACGTTTTTTTCAAGGCTGGGTAGACCACTTTCATTTTTTGATATACAGGGTGTTCCAGATGTTTCAGGAATGATGCTGTGTTTTATTGGTTTTTTTTTCAATCTTACTGAAATTTTGACACAATTTGTCTAAACATGTTTTGAATAAGTTGGGGAAGTTTCATATCGCGAAGTTTAGTAGTCTTAATTATATGGTTGCTATAGTAACCTAGGGGTAGGGTAGGTGGAGCAGGTGTAACAACGCGCAAAATATATGAAATATTTGTAAAAAAAAAAAATTTGTACGAAATGTGACCAAGTATTAGGTTGTCAGAGTTGGATCAAACTTGTCAGTAATTAAACAAAAATGAAGGTGGATTCCAAGAAAGTAAACAAATGTCATCATCCTTGATCATATCACAATTTAATCACCTGCCATGTCATGAGTCACAAAGGAGAAAAAACACAGGTCATTTTGGACGAGCGGCCATCTTGAAAAGTGAAAAGTCATTAGCAAAGGAAAACCTTCGACTTAGGCAACACACATCAATCTGTGACAAGACATGACATGTGTGAATAACAGTTTTCTGCAGCAGGCACAATTAAACTCCTGATGAATGCACATTGGGGACTCAATGATGGTAACCTCTAGAGTGTATGAATTGTACAAGCGGTTCAAATCTGGAAGGGAAACTGAGACCGATTATCCAAAATGTGGACATCCGAGAACAGTGAGAGCGCTAACTAATGCGGAAGGGATAGATGCTGAAATAATGATGATGGCTAATAAAGGGTGTGATAACATTTTTAATTTCCAGGAATCCACCTTTATTCTTTTTATTTTCCAACAAGTTTGATGCGACTATGACAAATTAATACTTTGAACACTTTATACAAAAACTACTATTTTTACACAAATGTCATGTTTTGCGCGTTGTTACACCTGCTCCACCTACCCTACTCCTAGGTTACTATAGCAACCATATTATTCAGTCTACTGAGTTTCATGATATGAAACTTTTCAACCTTATTCACAACATATTTGGACACATTTTGTCAAAAAATCAGCTAGATTGAAAAGAAAACCAATAAAATACAGCATCATTCCTGAAACATATGGAACACCCTGTATAGCTGGCCATTGGTCATTTTGTCCCCTGTAGAGATACAATGATAGTGTGTGACATGAGCAAAGGACGCACAGCAGTCAATTTCTGTACATACTCTTTGATATTTCCAATGTAATGGGGGTTTATATGCACTGCATACTGTTTGTTTGGTTCGACATCTGAATGTTGAAACTGCATATGATCGTTAAAATACCAAAACGATTCTCCAAAGGGAACAATTACCAAACCCTTTAATGGAACATTTTCCTACTTTGATTTTCTCCAGCTCTTGTTGCCTGTTATTGGCCTCCACTATACATGCCTTGTAGGTAGTCTCAGCCTCAACAGCCTAAAACAACACAATATTCTATTAAGGGAGGCAACAAAGTATATAAAATACACAACAGTGGTATGACAGTCTGTGTTCTGACAGTTCATGTTCTAGCATGAGATTGGTTAAAGTGGCCATGCAAAAAAGCATTTCACAAGCTCTTACGCTTGATCATTTTCAAATCCCCAAATCTGCTAAAAGCACTTAACTGATGATATCTCATATCATGTATATTTTAACTCAAGACTGATCATGTGTGAAACAAGATAATTGCAAGCCATGCCATTCCTGTCAAAATGTTTATCACATGACTGATTTTCATTATTTTGATCCTTGAGAATATGGAAGTCAGGTATGATTGAAGTGTTTATGCTTAAAGTAGCTTGTGTTGTGATTCCAGTATTCAATTAATAGTATCTCAAAGATATAATAATAGCAGGTCTTGTCTCCTACCCTGTGTAATGCCTCCTCTTCCAGCTTCTTTCTCTTATCAACCTTGCTCTCAGCCTTACTACTACTCTTTTCTTGAACCTCATACTCAGCCTTTGCCACCGAATCCCTGGCTTTGTCATACTCCTGCTGTCTCTGTATATACAGGGCCTTTGCTTTCTGCAGGTTAATGACTGCATCTTGCTGAAATGATATAAAAGTAGGATGACTTAATTGAACTGAATTTTTTCACTGTATTGCATGTAGTTCGGAATTAATAGGTACATGTACAAATGAACAATACATGAAGCAGTAACTTGAAGTTTGCACAACTTGATTGTTCATATACATATTCTATTTTAAGTTCTAACCAAATGGAACAATAGGCAGCAATAAAAAACAAAAACAAATCCAAGACTTAAAATAAAATTACGAGAGTCTCTTTCATAAAATGTGTGAATGTGTATAGGGCATGCACAGATGGAGGATTTCTCGATATCTGACATAATGTCAATTCCTTATTTACCATTTTCCTACACTCTTTGGCCCACAGATCTTTTAACGCTTTTCTAGATTTCTCATGTTCATTTCTTCTTGCTTCTAAGGGCTGAAAATATAAAAGTTATATGCATCATGCTTTATTACTCCAGCATGTGAACAGATTTCTATCCATTGTAGTACATACATTTCAACTCTTATATAGCAGTACATTTCAACTCTTATATAGCAGTACATTTCAACTCTTATATAGCAGTACATTTCAACTCTTATATAACAGTACATTTCAACTCTTATATAACAGTACATTTCAACTCTTATATAACAGTACATTTCAACTCTTATATAACAGTACATTTCAAAAAATTGAATTTTATTGAATTATTTGTGTTGAAAGGCACTTACCTTTCAAGATTGATTCATGGAATAAAAACACAGCCCCCCCACAAAGAAGCAAACCCCCCAGAACAAAACATTTTTAAAATAAAAAAATTATATCTCATTTTGAATTTTCATGATAGAAATAGCAGTGGAGTTGAAATTAGCAGCCATTCAGAAATTCCATCTGATCAGGGAACTGAACCTATTAAATATCATTATTTGAAATATGACCAAAGTTGGTAAAGAAGCAAATGATGATTTTTTCATGAAAAATAGCAGCAGTTTTAAACCAACTTGCCACTTTGAGTAAAAACCCGATTTACACTTCTACAATCTACACCTATGAAGTACAGTTCCTAAATTAAGCCAAAACATAAATCTTAGCAAAATTGAAATTTCCTTTTGAGCAGATATAATCAAAATATGAACCCCATATAGGATAGTCTCTATATATTTGTAGGCATACATATACTTTGTCCAAAATTTATTTAAAAGTAACTCTCGAGGATATCAAGTTTACTGTATCTTACTTCAATGAATTTGTGTGTATTAATGAGAGCACATGTGCCTTGAAGCATGCCAGCATGGTCAAGATCCTGGTCCAGAGCAGTGCAATAAATGGATTGCATGGGGAGGAAGCTCTGAAATAACAAATAAATCAAGTTCAAAGAATAGTGATAGATGACAAACAAAAAGTAGAATTATCAGCCCTTATCTACTTGAAGTGGTTGTTACAAAACAGGAAGGCTGGTCAGGGTCGGAAGGTGGGGATCTTTTTGTTGCATAAAATAAACCATTTCACCACCCTACCTGAGTATTATCCCGGAGATTCTTTAGTGACAAGGGGTCTAGATGGTTTGTAAAAGTACCTTTCTAAAACCCAAATCACGGTTACACCTGAATTTAAGGAGCGTTATACCCTAAGGTGCTTTTCTTAAAACACTTAGTCTAATTCCAGTAAATGTTAATTCAATTGATATGAATGTTTTGAGGTTCTATAAATATATCAGCTCAATAAAGAATACAAAATTTTTACCATATCTACAAATCATAACCTCAACTCAAACAACAGACTTTAATTAAGATACTGCTTTACATGTTACAACATTGCAAGCCCTGAACACTATTTTCAGCTTTTATTCCAAAAGTTTATATGCTGGTTATATACATCATGCTATATAGTGATAAATCCTTTTATCTAATCAATCAATTTACTGAAGTCGTAGCTAATTATAATATTGTCACTTCCAGCATTTCTGAATGTCGGTGGAGATTCAAATTATTTTCCTTATGCAAATGGCCTATTATAACTTAAAGCAGAAAACACGTTCGTAGCTTATTATAATATTGTCACTTCCAGCATTTCTGAATGTCGGTGGAGATTCAAATTATTTTCCTTATGCAAATGGCCTATTATAACTTAAAGCAGAAAACACGTTCGTAGCTTATTATAATATTGTCACTTCCAGCATTTCTGAATGTTGGTGGAGATTCAAATTATTTTCCTTATGCAAATGGCCTATCATAACTTAAAGCAGAAAACACGTTCGTAGCTTATTATAATATTGTCACTTCCAGCATTTCTGAATGTTGGTGGAGATTCAAATTATTTTCCTTATGCAAATGGCCTATTATAACTTAAAGCAGAAAACACGTTCGTAGCTTATTATAATATTGTCACTTCCAGCATTTCTGAATGTCGGTGGAGATTCAAATTATTTTCCTTATGCAAATGGCCTATTATAACTTAAAGCAGAAAACACGTTCGTAGCTTATTATAATATTGTCACTTCCAGCATTTCTGAATGTTGGTGGAGATTCAAATTATTTTCCTTATGCAAATGGCCTATTATAACTTAAAGCAGAAAACACGTTTGTAGCTTATTATAATATTGTCACTTCCAGCATTTCTGAATGTCGGTGGAGATTCAAATTATTTTCCTTATGCAAATGGCCTATTATAACTTAAAGCAGAAAACACGTTCGTAGCTTATTATAATATTGTCACTTCCAGCATTTCTGAATGTTGGTGGAGATTCAAATTATTTTCCTTATGCAAATGGCCTATTATAACTTAAAGCAGAAAACACGTTCGTAGCTTATTATAATATTGTCACTTCCAGCATTTCCGAATGTTGGTGGAGATTCAAATTATTTTCCTTATGCAAATGGCCTATTATAACTTAAAGCAGAAAACACGTTCAATATTAGATAATTCTTAACAAGCCTTATAGGCTAAAATCACTGAATTTTACAAAGACGTGGACCAGCACCTCAAGACAAGTAATAATAATACTTTTACTTAATGAAAGGAAGAGGGTGATCATATTCCCAGTTTTACCTTCCTAATTCTTCTAATAATAAAACAAATCACATGTTGGGATTGGCCAGGGAATGTGACTTTATAACAATTCTACAGAAGGAAAAGGATATTTCTCACTAATGGGAGCGCAGTGTGTTTATGAGTATCTGAGTGGGAATTAAGATTTATAGATATGGTTTAAAATGTTTATTCTCATTTGAGCTAATTATAATTAAAGCTAATTTGAGCTAATTATTTTAAAACAGCCAATCAATATTGGAAATTGACCCCTCAAAACACATTGTTATGATAACAGGAATTTGATGGATGTTCAGACTTTTTTCATTCTTTTAATGGTAAACAGACAAATTGGTTGTTAGGTCCCTATATGGAAGAGAGGTCTGAATTTTGGGCTTTATTAATGACCTTTGCCTAAAATGTAAGGTATATAGTCATGTTTCTTTCAAAATAATGAATTTGGGAGAGAGAAATTATTGATATAAAGTATATTTAAACCTGTCAAATATTACATATTATAATATGATACGTGGCATCACAATAGCTAGAACAATTGATAAACTGGTCGATTTTATGATTTATGTCAAATATATGACCTCAAATTTTATTCTGGCCATTGCCAGTTATAGAACATCAAATCAACTTGAATAAATATTAAACAAGGCATTAACATGACAAAATGTCACCACCTAGTTGCTCACAATATTATGAGTTCAATCTTAAGTCAGGTTTGAATTTCTGAGGACTTGTAGAAAATTGGGCAATTTAAAGCAAAATGAAAAAATACTTCTGATAACTTGTACATGATTTTGAAAAAATTTGGTCAATTTGAAACAACTTGAAAAAAGACCTTTTTGACCTTTTTTGACCTTGAAAGGTTACTGAAGGTCAAATCAGTGACCTTGTAAGTACTATATTTAGCATACTGGAGGGCTATTGGCCAAAGTTGGACAAAAACTTCAAAATATCAGTACAGAAGTCTTTATCAACACATTGTCTCTTATAAAAATGTTATCTTTCAAAACGTTATACTAACACATACCTCATCAGTTAGTACAGATTTCATTCCTTGAGCTAACTTGCTCAGATTCTTGGCAAATTCAAATTCTGAAAAACATAAGTGTAGGCTGTATTGGCATGTTTTCTTTGATTCAAATACAGTGAAATAGACTGACACATGACAGCTTTTATGAACTCATTCAATAGAGAACAGACATCAGAGTTTAAAATCTTGAAAGCACATGTACCTCTTACGCAATAGGTCCCGGATTCGATCCCTGGTTCAGGCAAGACTTAATTTGCTTGTTTGCGTAAAGTACTTCAGATTGGTTGACTGAGTGATTAATAACTTGTACAAAAGGCCATGGATTATATTTATACAGGGCTCCTTCAAGGAGAGGTTCCTGGGTCTGCCTTCCATGATTGCATACGTTAATTTTGACCGTATATATACGGGATATACCCAATTGCTCACCTTCATTGGTGGTAAACAAAATGCAATACAATAAGAATTGAAGAAGGCAGTCCACTTTTATCTTTTGCAAGATGACCTTAAAAATCGAAGGAATATCCTGAAATAAAGTCAGAAGTGTTTGTTAAGGTATCAACAAACTAGGTTATATCCTACCTAAATGTGTCCTTTTATCAATGTAGGTGATGATGTCTTTGGCATATTTCGACCAGGCTTTACTCCTCTGGAGGGCAAGCTCCACACCAGATGTCATCTTCAGTAAGGCATGATCTATGTCTTCCCCAACAAGAGCCTCTGCAATACAAAGGAACCATAGCATTAAAATGACAACATTTCACAATCTAGTTGCAATCATCCAAGTGTAACCATTTCGTGCTGACTGTACATTACAGATGTATTCCATAACTACTGAGGTTCTTTGTACTTTATACCTCATTAAGTTCTAAACTTCAAAAATGTTTGTGTATTCATTTTCTTGGGTCTTAAAAAGTATTTTTTAAATTTGTGAGTTTGTGACACATATATTACTGGAGAAGATCAATGAATTAATATTAAATTTTAAATATACAGTATAAGTTTGAAAAATATAACCTTTATTTTGTAAATTGAGTTAAACATAAATTGAGTTTGCTTTTCAGGAGCGATAGGTCCATAGATACACTATATATTCCCGCTCGTTGGGATTTCAACAAGTAGGACGAAGGTAGTGTGGCTAGCCACTGGTAATTCAGAATCAGACTCATGCAAGAACAAGAGATCATCTAAAGAATGTCCACCTACCCATTTGTACTTCAACAGGTTCAGATGATCCAGGGAGCTCTTCAAATGACTGAAAAAGAGTTATGGAGGGTCATGAATCATATTGATCTCAAAACATTAAAATGTTCTCAAGAAAATATACTGTTGTATGTTTTTTTGATTTTGCTTAGATAGCAAGCATAATTTGATTTGATGTTCCTCAAAATATTAATAATTAGAGACTGAACAATATGTCAGTTCAACTGTAACACATACTCTAGTTTTTGCCATAGGCTGTACAATGTCCACATCTCCCATCAGGTATTCTGAGACACTAAAAACAAAAGCATGGTATGACACTTATGTTCTCATGTATCACTTTATTACTGTATACTTAAAAATAATTAGACTTTCAGTAATATTGAACTACAAAATTGTAGAATAAAATCAGCTAGAGATTTCAAAATAATCCCTTAATGTCACAATATAACATTTGGAATCTATCAATGATTTCAGCAAATTTCTAACTTTTAAACAATGCCCACATTTAAGCAGCCATTTTGATTGTTTTTGTGCAACCATTTACTTCGAGACATACATCCTTCCACCAATTTTGAAAATGGTCTCTTAGTATTTGTGCTATCCCAGTTTCCCATATCCCTTACAAACTTGTTCATTAGGATATTAATACTGTATCAATAAAAATGTCAATTTAAAGCTGTTAATGAACTCCAAAAGATATACTGTATACCATAAACCACAATTTGATATAATGTTTTCAACTTGGTATAAAAGAATAAAATTCTTTCAACTTCTCTTAATTCACATGCATGGGAGAATATACAGGGTGCATATTTTGTATTATCCCATATACATGCTACCCCTACATAACCCCACGCATACATACCTGCTGCTGAATGCCAAGGCAAGTTGGTCTATGTTATCATGAAACTCTGCAAGTTGACTAGTGGCACCATCATATGTATAATCTACAAATATGAAAGATTCAAATAAAGGATTATATACAAATCAAAGTTATTCTACCAGATGAAACTTCATACTGTTCTTCTGTGTTTCTGTGTTCTTCATTGGTGATAACCAAACGGGGCATTAACACCAAAAATCTAATAAACAATACAGTATAAAGAGTGTCAACATGAGCACATTGTTAGTAAATGTAACAATTGTTACAAAATGGTAGCTTTACAGCTATAATAATGTGTTCCACTTCTTGGAGAAAACATAATAAAAAAAAACAAGGCATTAACTTGCAAAATGTCACCACCTGTCTGTGTTACAGATTCCAAACTCCGAATGTTGAACACAATCCATAAAAAAGTTAGAGACTATAACAATATTTCACAACCAAAGAGACTATTCATTGAATTTCATTAAATTGAAAATCAGGAATTACAATGCACATGAGTTTCCAAACATCTTCTAGAATTAAAATAGCTATAAACAGTATACAGAAATGACATCTATCTGAAAACTAACATTTTATTCTTACTTTTGATGAAAGATATCAGAAGTCCTGCAGCAGTGAGGATATCTGTAGAGTGGAGGGAGGGATACTTCTGTAGCACCATCTTTAATATAGAGAGCACCTCTCCCAACCTGTCATGCGCCAAAACACGTACACTATCTCCCTTCTCAGATTTGTCTGCAAAATAGTGAAAATGCTGTGTTATAATTTGGTACATGAACAGCCCCCACGAAGGAGTATAATGTGACATCGTTGGTAATATTCTAGCTAAATAGAAGTGTATTCACAAGCTAAACTATACACACAATTCATATGAAACTTTTATTGATGTTAAATGTCAACATTGGTGGCTATATATTCTCCATACTTCTATGAGGTGGCTATATATTCTCCATACTTCTATGAGATTGAAAGTGCCAGTTACTCCATTTTTGACTTCAGTTGATTAAAATTACTCTAAACATTATTTTGATACTTAAATCACGGCCAAAATCGCTTGCTAATCATAGAGATTGAATACAAGACTAAGCACACAATTTCTTTGCTATTTTTCCTTACTAAGACTTTATGCGATCATCTCAAAACACTGAAATAAGAGCAAATAAAAAGAATGATGTATCTACTGAGAGATATAACAAAAGATTGTGGCTCTGCAAAAACTTGTTTCACTTGATTAGATCTTAAATAAATAATACATAAATGTGATGTGCTTGTATTTGTGATAAAGGTATAATCAAGTGAAGGACAAATCAACATTTTTAAAGTTTCGTTACATGAGGGAGGGGTTAAACCTGAACAAACTAACTTTCCATGACATTTGATAACTAGACACCATCTCAAGGCCCATATATATCAATGACAAGCAAACTTTTAGGGTTTGCTAAACTTTCTCTGTTTTTTATAGGTTATTGTTATTTATTTCCATATTATTCAACATAATTATTTACATAGATTGTGAGGGGCCGAGGCTATATAGCATTATTGGCCCCCCTCTCTGTTCTGCATTTTGGTCATAAATATACAATTACAAGTTTAAAGTGTTTATTTCTATGGAACACTCTCATATCTGAAGTAGACTGGTAGAGATTAGAGTATTATCCTTCTCCCTAAGTCTACACACATATAAATCCATGTTCTTAAGATAAGATCCACTTTGAAGATGTTTGTAATGGTATCACAGGAACATAAGATATGAAAATGAACATTTCAGTATTTAACCTTAAAGGCAGAATCAGATCTACAGGGGTGACAAAGAGCTACAAGCAACATTTACAATTGACCTACAAATCTATTCCTTACAATCTCAAATACAAAAATTTCCCTAAAGATTCACAATATGTTATAAATTGGTGAAGTTATATAATGTATAAAAATGTTTAAATTCTTCCAAATAGTAAGAATGATAACCATTCTTATAGAAAAATAATACTCTATCTTTAGTTTTCCTGAAATAAAGTGTGCATTATGGGTATTTTTAGAAAATAGACATGACAAGGAATGACATGAGCCAGAAATATTTTCTGTTTGCCTGCCTGCTAGATCTGATTCTCTCTTTTATTAACATGTCAAGTGAATGACACAAAGACTAAGGACATTTGGTGATTAAGGTCACAGATTTGCCATTAAAGATGTAGACTCACTCTGTTTTTTCCTGTTTCAATTTATCTTGATAATACTTTCTATATTTATATACAGGAAACTGACATAATCTTTTAAAAATGCCAACTCAGAAACGAAATACCAGTCACAAAAATGGTAGATATAACAAAATTCTTAATGAAGAAATAAAAGCTTAAGTGAGACTGAAAATCTTACGCACTGAACAATATCTAATTTCCCGGGGAAAATTGCTGGTCATTAATTGCACTATTGACCGCCATAATGGACCACCACTATGACGTCACATATTGCGTAGGTCGATATAATAAATGAATGCCTTCATAACTAGCACTAAAACCCCTAGAACTGGCCTGGCAAGGTGGTAATAATTGTAATTACTGCATCATACAAGCAAGTGTGTTCTAATTGAAAGCCTGGCATTGCAATTAAATCATAGTTAAGGTGTTGTGAAAGGTTATGGTGAAGTGAGATTAATTGAATGTGATAAACAAGAGGCCAGCTTGACTTACACATTGCATCCATGCTAATTACCCAATCTGTTACACAGCTTCAAGAAATATATCCATGGTTAAATTTCCCAGATTTCTTCATTGTTTATGACCCAGCATGAAACACAGCTACAAAAATGTATCCAGGATTAATTTTCCAATCTGAAGCAGAGTCTCAAGATAAACTGCCATAACTAATATCACAGCTTCAAAAAAATTTTTTTTTTAATTCATCACTTGGTCTGAAGCACAGCCCCAAAAATTGTGCCCATGATAATTTGTTGATTCAGAAGTATGTTTCCAAATTCATTCAAATTCCAATATAAAAACAAAGTCTGGAGGAATAGAAGGAGCATGTATATGAATATTTTTTCTTACTCATTTTGTGCCGTATCATTCAATGAAAATCCAACAAAATTAACAACATAAAATTTGTGTTGAACTATGTATATTCATTAGTATGAGCTAGTAATTATCTATTGTATATGAATCCAGGATTATGCATGAGACTGCCTCTTCGTTTGATAAGACAATACATGGTACAGTGTATATATAGAGGTTGTTGACTTAAACAACTGGACCATTCTGCCATTGTTATCAGCTAGAAAAACTTATTGTCCAAAGTGTCAGAGTCTAGTACATTCTAAAGATGAAGCTTTCTTTTAAAAGAGCTTCATCAAACTATTAAAAAGGGTTATACTTTATTGCTTTGATAAATGAAACAAAGAAATATGTCAGGGTAATGAACAGTGGGCAATGAACTGCCCGCTGCAATGAATTGCTGGTTTGAATATATTGCATATTTAGACAGATTTTTATATAATTATGTTTTTCAATGAAAAATTAAAATAATCCCTGTTTGTAATCATGCCCTCAGAATTTGAAAAACTGAAATAATAGAAAACCCCTGTATGTAATCATGCCCTCAGAATTTGAAAAATTGAAATAATACAAAATCCCTGTATCTAATCATGCTCTCAGAATAACATTGAAGCGTTTTCATATTGAAAATAATACAAAATATCTATTTGCAATCATGTACACGGAATGACAGTGAAGCATTTTGTTAACGTGCCAACAAATTAATGAGAGATATTGTTAAGTAGAGCCAGTGAATCTATGCCAAAAATGACACTTAATGGAAAGATAGTCACAACTAATATTGTTTTCATACCATAGTTTGGGAATTTGAACACAATTTGTGAAAACAATACAATTTGCATTTTTTAGGTTAAGTTAGGGGGGGGGGGGTAAAGCAGCCTTTCAATCAGTATAAATATGTAAGTGTATGTTGTATACAATGTACATGAATGTTCATATATCTGGCACTAATTGAAAAGCCTTAGTTAGTCATAGAGTGGTTGACCTGATGAGGTCACAGTTGTGTCCTAAAGCCATTTAAATACACTAGAGATAATAGTGAGAGGATACCAAGAGTAAATCAATGTTAATATATTGTACAGTAAAACATTTGGAAATAAACATCTTATCTCTCTTATGTACACATCTCTCATATATGAGATAAAATGTTTCTGAGACAGGACAGCGTGCAGTTATTTTCATGTCATATAAAGTGTTCACATTGAACATGATTTTCTACATACCCTCGAGGTACGGCGTTGAAGGCTAGTCTTAGCATCAGAATTCACCAAAATCTTGTAACAAATGTACCACCCATTCTATTTAAGTATTTTTAATGTAATTTACATATTTCATGTATGAAGCAAAACTATCGCCACTTGTGCCAAATAATATAAGTGTCCCTAGAAATCATCTCTTTTAAAATAAATTGGTCAACAATAATTGTTTCACAGACCATATAATGCTAATCTATATGTACTGCCAATGAAGCCAGGGAGCATATTTTGTAAATATTTTCAAAATGTACAACAGGAGTTAAAAGCAAGAACAGAACATCGCTTTCACAGATATATTTCATTCATTCATAGAACTGTATTCTCAAGCTTTTACTAATAGCAACATGGCTTTAATGATGTTTCAATAAGAACCGATAAATGAAGTCTCTGCCAAATTTTTGTTATGAAATTCCCTCGCAATTTTTTGTTATGAAATTCCCTCGTCGATTTAATTCCTCACTGAAGTTACATAAAGTATTTCGAAAAACAGTTAAGATCTGCACTTTAAACCCATACCGTTTTTGTAATTTAAGTGAGGAATTAAATCGACGATTCGGTTGTCTTCTGAGCTATTTTTTCGCAAAAATGTACATTTTCTAAAACATATGATACTGATACACGTTTGTGAGAAAAAATGTCATGGGATTTCTGCCTACAATGCGTAAAATAAGGAAAAAAAGGAAAAATTGTACCTTTGACGTTCCGACATTTTGTTAGGGAAACAAACCGTTTCAGTAACCCGCGTAATCGAGCGGATCACCAGTGAGCTGGGGATTCTGAACTGAAATACTATACCCATATCCCCTGATGAACCAATCGACAGGGACATGTCCAGTTTTTTGGCCATAATTCCAACTATAGTCCCATATGGAGGGGGGGGGTATGTGAAACATTGTTCCCAATTTTTGACAGATGAAGTTATATATCAAAGAAATTTACTTTAATAAATTCAAAAGTGTTTGACTTTATAAACAATAGGCGTGACATTTTACGATGACATGGCCATATGGGGGGTATCCCATGAAATATTGTTTTCAATTTTTGACAGATAAAGATATCAAAGAAATATACTTATATAAAGTCAAAGGAGTTGACTTTTAAAACAATGACCTGGCAAAAAGATTGTCAAATTGTGACACCTCCTTGAGACTCTCAATGTATCTTTATCCTCTCTTGGAGGGTTTTGAGTAAAACTTGACGACTATAAAACCTCTATAATTCAAACGCCTCTAGGACAAGCCAAAAATGTTCGGATTAGCAGGTGTTCGCATTTTAAGTTTTTTCAACATGTAAGTCAATGAGAGATCACAAATTTGGGACCCAAAAAGTGTTCTCATTGAGAGGTATTCGGATTTGAGAGGTGTTTGAATATACAGGTTCCACTGTACTTCGAAGTCCAGAGACTAGAAGTAAATAAAATACTACTGATGTAAAGTTCCCAATTTTAGAGTGGTGAAGTAAGATAAAAATTCAAGAAAACATACCTGTATCACTTTGAAGGATTTTTTTCAACCTTGCAAGGACATCAGAAAATCTTCTTACATCTTGAGTGAGTGAGAGGATCTCGCTATGATCCATATAAGGAGAGTCGGTCGAGTCACGTTTAAGATTCTCAGCACTACCTCTTCTACGCATTTTACACGCATCTCTCTTAAAAAGAAAATTATTCAGATTCAGAATGAAATTTAGAACTATGTGATTAAAGATTCAATAGTGAATGTCACTGAGGCTCAAATATGCCTCATAACATCGTGGAAATAATTGCTATTTTGTAGTTAATTTCCCAGTTTTGGTAATAAAAAAACATTTACTTTTTTTGTTGCTCCTTTGCAAAGTATTAATTTTATTGATGGAGGACTTCATAGTCTCTCAATGCTCTAGTGTTTTTAATTACTAGTATTTTTTCACATGGACACATATATTTCGTATCCCAGTGCACTATTTATACCAATCAGGCTTAACAGGTTAAATGGGTTAAAAAGGTGTTCTACTTAATTAAGGGTACTTTCAATTTAAGTTATTTTTGTTGATTCTTATTCTCGATTTTATGTATAAAAGTAATTTGTTTTTTCAATTAAATATTTAATCACAGTATAATTATTAGCTATTTTTTCTGAATTGAATATTAAGGGCAGAATCAGATGTATAGGGGTGAAAAATACAAGCAACATGTACAATTGACCAACCAATCTATTCCTTGTAATCTCAAATACAGTATCTCCCAAAAGTTTCATGATATTTTATAAATTGGTGAATTTATTATGGGTTCAAAGTGCAAAAATGGGTGAAAAATGTCTAAATTCTCCCAAATAATAAGAATGGTAACCATTCTTATAGAAAAATAATTATTGTAAAAATCTTTAGTTTTCCTGAAATAAAGTGTTCACTTTGGGGATTTTTAGAAATTAGATGACAAGCAAAGACATGACCCAGAAATATTCTAAAATTGAAACAATTTTTTGTTGGCCTGCTCGCTAGGTCAGATTCTCTCTTTAAACTTAATCAATAGCAGAAGTGAGCATAGGCCGTGGGAACATGTGTAAATCAAAAAAAAAAAGTCAAGTTCTATTAGAAAAGAGATAACTTCCTATTCTCTTTTCATAAAGAACTAGAATTAGTTTTCTCAATATATGTTCCTAAGGCCTATGGTCGTGAGAATATGACAGTCATCAGACCTTTTCGTCTTTCCAAATACAGTGGTATGCCACTTGCCAAAATACAATACATGAACCTGTTATAAGACAGCACAGTGAATTTTGGCACATCAAGTTGTTTTTATTTTTGTTGATACCTTTTCATTTTTGTACTTGTCATCTTGATTCGTCTTGGTATATCATGCCTTGCCAAAACTGCACTTCTTTTCTATTCACAATATGCCAACAAACATATTTTCCAAATAGGATTTTGTGATTGACATTGAGTTTTTTATTATCTTACCTATATTCTTATATTTAAATCTATAAGTCCATCATTTAGAACTATAAATGCAAAAGTCGAAGCTCTCCAAAATGCACTTGTTTAAGATCAGTTGTGTACATAAGATGTTTCCATTGACTGATGTGCATTCAGATTTCTAAGGAAAAGCAATAGTAAGGAGGTTTAAGGAAAGACAATAGTAAGGAGGGCTGTTATATGGTGTCTTCAAAAATGCCCTGAGAGGATCAACATTGTGAAGTCCCGTCATTACCATCATTTTTATAAAACAATCAACAAACATGAGATAAAAGGAACTCTTGACCAGCATATAGACAAGGTAGATAGTGGTCCAGCCATGAATTCTTCTCCAAAACGAGGCCTCAACACAGTACTGACCCAAATAGCAACTATTCAAATTAACAGATTCACTTTTCCCTTAATTTACTCCAAATCTAAATAAATTGTTGAATGCATTCTTTTAAAGTTGGTATCACAGAAAATATACTTGTATTTGGCATGGCCTATGTGTCAAGAATCATAAAATTACATACATGACATTATGCATAAGCCATATAGCTATAAACTACATTTGAGAATGGCTGGAATACCCACAGGTTCCCTGTTGAAGCAGGATACCAGGGATTTGCTGGACATTGTTGTGAAGCTGTGCTGGATGGCTGCCCCACTAATCTACCATCTCATTTCCACCACCATAAGCTTGTTCTTTGTGCATGCACAGCTTCTCATTATGGTTTCCATTATAGATGGAACATAACAGCAAAAGACACTTAAGGATTCACCTGGTGTTGTACCATCCATGCATATAGACTTGAGAAACTATAGAGTAAGTTAGAAATGAATTGGGGTAACAGTTCATCAGTGTTTAATTCAACTTAACTCACCTTTTACCTACAATTCCAGTCAAAACATAAACAATCTAGACAGGTGTAGATTTTTCCATATATCTAATCCTGTGCATAATTAAATATAGGTAAATCGTCCAAAATGCCCTAGATTTTCACCTAATGTACATTGTAGTACAGTGACAATGTCACAGGGATCTCAACTCCTCCAAAACAAAATCCAAAATTTCCCAATCATACCAGTTATTAAAATGTCAACTAGGGCAAAGGGGTGTAATGTCGACGTGTGGGGTAATGTTGACATAATAGACGGGGTAACTTTGACACTTACTTATTGGAAGTAGAATTTCCGTTTTCCGCCATGTTTGATTTCTGGAAAAATCTCTCGAGATCTCGCTCTATGCGAGAAAAAAACATAGCTTCCCCCTAGATCGGAAATTAGAGCAAATAAACAATAAGGTGTCAAAGTTACCCCAATATGGTGTTGACGTTACACCACTTCACCAAAATCAATGGTGAGATATAATGCCAATTGTGCCAATGTGAATTAGACTATATCCTATTTAGTCTGAATTATATTCAGACTATAAGGCACCTATGTTAAAGTTTGGTAATTATAGATATTTGTTTACATAGGAAGTGCTATTCAAAATGGCCGATTGGGTAAAATTAATTTGCAATTTGTTACTTCAACTAGCTTTATTTCCACTTGACAATATGCTGTGTTACTTTTTATTGCATTCAATTGTACCTTACTATTTAATTGAAATTTTGTAATGTTTATTTTATTAAAAAAATGGTTCCCCTAATTGATAATTTTGTGCAAAAAATTTTACTGCAATTTCCACAGGAAAGTAGTACATCATAACAGACTGACTTCTAGTCAGTCTGTTGGATACATACTACAATGTGAATTCAATATTCTGTTTTCATTTTGTTCAATTCTTGATTTTGTTTTTTTCCGTTTATATAGGGTAGTAACTTTGTAAAAACAAAAGTAATTTATGTGCAAACTCAACATGTACTCACGCTCTCTTTGTGGTAAAACATCAATCAAGTGTAAATAAAATACAAGCTCGGCTAGAAAAAATAAATAAAAAATCCTCACTGAATTTTGCAGGGAGTCCTCAGGAATGTTGGTCTTTTTCTTCGAACCCCGCGACTTTCCGAAGCCTAACACCAACTTCTTCCCGGCTGATGACATTATCAATATATCGGTATTATGTATTCCTCAAAATAGTTTATATTCCTGCAACTATTTGAGATTGTTCCAGTACAATTTTTGATTTTCTAAGTTTATCTCGACTTCCATGTTTGATCTATTTTTAGAATGACACGCCACACGTAAGATTCAAAATCAAGACAAAAGCCACATGGACTTGTGCATCGCAATAACCCCCTCCCGCAACCGACAGATAAGAACGGGTCTGGTAAGTAAAGCCAGGATTGATATTGATACGATTTGCTATTCGCACCTTCACATCTTATGAAGATGGCGAGCGTTCGCAATACTAGCATAATATAACTATGTTCGTATTTTTAATGTATGCGTTTTTTTGAAAAACGTCAAGTACACTTTCTATGTTTTCATTCTTGTAAAACACGACTTTTAAAGATCTATAGTGTACTATTTCAATGTATTAGAATAGTAACATGTCAGAGATTAAGGTGGTACCACTTGGTAAGTGCAAACTCTTCTAAATTTGTTAAAAACTCATATACAATGAGGTTTGAATATAACTCGTGGGTGATAATAGTTCAACAAGCTAAACTTCATCCGGCTTATCCAGATCATATCTCAGTTCCCCTTTCAACTTCAGAAAGTCTAGGAAATGATTAATGTCAGATCTGTCTTTTTTACAGTGTTCAGGTTTCTCTAATCCATTATAAATTCATTCACATCAACCTTAGATTCCTCGATGCCCCCATGGGCTTTCAACTCTAATTGAAACTCTAATTGGAGAAGATCAATGCAGGCAGAGATATCCCGTGAACTTCTAGTACATTTTAACCTATGCAGCTGCACAGATCACTAGTCTTTATGGGTAGACTGTAGCTAGTAATCACTATGATGCACAACCACGCCATCTTTCAATAGCAGTAAAAGTTTTTCTATATTGATTAGTTCCCAAAATGCACTTCTACAGTGGTATACGCTAGAGTGGCATACGGTGGAGTGTATACGATGACGATATACCACTCTCCACTATATACGAGGGTTGTCCCAGAAGTAATGCACTATATGCTCTAACTTTCTTTAATATTCTACAATTCAGCTGAAATTTTATATATATAACAATTGAAGTTTTATCTATTATATCCTGAAGTTTCAGCATCAAACATTAATATTAAGTCTCAATATGGTTGCTATAACAACATGGGGGTAGGGGTGGGCGGGGCAGGCACCAATTTTTCTAATTATGAAAAGATCTAAAGTGTTATTTTATTAATATTTCGTTGCTTTAAATGGTCAAAATGTTTGGGAAATTGTTAAATTTATTCAACATGATGTTAACCAAGTACAAATAATGACATTTAGCACTCATGCACTGTGATATCATAATACCACATTTCAGTAGTCACGAATTCAAATACAGTCACAGTCAAGAAATTGCAAAAATGGCTGCAATTCTTACCTGATAACAGAAGGCCTTGCGTTTAGTGGCCTAATTTCATACTTCACTTGGACTCACAGCCACGCAAAGCAATGCTACCATGGAGAAAGTATATAAGGAGTATATACCAGATAGAACTAAAATTAAGGGGTGGCAGAAACGATTTAAAAGAGACTATTTGACCCTGGATGACGACCCCAAACATGGGAGGCAAAAACTCCACAAGTCCCAGTGGAAGAAATTGCCAAGAGTGTTTGACCTGACAGGCATCAAAAGTACATACCATGCAAAGGGCATTGTTTTGAGAAAATGTGAAATGGGACACTGTGCAATATACATCCATTAAATCTAGGATGTGCTCATAGTAATTTCGTATCTCAAAAATGTATTTTTGAGCATACTTCTTATAGCTACACAAAATGGTATTTGTTGATTAATTATTTCATATTTTCAATTTTTTATTCCTTTTGACGTGAATGTATAACCTGCCCCGCCCTACCCAAACTCACCAACTTGATTTTATTATAACATCAATATAGTTTTATCAGTCAACATGAAATTTTTCAAAATAATCAAAATGTCTCTAAGGAACATTTTCTGAAAATTTCATGGAAACATATCAATTATTGATAAAGTTAGAGCATATAGTGCATTACTTCTGGGACAACCCTCGTATTGTTGTCATAGACACCTGTTATACAACTATAATTGGACTTAGAGTGGTATAATATGTATTACATTACTGTATAACCTGTACTCATCAATGCAATTTATTTCTTGTATTTAGGGGCAGGGCAAGATGTAGGGAGAAGTTGTATTCTTTTGACAATAGGGGGTAAGAATATCATGTTTGACTGTGGCATGCACATGGGATACAATGATGATGTAAGTATCTTTTACTAACTTATAACTATACATGCTTGAATTGAAATATATATGAATCTTACATAATACATTTGTATTTAAACACAGACCAGAGCATGAAAGAACAGTCAGAAATGTTGTAGGTTACTGTCCATGACATAAATCATTCATATTCTGCACCTATGGCACGCAGAGATGTAATATCTACAAAAACTTGTGATGTACATGGTGCCATTGTATTTGTCAAAATATGCTCCTATATAGATATATGATAGACAATACGTACATCCTCTCTCCAAATTTTTTCTAATGTAATAATATGATGAGCAATGTTAAAAACATACAATTTCATTATTTTTCAGAGGAGGTTTCCTGATTTTTCCTACATTACTAAAAATGAAGAAATAGGTCGTCTGACAGAGTTCCTCGATTGTGTTATCATAAGGTATACATATTTTAACCTAGTCTTTTAGTTTCTATGATTTCTTGAAAGATTGCAGAACTATTGCAAGCCTTTTAGCCTTCATTTTGTATAGTCCTTGAAAAGAATATATAAAAATTAGTGTCAGATGAGTTCTCCAGATTGTGATTAGAAGTAAGAAATATTAGATTAATTCTTTTACTTTTCAGCCATTTTCATCTGGACCACTGTGGTGCTCTTCCATACATGTCTGAAATGGTGGGGTTTGATGGGCCTATATATATGACACATCCTACAAAAGCAATATGTCCCATATTGTTGGTAAGATATTTGTTCAATACTCTGCTCTTTAGTTTCTGACTCTAGTTGACATTGGAGTTAACACAGCTGAAAAAATCAAATTCTGTATAAAAACATATACAAAAGATATAAAATGTTGTTCTTGTTATAGACTGATCTCTTTGTTTTAATACACTGCATAGCAGACCCCATAAAATTCATTTATTTATTTCAAATATATGAGCAATGGTTTAGAATTGAATAATGGAAATATGAATCAAATCAACATTTTAATTTTAACTCATATTGAAATTTTGCTTTAAATATGAGTATATGCATATTTGTTAAATGATTTGATTTGAAAATAATAAATTCAGTTGTATTTAAAAAACTAAAATTCATTTTTTTCTACAGGAAGATTATAGAAAGATCACAGTTGACAGAAAAGGAGAAACAAACTTTTTTACCTCAGAGATGATAAAGAATTGTATGAAGAAAACTGTAGCAGTGAATCTCCATGAAACTGTCCAAGTATGTAGATTGAACATTGTTATGTTACCACTAGGAAGTGACATTGTGGTGTTTCTCAGCTAGATATTTGTAACCATTTGCAATAACTAACAGGGTGGTGCCATCTTTTCAGATTATCATATTCATGACTTGTAAAGTTGTTTGTGTTGTAGTGTGATGAGGGGGGGGGGGGTTGAGGGACTTGATCAAAAACTATATAACCCCCTGGTTGGTGGTTTAAGACTTAAGAGGTCTAAAAATGAGTTACATATGATCCCTATTAGATCAACCCAACCAACAGGAAGGCTACTAAGGGCTATGTGAAGCTTAGCAGAGATTTTAAAAATTATTTGTAGGAAAAATAGACCAGAGTTTCTTACATTTTTCAAAATAATGTTTTTAGACTCCTAGTTAGGATACCAATTTATAAATGATGCTACATCCTTACACCAAACCAATGTACAGCATACATTTGCTTTCAATATGTTTTGTCAAGGTTGATAATGAACTGGAGATCAAGGCCTATTATGCAGGTCATGTGCTTGGTGCTGCAATGTTTCATGTCAAAGTAGGTGGTCAGTCAGCTGTCTATACAGTGAGTATAACAATATTAACAGTCAGAAAATTCAATAAGTAATGCCTCAGTCATATTTCCTCTATGGCAACCTTATGGTGGTCCAAGCTTCCAAAAATTGAGAGAAATATGCAGAATAAATATAGGGGTAAGCAGTATGATGTAGATTTTCTTAATCGATTTTGTGAAGCTACGGCCACCATAGAGCAAATGTGACTGAGGATCATAAATACAAAATCCAATGAATCATGTCACAAATAACATTAAATTTGAACCAATTTAAATTCACAGCATTTATTAAATCAAGCCATCACCAAATGAATTAGTATGAAAAAGCGGTGCCGTAAATACTTGTGGAGTCATATTTTAGACACGAGTGTCCTGAAAAATCTTGTGAAATTACAACATAAGATGTTCTTTGGAGGGAAATATAAACAGTATATACTCTTTGTAGGGAGAACACAACAGTACAATCATGGTTTTTGTAAGAAAATTACATTACATGTTCTTTGTAGGGAGATTACAACATGACCCCCGACAGACATCTTGGTTCAGCATGGATAGACAAATGTCGCCCTGATCTGCTGATTACAGAGTCAACATATGCGACAACCATTCGAGATTCAAAACGATGTCGTGAGCGGGACTTTTTGAAGAAGGTTCACGATTGTGTTGACAAGGGAGGAAAGGTTAGATTTCCTTATATGTTCAATCAGAAGCAAATTCAATTTACAATTCAACCTTCGGGAAATTATTGCGTATGAGAAACAAAGCATAGATATGCAGAGAAACACATTTTTAATTGCTTCCCAACCTCAATTTATTAAACATTGTCACGAAAAATTACACTTATTATTGACATCAAAATTATGTTTATAAATTACAATTACAATTGAATGTTCAAATGTAACAACATATGATACTAAAATATCTAAAATGTATGCATTAGCATTGGCATGGCATCATGTCTATTGTATCACAAAGATACAATTTCTACAGTAGATTGCAGATGCTGGAATAATCAGCTATAGTCCATGGTAAAATTAGTCAGTATTCAATGGACAAGTGCTCGTTATGTTGCACCCTCCAAATCACTGTCAGCTTGGAGAGAATCATATTAATACGAAATTGCAATCTAAATTAAAGTGGTCATACCACAAGCATCGTATCAATCTGCTAATATTATAATAATTTGGTGAAAATATCAATGCTTGAAAATTTGCTTTAGAGGTCATATGATGTAGCAACTGAAGTTTCAAAATAGTGTGTCGTAAAAAATTTAAAAAAGAAAGAAATTCACAAAATAAACCAGCAACCTTTTCAAGCTTTGATCTTTGCGAAGAGAAAATGTTGAACATCAATGTACTTTAATATTAAACTATTGTCACTTTCAAGAAAAATGTCTCATCCCTAGGTGCTGATACCAGTCTTTGCTCTTGGGAGAGCGCAAGAGCTTTGTATATTACTAGAATCTTACTGGGACAGGATGAATCTCAAAGTGCCAATATATTTCTCTCTGGGTCTCACAGAAAAGGTAAGGCTTAAGTTAAATAAAGTGTAGAGAATATCCTCTCTTTGCCCTTTTGAAAAAGACCCATGTAGCATTAGCTTTTGAAGATAAAAGAAAAACAAGTAGCCCCTTATCCTGGAAAAATGTTGGCAAATGCCTAACGTTAAGTTCCACTGTCCCAGACATTCTTAGCTCACATGGTGAACATTGTCAAAAATGAGGATTTTTACTTTCAAATATTTTTACAATCGAATGTTGTCAGGATTCCTGAATCTGGTAGTAGTAGGTTGACTTTGTTGATAGGAATTTTAAATTGAATTTTATTTTATTCAGAGAATATATCTAAATTATAATCATAGCCCATAAAGAGAGGTTTAAACTAAATAAAATATATTATTAATCTGAAGAGAAAGCCCATGTTTAAATATATGAATTGATGATATCGAAGATGGTTCACCCTATCAGTTACATGATAAAACGAATATTTCATTCTATTTTCATTGAATACCTGTGTCAGTTTCACAATATGATTTCCACTAGCCATTTGAGCTTCGTGGAATAGCACTTGTGAAAGATGTACAGGTATTCACACTTTAGAATGAAATATGTGTATATTATTTCACAGTTAGTATGATATTCATAGTTTATCATGTCAAAATAAAAACAGTATTTTTCTTCTTTGAACTGGTTCACCTGTGATACTCATTTTATCAATGTGTTTTAATTCCTATTCCCCTTTGGCCATTGCACTTACATATAAAGCACATTTTCAGGTTTTGTGAAGTTCACTGTTTTCAGTATTTTCTAATGGAAACACTTAAACAGAGTTTTGCCTGAAAACCAACATTCTTAGTGCCCTTCTAAAATCTGTACTTTTCCATCCATACACAAAAGAATTACAAAATGAATTGCAATAATACATAATAACTGAAAATTGTTCATACGTGACCAACCATTTTGGTTTCTGTTTGTAAAATAACACTACACAAGTAAATATCCAATATGGAGTGTACAGAATTACTAGAGTTCCGAAGATAATAGCCATCATTTTTACTATCTTCATATCTGATTTTGAAGTGTCTGTAACAGGCCCTATGGCATTCTGCTGCTCATTTTGTTGTTTCTTATGTGCCCAAGCAATGTAGAAAATTCTGCAGTATGCTGTGCATATAATAATTAACATGAGGATCCCAGCTGAAGCTATGATACCATAGAATGCTGCAGGCTGGTACAAAATCATTGACAAACTACATTGTAGACCTGGTGTCCATATGTTAAAACAGCTCAATCCGATAAACATGAAATAAGAATAAATCCAAGAACAAATGATGGATATCCTTACTTTCTTCATTGTAAATATATCTGGGTATGAAAACGGCCTTGTGATTGCGATGTAACGTTCTATAGAAATAGCTGTGTACATCATCATTGAAGCAGCAGTTGGTTGGTGTACAACCACCTGGCACACGAGACAAGAATATTTCTCAGAGTCAGCCCCATCAAGTACCAGACTCGCTTCTGGGTATAGCTGCCTTAAATTACAATATGGCAAAGCCAATCCAACCATTAAGTCAGCAAATGATAAACTCAGCACATATTGATTGCTTATTGTCTTAAGATAGTCAAATTTCAATATTGCAACTATTATTAAAGTATTTGACACAATGATGAGTGCTGATATGATAACACTGATTACTACATATGTAACTCCTAATTCATGTCCAGTTAATGTAGCATTTGTTTGGTTTTCCATATTTATTGAATTAAACTCATTAAATAGTCGACTCATTGCTCAAGGTTTACTGTCGCAACTACTTTTGATATAACTAAGTATGCCTAGGTATAGGTATGTATTTTATGACATCTTTTATATAAAACATGTTCCTCCATCTTTTAAATAAAACATGTTCCTCCATTCAACTTATGAATCATGATCAATAGCAAATATGTGATCCATTAGCGAATGAATACCTACACTCAACAATGATATACACATAATGGCCATATCAGTTTTATGGTCTTTAGTTTTGTCATCCCGTGTCAGTTTCACAAGATGATTTCCACTAGCTATTTGAGCTTCGTGGAATAGAATAACTAGTGGAAGATGCAAAGGTATTCACATTTTAGAATGAAATATGTGTATATTATTTCACAGTAAGTGTGATATTCATAGGATATCATGTCAAAATAAAAACAGTATTTTTCTTCTTTGAACTGGTTCACTTGTGATGCTCCTTTTATCAATGTGTTTTAATTCCTATTCCCCTTTGGCCATTGCACTTACATACTAAGCACATTTTCAGGTTTTGTGAAGTTCACTGTTTTCAGTATTTTCTAATGGAAACACTGCATCAGAATTTTGCCTGTAGACCAACATTCTGAATGCCCTTCTAAAATCTGTACTTTTCCATCCATACACGTTGTAGACCTGGTGTCCAAATATTAAAACAGTTCAATCCAATTAACATTAAATGAGAATAAATCCAAGAACAAATGATTGATATCCTTACTCTCTTCATTGTAAATATATCTGGGTATGAAAACGGTCTTGTGATTGCGATGTAACGTTCTATAGAAATAGCTGTGTACATCATCATTGAGGCGGCAGTTGGTTGAGTCAAAGCAGTCTGACATAAGGGACAAGAATATTTCTCAGAGTCAGCCCCATCAAGTACCAGGCTCGCTTCAGGGTATAGCTGCCTTAAAATACAATATGGCAAAGCCAATCCAACCATTAAGTCAGCAAATGATAAACTAAGCACATATTGATTGCTGATTGTCTTAAGATAGTCAAATTTCAATATTGCAACTATTATTAAAGTATTTGACACAATAATGAGTGCTGATATGATAACACTGATTACTACATATGTAACTCCTAATTCATGTCCAGTTAATGTAGTATTTGTTTGGTTTTCCATATTTATTGAATTAAACTCATTAAATAGTCTACTCATTGCTCAAGGTTTACTGTCGCAACTACTTTTGATATAACTAAGTATGCGTATAGTAGGTATGTTAATTTTATGACATCTTTTATATAAAACATGTTCCTCCATTCAACTTATGAAGTATGAACAATAGCAAATATGTGATCCATTAGCGAGTGAATACCTATACTCATTTCAACAATGACATACACATAATGGCCATATCAGTTTTATGGTTTTTGAGTTTTGTCATCCTATATAGATCAACTAGTTAGAAGTGATGTAAAAATATTAAAGTAAGGTTGGTCATGGCTCGGTTTGAAAGCGATTCTTTTAATGCCTGAGGAAATACTTTCTTTTTATTTGTTGTCACATCTTTTGCGTAAATGATCTCTGCTCTGGCTCTATTTCCTCTAAATACTGAATGGAACTATCATTTAAACAACAATTATACACTTAAGTGATCTATAAGATAATTGCTGTATATTGTCTCTTTTGATACATGTTTTTCAACACTGCCATGTTGATTCTTTAAAATTACATTTATATTTAATTAGCCAAACCACGAGCAAACCAAGATATACAAACATTTTGCTTGTAAAATATGAATGTATTTTATTTCCTTGATACTGCACTTTGGTCTTTCGATTCATTTTTTTTGTTTTATTGACTCACAAGCCAATATATTAGTTGCAAGTAGAAACTTGAATGCCCATGGTAGAAATAATTTGGATTTACTTCAATAAATATTTAAAAAGGCAGGTACTTTATTGCAAGCTTTTTTAGACAACTCTTATTTAAGTTCTAATATTTATTTGACCATGAAAACAAATGCGTCTGTTTGGCCAATATGTTATCTCCAAAAAGGTACAATAGAATGAAAGTAAAATTGATTGGATTATCTCTTAAGCTGTCATTAATCCACCCATCATCACCAATCTTCCCCAATTATGAGCCAATTTTCACCAAAATGCAGCATTTTATTCCAATTTTTACGACTGAATTGAAATGTACTGTAAGTCATGATTTACCTCTGAAAAGGAAAAGTGAGTCTCCTTTGGATTAGGATAATCAGAAAAACAATAAAAATTTGAGGTCAAATATCTGGCCTTAAAGTGAGGGCCTATAATGTCACAACTAATTCGAATATTGCTAAGCGGCAATAACGAATGTTTGGTGAAATAATTTTCATAATACTAATGAGAAAACATGTCCAAATACATTTATCAAAAAAACTATATTGATTCCTATATGTCAAAAATACGATTTCATATCTGCTTTAAACATACCAGTACATAAAAGTCTTGTGTGAACAAAAAAGGATATATCCATTATGCATGATGATAGTATGATGACATCCATGTCCGATCAATGGCAATACATTACCGGTTCCATTAGTGACTCATTATTTAATAAATATTTTACAAAACACATTATTAGGAGGCCTCCTGAAGAAGGACTCATTTTTCTTTCTTTGATTTTTATTTTATTTTTTATTGATTTGTCTATATATTTATTTACAGTCCCTTTTATTTATTATTGAGAGCCCTTTGGAAGAGGACTCAAGCATCTTGAGTTTTGGCACTACACTAAATATTTTTTCTTAATTTTGGAGAGATTTTTTGAAATTTATTATTGTGTAAGCATTTTGCTGTTTGAAAAATATTTCCCGGATTTTGAGATACTAGAGGTTAAAAATGGTAAAAATGTCATTTTCAGCTTAAAACCATTCACAAGTTGCCTAGGGCTAGTTGCTATTCATACATTATGATCTATGGCTAGTAGGGACCGCACAAAAAAATTTCGGCCAAATCAGACATCATTTGCCTCACCCCCTCAAGCCATCTTTATGTGACACATTTAGCATGAATACATTAGATTCAATTATGAAACATGTACTAAATTGAAAACTGACATATAAAATAGGTGGAGTCCTATATTTTAGTAATAAATGAAATTACAATGTCAAGTGACATTTGAAGATGTTTTGAATGCATTGATTTGCTTTCTATTGAGACATGTTTCTAACTTTATGCTGCAAAAAGATAAAATTGATGACACTCACTTTCTTATATTTTTCCAGGGGTAGGGCACTATAAAGTGTTATTAAAAATAGAAACAGTACTTAGTCATTATAATAGTTGCATTAAATATCACAAATAGCAACGAGATGACTTAAGATTACTTGTTTGAGCTGTAAAAGCTGTCATCTTTTGCTTGAAGCTACAAATATAAAATAGATGAGACTTAAAAAAGTGTGTCGCGGATCTAAATTAACACAAAAAGTTTGATATCTCTGGATTCAGTTATCATAAAATGCTGTATTATGACTTCTTACATAAAATACATAAGAAGGCCTTTCTAAAGAGCCATTATACATCATTTTATGACAACTGAATCCAGAGATATCAAACTTTTTGTGTCAATTTTGATCCACTACACATCTTTTTTTGGTCTCATCTATTTTATATTTGTAGCTTCAAGCAAATGATGACAGCTTGTACTGTTCAAAGAAGTATTCTAAAATCATTTCCATGCTATTTCTGATATTTTAATACAACTAATTATAATGACTAAGTACTATTTCATATTTTTGATATGACTTTATAATGCCCTACCCCTGGAAAAATATAAGAAAGTGGGTGTCATCAATTTTATCTTTTTGCAGCATAAAGTTAGAAACATGTATCAATAGAAATACATCAATGCATTCAAAACATCTTCAAATGTTACTTGACATTGTAATTCATTTATTTATACTAGAATATAGGACTCCACCTATTTTATATGTCAGTTTTCAATTTAGTACATGTTTCATAATTGAATCTAATGTATTCATGCTAAATGTGTCAAATAAAGATGGCTTGAGGGGGTGAGGCAAACGATGTCCGATTTGGCTGAAATTTCTTTTTGGCTGTCCCTACTAACCATAGCTCATAATGTATGAATAGCAACTTGATCAGAAAAAAATTCCCAAAATGAAACACCCTAAAGTTGCCAAGTCAATAAGTTTCTTCATATTTTAGATTTAGAACTATCTACAAGTTCCCAGGAGTTTATATCTGCCCTTTGATTTAAGATGTCACCTATTTTAACCTTCAAAAATCATTTTCCAGGCCACTTGATATCTAGCACTTGTTATTATGATTATGTTTTTCAAATTTTCATTTCAAAAGTTCAGGTAATGATACATCAAGTGGTAGACTACCTGGAAATAGTCCTTTAAATCACCAGCTATATCTACTACCTATCTGCCCACATGGATAGAAACTATGAAATCAAAAACATATACCTAATTGCAGTTGTCTTATTTGTTTTTCGTTTGATGATATGTGATTTTAGACTAGCATATTGAACTATTTATTGATAAAACATCACTACCATTATCTAATTGGCCAAGTATTGTAAGGCTATTTACTTGATGCAATTAATGACAGGATCTTCAACATACTTCTATATCTTATATCGATAGTAGAAACAATGCATGGAAAGTGTTGCCAGGCTTTGTAATTTGTCTGTGTTGTCAGGCATTGTAATTTGTATTTTAATTACCAAATAAGTGAATTGAATCAAGGCCTCATCATGTGGTCATTCATCTCAATTCTTTTTGTACAATATAAATATTTTGTGAATCTTGTATGAATAGTCAAAGTTACTTACTCTTTTGTTAATTACCTATATTTCATAGAATATGGTAGGTTAATGGACTTGCAGGGATTATAAGTGAACACTTGGTTAAGTCTGTTCAGTTCGGTAAACATGGAAAACCAAACAAATACTACATTAACTGGACATGGATTAGGAGTTACATATGTAGTAATCAGTGTTATCATATCAGCACTCATTATTGTGTCAAATACTTTAATAATAGTTGCAATATTGAAGTTTAACTATCTTAAGACAATAAGCAATCAATATGTGCTGAGTTTATCATTTGCTGACTTAATGGTTGGATTGGCTTTGCCATATTGTAATTTAAGGCAGCTATACCCAGAAGCGAGTCTGGTACTTGATGGGGCTGACTCTGAGAAATATTCTTGTCTCGTGTGCCAGGTGGTTTTACACCAACCAGTTGCTGCTTCAATGATGATGTACACAGCTATTTCTATAGAACGTTACATCGCAATCACAAGACCATTTTCACATCCAGCAATATTTACAATGAAGAAAGTAAGGATATCAATCATTTGTTCCTGGATTTATTCTTACTTCATCTTTATCGGATTGAGCTGTTTTAACATATGGACGCCACATGTTCAATGTAGTATGTCAATGACCTTATATCAATCCGCAGCATTCTATGGTTTGGTAGCCTCTTCTGGGATCCTCATGTTTGTCATAATAGGCACAGTATACTGCAGGATTTTCTACATTGCATGGGCACAAAAGAAACAACAAAATGAGCAGCAGAATGCCATAGGGCCTGTAACAGACACTTCAAAATCAGATATGAAGATAGTAAAAATGATGGCTATTATCTTCGGAACTCTAGTAATTCTGTACACTCCATATTGGATATTTACTTTTGTAGTGTTATTTTACAAACAGAAACCAAAATGGTTGGTCACGTATGAACAATTTTCAGTTATTCTGTATTATTGCAATTCATTTTGTAATTCTTTTGTTTATGGATGGAAAAGTACAGATTTTAGAAGGGCATTCAGAATGTTGGTTTACAGGCAAAACTCTAATAAAGTGTTTCCATTGGAAAATACTGAAAACAGTAAGACTTACAAAACTTAATAAAATAGCCCTTGAGGTGTTAAAACATATTGATAAAATGACCAATGGGTATAGCCCTTGAGGTGTTGAATCAAACTGATAAAATGACCAATGGGTATAGCCCTTGAGGTGTTAAATCAAATTGATAAAATGACCAATGGGTATAGCCCTTGAGGTGTTAAAGCATATTGATAAAATGACCAAATGGGTATAGCCCTTGAGGTGTTAAATGACACCGTTATAGAAACTAATGATTCAACATTCAAATAAACAGTGTTCAATAATCTGGGCTCCCCAACTGTTCAAAAACTAATATTAGTGCTGAAATATAATAATGCATGTAAAAAAACAAAAAATAAAATAATTTAAAGGACAATTTCAGTAATCTGAAGTTACAAATATAAAATAAACATGTATCAAATAATTTAGGACACACAAAAAAGGCCCATGTCATATACTTGTAGTTGTTTTCTGCATTGAATAAACAGTATTGTAAAAGATGTAATAATAATGTGGAATTAAATATAATGAACATTGTTTTATTCTTGGGATTTAGAATGCTCAAAAATCTGGATAAAATTGAATCCAATTTTCGGAAGAAAATCTGAAAAACGGAAGTCATTTGCTTTATCATAACAGTGATATGATACAAGTATTTAATTATATCGTGTACTTTTACAATTAATATTCAATGAAGCCTAAAGAGTTAGTGTAATATCATCTTGTGAAAGTGCCACAGGTATTCGCCGATGAACTTCAGTGACCTTTTAATTATTGTAGTGAATTTTTGATATAAGAACATAGAGTGATAATTTATATTCGTTTGAGCGTAGCGATTTAAGAATATAAATACTTTCTTTAATGTGCAGTGAAGTGAAGTGAAGTGTAATAAGACATGAAAGTAGTGTTCGTTTAGAGTGACGGTTTTTGATAGAGTGGTGGTCGCTGGAGAGTGATTAGGTTTTCATTCTGGGCTTGGTCGCGGAACACTAAATTCCTAAATTTTGAATAAAAATTTGTTGACAATCTTTAGTTTGAGTAGAATTTATTTGAGATATTCTGATAGGTTGAGAGGTGGTTACATACCTTTCCATAGGGCATCGACTTCAGTCGAATAGCGTCTTTGGTTTTAATGGTGACCAACCACCTTAATATCAATCGGATAAATCATAACAATAACACGAAGTATGTTACAAAATGTATCGGGCACATTTATATCAGCAGACCTCATAAGTATGTAATCGCAATATGCCAAATAAGCCAAAGCTTGTTCTAAATTAGAAATGTAACGTAATGTAATCGCAATATGCCAAATAAGCCAAAGCTTGTTCTAAATTAGAAATGTAACGTAATGTAACGTAATGTAACGTAACGTACAGTATAGAAGTATAATTATTATACCTATGAACAAAGTTTATGGATCAAATTATGGAATTTGGTTCAAATTTTATAGGCTTATATAATATGGCCAAAAGACCTCTACACAAAAACAAGGGTCATTTTCAATATGATTCGACCTCTCATTTCAAAATGGCTGCCAATTTTCATGACAAAATTTAATGTTTGATAATTCAAATACCAGTTGATGGATTTGGTTCAAATTTAGTATACTGATGCTTCAGGGATATTGCATTGTGACATATCACAGCCATTTCTCAGTTTCCTTTCTAGAACTTGTGCATTGCCAGAGATGGTCTGAGTATCAGAATGGGGATATTAGGCACTGCTCAAGAAAGAATTTTCAAGATGGCTGCTGAATTTCAAAATGGCCACTATTTTTCATAAAAATGTTATTTTTGATAACTTAAAATATCATTGATAGACAAAATTATGGAATTTGGTCCAAATTTTATACGCTAATATCTTATGGGCAAAGGACCTCTACTCAAGGAGGAATTTTTGATATGGCCTCTCAATTCAAAATGTCTGGCATTTTTTGTAAAAAATGTAATGTTTGGTAATTCAAATGCTAGTTGACAGATTTGGATATATGCTGATGCTTTCTTGGCTTTAGGGTCAGAGGACTCTACTCAAGGAGGAATTTTCGAGATGACTGCTCGATTGAAAATTGTTGCCATTTTTCATGGACAAATGTAATTTTGAATAATTTGAGTAAGAGTTATAGGATTTTATTGGCTTATGTCATAGGGGCTATGGAATTTTTTTTAGAGATGGAATCACTTAAAAATGGCTGCAATTTTCATTAAAAATGTTGTCTTTTATACACTATTTTCACACTATCAAATTTTATACACTATTTAATGCTTTATGGTCATATGACCTCTGCTCAAGAAAGAATTTAAAATATCACATCACATCATGGGAGAAGATTTTGCCAAAAAGATAATACTGCTGTACTACAGCGTGTCCAAAAAACAGGACCGTAAGAAAGTTGAATAACTTGGTCAATTTTAGTGCATTCAATGTGAATTTTGTTGTGAAAGTTTGATGATTACCTGCAAATAGAGTCAAAACCTACAATTTCTTACAAAACATGCCCCAAATGTGCACCTCTCCTCTCTATGCACAATTCATTCCGGCGAACAAAGTTGTTGATCATTCTCCTACACACATTTCTTTTTGAATGGACAAGTTCTTTGGTGACCAGCTCATCAGTCGCAGAACGCAAAACATATGGGCAGCTCATTCACAAGATCTAAATCTCCCAGATTTTTATCTTTGGGGATTTCTCAAAGCCAATGTGTATACTGACAGCACCTAGCAATAACTACCATACCATCCACATTGATGTATATAGGTCAGGGTCATTAACAACTTTGTTCGCAGAATTCATTTGTGTACAGAGAGAAGTGCCCACTTTGAGCATGTTTTGTAAGGTACTGTAGTTTTTGACACAATAGACAGATCATCAATATTTCAGAACAAAATTCAAATTGGATGAACTAAATAATTCTAAAATTTCAATGCAAAATATGCAAAATTGACCGAATTATTTAACTTTCTTACAGTCCTGTTTTTTGGACACCCTTTATTTCCTCAGGTTATTCTATCATGTGATGTCCAAAATTATGACGTGTTTAATAAAATATGTTTTGTTCAGTAGGATTTGCTACTCTTGAGTTGCTGTTTTCCAGTTCAATTTCTTTTTTTTATAATTTGTATGTATGTATCTGAGAAAAAAGCAACAGGATTTCTAATTTCAATCCAGTTGTATTTGGATTGTATTGTATCAAACACAAGAAGTGTAAGTTGCATCGGCATTACAACAAAGATTGTTTGGCGGATCAAACTGAGAGTCTGCGAATGTGTACCATGTTGGATCCAGTGCAGTACAACCTAACATGCGGGAGAATGCAAACACAGGATATCCTGGGAAACCAATAGGCATTTCTGTGGCATCATTAGCTTCAACACGCTCACACATATGGTCGCCATATGTTTCATTCTGAAATTAGAATTTAGTGCATGTATTTTAAGGCATTGGTCTGAAAAGCAGAAAGTCTGGCTTCAGGCTGAAAAAGTAGAGGTCTTGGGTTCAAACCCAGGTCACAGCACTTCTTGTGATTTGTCTTTGACCTATGACTGCTGACCTATACCGGCGATTACTAGAGTAATTTACTCGATAAAAGGCTGCTCTGGCTAGAATTGTCTATGGTTCTAGCCAGGATAAAGATACCAGTTCTTCAACTCGACAATGGGAAGAACTGCTCTACCTTAGTGACTAATATGTCATGATATAAAGAGTCAATAAAAGATATATATATTTTAAAAATGATAACCATTTAGGTGTTGCAAATACCCCAGTTCATGTGATATTGGCCTTCTAATTTGTATGACACATTTTTGCTGACATCTTTGGTATTAACTGTCCTTCACTCAGTATGCTAACACCTACTTAAATGTGGTCCTAAAGTGTCTGAAAAATCTTGTGATATAAATCTGGTGCTATCTGGTATTTAGCATCGAGTTTACACTAGCAGAGTTGATTTTTAAAATGGGTAACCAAGCCCATCAGTTTTCATATTGTTTAGATCAGCTTTAGTCACTTGAGTTGAAAATTGTAACATCCATGTCACATTTAAATTTTACCAGTCATATTTTGACAGTTTCATTCATTTTTGGGTTATCAAAGCATTTAATGCAATGAATGGTCTGTAATGTTCCATTTTTTCCACCATTCCTTCCATCCATATACATTCATTTAGACAATGCCCACATACTGTAGATGTGGCTTTTCTAAACATGACCTCAACATATCATTGACATACAGATCAATCTTCAAGGGATACTTAATTGGTAACAATGTGGTTATTAGGAATTTCTGAGCATTTTTCAATTGTGATGATGCATATTCTGAATGAAAGTGAACCTTGTTTTCTATTGGTGGTTTAACAATTCTCCAATATATCATTACAAAACCTACACTGTGATCTGTTCCATCTGCAACAAGAGTGTAAAATGTATAGTTTCCATTAATTTCTCCTTTAATCTGTTGTCGACAGTATTGATCACACGCAGTTAAGTCCCCATTGTTGCATAGTAAACGTCCACCAAGGTTGACATATCCCCCTGTAAGGTTCTGAAGGTTAGGTTCAATGTTTTCCAAGAAGCCATCTTCTCTGAACAGAGCACACTCACACCTGGAATTAGCAAGTTGTTTTCAAATTTGATGATGTGTACTTATTTCGGGTTTGATTGTCCCTTCAGTTTATGTGGTCCTGGTCAGGTCACGCGACAGAATTCACCATAATTGACCCTGGCCCCGGTCCATAGCAATACAGAGGACATAAGATTGGATTTCTTAATTATTTGCGATTATTGGAATCTCGATTTTCCCATGGGCATTCTGTTGAAAGCCCATGATTTTACAAATAATTTGACAAATGTCATGAGAAGTAGTATTTCATGTAGACAGTATAAAGATTGTTTTGATATTTTAATTCCATTTTAATTGAATTTGAATTTCTGTTTTATGTAGTTTTGTCCATGGAGTGTATTCTTTGCTTATTCATGCTTTGGTGGGATTTGTTCAAGAAGTTCAAGAAATTGAAAATGTGAAAACCAGAAATCCCGAGGAAACTACAATGCATGATCTTATTATATGCAAATCATATTATGTATCTAAGAGTACAGTGGACTTGCCTTTTTTTGAAGCACTTTAAAATGAATTTGACTTTACAAACCACCCCATCCTATACTAGTTGTGACTTACCATTCTACATTCTGTGCATTTGTTGCCACACATGCAAGTAAAAGTACTGCTGCAAACACCTTCCACATGTTTAGAAACTCCCTCCTTGCCTTGCAATAAGTAAGACTGATGATTCAGTAAGTAAGGTCTTTGAGGTCTGAATCACCTGTTTTTATCTTGTGAACTTGCGGTTGAGTTATTTTGATCGCTGCTTGGGAATAAACATATGTTTTTATAAGCTGGTTGACGACCTGAGAGGAAATTTCCATTGGTGACCATTTTTAGGTTTCACATATATCTCAAAAACGTTTCACATTTTTTTCACATGATAGTGAGCTGAGAGGTACTCAAGCTTAGTTAAACATATCCTTGTTTTTGGCAGAGTCTTATCTACTTTGCTGTTGCAATATCACCATTGGGTGCATCATCTCGGTTTTGAGATATATGAATTTGAAGACAACAACCCCATTAAATCTACTTGATTTGGAAAAGATTAGTCCACTAGGCCTATAAGTAGTCTACTCAAATCACTCTGCTGTCATTTGAAAATATATTTTTCACTCATCCTGGAAATGTTTTAGACAGATCAGTACCCAGCCTAAAAAATGATCCTCAATCCATACATCAAACACAAATTGGCACTGTGCTGGGCTGTACCACTGCAGAAAGGGGAAAGGTGCTTTATTTGCCTGAAAAACCAAATCACCAATGGTAACCACTTGTATCTTGAAGTCGCATTTATCATCGAGTCCAATCATGGGCTTTCAATTATGGTCCAATGCACACTCTCAACAAGTAAAGTTATACACATTTTCAAGGAATTCTTGAAAATGTTGTTCTACAGAATCCAAATCACAAACAATTCCCTTGAAACGTGGCACTCATTTTTTGACAGAAATCTCACATCAAAATACCAGTGTATGGCTGAAGAAATGCGCTTGAATGACAGTATGACTTCCCTGCCTGGTTTGTCGAGTTAAAACTATAAGATGATTTTATTTCTTTTTCTTTTTCAGGCCAACAATTACTACAAGATGTTCATAACATGGACCAATCAAAAGATCAGGAAAACGTTTTTGAAGAGGAATATGTTTGAATTCCAGTATATAAAGGTAGTTATAGATACACCTGACCGAAGGCATGTAGATAATAATTTGAAAATACATCAATGAAAAATTACATGCATCACATCCAAAATCTTCATTCCACTACAAATTGTGTTTTTACTAAATGTTAAAAGATTTAAGCTCACGACTCCATAGACTGTAGATGATTTAAACCAAGTACATGTATATCTGGTATCAAGACTTCAAATTGAGGTATTTCCAGGGGCTTTATATTTGACTATAATCCTTTTATGTTCAGTTTTGTGAAAAATACAATGTCTGTATCTTCAAACAAAATATTGACTTGTAAAGATATGTTTTCTCTTATTTTGAGGTTTTGAATATTAAAAAATATGAGAAAATGATGAATATAGAGGCTTCAGATTTATTCTGCTCATGATGATGATTTTCTCTAGGCATTCGACAGAAACTATATAGATAATCCTGGTCCAATGGTAGTGTTTGCTACACCTGGTATGCTACATGCTGGCCTATCTCTCCAGATCTTCAAGAAGTGGGCTCCTTTTGAAAACAACATGGTAAGTACAGGGTGGTCCAAAAAATGGGCTGCTTGAATTTTAAAAATAAATATTGATTTTATTGATGAAAACATGTCATATTATATACCAGCAGTGGATAGGGAATTTAAATATCTTTAATTTGGTATATATGGTTTTTATATTGGATTAAATAACTTCAGAGTTGCTACTGAAAAATACTTTTTAAATTCTTGATCAATTGTACGGTCAAAGCCACTTTGGCATTAAATACATGGGCCTGACCCTGAATTTTAAGATCTCTCCAAAGTAAAAGTTTATTGTACTAAAAGGACTTAAAGTTGACCTCATAACTATTCTGTGCTGCACACACTTTTTATTTCATGGAAATTTCCCATGCACTTTTTTATCTTGATGGTGAATAACAAGTTATAATATTAGTTAAAATTATGCCAGAAACTTATAATTTTCTTATACAAAAGCAACATGATGTTTTTAGACAAATCAGTGATAATGATATAAGAGGACGTTTGTCATTCATAGACCAACAAGGGAGAGGTTTTGGTGTGGTATGGTGAGAGGTTATTCTCTAATCTAACACTACGGCGAACTTTACGTCTGAGGTCAGCTTTGAAATCTGAAATATAAGCAAAATTAAATCCAGAAACATTTCATCAGACACACTCAACACACTCTAAAAAACCAAAGTCCTCGCACCTTTGCGAAAATAACTCAAACGATTTATCTTCCCTTGGCCACCTAGACAAAATGTCAGCCAGATAATTATCAGCAGAACTTATATGAGTACAATCTAACTGAAAATTGAGATCAGCAAACTTTGATCCTAGGTTACTATACTAGTAGGCTATTCTATTGTATATTTTATTCCTAGGTTATTATGCCAGGCTATTGTATATTTTATTCCTAGGTTATTATGCCAGGCTATCGTATATTTTATTCCTAGGTTATTATGCCAGGCTATCATATATTTTATTCCTAGGTTATTATGCCAGGCCATTGTATATTTTATTCCTAGGTTATTATGCCAGGCTATTGTATATTTTATTCCTAGGTTATTATGCCAGGCTATCATATATTTTATTCCTAGGTTATTATGCCAGGCTATTGTATATTTTATTCCTAGGTTATTATGCCAGGCTATTGTATATTTTATTCCTAGGTTATTATGCCAGGCTATTGTATATTTTATTCCTAGGTTATTATGCCAGGCTATCGTATATTTTATTCCTAGGTTATTATGCCAGGCTATCATATATTTTATTCCTAGGTTATTATGCCAGGCTATTGTATATTTTATTCCTAGGTTATTATGCCAGGCTATTGTATATTTTATTCCTAGGTTATTATGCCAGGCTATTGTATATTTTATTCCTAGGTTATTATGCCAGGCTACTGTGTGGCAGGAACTGTTGGTCATAAAATATTGAATGGTGTCAGGAAACTTGAGCTTGAGAATAAGAAAACTGTAAGTATTCATGTTAAAAAACATTTCTTGATAATAACAATATCTTAATTAAAAAAACACAAATATATTTACGTCAATTGGTTGCACTTGATGATCTTAAAAGAACTTTAAAAGATAAAACATGGGAGGCTTATCAATTATGAAATGTGTGTTCATGTAATTTTTTCTCATCATTGGTTCTGGGCATACGTGTGTTTTGTAATTAGTGAATGTGTAAGTCCAGGGACATACTTTTTTAAATTATTTTTTTAGTTAGATGTAAAGATGTCAGTGCAGTATATGTCATTCAGTGCCCATGCTGATGCTAAAGGAATCATGCAGTTGATTAGACACTGTGAACCCAGAAATGTCATGCTTGTGCATGGGGAGGCAGTCAAGATGGAGTTTCTCAGAGCCAAGATAAAGCAAGAATTTGGTAAAAAAATATTCAGATCTCAATTCCTTCGTAAAACAGGACCTCACTTGTTGATCATATCATTCAAATGTCAAAACTAGAGAGAAACCAAGTAGAAACAGAGCAGTGTTTTGATGCTCAAGATTTTATTGTAACTGCTAGATTAAATGATTAGGATATTTACTCATTTGACTTTTCACTTAGTAAGTATATTTTTGGATAAAAGCCGAACTATGCTTTTTATGTCCAATAAAAGTACACACTTTCTTACCAACCATATTACTTGTACAAGGACAACTAGACCCAGGAGATTTTGTTGGGTGAAAAAATTCTTTCTCAAAAATATAGTTCCAAATTTTGCTTTAAGGTCTTCATCCATTTAATGGTATTTGATTTGCCTTAATTATAAATGTATCACCTCTGTGATTAAACATATTCCAATTAAATGTTGACATTATTTCGCCAGATATTGAATGCTACAAGCCTGCCAATGGAGAGACGGTTTCTATAGCAACAAAACCCTGTATATCAGCTGACATGTCAATTTCACTTCTAAAAAAAGAAATGGCTAAAACAGGTAATATGTGTTCAATTCTTCTTTCAAATGATATATAATTATATATTACTGAACCTTTAAAAAAAGGTTATAATGAGGCATGATGTACAATATTAATCATATCTAGCATTCATGAATGTAATGAAGTCAGGGGCTTGGTTCTGTTCACTAGACAGATCCTCTTTCAAAATCACAATGGGATATCATTGTGTTCTATTTATAACTTTCAAGTATGGCATCAGTATGCAAGCTTACATGTAAAAGAGTTAATTTGCCAGATTGCTCATTCTCCTTGGCCTACCTTTTTATTTGACATCAAGAAGTGTTGACTTAGTGTCGCCACCGTTTTTTGACTGGCATTAGCATTAAGCATCTAGCTACATTAGTACTAATTTGTAACAAAATTGAAAATTACCTGTTGCCTTGTTTCAATTTTGACCCATAAATCTGAAATCCTCATTATATACATTATTGACTTGAACTGTTAATTTTACTTTAGATGGTGATGAGCCAGAACCCAAGAAGGCCAAGCTAATGCACGGTGCCATCGTTATGAAAGACAATGTAAGTATAGCTACAATATTTACAAGCAATGTTTCAATGACAAAGATGAGATGAACTACAATCATGGTTATAATCATTTATCTATCATTGTCCGAGTTTGGACTTGTGTTAATACATTATTACATTCTCTTGCAGAAACTCCGCCTCATAGATCCCAGCGAGGCTATGAAGGAATTAGGCCTTCCAGAACACAAGATACGTTTCACATCAACTCTAGCATTGGAAAATGAAGGCACAGTGACGCAAACAATAGATAAGATATTTAATCTAGTTAAAAAGTATGATTTTGATTTGATTTGAATGTGTATTTTAATCTTTTGTGCAATTCTTCGAGACTCTAAAATGCATACAAGTCATGATGTGGAAGATCTTTTGTGAAGCTAATAAACCTGATGGCGGCATTTTAAAATGAAAAAATACATAATATAAATTCAAAATTTGAATTTCTTTTACATTTTAGCTATTTGGTAATGCCATATCTAAGAGATTTGAATTCCACAATAATTTTGAGAAGTGACCTCCATGGCTTTTTAATAGACTTATTATGAGTGGAAATGGCCCAGTGGCATATCTGATAACATCTGCTTCTTTTACAGGAGGTTAAAGAGCGCTAGTGTACAACATTCAACAGATGGCAGTATAACAATATCAGACTCTGTGTTGATCAAGGTATCAGGGGATGATGAGGAGTCTGAGAAAGATGTGCTCTTATCTTGGTCATATCAGGATGAAGAACTTGGGAGCTATCTACAGAGACTTTTGAAAGCTGGTTTACATGTAGATAGTTGATACTAATATGATGATGAGGGTATTAGTTATGAAATTGCCTCTGGTGATGGAGAAATGGCATTCCCGTTCTTTTTAATGTAGAAAAGTGGACACCTCTGTATCGAAAGAGTGCATATTGCTTCAAATTGGTTGGAAATAGTGGGTAGGGGTGTGATAGGAGTAGATCCTGTTTGTTCTCTCTCATTTTTACTCACTTTTTACCAAGTGGCCTGATCACAATTTTTTATTTGTTCATGCTCAAGCTGCAAGCAACAAACAATAAACAATGCTGGAGATTCTGCCTGCTTTGAAAGTGTGATTTAAACATTTTACATGGACATTTAACATGTGGCAGACTTGAACCAGGGTTCAAAGAAATAAACTGATTCAGATCAAAAGCAGTCACTTTCTCCATGTTTAGACCAGTGGAACAAGACTAAAGTGTCTTCATGATCATATTTACAGCTCATACCTGAAAATATTTATTTTCATAGAAATAAATGAAACACTACAAATAAATTAGCAATTTACTGTTTATTCATCTAGGTTATTATTATGTACAAGTACATTATAAAGACCACTCAAGACTAATTAAAGTAGATGTCATTATATACAATTAATCATCTCTATCTACAATATCCATCTCTATGTACAATATTCTAAATTCAATGAAACCCTTGTTTTAATCCATTACTTATTAGTTTTAAAAAGTAATTAAAAACTAATGAAATCATCAAATCAAATAGCGCAAAACTACATACTAGTAGATAACAGCAACCACAAGACAGCAAATCCTATCAATTAGAGTAAGACAACATTGCTAGAAATCATGTTTCAAATGGTGGTCATAGACGTATTGCCAAAAGACAATACTTTTCCAGTTAAGGCAAAAAATGTGGAATAACACACATATAGATGGTGACCATTTTATTCAGTGGGGTAATAATAAATTTTAACTAATCTGTATGATGCCATTTGAACATGGGTAACACTAAACTAAAAACCAGAACAACGGCAACGCCAAAGCGTAGCGAATCCCATCGAACAGAAATGGCTGGCATTTTTACAAACGAAATAAATAGCAAATATCATAAAATAACACACATAAGAAAGGCCACCATTTTCAAAATGGTTGCTCACTAGCCAAGTTGTCATCAGAAGTAGTAATACGCTTTTTTTTATAGTATTCACATACCAAATATGAACAAAATCGCTCCACTACTTTTCGAGTTATAGTAAAATACTTTAAAATGGTGGCCATTTTTCAAAATGGTCGCCTTCTATCAAAAGTGTCATTAGACAGTGTGCCATGCTTATAGTATTCACATACTAAATAAGAACAAAATCGCTCCACTACTTTTCAAGTTACAGCAAAAATTGTAAAATAACTAGTAAAGGCCGAGTAAAATACATGTACATTTAAATGGCGGCCATTTTTCAAAATGGCCACATTCTGCCAAAAGTGTCATATGACAGTGTACCATGCTTATAGTATTCACATACCAAATATGAACAAAATCTCTCCACCACCGCTCGAGTTATAGTAAAAAATGTTAAAATAGCGGCCATTTTTCAAAATGGCCACCTTCTATCAAAAGTGTCATTAGACAGTGTGCCATGCTTATATTATTCACATACCAAATATGAACAAAATCGCTCCACTACTTTTCGAGTAATAGTAAAATACGTTAAAATGGCGGCCATTTTGAAAAATGGCCGCCTTCTACCAAAAGTGTCCTTAGACAGTGTGCCATGCTTTATTATTCACATACCAAATATGAACAAAATCGCTCCACCACTTTTCGAGTTATAGTAATTAAAATATGTTAAAATGACGGCCATTTTTCAAAATGGCCGCCTTCTACCAAAAGTATCATTAGACAGTGTGCCATGCTTATAGTATTCACAAACCAAATATGAACGAAATCGCTCCACTACTTTTTGAGTTATAGTTAAATATGTCAAATTGGCGGCCTTTTTTCAAAATGGCGGCCATTTTTTCAAAATAGCCGCCTCCTACCAAAAGTGTCATTACACAGTGAGCCATGCTTATAGAATTCACATACAAAATATGAACAAAATCGCTCCACTACTTCTTGAGTTACAGCAAAAATCGTATAAAATAACGAGTAAAGGCCGCCATTTTTCAAGATGGCTGCCATGTGCTTCTTTAATATCTACATTTCTAGCTTTATCAATGTCCTATATAATTTTCTACATCTAAAACATATTGCTATTACAGATTTACATATTGCACCTAAATTACTATAAAATCGGCACTAAAATGGCCGCCATTTTTAGATGAGCGGCCATTTTGAAAATCGGCTTTCGAGCAGAACTTCTACCCCCATAGGGTATATGTGTACAAAATATGAACAAAATCGGGCCAACGGTATTTGAGTTATTGCCCGGACGGACGGATGGACGGACAGACGGATGCTGATGGACATACGGACGGACGTACGTACGTACGGACAGACGGACGGAGGCGTTCCCTATATCCCTCCGAACTTCATTCGATGGGATAAATATATGAATAGATGAAATTGAAATCACAGGGTGAGATTTTCATTTTTATCTGCTATGGGATCAAGCTATTTTTGTAAAAATACGAAGAAAACCTCACAACTGATTTTTAACTCAGATGTTTCATTATACCGTGCAATGGGTATATCATTGGCACATAACCTCCACTTCTGTTTGAAATCCAATGACACTATAAGTATTGAAAATGATACGAGCATCACGCTCTAACATTTGTACAAGTAATACATAATAAGTTGAAATTTTAATTCATTAAAATTGTAGTACTAGTAAAGACATATGGCACTTGGTCATATGTATACATAAAACAATCATAAAATATCTTGCATATGTCTGTTATTCATTGAGATAATGATAGAATATATCATATGGACATGGAACAAATGTAGTCATTCAACAACAATATTTTTGTATTTAAATTGACAAAGGCTAACCATGGAGTGTACGCATTTGATTTTAAAACCAACAATAATGAAACTTTTAATAATAGGCCCTTTAAAAGGAACACAATATGGTGTATATATGTACATGAGTGCTCTAAATATGTAAGTCTAACTAGATTGCTACAGCCTCTTACTGAGATCAATAGGATAGAAATATTATATAGTACTATGTATTTAAAACAATATTTACAAAAAAAGATTCCCACAACATTTGACACAAAATCAATTGTGTTAAGAGTGGGTAAAATGCAATTTTTCTCGTCAAAAAGATATGAAAAATAGTTTTAAACAATCCCCAAAAATTAATTTCATGAATACAGTGGGAGGATGGTCTTGCAGGTAATGCAATGGATGATATGTAGAAATGGAGTGACACTTGTGACATCAAAAATACAAACAATTGTATATACAAACACTCAATTCAGAACATGATTATGGAATTTATGTTGAAGCTGAAAAAACTGTCACCATATCGATATTAACATCCTATTTACAGCTATTTGTAGGTAGTATATACATGTAGTGCCATGATTTTTTGATGTGATATCCTTAATGATGATATATGAACAATACAAGAACAATATATACTAAGTCTTTGCTGCACGTTTCCGAGTATTTGAAGGTTTTATTGGAGTTTTACTTGTGGAGGATTTAGACTTCAATGCAGTTCGTGATTTCCTAATGGGAGGTGGTGGACTGTCTGGTTCTATGTTGGGGTTGATGTTTTCCGAATCACTACTTGTATCAGATTCCCCTGTAATAACAGTACATATGTAATATAAATATTCCCATAACAATCTAATGATAATGAAGATAATTTTAATACTTTTTCAGAATCAAGATATTTTTCAAAATGCATCAGTTGAAAACAGTTTTTGCCCACTCATAGGTTATCTGAGGTTGACCAGCCAATTTCTATTTATCATTACATTGGAATAAGTATCTCTTTAATCAGTGCCCTTGCACATCATGATGAAATATTGTGTATGATATGAAACATAGACACGCAATGATAATTATCAGAATTGGAAGAGCAAATTGGAGCCATTTAATTTACCCAGCATGCCCAAAACTTTATTAGAACTTGGCACTAGTCTGCTCTTGCATCTATTAAAATTTCAAGTTGAATGTGGTTTTCTTTGAAGATTTATAAGTAGAGTTTAGGTGTTGCCCACCCACACACAAGCCCAGCAGAACAAGTTAAATACAATGTAGCAATAAAAAATATGATATGATTTCAAAGTAGACCATGGAAATCCAAGAAGGTGAAATGGTTCAAAATGCACAGTAAATCAACATTGTAGATGACTAATATGAAATACCTTTTAATTGTTGTTGTGAACTGCTCTTATCAAGATCAAATAATTCAATTTCACTGTCTTCACTATCTGAAAACGACAATTTTGGCTTGGGTTTTGGTGCTGCATTTTTACCACGACGAGCTGGGTGTATGACATCATCATCTTCTTCGCTTTCAGTATCTACAGTTGCCTTACGTCTTGCAGGAGTTTTTCCTTTAGCTTTACGACCTATAATGGCATTGTGAAAATATATTTAATGGTAAACTGAAGTTTAGTAGAATAGGCTATTTGAATTTTGAAAGTTTTTCATTTCTAATGAATTTTTAATATCTGCAATAACGTTGATAATGATTGATCTTAAATAACATACCTGGTGTTTTTGTGGGTGTTTTCCTGCGGTTTTTAGCAGCATTTGAGGCTTTGCTTGCTTTCTGGGTGGCTTCCTCATCATCCATGCCTTTATTGTGGCACTTAGTGACCCTCTCCTCAAACTCATCCACCATAGCCTACGCACAAATCAGGGTCATTTTTACAGATTAGTTTTACAGTTTTCTACATCTACACAATGTATTATATATTCTTAAATGAATTGTGCAAGGACAGCATTTAAAGACCATATCAGGTCAGATTAGTCTTCTTTTCAGTGTTCAGTAACTGAACAGTGTAACTGAACACTTATCTGACAATTAAGAGACAATTAATTGGAATTGTGGTGCCGTTACCTTAATTTCTGTCTTTGCAAACTTCTTGGCACCATTGATGACAATCATGAAGCAGTTGTAGACTTCATCATCAGCTAATTTGTCTCCGAAGCAGGCAAAGTTCTCTTGTAGTTTACGTATACTGCGCTCGTTGTATGACAACATGGACAGACAGAATGACAGGTCCCTCCATTGACGATCAACCCTACATGACAAAGAGGAAATAATACATGCTGAATTTTGCAGTTTTTATTCTTAATTTATTAGTTCCACTAAAAAAGGGATAGCGATAGACATTATAAAATTGGAGCTTTTTTAAATCATAGGCCACAACATAATTAAAAGAAAAATTTATCTTTGAAAACTAGACAACAGCAACGCCAAAGCATAGCAAATCCCATCGAACAGCCATGAGTGGCATTTTTACAAACAAAGTATATAGCAAAAATGGCAGCCATTTTTCAAAATGACCACCTACCACACGTGTCATTAGACAGTGTGCCATGCTTATAGTATTCACATACCAAATATGAACAAAATCGCTCCACTACTTTTTGAGTTACAGAAAAATCGTAAAATAGCGAGTAAAGGCCACCATATTTCAAGATGGCTGCCATGTCAGTGCTTCTTTAAGATCTACATTTCTAGCTTCATGAATGTCCTTTATAATTTATTTACATTTAAAACATATTGCTATTACAGTTTTACATATTGTACTTAAATTACTGTAAAATCGGCACTAAAATGGCCGCAATTTTTGAATGAGTGGCCATTTTGAAAATCAGCTTTTGAGCAGAACTTCTACCCCCATGGGGTATATGGTTACAAAATATAAACAAAATCGAGCCAACGGTATTTGAGTTATTGCCCAGATGAAAGACGGATGGACTGACAGAGGCATTCCCTATATCCCTCCAAACTTCGTTCATTGGGATACATGCAGTGAAATGCAATATTAGCCTTTCATAGTATTTTATCAAACTTGCAGATTCATTTAATGTAGACAAAAACTTTGTATTGTTGAATATTGAGAACATTCATTTTAAAGCATTAAGTGTCCCTTGGACCATGTCACCATACATGCTTTTGGTAATTTAATGTAATGTACACTTCACAAGTTGGTTTACCTGGTAGCCCTGAATCTATGGCATAGCTTCTCAACCAGACTCTCACACTGTCTATCTTTCTGGATAAATGAGAATAGGTATTTCATAATGATACGGAAGTTGTCTTCTGCCACTCCGACATCTGGGTCGGACAAACGTGAGATGACATCTGGCATGATGTTGTACACAGCGTTGCCCTGGAAATACACAGCAACACTTTGATGATTCTATGTTGTTGTTATTTCAGTAAAACCTCTTGAAAGTGAACACTGCTGAGAAATGTGAGATATTGAATGTAAAGCCAAAATTATGTTATAAGCTTACTTTAGAAAAGTGATCACTTTATTATGCACTGGATTTATTAAAACATTTGTTCAATATCTTTCATTAATGAAACAAACAATATGCAAACATTCTAAATAGCAATTTGAGTAGGAAGCTTGAGCAATTTGAGTAGCAATTTGAGTAGGAAGTAGGAAGAACTGGTTGAAATAATTCAATACACATACCTTTTTAGCGAGTTCAAGGAAGAAAAGCTTGGCCAGGTTTGAGATTCTTGTATCCTCATCTACGATGCATGTTGCTAACTCACTGATTTGACCTTTCACTTTGACCATGTCATTCAGAATCAAATGGGTGAGAACCATTAATGTATTCTTACGTACCATTGGTGAATCATCACGTAATCTATTATAAAACAGAAACATTTTCAACAATCCAGGTATATATCTCCTTTTAGATTACAGAATATTGGTTATATTCTGTATTTGCTTTATATTGTTAATTCATGTTTTTCATTGATTAAGTCAGCTTGCAAGAGCGAGGCTTTTGAAAACATGGGAGTCAATGGAACATTAAAAATCGAACTACACTCACAAACACAAGTTTCTCTGAACAATGCTGAGAAAGAAAGCCTTGTATTCGAGATGTGATTTATTTAAAGAGAGAATCAGATCTAGTGAGCAGCCGAACAAAATGTCTATTTTCTAAAAATCCCCAAGTGCACACTTATTTCAGAAAAACTAACGATTTTTATGATAATGTATTATCTTTCTATAAGAATGGTTACCATTCTTATTATTTGGGAGAATTTAACCATTTTCACCCATTTTTGCACTTTGAATCCATTATAACTTCACCAATTTATAACATATCATGAATCTTTTGGGAGATATTGTATTTGAGATGGTAAGGAATAGATTGGTAGGTCAGTTGTACATGTTACTTGTAATTTTGTCACCCCCCATAGATCTGATTCTGTCTTTAATTGATTTTATCCTGATATGAACATATGGTGTTACATTTAGAAGCCATGTAATACATAACGAACTCACCTTGCATACAAATTAGATGTCCATGGTTCAATGAGGTTGGGGAAGCGGAATGTGAGGTCCCCCAGGGCTATAATGGTGTTTGCTCTAATTGCTGGGTTAGGGCTCTTCTCAAGCACAGTAAATAACAGCTGGAGGTGGCTGTCACAGAACTCAGAACTGGAACAACATAAATATAAATACATAGAAATACAGTAGATGAATGTACCCTGCGTGCAGAGTCTAGTTAAACTACACTCTGCCTAGTAGAGACCATATTACAGTTTAGTAGCCCCGCCCCCACGACGGGTACCGGTGACAGTTTGGGTAATAAATCACTTCTGACCTACGCGCTGACCTTTCTTCCACTAATCAGCGAGCTTGAAGAAACATACGCCAAATGTGTTCTTATTAATATGCGCATGCCATTGGTCAATTCTGGGCTCAACGATGACGGCAGAAGGAATGACCATATATAGAACATCAGTCAAGATTGGCCGACGAACACTGATTGGCGCGGTGAGTTTACAGGTTTATTTTAGTTTGAAAGAGTGAAGACGAAGCTCTCTTTTAAGAAATGAAGTCAAACGAATGCAAAGAGTAAGATGAATGTAGTGATCTGGCCAGAACTGAATCACCCAGCTGAGCTTTGAGAAAAGCCTTGCATCCACTTGAAACCTTTGTTTTTAATCTTTGTTGCTAAGCTACAACAGCACCTACTCCCTAAAATGGAGGACATACTATGTATATTCCCTCGAATATATTTTGTTGAGATAGCAATTTTATTCATATAAAAATTGAGAGTGATTCAAGAATATTGCATTATTTTGCTTAACTTCAAAAATATTTCCATGTACAGTTGGTACAATTTTTTTTATACAATACCACATAGCTTGTATTTGAGGACATTATGTTTCAATATTTGATAATCAGTCGATGATTGAATTCTAAAATGTAACCTACCTGACCATCATAAACTTGGCAAGGGCCAGTGTAGCTGCAGTTCGCAGTTCTGGGTCAGGGTATTTAACCTGGTTGTTACAAACAGTCACTATGAGAGGCTTCAATACTGCCAACAAGTTAGAACCTACAATATCAAATCAATTATCCAATGACTTCTAAACTCTCTCGATGTATAAATATTTTGCCATAAAATAATTAACATTTTGAATTGAGTGGATATGACTATCAGAACAGATGAGAAAAAAGGTTTGAGCAATTAAACAAATATTCTATTTGCAAGGACTCTTGATTGACAAATTCTTCTGTTACCTGTAACAATGTCATGTTCACAGACTCTCCTGATGTACTCAGCCTCGGCATCATCTGCTGTAGCACCAGCCAGTCCCATCTCTTCATCAATCGTCTCACCATTAGCAGAGTCCTATAACACAACAGTGATAAAGGTTAAGTTGAATCTAGGACTCAAAACACATGTTGACCATTCCACAGATGCTGACAATGATATTTTCAAATGATAACATCCAGTCATAATGAATTGTTTAAAATCATGCTTAGGATTTTTATATGAAATGTATCTAGAATTCATCCTGCTATGCCTTTAAGTCACTCTACATATAATTTGGCCCAAAATCAAACGTGTTTTAAGTGCCTGTTAAATGAATGGATAGTTTCTCTATATCCATACTAGTTAGCAGATCTCCTCACCTTTGCTTTATTCATAGGGGTTGCACTTGCACTATAATTGACCTTCATCTTCTTGTTATTTTTTTCTTCTTCATGAATAGCATTACGTCGCTTTAATTCACCAAAAACTGCGACATCAAGATGTACAAGATGACGTAGGGCTATATGGCCAGCCAGGGACAACAGGCGTGTAAGTATACCAGAAGGGCAGTTGAACTCTGTAGGTGACAACGATGCTCGCTCAGGATTATCTACAATTATATTGAAGAAATTAAATAAAACAAGACCTTCAAATATCAGATATGAGAAAAGCACTAATGTGATCTAAACTCCTTCAGGCTGACACTCTATTTCGCTGGATTTCTTGAAAACGTTTCTTAATTTTTCTATCATATTTTCCTTTAAAAAAGTAAAAAACTCTAAAATCATAAAAAGACAAGAAAAATACAAGGAATGACACAAATGTAAGGCATTTTAATTACAAGGCCCTTACTTGTATTGAGCTCCTGACTCTCATTAATGGTATCCAGCTCCATGTTTTCCTGAGAGGAGACACCACTTTCAGATGTTCCCTTAATCTCCTTGATTAATCTCATTACAATATCTGTGGCTATGACATCTGGGTGTTCAGCCAGCTTGTAGATAACATTAATGGCCTGCTCGCCCATTGGAACCCAGAAGGGACTCTCAAGATTTGAAACCCCTATAAAACATTAACATTAATGATCATGATAATGTTCAGTATAGAAGAATTCACTATATGCATAAATATCATACTGGCAAAACACATGAATGAATGTCCAATATTTGCTTTAAAAACCTAGAAATACAGCTCTGAGAAAAAAATACAATCAAAACAAAATATAATTTTTCTTATCACTCCTCACGATGGCAGATTTCGCAGTCCCAGCTGGCCATTTCAATTTATGCTTTTGACGCACGGAGTAATTGATAGATAGCGCTGTTTTTATAAAATCGATAAACACGTGATAATAAACTGTACCAATTCGAGGAAAACTACGTCACAAATACGTAGGCGAAATATACATGCAAATCTTTAAATCTGTACTGTACAGCCTAAAATACATTTTAATCCAGTCCAGCTGTTTGTTAGAGAATGAACTAGGCCTATACTGCAGTACTGTAAGTGTTAATTAATTTGTACTGATGAGGAAATCAAACTGGGCCATATGGGACAAAATCCCGGGATTAAATAATAAGTACGCCATCTTGTTTTTTAGCCCTCGCGTGATAGGGTTATTTAGACTCTTGATCTCCCATAAAATTGTTAAGTGAGATAAATTAACAAAGTTGATTTTTTGATGAATCAAAGATCAAAAACAATTTCTGTGATTTTAATTTTTTAAATAAAACCATAAATTTCTCAAAAGAACATCATAAAAGCGACGTATTACTCGCGTAATTCTACCTTATCTTTCACAGAATGTAACTTGAGAACGAAATGACGCCCGGAAAAACGGTAAAACCACAACAAACCTTGAAAAAAGTTGAATTCTGTACAGAAATCTTGCAAACGGAAGTCATTCTATGACAGAGTAATCACCGTTCCTACGGGGGCTAAATACTTGAAAATATGTTACAGCGACATCTATAAAATAGTATGAAAACCTTTTCATGTGGCCAGATCAGAGCACCAAATCGGACATCGTGCCTCATTTTGAGCATTTCATGCTCAAAATAACCATGGCAGTAGTGTCAACTTCTGACAAAAAACTATGTCCTTTTCAAATATGAATGAAATGCATCAAAAATGTGAAATATTATTGGACTAATTGCTATACCTGCAACCAGGATATCTGCAAGTCTTGTGAAGATATCATGGTCCTGAGGAAAACGGAATGGCTCAACAAAGCTACCAGCCTTTGCCTAAAGTTAATTACAACAAAAATGTTATTCTTATATAGTTATGTATAAGACTGGGAACAATTTTAATAAATTACATTATTCACAAATGAAAGTTGAGCGACAGCAATTGAAATTGAATCGAAATTTTAAGCTCATGAACATAAATATTGCATATTTAAGATATGCCAAGAGGTCAAAGGTAAAAATTAACTATCACAATTAAATTCTTTCAAAAGTTTGACCTCCTGAAACATCCATTTAAGTTTAAGAATTACTCCAATTTAGCAACAAGTACTGCAATGGTGTTGTTACTATAGTACTTTACATCTGTCTTAAGACATTAGTTTAAGTATTACACCAAATAAACATTTAGCATATCCTAATGTCAATAAGAACTGTATAATTCATTTAAATGATAAGAGTGAAACAAGTTAATTTATGCTCCATGTACCTTTTTTGTTCCTCCTAGTTTGAGCAAAGCAATACATGTGTCTTTAGCTAACTGGAAGTCGTTCTTGCCTCTTTCACCCAGTCCTTCAGACACCAGTACATCAACATTACTTTTAATTATATTCTCCTCATGCCTAAAACAAAGTTCCTTCATAATTATTCTGTCAGACCATTTTTATTTTAAGGTAGATGAAGAGCAATCTTGTTGATGATGGCAGATTAAGGGAGGCTTTTAATGTTGTTTGAATTATTATTGTGAAGTATAAAAGAGGTGCTTACCCAGCAGCCATTCCTAAAAGCAAGAGAGCTCCTCTGCTTTCTTCATCAGATGTATTTGGAACCTTCTTAGCAAATCTCTCCCAAAGCATCTTGATGACACCACTGTCAATATCCTCGGATTTAGCAAATTCACACACCTGTCAAAGACAATAACATTTATGGATGTAAATTAGGTTGAAAAGATTTCATCTCAAGACATCCTCCTTTGATGACAGAAGTCATATAATGGGCCACTTAATGTTTCTCTATTATAAAACCTAGCTTTCACCTTTAAAATATAATCAGCTTCACAAAAATAATTTCGAGCCAACCCATTAACTTTAGTTGTTAACTTAAGATCTTTAATTGTTAACTTTAGATTTTATATTGAGTTTGATGTTTAAGGTTTAACATTGTATTTTACTGGACTTACCATTTCCTCCAGTGAGGTGAGATCACCCAAGGTGGCCCCATATGTTAATGCAGTCAGGTTCTTTACTATGGCCAGAGATTGTTGTCTGGAATAAAGATTCATCATTTCAATTATATGTCTTTGAACACATGTTCAATTTAGTATATGTTGATTTCTTCATTCATTTTCAATATTCTTGATCAGAATTCTATTCACTTCAATATAATAATACTTCTTCAACAAATATACATGTATTGAAATATGAATGGTTAAACATGTAAAAAATAACATAATCACCTTGCAGTTCCCCCCACAGGTGATAAATAGAGTCTTTTGTAGGCAACCACTAGGGAATCTTTCACTGATTGTTCCTTGGACCAAATCAATGCCAACATACGGCGGATCCCTAGCATTGAATTGCTGACGCCAAACTCAAATGCTGTCACAAAGAATTCCATTGCCTCTAGAATGTCTGTGGTGTTCTTGGAGCCCAAAAGCTGGCAGATTACTGGTATAGCCTGCTGTACTTGGCCAGTGAATATCATACAGTCCTACAATGGTGATGACACATGTACATATTGATCCAATGGTTTAAATATGTACACATAATTTTATTGAGGATTTGTCACTCACAGGCAGTCAACATATTTTAATGATAACTTTAAACATGTGTCAAGAGACTCTAAATATTTATGTATCTGTTCCCAGCCTGTTATGCCGGTTATATTGGGAAAGACAGGAGAAATGAGGAGTCATGAAAAAATCCATTCTTTGTGTGGAAAACCTCCTCCAATCAAATGATACTAAAAATATTAATAAAGATAATTAACACTTGTATTTACAAATAAATAAATTATTTAACACATACCTTGAGATATTGTACAAGGACCTGTTGTTTGGCGAGTTCATTTGCTTCCTGCTCAGTTTGCTTAGATTTGTCTTTGTCTTCATTTTGGTTCTGGTCAGCTTTTGGGAGCTCGGCCATGCCTGCAGGCACAAGTGAATATTTGAGTCAAATTTAAATATATCAAATTTTTCCAGATAAGATTCTTTAAATTATTAATCTTTGGAATGGTGAAATCTTGAAAATTACAGTACAGGGTTGCAATTATTTTTTATCAATCATGACAAATAAAAGCGACACATACATGTTTATTGACTGAATGCATGATGACAATAGTTCTCATTTCAGATTTTCTCAGTTTGTGATCCAATTTTGTAACTTTTCAAATTGCACTCACAATTCCCTGACTTTTCACAGAATTCTAAAACTCTCTGACCTGATTTTAGCCATTTTTAAAGGAAATTCAGAAATCCCCTAACTGGCAACCAGAAGTGGTTAACTAACTTCAGTCTCATTGAATTACAATCTTCGATAAGTTTTAAATAAATCAAAATTCTCACTTACCCAAAAAGATAGATTTGAGACACTGGAGACATTTCCAAGGTTCGGTACCAACTGCTTCATCAGATTCAACATCCGAATCATCTCCTTGTACATTTACATTACTTGGGTTGAAGAGATCATGCTCTGGCCACTGCTCCTTAGCCATCTGGGTCAGTTGAACGGCCTTCTTATACTCCTCACTTGTGATGTTGTTGTAGATGCACTCCATAGCACTAGAATAGAATTATATAACTATGACATGATGGAATATTATTACCACCTTGCCGGGCCAGTTCTAGGGGTTTTAGTGCTAGTTTAGAAGGCATTCATTTTAATATATCGACCTGAGCAATATGTGACGTCACAATGGCGGTCAATACTGCCGGTCAAGAATGCAATTTTTTTCAAGAATGCATAAGGGCAAATTTCCCCGAGAAATTAGGTATCGTTCAGTGGGTAAGATTTTCTTGCTGTTTCAGTCCTAGTCATTAATGGTGGTAATAATACTAATAACGTCATTTCTGCGAGCAATATAGTGAAATATTGGACCTTGGGCCTTCGAAATGACGTAATTGTACTATTCTACCAAGGATTGCACATTTCATGTTTTGATAGTTTTGTCAAATATTGGTCAAAATATAATTATTTTTTCATGATTTCTCTAATTTACATGTGGCTGCAAATGGATCTTTCAAGTGGGTGTAAGCTATTTTCAGAATCTAATTGAGTGCAGCAATCACCTGGTTCAATGCTTCAAATTCCATTGTTTTGCACTCTAATTAAGTCACGTTTCAAAGTACAACTATGCTTACTTATCTATTGTTTCCCCTTCACCAATCTTGGGAGCATTATCTTCATCTTCCTCTTCATCACTTGCCTCCATAACAGCTTTAATAGCAACCTCTATAGCTGATTCAACCTTTTGCCACTCTTCTTGGATCATAAGGTCATTTGGCACTGCAACAATATTTGAAAGATTAAGTTTATCTCAGCTGTATATTTCTATAGAAAACATTTTATGTCCTAAATGAAATAAAGAGTTTAAAAACCTACCAGCTGGGAGTGTTTCTTCAGGCTCCATCTCATGCAATTTCTCCTTTTCTTTCTCATAATTTGTTTTCAACTCTTCTAAGCTTAGCTGAAACAACATTAATATTCAATATACTATTACAGTGTAATAAAAACATAGGATCAAAACAACATCAGCCCTTAGCATAGGATTTGATCCTATGTATTAGATTAACTAGTAAATCATAATAATACAGGATAAACTAGCTGATACTGAACTACCGACATGTCATCATGTTGCTGTTTTATTATGAAAAATCAAATTAGTCAAATTGAACAAAGGGATGTCGGATAAGGCAACTAAAGGTAAAAGGGTTCATAAACTCCCTCCCCTGGCTGGGGAAATACTTAAAATACTCTGACATCAACCTTACGAGATCCTCTTTAAATGCCCATTGTCTTGAAAAATATCTGCCACAATCAGAATATTTTTCTTCATAATTCTTATATTTACTGTTTTGCTGTTGGTGGTTTGTATTCACCATATTGGGAAAACTGAAACAACGTCGACTGATGAAAATAAGTGTTAAACTTTCCAATGCTTACACTTATAAACTTACACCAAAAAATGTAAAGCAAAACTTCATACACCAGCTGAGCAATTATTTTGTTGTTTTGTTGGTAGGTTTATGTCAATATTGAGTATGGAAGCTATCAATTTTTATACCCCATAAACATGAGGAAAAGGATTTCTGACACCCGTTTTAAAATCTCTTATACCTTATGTAAAAGTACCAATTTATTGCTACGAACAAAATCTACAAAAATAAAATTAGTTTCCGAGTCAAAACCTTGCACCATAGCAAATCCTATAACAAAAGCAAGTTCATGTACTATATCAAAAGCCAAATGAAAACAAATTCCTGAAGGTTGAAATACCTTCAATATAAAATTACCAGTGACATTCAGGTGCTGAAAATGATAAGCAAGTTACTTTCCAAAATATTATTGCACAATTATCATAGGCATAGTCTCAAAATGTGCTTCACACTTAATTCTTCATATATGATCCCTTATGTTAGTAGTTGGAAATGTGGAGAGTCCATTTTGGTAACAAAATATTGCAAATATCCTATCAAAGGTAACAAATTGGATTAACATGCACAAATTGATATTTACCTTAACTCTGAGGCAAACCTCCTGAAGAATTTAATTTATAAATCTGGTTTATTTACTGACAAATTGTGGCAAATCAAAACAATAAATGATCAGCATTGGATATATTACATGACATCAATTGAAGCCTATACAACCAGGTGATATTTCTTACCTTTGCTGCAAATGGGTTACTACGCAACAGAGCTGTCACAAGCTGAATTGCATTTTTCCTCACTGAACTAGACTTGTCCTGGAGTCGACCAATCACAAGCTCTACAACATGCTGTTGCCGCGGCAATGGAAGTGCTTTCTCCTTGACAATATTCAACCAGATTTGAAGGACTTTGCTCCTTGTGAACGCATGAACATCATGTATGTGATCCTGCAAATGCATCATAGTATAATATTGAATTGTATTGCATGTTATTTCTTCATACATGGTCTTTCTTTGTTTCTTATTAACTTGTGAACTGCAATTAATAAACATGCACTGTACCTCAAAAGCAGTTCATTTAACTAAAATATTTAAAAGAAAATGCTTAAACTACTATTTGGTCATATAAGATGAAATGATAGCATATAACACAACACCGCTAATGTAGCCCCATTTTCTCTTAAAATTATCACATTTGAAATAAATTAACAAACAAAACAGATGTAATCATTTACTTACCTCTAATTTGTCTAAAAATTGATCTCTAGTTGCTTTCAGTTTGTCATCTAGGTCTTCCTTGCTAAGTACTTTCATAACTATCTCCCCCATGACACCTACCACACCATTGCGCATCATGTATGACTACAATACAAGTAATCAAAACATAAATATAAAGTATGCATAAAATGTATAGAGTTCAAATGATTATTAAATCCTGTAGTAACTGTTTTGCAAAAATGCATTGAATCTTGTCAGCTTCCCAGCTGAAGGTGGTATTTTCAACATCAGTGATTCAATTCTTTTTTATTTTTTACTCATATGATTTGACATTTTCTTTCTAAAAGTTTGTTATGTAAATCATAAGGAAAAGAGTAAGTGGTCTTATCCTGGCCCATTGGGGCATACCTCTCCATCCAGATGACCTAGGATAACACTGATGCTCGGAAGCATGATTGCTGGAATTCTTTCAGCAAGTTCAACAAGGAAACCTGAATAGCCGCGAGTCCCCGAGGCATCCTTTACAAGATCCTGGGCATCTATCCTTCCAATTTCCCTGTAAAAATATAAACAACTGTTAGATAAGGGGAAGTTTATTTGTGTACATGTTATCTATTTCACAAGTAATTTCACGAAAGATGGGTTTCCTTAAAATAGCCAGATTTTTGAATTTAACATTTGGTTGAGCGAAAATAACAATATAACAAATGTGGGCATGGTTTTAGCATAAACTTAGTGGCAAACATTTTTTACAGCTTGAACTAAGGGGCTGATAAGGTACTCAAAGTTTTTCTTACCTCATTATCTCACTAACAACAGTCTTAACCCCAAACTCAGTTGCAAACATTTGTACAGCTTGGGCTAAGGGGCTGATCAGATGCTCAAAGTGTTGCAGCAGCTGGACAATTTTTAAACTTGCACCTAAAACAAATTTTGATTTCAACCAATTAAAGTTCAATATTGATTTCAACTTCTACGTGTCCAACTTTTATACCTTTAAAATGTTTTCTATCCGATTGGAAATTATTTGAAACTAAAAAACAAAGCCTTTGCAAAGACCTAATATGAATAGTCACTCAAGGAAGACTATAACCTTAGGATAGTGAAATGAATGCACTACCACTATGCTATAGAGCCAACAATTCAGAATCTCCATTGGCTAGTTGGCTAGCCTACTCTTTGAGTAATAAATATGTAATATTCATGTATTTAAAGTAGTTATAGACAGAAAATGGAGTGTCATAATTTCTCACAGCATCATCTCGTTGCATATAGACATCATAGATTTATCTCTTGGAAACCCTCTCGGAAAAGGTAAATGGCGACAGTTTTTACAGTTTAACAACTTACTGAGTGAATGGTTGTGCTTCTTTATCATCATGCCTAATATCTGACAGATTGCGTCTCTGGTTGGTTTACTGCTGACACGAGATATTGTAGGATTCTCCAACAGTTTATAGCAGCAGCTTGTCACCAAACTACAAACAATATACAGAAGTTATTACTTTTAGGTATAGAACACATATAGACATGAGAATAGATATTGTATTTGCAAAACTTTAATTCATCTATCTGGTCAAATCATCATAATTATCCCAACTTGATAAAGTGGTTATGCTGGGGATGATGCGCCCAAGAATTTTAGTTCAGTATGATGCACCCATTGAACTGGTTAAATTTTTGACAATATTATTATTCTGAGAAACAATAAAAATATGTTGGAATCCAAAAAGACATACTTGACAAATTCTTCTTCTACCACAGGAGGGTCCCATAGTCTGTGTATGTTAAGTTGTAAGAGCTGAGACATAGCTTGCATAGCTCTCTCTCTCTCACCCTCCCAATCCCAAGACATATCAGCAGCTTTCTTCTTTTTGCCTTTACCCTTAAATAACATATAATTAGTTCAAATAGTTGTTTTTAATTGATCACATTTCATTACAAACAGATCTGAACCAAACATCTGAAGAGTTAATTTTGACGTTTAGAATAACAAGTGACATACGTCAATTCCAAATGTTAAAATATTGTACATTTAATAGAAAATAATTGATAAATTGACAAGTACATATTTACATTGTAAAGTCTCTACTCATTGAGATCAAACTATGCTTTTGCTATAATATATGAAATACTGCATAAAACATGATATCAATGAGTCATTTATTAACATAACAAAACAAGGCATAAACATGAAAAATGTCACCACCTGCCCTTTGTTACAAATGCCGAATGCCAAAAATGGAGACCATAACGTGGTGACATAATAAAATGGACCTTTAGTTTTTTTTCTACATACCTTAGCATTGACTGTTACAGATGGTTTAGTTGCATCCGCTTCAAATATTTCAATAAACTGACACAGGAGATAGCAGTTCATTTTCAATGTGTTCAGATGTTCCATTTTTGAATGATGTTCAATGCTTGCCTCATCCAGCATGTTAGGCAGCAGATTAGCATGGGAAGACACTGACTTAATGATAGATTCCCATGCATCTTCTTTCACCTCATTGTCCACTTGCGAGAGTTGCCTGGAGCAAAATATCATCAATAGTATATTGCTTTCATATAAGAACAATAACTCCGATTCGTATTCAGTTCTTGCTTCATGACCACTGCCTATAATTGTGATTTCTAGAAGAATGATTTGATTGAAAATGAAGTTTTTGGTATATGTATGATGAAATGTACACCTCCAAATGAAATGTCATAATTCAATGTTATAATTCAGTATAAAATAAACAATAACTCCTCTATGTTCTCCTTATTTCTTGCTTAGTGCTTAGTTAACTGTTTTGTTTACTCAGTGACCCCTCAGCTTAGTCTAAATAATTTTAATTGATTTTCTTAAAATCCTTTATTGAAATGTTTATATTTATGTCCTCTAGATATAACCCAAGCCTTGGTCAGGCATTCCGGGGCTAAAATAACATAATAATTATGTGCTACAAAAAAATCTTCAGACTTGGACCAGTTGAAGAATTCTTGCCTTTTTATTTTTACACAGTTGAAATGTTGGTGAAAGTGAAATTCATAGTGACTGGTGATAAATATGGCCAGATAGAAAATATTTTAGCCAGAGAGTTTTCAATGTATGTGGACAAATTTGGCTTGAGTGAAAAAAAATTCCTATTTGCCAGACTCTTGATATGAATCAATTTTGTATATTTTCTTTTCAAATTTATCTAAAAAAAATTAGACTTAGGATAGGACAACTGACAAGTGTATAAAACATGATTAGACAAACGTACATGTATTTGTCTTGATCTTCTTTTTAATAACAAAATATGAAATTGTAAAACTAATATCACATAATTATCACAATAGTTATTATAAAATTACACTTCTGCTGGTAAAATAAAAAATTACAAAGTCAAAGAATCGTATATGTTGTGTCTTGAAAATGTTTCAACTTACTTGAGTATGCTATAGAATGTGTCAAAGTGTTGTATAATAGCTAGAGGGCCTTGTGATCTTCTGGCAGAGGAGTACTCTGAAAACAATTAAAAAAAAACATTGAAAACTTAATGACGCTAAAATAGTAGAGCGCATGGTAATGAAAGCTGTTTTTAAACTTTAAAGGTTGTATCTCATAACTGATTATATTTGCAATTTGCACAATCAAAAAATACTACAGTATATTCAATAACATACCTCTCAATGCATTTTGTAGCTGCCTAATGCTGAGCACCTCATCTACAACATACTGATTAACTCCTGTCCTATTCAACAGCTCCTCTTTACACATGGGGATGGCAAAGTCAAAAGACATGATTATGCTAAAAAGATAATTGAAAAGGATATCAGCTGATTGAACAATTGGTTTTGAAGCTGTGGTCAAACATAACAACAGAGGTGTTCAACTATTGGTGCACAATTCTAAGTGCTCGAGACTTACTCCAATCTAACTAGCCTTGCCCAAGTCGGTCTCTTTTACTTATTTTGATTTCTATTATGACCGTCTTGTACCCAAGAGAAAGCCACTTTACCGACCCAATGGTTGTGTCGTTAAAATTTGACCAATCAACAATGGCCCTGCAGCATTAGCTCATTATTATGCATGGTCAAAAACAAGTACACTTTTCACCAGGACTTTTCATGAACAAATCTTGCACGAATTCATCATGAAAATACAAATATTTAATCAGATAAATATCAATGATTTAGTGGATGCCGGAGCATCGATCGGATAACCAGAGCTGATAAGATTTCAACAATAAACGTTGAAACGATCGCAGAATTTAAATGATCGGATATGTAGGCTGAGATTCAATCACTGATCGACGACTGCATGACCCACTACATGGACTAGGTCTTCGTGCATTTTCATCGCGAAATCAGTTTTAAATCAACAATGAATCGCATGATTTAATTTATATTAAGGACTCTTTCATTCCAATGTACATTTAATTACATAATATTCTAAAGAAACACTCGATCAGATCATTGAATTTCAAGTCGTAGACGGGAAGTTTGCTTTCTTTATGCAGGTCAACCAGATAACGTTTTGATTGGTCAATCAGCCTGAAGTCACACGTCGTGTCCACGCGATCTGTCAATCAATTAGGTTTCGCGATACCCCTGATAGCGTAGGTATTATGGAAATCTCGAAACCGTTGAATATCTCAGCATAATATCAGCAGAGATGTATTGGATTGTACAAGGCATTAATAATTCAAGATCAGATAAGTAAAAAAATACCGACTTGGGCAAGGCTAGAATCTAACCAATAACTTAGAAATCATCACATGTGCAACACTTGCTGGAATTACACCATGCGTTCTAGAAAGGTGCCCAAGGTTTTAACCAGGTTTGAAAAATAGGTGTAATCACGACTTATTCGTAAGTTTAAATCGAGAAAACAAAATAAAATTGTGTCTGGGAAGTTCAACCATTTTGTTACATTAACGTTCTGTCAAAGTATCTAGTTGTGGAACAGTGGCCTTTTGTAATTTAGGGAGTTTCAGCCATGTAAATTTTTTCGAAAAATAACATGGCAGAGAAGCATCAAAATATACGAAGCCACACATATGATAGCCAAACAACAAAACAAACTAAAATATACAAAAGTTAGGTCTTGTAAATATATTTCTATTTTTTCATATACATGTACTGTCTAAATAACAATATAGTCCTTTGATTGCATATTGGAAGAAGGTCACTTGCAATACGTACTTCCAGAACTTGAGAAATCAGAGGATTAATCAAAATGATAGATAAGAAATAGTCCAAAGGCTACAGAGACTAGGGCAAAGGGGAATAACGTCAACACCATTTTTGGGTAATTTCGACATGTGGGGTAACTTCGACAACTTGTTGTTTATTTGATTTAATTTCCGATCTACAGTAGAGGGAAGCCATGTTTTTTTCTTGCAGGGACCGAGATCTCGCGAGGTTTTATTTTTCCTGAAATCAAACATGGCGGAAAAAGGACATTCTAAATTCTAATATAAAGTAAGTGTCGAAGTGTCCTTACATCGACATTTCCCCACACGTCCATGTTAAACACTTTTGCCCTAGTGTGAGGCTTTTAAGAGATACAGTCAAAACAGAAATGTTTGTGACTGCTTTGAATTTAAAAAATAAGCAATCAAATGACCATATTGAAACAGTTTATGTAAAAATAGAAACATTTATATTTATCCTAACTTTTGTATATTTCAGATAGTAATGTAAAATGTGCAGCAAAGCTGTGGCCTTTTGTAATTTAGGAAGTTTCAGCCATGTTAATTTTTCCGAAAATAACATGGCAGAGAAGTATCAAAATATAAGAGGACACAGATATGATAGCTAAACTACAAAACAAACTACACAAAAGTTAGGATAAATGTTTCTATTTTTACATAAACTGTTTCAATATGGTCATTTGATTCCTTATTTTTTAAATTCAAAGTAGAATCAATACTTCTATTTCCAAACACCCCCATCAAAAAATGTAGTTAGCTTGGCTGTACTGCACATCTGTAGAATAATTTTAGATATTATGTTATGTGAATTAGATGCTGTAAAATGCATTTGCAGAAAAAAATTCTGAGAAAATGTCAAAAAATCTGGGGTATACCATTTTAACTACAATTTATTTTAGGGGGGTAAATCCAAACAGGAGTTTTTTTAGGGGGTAATTCTGAACACTAGCATGGGGGTAATTCCAAACACTTAACTAAACTTCATTGTTTTACTTGTAAGATTGATGGTATATCATTGTATGGTACCCTGAACTAATGATACTGGATCCTGACACCCCTGCATATCAATAACCCCAAATATAATTAATTTATAAGTGACATCTATTTATTTAAAGGCATAGGGTTTGTGGGGGTAATTCCAAACACTGACATAGGGGTAATTCCGAACACATAAATCACCATAATTGATTATTTTACCGTTAGAGTGTTGGTATATATCATTATATGGTATCTTTCAGGATATAAATATTATATAGAGGTACTATTATTCAATTAAATGATTTGCTTGCCATTGTTTGCAACCCGTTCGGGTTTACCCCCCTGTTTGGATTTAGACGTATTGACTCTAGTCACTCGCCTTGCCCAAGTATTTTTTTTACAAATCTGATCTGTGAATTATTACCGCCTTGTACAATCCAATACATCTCCGCTGATATTATGCTGAGATATTCAACAATTTCGAGATTTCCATAATACCTACGCTATCAGGGGTATCGCGAAACCTTATTGATTGACAGATCGCGTGGACGACACGACGTGTGACTTCAGGCTGACTGACCAATCAAAACGTTATCAGGTTGAGCTGCATAAACAAAGCAAACTTCCTGTCTACGACTTGTAATTCAATGATCTGATCGAGTGTTTCTTTAAGTTGCAATATCATTCATGAATATATTATGTAATTAAATGTACATTAGAATGTAAGAGTCATTAATAAATTAAATCATGCGATTCAATGTTGATTTAAAACTGATTTCGCGATGAAAATGCACGATGAAAATGTAGCGGGCCATGCAGTTGCAGTCGATCGGATCAGTGATTCAATCAGCCTACATGTCGATCATTTGAATTCAGTGATCGTTTCAACGTTTATTGTTGAAATCTTATCACCTCCGGTTATCCAATCGATGCTCCAGCATCCACTAATAAACTCTGATTGATATTTATCTGATAAAATATTTGTATTTTCATGATGAATTCGTGCAAGATTTGTTCGTGAAAAGTCCCGGTGAAAAGTGTACTTGTTTTTGACCGTGCATAATAATGAGCTAACGCTAGACTACAGGTCCGTCGTTGATTGGTCTAATTTTACCGACATCAACAAACTGTAGGTAAAGCACATGGCTTTCTCTTTGGTACAAGGCGGTCATAATAGAAATCAAGATAAGTAAAAGAGACCAACTTGGGCAAGGCTATCTAGGCCTAGTCACAAACATTTCTGTTTTGTATAGGCCCTACTTCTAATAAATTGGATCCGCCAAATTGTTAAAGATCTAATAGCAAAGGTTTTGCAAAAATAAATCAATATAGTATAAAACAAATGTATGTATAATGAAGAAATAAATATATAATGAAAAAAATAGATATCTGTTTGTAATATTGGTATAAACTTAAGATTAAAAAGTGTCACTATCTCTTTCACTTTTCAACAAATATAGGCTCACGTGACATGTGACGCGGGGCAGGCAATTTTGATCTATCGTACACCATATCAGTATCAAATTGCTGATATTTCAACCTCGTCTTGCGAGGCCATTTTGATTTGAAACATCTTGAATTTGGTGTCAAAATGAAGCTGGTCACGCCCACTTTCAGAGTTATCAATGAATCATTTACTACGACTACTATATTCATTTAGGACGCGTGTAAAGTTAACCAATCAGACAGACAATTGTTCCATATATGGCAGTTCATTAACATATTCAGTGTTTACTACTGCTTTTCGCGTCATGACAACACGAGTAGTAACCAATCAAGATGCCGTATTTTATCACGTGAGTTCAGAGTGACACGCACGTGACATGTTGTCTGAGGTGATCGCGATGTTGAACAATTTCTTCTCAGAATTTGTCCAGAGAAATCAGCGATTCTAAATTAAGGTAGGATCTGCCATTTTTTCCTGTACAAGTTATAACTTATCTCTATCGAATCCTAAAGTTTTGGAAGAAGATATGAAGCGTAGGTTTAAAAACGAAGCGATTAATTTGACGATCTGATTTTGCAATTTGCAATGGCCAATTTACTGCAAGTCCAGTGCATGTATTTGACAAGAGATAGCGCCAAGTCTTGTATCTTAATGCTTGTTAAGCCACTCAAAAACAAGATCCATATTTTCTAAATTTGATAACTTTGCAGAAAACCTGTTTTCATAATCTGTTTTCCGCACCTAGATTCAAACTGAGTATGATAATAGGATCGCTGGAATCTTCAGTCAATGGCAACGGGTCTTCATTCCAGAACTCACATTTTTAGTTGATTCTCCGTCATAGTTCTTGTCTAAAGTCCCCATATCTGCTCTCTTACTGCCATACTTGCACACATTTCCCCTCCTTAAATTGTCTTCATTCAAATTACACCCTCTCGCCGATTTATATAGCCATTTCCCAGAACCCGGGAATCAGAATCGCTGATGTTTGCCATATTGAACATATTGTATGTACTGTAATATCTGTACATTGCCTGCTATGCGTAATGGTCACGTGACTAGTGCGATACAGGAAAAATGGGGAATTTCGAAACAACAATTTTTGGGCACTTTTATTGCAAATTTCAGGTATTTATAAAGTGTTTGTGGTGTAAAATATAATCCACAGACATAAATGAACATCCAAACTACATATTTCATTAAGGTTCAGCTGGAAAGTAACATTTTGGTAAAAAATTGCTATACCTGCACATGTTATTTTCCGGTACAAAATAAAGTATGAAGGCATGTGTCAATTTCCTTGCTTTTTTCAGGAAAGTATCATTACACTGTTTACTTTTAGAATATCTGGAAACAGGACAATGGTAGCTCCTGTGTTGTCTGGAAACTTTGAAAGAAAATTTGGAAAAATAGAAAGTGTGAAATCAGAATTTCCTGGAGTTCCCATTGAACTCCTACTAGATATCCTTAAAGAAGACAATGTACTACTTTTTTCAAGGCCTGACTGCGTCGCTAACATGCTAAATATAAGAGTTAGCTGACGTTTGGGAGTCTGACTTACCTTCTAAAGGTTAGAACCCGAATCTTAATGAAACCATATCACCTTTGTTGCGTCAACCATGGAGCATTTGCCACAACATCCAAGAGGTAAATCATGGATCGAGAAAATGAATGATTTCCTTGTAAGTTCCGGAAGTTTCAATACGAAAAATTACCGAACATATGTGAAAACCGAATATTTGTTCGTTGTTTTCACGATTTACAGGTTCGTTTGTTCTTCAATGTTTTGGTCTAAATTATAAAGCATCACCAACAGGTCTTACTCTATTAATAGACTAATACAGCAGACGGCTCATATTTCTACGTAGCATTTCATTCAGACCAATAGTGGGAGTGTAGATCACGCAGTTTCGTTCGTTGCGTACTTCACTTGAAATTGGTAAATTTAAATATTGACTACTTCACTTAGCTTGGCGGATGTAGAACATTGCTTAATATTCTTTTAATTTTCACAACAGACATGCTTGGTTGACACGTCAACAAAGTAAAGTTCAAGGGTCAATGCTTTATTTCGTGATAACTACAACGCCTTCCCGGAAGTCAACATTGATGAAAAATGAAAAAGTCGGAAAAGCATTTACGCTAATTTCTATCAAATGCTATGTTTATGCATCATCATCGACGCAACAAAGGTGATATGGTTTCATTAAGATTCGGGTTCTAACCTTTAGAAGGTAAGTCAGACTCCCAAACGTCAGCTAACTCTTATATTTAGCATGTTAGCGACGCAGTCAGGCCTTGAAAAAAGTAGTAATGGTACTTTCCTGAAAAAAGCAAGACAATTGACACATGTCTTAATTCTTTATTTTGTACCAGAAAATAACATGTGCTGGTATAGCAATTTTTTACCAAAATGTTACTTTCCAGCTGTACTTTAAGTTTTGGAGCCTTTTTTGCTCTTAAATTAACATCTTTAATTTCCCAGAATTTTAGTACCAATCCTAAACCAGAATGGATGATCCAGATTTAGACTTAGTCACACTCACCGTCTGAGTTGGTGATCAGTCACAAAAATTGATAGCCTTGGTCTCAGCTTAGGCCTAAGATTAGCTCTACAGTTGGGGACAAAAATAAATGACAGGTCGATTTTCGATCACCATTTCCTAATTATGGTGGTCTGAAAGCCCATAATTTCCAATATTGTCTAGATATATATCCCTTAAAATTTGTATATTTTACATTTTGTATAATCTCAACCACTGATGTATGGCCTCTTGTAAATTCTCATATTTTTAACATGGGAAATCCTCACTTCAGCAAATCCACCTGTCATTTATTTATGTCCCCAACTGTAGGCTTGATTCGAGACAAGTGTCGTGAATGAAAAACTTGATTCGAGACAAGTGTCGTGAATGAAAAACATCTGACGCGATTCTAGCGCGATTCGAGAAAATCAAATGTCTCATCAATACACACTGTAGTCTACAACTATGAACACTCAAAAAATGTGACAAAATCAACTTACCTGTTGTGCTATATGTCGAACAGTTTGGGGTTAATCATACCATTTGTTGAAAAAAGGAAAAATCTCAAATCCTTAAAAGATGGCCGCCTTTTTTCGAATCAACCAATCAAAATCCAGTATTTCATCATGACGCCCCTACTAAAAATTTTAAATTATCATCAGGGATGAATCATTTTAATTTTTTTAGCCTATGTATGTTTTAATTTTTTGTCTATAAGAAGGCAATAAAGCTATGTATTTACAGTCCATTATTATTAACATATGAACACGCATTAAAAATCTGATTTCATCAGGGACTTTCTCTTGAATCATGATCAGCTGACGATTTCATTCATATATTCTTAGTAGTACAAAGATCTACTTTTACTTTACATGGAGATGAAAACGATTTTCGTCATCCAGATTGTATATTTACCTATTGCACATACGTAAGCCTTCAGCTCGAAATGCTTTTTTGGAATAAAGCTTGGTAGTTGGAGTAAAAGAAATGAAAATGTATTTATGTATTTGAGATGACAAGAATGACATATCCACAAATGTTGGGCGTTTCACCGGAAATCCACGATGATTTACGGAATTTCACGATGTTGTCTCCTTGCAGACTCCAAAAAGGTAGCCATATTGAAAATGTAATTCACAATCTGTCCCAATCATCACATTTCTGATCTGATTTGACGTTAAATTACACGTGAGTATGATTACCTAGTATATTATCTATCTAAAATCATTCACATATGTTGTTTTGTAGGAGACACAAGCTTGGAAACAAGCTTTCATTTCGGTCCTTGACCAAGGACTTCGCAGAAACCACTTTCCTCTGAAATGAACATACAACAGGGGAGAAGTAACACCATTTCGCCTCCTGTACAGATTCCAGCACAGTCGGGTCCTCTGGGCATACCTATGTATCCTTTTGACTTGACTGTAACTTCAAATCTGCTGTGAATTTCCAACTATCGTTCTTTATTTGTTGGTATTTTTCACCGGTGCCATTTTTGTGAATGACGTGTTTCATTTCAATTCGTTTTGCTTGGAACGTGATAACTTGTTCTGTAATTAATATGACACAATTCGTACAGAAGATGCTTCTCTAGTATGACGCCCAACTTCTTGATACCGTTCAATACATTATTTCATGAAGTTGGTGAAAACTGATGGGTAAATTATTTTGGGGTGTGGACATTTTTATTCCATGCATGCATGATACCATTTGTTAGCCTTCCATTTGACCTTATTGCGTATCAACCTAAATAACACATAAGTAGATGCTCATAATTTCAGCCATGAAATCATCCCATTCATTGTCTATGTGACCCCACATTCTGATTTTGAATGAACCTGTCTTTATTTGTTTCAAGTAAAAACACATGTCTCTGTTTTGTAATGACAACATTGGTGATTCATAGTCAGTGATTTGATCGTATTTCAAGGGCATTTCAGTGCTAAATAGTACACACAAAATTGCGAAGGAATTGTACAAATTATTGTACAGTAAAAATTGACCAATTTGACATTCATCTTCAACAACTACCTCTTTCAAAAATTTAGAGGTAAGATAGAAGGTGGCTTACATTAATTATCTTGTGGCCTCATGGATTATAGGCTAGAATTGTTGTCTCACACTCAAAAGGTCTTTTCAGAGTTACTGAAATCTTTTTGGTTGTTTATTTATTTGTTGTATATTTTGCTTCTGTATAACATCATAAGATTGCACATTTGGAATGTTTCATTCTGAAGTTTTCTCTGCCCAGTCCCTAAAAACAAAGGTTGATTCTAAATAGAGATGATTGTATATGTACAATGATACGATAGAAGCATTTATTAGTATTCTCCATGAGGCAATATCGAGTTACAATGCCTCTTTTCACTTGGGATAAGCTCTGCCAAACTTTCTCATGATAATTTTTTGCCAAAATTGTTCTTACCCCCTTCACACATTTTTAAGTGTGAGAGGTATTTATATTAGTTAGTATTGAAGAGATCAAAACTAAATAAGAATAAAAGCTTGTTGTTTATATAACCAATAGACAATTTTCATGTTCTACAAATTCAAAATTACTTCCTAATATATTCTAGTCAGTGTTGTTGATAACTAATCAGGAAACGCACATGGTTTGTATGTTATGTTAGTAACCAATATTACAAGTGACATGTCTAGCCACTTAGTAGAGGCCCAAACTTATTAATTAATTTTCAATAAATGTGATTGTTCAAAAGCGTATGTTGTATCAAATAGCCAATTTTGGTACATAGTCCACATATTATCAGAGTCAGTTTATAATGTACTACTCAAAAGGAGAATCTTTTTACTGGAGATACGTACTGAAGGATAGGGAATATTTGAGGAAAAACATTGTTTGAAATTAAATAGACTATTATTAACAGTCGATCATTGACTTGACACAACTCCATTTTTTTCTGATTGCATCATTCTGTTATTGATGATGTAGAGCAAGATAACTGATGGAATTACATTTAGTTTGCTTAACATACTTTGTGCAGCTAATACATGTACAGAAGTAGGGGTAGATAGAGCTAGAGATATATTTATAAACCAGCCATAGCCTTCAATAGGAGAAAGTAAAATATCCTTGGCAATGTATTAATCTTGGTTAAATTGACAGTAGAGGAAATGAGGCCTTATCCTTGCACTATGTTAGTTAGCTAACAGGATTAGTAAACATGGCAGAGAGATGCACCACTAATATGCATGCATAATTATACTATAAAATCCCTGAGACTGCTTGGTTTATTTGTCGATTTCAAATTACATTTTGAATCGTAATTTGATTTGTGTGAATAGTTTTTTGACATGTTTTTAAGTTAAATTATATAGAAAACCAATTGGTTACATACATAATTCTTTAAGTGAATTTATTTCATTTCAAATTCTAACCTTTAATAATACAAGGCCAAACACATGTCTTTGTTCACACAGTTTTCCATTGTTTCGAATTAGTTAATTCCATAGAATGGAAGTTTTAAAACTATTGAGCCAACATCTAAAGTTTTATTGAGCAGGTGGTCTGAAAAGATCAGCATGTCTTATTAATTTAGATGATATGCCAAGAATGAGTCATAAATACAGAACATACAATCTTAAAATACTTTTATTTGTCTGCAATTGTCCTTAACTTTAGAACAGTCCGACCAACCAAGGGCCTACCCCTCCGGTACAGTACAGTAAGTACTTGCCAGCTTTACTAAGAGAATAGAATCTGAATTTGGAAAAATATTGAAACATCTATGTTTGTATATAATTTAAGAATTGAACAAGCAATGACATGGCAAAATTCAAGTTTTATTATGATTCAAGTACACATACATGCACATAGACTTGGGGAGTAATAGTGACTATCTGACATTGTCTTGTTTTCTCATTGGTTATTGTTGTCTGGGGGAAATTGAACTGTGCTGGACTGATTCTTTTGCACTATCTATATATCTTAATATAACACTGTTGTCCAAAAAGTGATCTGTTTTACTTATTGATTTCTTTTTTTTGTTTGATTACAGGGGCAGAAGAATACATAACACAGGCAAGGCCAAGTCCCCCTGTTTACCAAGTGAGTAAACTCCTGCTAATTCTGTCAAAAATAATGGTTGAGAGTAATGATTGAATCTAGTGAGAAAACATTATAGCCAATTATTGATTAAACCTTTGACATGATTGCAATGCTCAAAGTAAATAGATGTATCTAAATTTGGTTCATTTAACAGTCTAGAAAACAAAACAAATTAATTTCATCAATGTTGTGGTCCATTTAGTCCTGTGATGACAACACTGCGCAAATCTGAAGTGTTGAGCTGTCCTTTTGTGACTGTTCCGCTCTTGATCTAAAACCTTTAGCTTTAACTGAGGACTTACTGCCCCTTTAAGATTAGGTGTAGAAGATGCAGTCTTGTGTGTAAAAGTCCAGCTGTCATGTTGGATCATATTTCGGCAAATGTTATTTTTCAAGGCTGCTAATAAAGTACTTATAATATTACAAAACCAACTTTTCAAAATTAATTAATTTCTAAACATTGCAATCAAAAAATAGAAGCTTGAAATTACTGTAATACCGCTAATGTCTGCTCTGTTTCAGTATACATTCGTGCCACAACAGAGTGGCAATGCTCATGATATGAACCAACAAGCCTCTTCACACCCACATCCAGGACAATCTCCACAAATGGGTGTGCCTACCCAGCAGGCCAACCAGGCTCAGGTAGTCTACCCACAGGTCTCACAGGCACCTCGTCACAGCACACCAGTGAGTCACATTTTATGCATATTGTATATGTGTCATACGAGTGAGAAAATATTTTGTTGGTTTGTTCAGATTTACCACATGTGTAAGCAGTAGTATAGTAGTATAGGACTTGTATTCTTCAGCTCATACTTCTAAGAACAGGTGGAATCTGTAATATTAAAGTGAACAATTAACCAACCTTTATTTTTTTTACTCCCGACCTAAACCCCATTCTTCTGAAGAACAGTGCAATGGAAAACATAAAATTTGATTTGAGATCTTCTACCAATTAGGCTATATGTAGTGGGATTGATGATGCAATAGGGGCCACTAATGGGATACTTTTCCACCAAAATGATGCACCTCATTAAATAGATTATTCTATATTCCTGATTTCAAACTTAAATTGTATTAACCCTTTCCCGACGTGAATATAAGAGGAAAATGTTGTCCCCAGTGACGGATAAGTAAGAGTGTTTTTTAGGGGAAAACTGCAAAATACCTATGCCCTGGGACCTATACCTTGGATTTCATCACTGATATACAATTTTAGTAAGGATTATCACATAAGAACAACTTGTCAAAATTTGGTGTAAAAATACTGAATAGAACTGGAGATATTGTCATTTCATTGATGTATATAAATAAAAATAATGGTGCCAAAAGGAGCCTATCGTCCTGAAAGGTATTACATAATAGGGCTCCATATGGAGCCTATCGTCGTGAAAGGGTTAAGCTTCAATGAACATCAAATTGTACTTTATGTCCTAATATGATGTGTTATAAAATGTGTAGGGTGTCTGCTTTGCTAACCCCTAAACCTATGTAAAATTGGTGCAATTGTGTTCTCTGGGTCTTGACTGTCTTCACAATGTAACAAGCTAATTTTCCAGAGATTTGGTCAATGGGGTCAATTATTTTGTTCATTCCAGCCTAATCCTGTCTTGGAAACTGATGTAACAGCACAATGTTTAATTGACTGTCGTGTTTGACATCTAACAGACTTGAATCATTTCAATATTTAAATGTATTGCTCTCTATAGGCGTTGCTATAGTAACTTCACTTGTTGCCATGGTGTCACGGGGAGCATATATTAAACATTGGTGTCTTCTACCTAGCTGAAGCTGTCTATAGCTTAGTTATTTTACTTACACCATACAATTGAAATATTTGTGTTTTACCACTAAAAGATGCAGTATACCATAGGTTTCTCTCCTGGACAATCAATGATGTCCCATTATTATTGCTTTTTTAGCTTACATATCTTACATACCTTAGATATATCTTAGATACCAAGTTATAGGTACATATATTATTGCCTATATATTGAAATGATCAACAAAATAACCCAATGTCAGAATTGTATATAATTGATTCTATGGCCATCAAAGAGAATCCTGTCAAGTGACCGCATGTGCCTTGGACCAGGCAGCCAATCATGTTCATATTTAAGTAGTGTCTGTGAAAGTAATTCAATCAATTGGTAGAATCACAAAATTAGCACTAAAAGCGGCCTATTTGTGACTTCTTGGTTGGGAAGCAGATCAATGAACATACAGGGTTCTCACTAGGCTTTTAGACTCCAGATAATGTCTTAAGACCCTCTTGCTCTAGAGTCTACTAGCTTTTCCAGAGTCTAAATTGTTTTTTCCGGAGAAGTCCGAACCCTTTTCGAAATGTATATTGTGATAAAATTTAAAATAATCTTCAGTAGCTATGATCTCCTCTGCATCTTTTTCGTGGCGCAGCACCTTGTACATGCATGCATATCATAACCTCGTTCTCTTATTCAGCTCATATCCATCTGAGAAAAATTCCTGGGGAGATCACTGAGTAGTATCTTGAAAAGTATTCTAATAGGATATCTCGGATCTTACATGGGGAGTAGCCTTGCCCAAGTCTGTCTCTTTTACTTATCTATATTTCTATTTCACCGCCTTGTACCAAAGAGAAAGCCACATGCTTTACCGACAGTTTGTTGATGTCGGTAAAATTTGACCAATCAACGAGGGCCCTGTAGCGTTGGCTCATTATTATGCACGGTCAAAAAAAAGTACACCTTTCACCGGGACTTTTCACGAACAAATCTCAGTTGCACGAATCTGAGCCGAATTCATCATGAAAATACGAATATTTTATCAGATAAATATCAATGAGAGTTTAGTGGATGCCGGGGCATCGATCGGATCACGAAAGGTGAGAAGATTTCAACAATAAACGTTGAAACGATCGCTGAACATGTAGGCTGAGATTCAATCACCGATCAACGACAACATGACCCGCTACATTGGACTAGGTCTTTGTGCATTTTCATCGCGAAATCAGTTTTAAATCAACATTGAATCGCATGATTTAATTTATATTAATGACTCTTACCTTCCAATGTACATTTAATTACATAATATATTGTAACTCTAAAGAAACACCCGATCAGATCATTGAATTTCAAGTCGTAGATGGGAAGTTTGTTTTGTTTATGCAGCTCAACCTGATAACGTTTTGATTGGTCATTCAGGCTGAAGTCACACGTCGTGTCGACGCGATATCTGTCAATCAATAAGGTTTCGCGATACCCCTGATAGCGTACGTATTATGGAAATCTCGAAACCGTTGAATATTTCAGCATAATAACAGCGGGGATATATTGGATTGTACAAGGCGGTAATAATTCAAGATCAGATAAGTAAAAAAATAACGACTTGGGCAAGGCTAATGCGGAGGAGTTAGTTGCAATACTGCGAAAAATCTGGTGTCTAAAAATTTCTGGTGAGAACCCTGATATGTATTCAATATGTAAAAAAGTCCAGGGGTCTTGATTGTGCACTCCTATGGTATAGGGCCTCTTTAATGTGTTCTATCAAATCATTGATGGACCATGCTTTCTCAAAAATAACAATATAACCAAGAGAAAAGCTTCTGTAAACTGTGTAGGATAGGTATCGATATGATGAACTGAATTCAACAATGTTTTTCTCTTAAACCAATTCTTGAAAATATTCTGTAAATAAACACTGTCCTTTATGTAATGTTGACTGATGGACAACAATTTAATGCAAAAATTATTTATAAATATTTTATGTAACTGTTTTTGCTAACTTTTTTTGTTTTTAGTGCAATTGTTTTTTGTTCCTTTCTACCAATTCTTGAGAATGAAATAAAATGTCTTTCCAAACCTTGTTGGAACAAAATAGCATATACAACATTTTCTTAGACCTCTCAATATTATAGTTATAGTTATATATTATAGTTAAATTTTGGTTAATTTAACAAAAGTATGCAAAAACTTAACAAAATCTCCCAAAATAGATAAAAATTAAGACAAACCTTTTATTTCATTAACAAGATACGTTTTTAAAATCAACCAACTTTTCCTTTGTACAGTTACAATATTGAGAGACCTAAACACGTTGTGTTTATGTCATTTTGTTCCAATGAGGTTCAGATAGATGTTCCATTTCATTCCGAACATATGATACCAAGAACAAAAGAAGCGTCTGATGTGTTTTCTAAAACAATATTTAGAAAAGTAGAATATATATATTTCAAATTGTAATGTTACCATCCAAAAGATGACCATTAAATTGACGATGTGTAAAATTTTAAGAATGTTTTGATGACTGATTTAAAAGAAACGCATGTTCAAAAAGTTCACCATATCGATACCACTCCTTTCAAATCATTTCATACAACATGTCTCCCAAGTTTATCCATGAAAATCTTTGCTTATCTTCTAATGTATGGCTTTCAAACTACAGACACATATTGTCTTTGTTTTTGTGCAGAGGCTTCAGGAGCATTTTTACTCAAACTCTGAACATGATTCTCAGTGAATCTTTACAATTTGATTGATTGACCAAGTCCTCAAGTAATATATGTCCCTTTAGTTCATAGTATATTTTTTTTTTGTCCATTGCAGACTTTTTATGCGCCAACAATGTCACAGAACATAAGACAACAGACACCTCAGCCGAGGCAACCATTGAGCATGGGTTCTAGTCCAGCCCAGACTTACCAAATGCAACCCCCAATGTACCAAGTACAGGGACCGCACTACATGGCTGCTACACCTACTCCTACACAGATTTATGTGCCACCTGGCGTACCCATGCAGGTATGTATTTTGTGTACATCTCACTCTGCAATTTTTAGCTGGTCATTTGTCGACTCGGTCTTATCACAAATATTTACGAATGTGTGTCTTAGATGATGATTGAATTGTATAGCTCATCAGAAAGTACTGATGAAGATTTTATTTCGCCCCTATCTGATATGACACATTTTTCTGAGAATTTAGTAATGTAGATGCCTTTAAGTCCCATTTTCTCTAGATTTCAGTATGCAATTTACAGATCATGCGCACTCTGGGTTATATCAGAATATCGGATCAGTGTAAAATCAAATGACATCATGTTATAACCCCTAGTTCATTCTTTATTGACATATTTGCTATTTCAGTACAACCCCAGGATGGTGAGTCAACAGGGTCAAACTCACTATACAATAACAGCCCCTTCACAGCCACAACAGTTTGGCATGCAACCCTCTCCAGCATCATACTACCAACAGCCGACACAACCCAACAACCCACGTAAGATGTTTTATACATTGAGCCCCTCCATCAAAAAGTGAAATGAACAGTTATTGACTTCTTTCCAATTAAAGGAAACTTCCCATGTCAAAATCAATGTGTGCAAAAAGATGATATTGGACTTCTTCAACCCTTTTAATGACTATTTGCTTTTAGTTAAGATACCTATCGTGATCTCAGCAGGAGATTAATTATGATTCAAAACTCACAAAATATTTCATATCTAAGGAAGGGACCATATCCTGACACATCCTTTATAATTCTTTTCAGCTATATATTACTCAAACAATGTGACTGGACAACAAAGACCCATGGCTACACCAACTCCACAAGCTCCCAAGAGGGAAAAGAAAATTTTAGTAATTAGTGACCCTGACACGGGGAAAGTAATAAATGAAGCAATGATCGGCAATAAAGCTAGCACTCCTCCCCTTGCTGGTGAAAACACATCAGACACACCTCCAGCACAGCCTCCTACTTCAAATGTGAGTTTTCCTGCTTATAAATTGTGCAACAAATCTTGATACTGCAAAATGATATGGCGCTAATAGAGCACCTTACGGCCTTTTTTATTATAAATTTTTCTTTGGATGTCATAAGTGATGATTGAATTGTATAGCTCATCAGAAAGCACTGATGAAGATTTTATTTCGCCCCTATCTGATATGACGCTGACAGAATTAAATCAAGGCAATTGCTAAAGTTCATGTGTTCTTGACCTGTGTATACTGAAAAAAGGGCATATTCAATGATCTGTCCAATGTCATTTCAGACTGCAATAGCAGCTCAGTTTGCTGCCCAGGTAGCTGCAACTCTCAACCATACCACTAAGACACCTCCAAAGTCTGAGGAAGTAATAGATCAAACCATGGCTGATGTGAAGCCTGTAGTGAAAGATGACCATATGGAAAATGAAAGTGGTGATAACTTACAATCTGCTCCAACTAACCAAACGGAAAAGGCCCCTGTAGAGGCAGTTCAGCCTTCACCCATTATTAAAGAGACCAAACCCCCTCAGGCTAGAGAGCCTAGTCCAGCTGTTGTACCCCAACAGCCCGAGCGACCTACTATTGTAGTTACACCCGAACCAGAGCCCTCTCCTCCAAGGACTATAAAAGAGAATGCTCCTGTAGCTAGCAGACCTATAGAAAAACAAACTCCTGTTAGTAAACAAAAAGTAGAGACTGTAGTTAAGGAAGAGGTGGCCATCGAACCAACTCCTGTTGTTGCTGAACCTGCTCGTGTTGCAACTGAACCTGCTCGTGTTGCAACTGAACCTGCTCGTGTTGCAACTGAACCTGCTCGTGTTGCAACTGAACCTGCTCGTGTTGTAGCAGAGCCTACTCGCACAGCAAGTCCTGCTGCACCTACTCCTAAACCTGCAGCCCCAGTTGTCAAGGCCAGTCCAGAACCGGAGTTCAAAACCCCAGAGCCTGTTAGCAAGGTAGTCAAGGTTAGTATTCTATGCAATTTTTTCAATACATGATAGTCAGTAAGTTATTGCTGTATGATGATGTTGTTTTTAGGGTAGGATAACTGCATGAGAAAGCACAGTTGAATACATGATGGTTATTTATCTATTTAATTGGAGGTTTTGGATACAGGGTATATTCTGAGGGAAATATAAATATATCATATTTCCCAAGGATTATACCCTGTATCCAAAACCGAGCATTAAATATGTGATTTATCCTAGACTAAGATTTGAAAATGCACTGAATGAAATTTCCTGGTGATTGCTGTGTGGGAGGTATACATAACTTCCGCTCACCTCAGATATAAAATATATTCCTGCATGTTATTTTCCTACAACACTACTAAGTATGTGATAAAGTGCCATATCTTATTGTTTAAAAGATGTTTTCAAATTGTTTTCCTACTAGTTACAAAGATGCTGTTTCATTGAGAAGAAATTTGACATAATTTCAAATCTTGCCAAAATGATCATTAAAAGAAAGGGCATTTTTGGAAATATGAAAATGTTAACAACATTATTACTTGAAGTTGTTCGATTTTATCCAAGGAGGATTGGATCTCATGGTTCCAACTCAAGATTTTTCATCTCCAAGCAATTTGTTCAAAAGCTAATTTCTACAGCAAAAAATGCACAAATGAACTGCAAGGAGAATGGCTGATATTCTAGCAAAATCAACAACAACTTGTTGTTATTGTCTGACATCATAACTGGATATAAATTCATAATCAGCGATCCAAAGGATTTTCCTAATATCTTGATCACTTCTTATATGTTATGTTTTGTTATCTTTTGTTGGGAAATAAGACCAAAATTCATGATTCAAATTCTTTGGTGAAAAAATGGTGACTGCAAATTAATTTTTTGGGGAATTTTGTAATCATGACATGACTCTATGTATGGCAGAATATATAATGGAACCTTTGGAGCTAATCCTCGTTGGATTTTATTTAGTCTTTGCATTGCTCCCTATAGGCGTTGCTATAGTAGCTTCACTTGTTGCCATGGTGTCACGGGGAGCATATATTAAACATTGGTGTCTTCTACCTAGCTGAAGCTGTCTATAGCTTAGTTATTTTACTTACACCATACAATTGAAATAATTTCTAATTGTATTTTCCCTTTTAATGTGTCTTTTCAAATCTTTGATACATCATATTTTCACCAAAATATCAATATAACAGAGAGAAAAGTTCTTATATTTCAGATTTCTTAGTGTAGATTATATTGTGCATGCTTATTAACAAATATGAAGCCTTTTTGTATGATAAAAATGGTAACTGGGTATATTATATAAAGAACCTTAGAACTGCCAATGGTCACCAAATTTCTGGGGGTTTATATTTATACACTTTACCTGTGAATGTAACTTCCAAAATAGATCAAATTGATGAAACAAATGGAAAAGAAAAAATTGCTTTTAGAGCAATACAACAACCTGAGAGCTGCCATCTATATCTAAACATTATTCCTAAGTATAAATTTATTTGCCATTTGCGAAGATACTATAAACACTATACCTAGGCTGTAATGCATATTTTACATTTCGGCGCTACATAGAACATTCTCTATTGTGTTTTTTAACACAGGATTTATGCAATGCATGTAAATAGCTAAATATATTGTAGCTTAAATTAATAGGTATATCCTTGAATCTTGATCCAATCTAATATTGCTTGAATTATATTTTCCACAAAAGTGACAAACTTGTAAACCTAAGCAAAAGGTGAAAATTGAAATAATTTTTGTCTCATTAATATTGGAGTAGTTATAGGTGCACTTAAAACTGACAAAGCCATAAAATGTCCAAGGTAATGGAGCATTTCAAACGATAGATATCGGAAAATAAACTGTATTTGTATGTAGTTAGGGAGGGAGGGGTTCCTTAAAAACTGCTGTTCTGTCATTGTTACCGGGAAATTTTCTAAGTGCATGCTCTTTTCTCCCAGTGCACTTCTGGTACAATAAATAAAAAAACGTGAACGCAACAAATAAAACTAAACTAAAAAATGAGCGTTCTGAAGCCTGCCTATGCCAATCCAAGTGGCAAATACAGTGAATAATCCTATATTGAACTTTTGAGGGTCTTAATGCTAATCATTAAAGAAGGTAATTTTCAGCATGGAAGTTCAATTCATAATCTTTGTTAAGTCAGATGTTGGGTTTAAACTTTATATGATGGTGCCTTAGAGATGTTGGCCGCTGCTCAAGAAGGAATTTTCAGGATGGTTGCTTGGTTCACAATGGCAGGTCTACCACGCTGACCCTTTCTCAGCCAATCAGTGGAATGAACACATGTATAGTTAAATACATGTTCATTAACTATGCGGCGATGTCACTAGAAATGACCATATGTCGTCCGTATTTAGACGACAAACTCTGATTGGCTCGGTGAGATCAGAGATTTATTGTAAACTGAAAGAGTGAAGACGAAGCTCTGTTTTAAGTGAAGTCGAATGATTGCAAAGGGTAGGAGAACACGGGGTTTTATTTATTTATGATCATCTTTTGTAATATTATGAACATGGACTGATATGTTCCCGATTTGCATTATACTTCGGCATGCTAGTATTAAATCCAATGACATATTAATTTTATTATATACTTCATATTTTGATCATATAAATTATTGATTTAATGTGTCCTTGACAGTAGATAATTATTCCCTACAGTTTAGAGACAATTTAACCTCAACAGACTTGGGGGCCATCTCAACATCCAAGTTATTTGATAAGTTAGTTTACTTGTGTTTAGTTTTCATTTGATAATAATCACAGCTATTAGAGAATATTTTCAAAAGGTGTTATTATGGTAGGTCATATCATTACGTTTTTCTCCATCAAGAAGTGTTAACTAATGCAGCTAATTTTTGTGACTGCCATTGGTGATAAGTGGCTCTTATTACAATTCATTATTTTCCTTTTGGGACAATTAGAACTTGCCCAGCAGGTAGTGTTATTTTGTCATGTTAATACCTTGTAAAAATCATGATTGCGTTTAAAATGATATTATAAAACTTCTGAAATTCTCCCCAGCATGAATCAGTATTGCCTTAGGAGACATGTAGACTGTACATGCTTTAAACAAATGAGATGCAATCAATACTGTACATATCAGCAAATATTGAAGGAAGTTGAGTCGGAACAGCTGTTTCAGTTCATCTCCTGACAAGCCGTTTATATATTTTGGAATAAGATATAATTGAGATATTAAAACAACCTGGAATAATTACATAATAACAGTGTTGTCCAATGAGGTACTTGGTAGGGATACAGGTAATATATATATTTTTAACTAATCTTTTCTACCTAGCTTAGTTACCTAGAGAAGTTCTGGTCATACCATATGGTATCATTCATGTTTAGAGAAAAAGCACACTATGTTATATCGATGGAAAGCTAATGTAAATATTAAGATAATATGATTTTAGATGAATGAATTGAATAAGGTGGCTAATGTGCGTTATAAAACACTTGAATTAATGAAAATGAGAAATCTTAACTTATATGTTATACTTTTTGGGGTAAATGGTAAAGCCTACTCTGGGATGTTCTCACTTTTTATGTTACCACCTGATCTCAGCATCTGTAACAATTGTTACAGTTTTGTCACTACAGGCAGATGGAGACATGTTCATGTGCCTGTCATACCTGTCATGTTTACTCTGTCATGGTTCAAATGCAGCGTGAACGAATTTAAACTCAGGAAAATCAAAAAATAATTACCCTCATAGGGTAGACCAATCCCATCACTCTCTTATGTGTTATATGGTTATATGAGTGCCGATATAAATGCTTTGATATTTATTTAGTTTATCCTGTCACTTTAGTTTAAGTGAAAGTATTATCCCTGTCAAAAATATTTATAGGGTCAATTGCTCATTATAAAATATTGACCTTAGAGTTCATACAAGTAAAAAGTTGCTGAATTTACTCCCAGTCAGTAAAAACAAAGTCATAAATCATGTTAACAAAAGCCTTGTGGTGGAAGGAAATTAAAACATTCATACTGGTGAATATTCCATATTGAAAAATATCAACCATTTATTTAGTAACTAACTACAACCAGCTCTTATTGTATGTAAGTGAAATGAAGATGCCCTTGCCTCTATAGTGTGTTGTCCGTGTTTCTTTTATAGTATGCAAAATGTTAAGTTGAGAAGTTTACTCTGATTAGCATAAACTGCTCTTAATAAGCTTTCTCCAAACAAGGTGAACAGATGAAGCCTTTTATTTGTAACAAATAGTTATCCTTCTATGTTTGTACATGTGAAGTAAACGGAACATTGCACAAAGATATAAAATTTAACCAGTGAACAACAGTCAGCTTGTTAGCCTTTAGACTACACAGATTCGGCACACTCCTGATCATGCAAAGCTGTTGATGATGAACTTACATGAAAACGGGTCAGATAAAAATAACCACAAGTATTAGGTATCAGTTAGAGGCAAATAAAGATGGAGGATTAGTTAGTTGGGAAACATGTCTAGCACAGGCAAGAAAAGACGTAGAAGACGATCAAAAGCTCGTCATACGGTAAGTCAAAGATAAGTTTTTAAAGTTGGGCAGTCGGCACATGTGTTTATGTCTGCTATTTTAATAAATAGGTTCAAAAAGCACAATTACATGAATTAGCTATAAAACTGAGTAGCTGAAGGTCATTTAGATGTATATTCATGACTTAACTGAAAAAAATATTTTAGCAAATAGGAATTTCCAATGAACCTATGAAAGATAAATTAGCCAGCAAATATGGTCAATATACTGTTTGACCTTTGACAGGCCAATGTTGATAAGAATGTTATATGGCACTTGTAAAAGTTTAACTTATCATATAGTACTGGCTGTACTGAAATATAAAAATGTAGGACATATTGGGAGTGGACACAAAATACCTATTAAGGCTATCTTACCACTGTAGACAGATTGGACGCAACATACTGGTTATAATACTTAAATTTACATACATATATTAAAGGAATAGATGAACAAAGTAAGTTACACAAACTTCAAGATGGCTGCCATGAGAATGTGGTATGCTGCTATTTTATAATATGGAGCTGTCTGTGAGGTCATTGTGGCCTTGTCTTAACAGTCATGATTCACAGATATAACCGCCATATACCAACTAACTACTCTCAAAGTATATTCCAGAGGATGTATGCATGGAACCAATCCAAATTGCTCATATGATGTACACTGTTAGGTATTTTGTATATTTGTGAACAAATATGTTTCCTTGTCTTAGGGCCATATGTTAAGTGCAAGTCACTGTTGACCAAGCAATTATTAGTACAAAAGCTGGCTATAGTGTGAATTATTATCAAAATGTTTAAAAATAAGTTTCATTATCTGATGATATGAAAATTTCAATATTTGGGGTATTGTTGTTAGGAATCAGTCTTCAAACAAGATCAGACTTAACAACAAATGTGATCATACCCCTGGTCTGAGTTACACATATGTCTTCATTCAGAGATAAAGTGCATGATATACATTATTAATTTAATATTTTTTTGTTATTACAATTATTCATTGATACGTTTGTTACAAATTGAAAAATTTTATGATAAATATTTATTAGTAAATTGGTGTTATCTTGCTCTGGTATATATTGCATCTATCATAATGCAGTATAGGCAGGTTTAGCTTTTAATGTCTACTTTTAACAAATCAATTAATTTTCTGAAATATTCTTTCATTCAGGAAATACCATTGCCTGCTAAGTATCTGAATATCATCTTAGATCATCTCCAGGCTGTTGATATTGATTCTATTTGTATTCATTGTACATGTAACCAGAATGCTTGTTCCAGCTGATGATTTAAAAGCTACTGCCCTTCACAAGAGTCTACTCTTTCAATTAGAGATTATTCACTCATCTGGCCTTTATCTAAGATCAGGAAAAAGAACGCTACATTTTCAACTTATCAATAGCCATGCTTTGGTTGATATTAGAGCATCACATAAACTTTCATGAAAGCAACATTTCAGCTTTTTAGGATCTAATCGGCATCAAAGTTTTAAATCATGTGTAATATACAGAGTGTATTGCAGTGATGAATCAGGGTATTACAAACTTGCTGAAGTTTGGACACCAGATAGGTGTGATATCCAGAGATTATATTTAAACCCTATATTAAAAGTGGATCCTTATCATAGATGTTATCTTGGATTCCTCCTGCTTGACACCTTTGGTTAAAGTCTGTTTCATCAGCATCCAGGTTTATGGTTTGATATCTGGTTTCATGTCATCACACACAATCTTGCAATATTGATAAGCCATTTTATTTTCTCACATTGGAAATGTCTTATGGTATCACCCCCCCCCCCCGCCCCCTTCTCAAATTATCTATTAGTTGTGGTAGCAGGGGTATGATACATGCAGCCAGGGGTGGTCTATATGCCAATCTTAACTGGAAATTTTCAACTTGGTTTGCCAAACATGAATTGAGAGGAGACAAAGATAATTATTTTGCTTTGTATGCCTAATTATATTTAGTTGAGCATTCAGGCATTTATGTTAAGGTTTCCTCCTGTTTTGGCAGTAATTTTGTCTATAAATCATGAAATAGTTGGACCAACATTTTCTAAGGGTGCATTTGTTTGGCTGGTTGATTCAATAAGAAACATCTCTCTTTGTGCTCTTGAGTATAACGAAGATACACTTAAAATGCCATTACTAGTTATAATTTACTAGATCCATCAAAATATATGTATCCATATAATAAAAGTAATATACTATTTTTCAAAAATGTGACATCCCAAAATTTGTTTGACTTAAAGCTGAACACTCATCAAATCATTGCTCCTATGCTTTGGAGCCATCTATTGTCAGTGAACAACTGCCTTTACAGCCATTTAATAGCCATTTAATTGCTAAAACCTCCACATTTAAATGGTTATATAAGTCTTAAACAACCAGCATGTAATTCACATGTAATGGTGTCATATTTCATAGAACTATACCTAATCTTACATTAAATATTCACAGTGTCTTATCTCTATGTATTTCCAGCAGCCAGTAGAGCAGAGCCAGGCTCCTGCTGCTGCCCAAGCAGCCACTCGTGCTGCCACCAGTGCTGATGTGAACAATGTAGATGATAAACCTGTGGTCCAACCAGTGCAGCCTGCCAAGCCCCCAGCCCCTGTAGAGCCCCCAGCCCCAGTCCCTGACCAGGTAGAAATCAAGGTAGTTGAGAAGGTCCCTCAAGAACCAATTGTACAGAATGGCAAGAATGAAGATGACAGAACAGATGAAGCAAAGGAGAATGATAAAAATGCAGCAGAGGATTCTGATGCAAGAGAACCAATTAAAAATAAAACAGAACTTAAATATAAATATAGGGAAGGTATGTATTGTATTGAATTGAATTGTAGAAAATATTGTCAAGATATTTTGCTCCATGGCCTGTTAATATTGAATGTTTGGCTCATATGGAATCGCCCAATTGTTAGTCTAATAATATCAGTTTCAACCTTTTAGGTTTTACATGTTTTTTAGGCATAATTATAATGATTTCATTTTGAGCTTATCCTGTTGATCATATTCAATAATCCTATTGTATTGTAGCTATAGGTCACACTTATCCATTGCCTAATTTTGTTATTTGGCCTATTTTTACATCTTGACCTGTTTTTTAAGAAGAGTATAAGGAATCACCATGTAAGGCTACCAAATGGAATCATTTTGTCATAAGTGATGATTGAATTGTATAGCTCATCAGAAAGCACTGATGAAGATTTTATTTCGCCCCTATCTGATATGACACATACAACCATTGAATGACCATGTTAAAAATGATGAAGTAAATTGTAATGTTTTTCAAGAAACTTGTGAAATGATAAAATCATTGCATGCTTGTTACTTTCAGACCAGTGGAGTCCTATCAACACAGAGGGAAAGAAATCTTATGACCGTGACTTCCTGCTCAATCTGCAATTTGTCTCTGATTCCATGTCTAAACCCAACAAACTTCCTCGTCTCCCAGATGTCATCCTGGACAAAGTAGGTTTTTTACTATTATCTCAGATTTAACTCTGATCTAAACATTAGAAAAAAATTCAAGATATCATTTTTATTGATTTGTAGACACTTCAAAAGTGTTTTCAATTGAAATTTAATTCACTGAATCCCATTTCAAAAGTGCCTTAATGTCATATCCTTTGTAATTTGGGAGAGGCAAATGATCTGAAAATTCTGTGTTAAATAATCTGTATGATCCATGTGATTAAGGAATGTAAAGGCTTTGCTTGTTGTTTCTTATGTGATGATGATTGTATGGCTTATCTGACTTATTCATGGAAGAATATATCACCATGTCTGATAAGGCACAACATTGGCAAAGTTTTTTCATTGTTAAGTGCGTGGCATCCACAATTCTTTGAGTCCTCAAGAAAAAATTTCCTCAATAACATGTTATCTGTGCTTCCAGCCAGCGACAAAAGGTGCTGCAAAGAACATAGGTGGGGATGTCCACTTGAGACCAGGTGGTATGGTAGACTTCACTCCTAGCTTCTTCAAGGCATCTGGCTCAGACAATAGGGGCAGACCTGTAAGTATTCTCTGCCTATTGCAACATATTAACTTCCTGCCTTACAAGTTATAGATCACCTGACATACTTAGAAATAATACAGCAAATTAAGTCACCAATGGACCACTTACAAAGGTGTTGAGTCTTCAATGTAGTTGTACTTGTAGTCTTTAATGTACTTGTACAAGTATATATACATACAGTGCCAATGGTAATATGTAGGGGTGAGACGACAACCCGATGAGTCGAGGACTCGCGGGTTTGGGGCTTCGAGTCGAGTCGAATAGAGTCGAAGTTGATGAATCGAATCATTTTCGAGTTGAGAAAAAAATTCAAAAAAATAAAAAAATTCAGAAAAATACTGTCAATATGCATGTTTTTACTCGATATTGCGTTGAATATATAAGTTTCAATGACTTGGATATGCTTGTATTAAATTATTATATTGTATGTACACATAAATGAAAGAATATATGTAATAAAATCAGAATAAACTTACGACGAATTGTGTTTGTTTATATTTCTGGCTTTCCACCATTGACGCATTAAAAATACGAACGGTAAAAAGCGATGTTGTTCGCACTTCGCGCGACTCGAAACGGATTCGAAACTCGAATCGTCATTTTCTGACTCGAATCGGATTTTTTCGACTCATCTCACCCCTAGTAATATGAATAATCAAAATCACATTTCTCCATTGAAGTGATAGGCAATATACATGTACATCAGAAGGGATTGACAACAACAATATTTTACCTTGTTTGATGGAACTTCATATGATCCTGATCTGTATGTTTCGAAAGCTAGCAATCTTTGATTAAAATGATATTATTTGAAAGAGTAAAACCATTTGCTATGTTTTATCCAGCTATTATTAGGTGAATAGGAGCTAATAATCAAATTGACTATGTATATAGGGAGGCGGTGGAGGTAGAGAAAGTATGGGTCGCCGTAGTGGACAGCGTGGTGGTGACAACAAGACTCCCCGTAAGATCATAAACATCTCTGTGCAGCAAGACATTAAGCTCCATCATGCTGAGAGTGCATGGAAGCCAACTCATAGTGCTCCAGCAGCTGAAGAAACTAATGTAAATGAGGTAAGACTAACTTTTCAGTAGAACCTCCATTGATATATCTAGGAACACATTATGGAGTTATGAAGTATGTAGCCTGTGATGAGCAACCACATCTCTGTCTGAGATCTGTGAAGATTTACAGTGAATTCCTCGTTGCTGAGGTTAACATGAATGAATTGTTCAATTATCCAAGAATATGCATATCATACCAAAATAATTTGCTTTTGCTATAACATGAAATTGCCCTCTGTCCAGCTGACAATTTTGACATGTTATTGTAGCAGTCATTTGAAAATAGCATTACACTTGGCTCTCTCCCTTGTTCCAATTTTTCTCTGTTTAAACATAAATGCAGAAAATTGATGAATACTAGTACATAGTCCTCCTATTTCACATTGTAGGAACTGTACAAAAAAACCAGGGGTATTCTCAACAAGCTGACCCCCCAGAAATTCAAAACTCTTGTCGCTCAGATCATGGAGCTGGAGATAGACACAGAGACAAAACTACGAAATGTCATTGATCTCATATTTGATAAGGTAAGTTCATGAAAGATAAATTTCATATTTTGGTTTCATATATTAGTTTTTGCAACATCAATTAATGAAATTGAGTAAGTTATGTAGCCTGTGATGAGCAACCACATCCCAGTCAGAGATCTGTGAAGATTTACAGTGAATTCCTCGTTGTTGAGGTTAACATAACATAATCAATAAGAGAATTCTGTAACTGTGTTACTTTGGTTTAATGAGTGTTTCTGATTCAATTGATGAGTATCTGTTGTTTTTCAGGCCCTTGATGAGCCAGGGTTTAGTGTGGCCTATGCAAACATGTGCAAATGCCTTCAACCAGTAAGTAATCTAATGCACATATATAAAATGCAGTATGCGAAATACACAGTTTTGTCTCACTGGGAACACCTCGGCACAAAACATTTTCAAATCAGTCTTTCCCAAGCTGTAAGATGCCTTTGGGATAAGAGGAAATTCTTCAAATTTTCAATGCTCAAGTCAGCTGTTTGGATTCACATATTAACTGTAGTTTATATTACTTTGTCAAATAAAAATTGATAATTACATTACTTCTGTTATATATCATCAGTTATGATTTGGATAATCTATTTATCTGTTCAGTTACAATTTTATAGTATTTATATTGCTGCGTTGTATTTGTAGCTTAAAGTTCCTGCTGAAAACCCAACAAAAGAGGGAGAGAAAGCAACATTTAGAAAACTCTTGATCACAAGATGTCAAAGGGAATTTGAAAAAGAAAAGGAAAATGCCAATTCTGAAGAAAGGGAGAAGAAAATCCAAGAAATAAAAAGTATAGAAGATGTAAGTTTTAAAACTGTTATGATATTTGGCTCATCAGAAATTACCGATGAAGATTTTATTCATGTCATAAACACATTGTTTTGTTTCGCACTGATCATACATTCATATCTATTGTTTGCTTGATTATTTCTAGGAACCTAAAAGGAAACTAGCCCTAGAGGAATTTGATTATGCAGAATTAAAAGCCAAAAGGAGGACACTAGGAAACATCAGGTATGCTGCCTTTTCTCTTTGTTTATTGATAGAAATTTAAACTAGAAATAAGGCCATTTGTAGTAATTAAACAGAATCAGAAATCACTGATCTAAAATGCATTGAATAACAAACAGGGTAATGATCTAATCAACTTAGTCATATTTTGTTTTTTCCTTTTCAGGTTCATTGGTGAATTATTTAAATTAAAAATGTTAGTAGAACCAATTATGCATGATTGCATTGTGAAACTCCTCAAATCCAATGACCAGGAATCCTATGAGTGTCTATGTAGGCTACTGTCCACTATAGGGAAAGATATAGACCATGAAGAGGCCAAACCCATGATAGACCAGTATATTACACAGATGCAAAAAATTGTGGATCAAAAGAAGACTTGTTCCAGGGTCAGGTTTATGCTTCAAGATGTAATGGAACTAAGAAGAGTAAGCATTAATGTTTTATCCAGTGAAAATCTTATGCCTTGAATCAGGTCAAAATCTTAGTATTTAAAAGTCGGAACCAATTGGTTTAAAATTTGATTCACTTATAATGTTACCTATTACAAAGTATTACTTGGGTAATTTTTCTCTGAGGGTGAGAAGAGTCATCTGATCATTATGAAGGTGTCTTAGGTGATGATGATTGTATGGCTTATCCGATTATTCTTGAAGGATTTATTAACTCGTCTGATAAGACACTATATGAAAGCTTTAGCTACTTCTCACATGGCCTCTGTCATTACAAAGTGTTCACTATATAGAGTTTACAAAATGTGTTTTACATGCAAGAAATATAACTGAAAATGCCCATAAAACTTTTAGACTATTATCTCCACATATGGGAATATTTGATGAGTTGATATTTATTTTTCACCAGAATATGTGGGTACCTAGACGAGAAGACAATAATCCCAGAACTATAGACCAGATCCACAAGGAGGTTGAGAGGGAGGATGCAGAGAGGGCCATGTTACTGCAGCAATTCAACCACCAACAGAAGCAGGGAGGTGGACAAGGCAATAGAAAGTAAGTATTGATGGAAGCTAGTCACAGTTAATGTTTAAATACCTTAATGTAAACAGATTTGTTGGTTTTAGGTCATGGGCTATGTCATAAGTGATGATTGAATTGTATAGCTCATCAGAAAGCACTGATGAAGATTTTATTTCGCCCCTATCTGATATGACACGAGACATTCGATTTAAACCAGGGACTTAAATTCATTAAATCACAATATTTTATTATGTCTACAATCTCCAACACTTCAATATGGGAATACAGTGTTAGCTTAGGTGTGTCTTTCCATCCGTCTATCTCCTAAGCTCTTTTACTGAATTACTTGAATATTGCTCCACTGGATTTGCACCTCCTGTCCACCATATTGATTTTCATGCTTTTTGTTGTTGCAGTATGAGAGGAGGCAGGGGTAGCAGCCAGGGTCAGACTCCACAGAAACAAGCTGATGATGGCTGGAACACTGTAGGTGCCAAGACTAGTAGAGCACCCCTAGACCCATCAAAACTCAGGCTTACCAAGGTATGTTCATTTGTAAGAATTAGAACTTCATAATCAATTTAGAACATATGAAATAAGTATCTTAAGTACCAGACTTGCACAATACCTAGCCTGTGATGAGCAACCACATCCATGTCTGAGATCTGTGAAGATTTACAGTGAATTCCTCGTTGCTGAGGTTAACATAAACAAAATATGAAAATGTGAATTACTCTTAGATGCAATACCATAATTAATGCATTTAACAAGTACCAGGTCAATTTTTCAATGTGTATTTCACATTTCACAAGAATTGCATTACATTTCAGATTGATCCTTTCAGAATGTAGGGTTGCTTCAACTTTTTGCATTGACTTTTGGAATTCATCAATATTGGATTCTATAATGTACGTTGATAACCAGAATCTCTTGTGTTTTCAGCAAAAGGTGGATGATAACATTCAGTTAGGTCCTGGTGGAGGCATGTCGCGGTTCTCAGGATGGGGCCGAGGAAGCAGTGGAGGTGGTAATGCCGCTAAGCAGCAAGAGCCTGAGAGGCCTACCACTCCAGCCAACAGGTACACCATTTATGTTATGTATGCAAAATGAGATGGGGGTGAATGCAAATGAGTATTAGGGAGTTGGTAGGTGCCTAAATGATGATGATTGTATGGCTTATCTGAATGAACCATTTGAAGAAAAAATAACTATGTCTGATATGGCACCATATCATCTACGCTTTTTGGAAAGATTTCAAAAAATATTTGGTGTTTCATGCACTATATTGGAGCATTGATCTTCGTAGGACAACATGTTTACTTTGAAGTGATTTATTTCTAGGTTCAGTGCTCTCAGTGGAGGTGCCGGTGGTCCCCCTGCTGGAGTTCAACCCAATGAGTCGGAACAGAGGGGACGACCTAGCATGGGTCGTGGAGGTCAGACTCCAGGCAGAGGCAGTGACCAGAGAAGTAAGACCCCCCAGAATACCCCCAGAGGTGGAAAGAGGCCCTCTGAGGACAGGGAGGCAGCTCTAGCTGCTGTCAGGTAAGTGATGAAGCATGCTGGGAACTTATGAATAGCAGAGTTGCCTCACTCTGATTCTTTAAAAAGTCCACTAAATTTTTAGATTTGGATGATAATGCGATTTTCCCAATGTACAGAATTGTGCTTAGTAATAAAGATTCTTTATTTCCTCCAGAGGCAGATTTTGAATATTTTTTTGTAGTACTTATAATGAAGATTGAATTTTTGTATTGCTCATGAGAAATTGTTTGTGAAGAGATCTGATTTGATGCTTCCTTACATCTATGATTCATTTGAATGTTCACCTTTAATTTGTTTGAATAAATCATATTTTTATGCATTTATAATTTAACTTTCAGGAATATGGGAGTCCCTCCCAACCAGGTTAATACAGGAGATAGAGTATCCTCCAGAGACAATAGCAGAAACAGGGATGTTATTCCCCCTGCTGCAGACACTTCTAAACAAATGACTGTAGAAGAAATGGAGAAAAAGACTAAATCAATATTAGATGAATTCCTCCATATACAGGACAAAAAGGAGGCTATATTGTGTATAGAGGAACTACGGTCTCCTCAGACTATTAGCACTTTTGTATATACAGCACTAAACCATGTGCTAGAACGCTCACAGCAAGCCCGCAGGCAAACTGGAATGCTTATTCATGATGTTGTTAAAAGTGGTGCAGTCTCTGTAGATAGTTATGTAAAAGGGTAAGTGAACTTAATTCTTTTCTATTGTTATTATTTGTAACAAGATATCTTATGCAACCTGCTAGCGCACCCGTCAGCATGAGACAACTAAAATTTATTTATTTCCAAAAGCGATAATTCTTATTATTCTGTTTAGTCTCATTAATTCTTGGTAGTTAATCGATTCATCTTATCTGTTCCAGTCTACAAGAGATATTAGAGTTCGCTGATGATATGGAAATAGACATCCCTAAAATTTGGAATTATCTTGCGGAACTGATAGGTCCCATGATTCAGGACAGCAGTGTCCCTCTCCTCTTCCTCAAAGATGCCTTCCAACCCCTGCTCAGGTGTAACAAAGCTGGCAAGCTGGCCGCTGCAGTACTTCATGATGCCAGCACCAGACTGGGCCACCACACGGTGGCAGAGTTGTGGAAGGCCTCGGGCCTACAATGGTCAGACTTTCTCGCACCTGGTCATAGTAGAACGGAGTTTATAAAACAAAATGTGAGTGATTCCACCATCTTCTTAGGTTATTATCCCATCGAACGAAGTTCGGAGGGATATAGGGAACGCCTCCGTCCGTCCGTACGTCCATCCGTCCGTCCGTCCGGGCAATAACTCAAATACTGTTGGCCCGATTTTGTTCATATTTTGTACACATATACCCTATGGGGGTAGAAGTTCTGCTCGAGAGCTGATTTTCAAAATGGCCGCTCATTTAAAAATGGCGGCCATTTTAGTGCCCAATTTACAGTACTTTAGGTGCAATATGTAAAACTGTAATAGCAATATGTTTGAGATGTAAAAAAAATTATATAGGACATTAATAAAGCTAGAAATGTAGATATTAAAGAAGCACATGGCAGCCATCTTGAAAAATGGCGGCCTTTACTCGTTATTTTACGATTTTTGCTGTAACTTGAAAAGTAGTGGAGCGATTTTGTTCATATTTGGTATGTGAATACTATAAATATTGCACACTGCTTAAAGACACTTTTGGTAGAAGGCGGCCATTTTGAAAAATGGCCACCATTTTAACATATTTTACTATAACTCGAAAAGTAGTGGAGCGATTTTGTTCATATTTGGTATGTGAATACTATAAGCATGACACACTGTCCTATGACACTTTTGGTAGAAGGCGGCCATTTTGAAAAAAATTTTGAAAAATGGCCGCCATTTTAAGGTATTTTACTATAACTCGAAAAGTAGTGAAGCGATTTTGTTCATATTTGGTATGTGAATACTATAAGCACGGCACACTGTCTAATGGCACTTTTGGTAGAAGGTGGCCATTTTGAAAAATGGCCACCATTTTAACGTATTTTACTATAACTTGAAAAGTAGTAGAGCGATTTTGTTCATATTTGGTATGTGAATACTATAAGCATGGCACATGGTCTAATGACACTTTTGGTAGAAGGCGGCCATTTTGAAAAATGGCTGCCATTTTTGCTATATACTTTGTTTGTAAAAATGCCATCCATGGCTGTTCGATGGGATTCGCTACGCTTTGGCGTTGCCGTTGTTCTGGTTTAACATACCATTCATTGCTTCAAGTAGCCTGTGATGAGCAACCACATCCCTGTCTGACATCTGTGAAGATTTACAGTGAATTCCTCGTTGCTGAGGTTACCTAACGAAGTAATGATGATCGTAGAACATGTAAAAGTAAATATTTTCTTATTTGTATCTTAGTATGTCTTCTTATTGTTCTTATTCATAGGGATAACTAACTTGTTGTGTTTGTTTTTGTAGAGTCTAGAATTTACTGTAGATAGTGACACGCCTCTCAGCCCCACAGTCAGACAACCACTAGCGATAGTAAAACAGGAGCTTAGACGCCTAATAGAAAAAAATATTTCCAATGAGCAGATATTTGATTGGATATCATCTAGTGTTGGGGAGCCACAATGTCGGGAACCTCAATTTATTCGTGCTCTCATGAGGGCAGTCTGTAATAGTGCAATCAAAGGTATGTCAACAAACAGAGCAGTTATAACCTAGTTATAACCTACATGAAGTCTTGCTTCAAGTCTTGTTAATCCCCCTTTTTCTCTTCTTTGTGAAGGTGTCATGTTAGTGGGGTAGACACACACCTGATGCAAGACTTCCTAGTTGATATATTTACATAGTGTAAATTATGTATTTGTGCATCATAGATGATGATTGAATTATTGCATAGCTCATCAGAAATGGTTTGTGAAGATTATATTTTCTCTTAGCTGATATGATGCTTTCATATTGAGAAACTTAATGAATTATTCTTTCAACTTCTCTGTAAATAGTGAGTGAGAAACATTATATTCTTCTCTTGTCACCAATCCATGTGCGTTTTACTGGTATGGCAAATAAAATAACTAAATGTGTTGATATATGTATTGCAGGATCCTTACCAAACATTAGTTATGAACTAAAAGAGATCAAAGATAGACAGTTACTTCTACAACGGTATCTAGATCACCAGCCCACCCTAGAACTACAGGCGCTATATGAGCTACAAGCCTTAGTACATGAATTAGAGCACCCACCAGGTATGAATTTGAACACATATGTCTGAATATTCAGAGCACTGATTAGAAATAGAGGAATGCAATTTATTGAGGCAGAGGGTTCAATAGATGGTATGATTGAACAGGAATCTGATATATTGTGTATTACTAAATTATGCATGCATTAGATATGTTATCCAGTACTGTAACAGTAAGAATCCAGTTGTGCTCTGTAATCTAAAATATCATCAAATTCATAATTGATTTTGCATCATAAATGATGATTGAATTATTGCATAGCTCATCAGAAATGGTTTGTGAAGATAATATTTTCTCTTAGCTGATATGATGCATCATTTTACCTGTAAAATGTAGTATTCTTTAATAATTTGCTGGAAAATAATTTCTCGTCTCATTTTGAACTAAAATATTCCCAGATTGTGAAGGAGATACCTATAGAACCACCCTATATTCTACTTTTCATATTTCCAGGTTTACTACGGAATATATTTGATACATTATATGACGAGGACATTATATCTGAGGATGCCTTTAACCAATGGGAAGCTAGTGAAGATCCCGCTGAGCAGGAAGGCAAGGGAGTTGCGCGTAAATCAGTTGTACAGTTCTTTACCTGGTTACGCGAGGCTGATGAGGAGGCAGAAAGTTGATAATCACCACCCTTAGGACTGGCTGGATTATAGATATACTGCAATTTTGTGATTTCTATACAATTATATAGTAAATGCTCCTATGGATGTCTATGGATTGGAGCCTCTGAATTTGAATTCTGCACTGTAACTCAATCTTGCATAACCATTGATACAAAAGCAAATGATGCTATCACTGTGGACATTTCGAATTGTAACCCACAACTATGACTGTAGGGATGAAAATCTTATGTGATCATTATTATGTATATGCAGATGACTGGTAAATGTGAGGATTGTGGATCTATGGTGCTTTATGAGAATATACCTGCACTTAGCATGCTGATTCCGCGATTTTAAACCACTTTCAACCACTTCATTGAATTGAATGATTATACGTCTGTCTAATTGGTCAAAATTGTTCCAAGTTTGATATATGAAAATGCGTTTGTTGATTCTTTAGACAGTATTCTATGAAGTATTATATTTATCAGGTCTGCTAAACAAGACTACAGAACATAGATATTTAATTGAGGTGATGGGATTCCCAGGTTGTGGGTGAAACCTTAAATTGCCTGCCTAGCTTTTGTAAACCATTGGCACAAGAATGACAGGTTCTGTTAACTCTCTCTCTGAACTTGTTACAATGATGTTCACTTGGTTCTAGAAGAGCCTTTTGTATGAAGTGCCTGATTTGACAGGTTCCTAGCTTTAGTAACCATAGCAACCAGAAAGGGGGATTCTGAGCTAGATTGAATGACTAACTCGGAATATCACTTTCTTGGAAAATTAATATATTCTGGTTGATTTTTTGAGAAATTTTTATTATTTTTGTTAATTTATCTGTCATGAAATAATTGCAAATGAGTAGTATAAGGTTGTGTAAATTGTAAGACCCGTCATAGATTGGATGTGGCAACTTGAATCGGGAGTTGACATCTTACACAGCAATACTTTAAACTGTGTAGTATGTCTTCAATGTACAGCGCAATGTAGCATGGGTCACATTCTGAATGTGTCTTATGAAACTTGAGAATCAAGAGTCCTAGTCAACATGTGTTTTTGTTGAATGGCAATGTCTTTGTAATACAGAAATGTTCAACCAATGGGCTTGTAAATAAATAATGTAAAAACAAATCATTTTAAGAATTTTGTTTGTTCAAATAGATTTGAATGTGAATAGTTTCTTGCTCTGCTGTTCGTTATCAGAATTTAAGAAGGGACATGTTGCAGAGTTTTCAATATGATTTTTGGGGTTGAACCAATTAAATCAGAAAATTGTTTTATTATCATTTATTGAAATGAAGTCTCACTCATCATTGTGTAACTGTACTAAGCAGTACAGCACCCTCTCTCTGAGTAAATGTTGAGGTCATTTTTGGCTCCATTTGGAAAACTGCTTAATCTATTCAAGGGTGGGATGGTGGGTGCTGTTCACCCCTAGTCTTTTTGTACCAAAATTGAAGGGTTCTGAGCACTGAAGTAACTGTATTTGGTATCTTTTAAATAATGTTTATCATTGTCGCTTTCCACTGGGTATAGAGGAAGGAACAACTGAAACGTGAATCAAGATGGCAGTCACATTTTTTATTATCTCTATTTACAATACAATGTACATGAACTAGTGTAGTTACAAAATGGCATATTTAGAATTTCAAAAAAAAATTTGATCTTTAAGGGCCATGAATTCAGACAATCCTAGAGATTTTTCAGATTTCTTATTTGAAGAGACTGCGAATTTGAATTCATGCTATCTAATATGAGGTATTCATCAGAATTTCACAAAAAATTATATAGAATCCAAAAAAGTATCCAGTTGAATTTTGTTTCAGTCAAAATTAAAATTTATTCCAGGATGTCCAGATTAATCCATAATGAATCGTTACGATGGAGAAACCCCAGATTTGAAAATGGCTCGAAAATGAAAAAACTGTCACAGAAAATGATAAAAATTACTATTTATCACAGTTGCTATTCAAATGTATTGTTGAAACTCAACATTCTTTCGACTTTTCCTCTCTTGAGTCTTACAATCAAAAGTAAAAAGTTCAGTCCTTTATTGGATCTAAAAATCCAGTATTGAAATTAATTTCGATGCTCCCACTTCATCCTGGATCATGGTACAAGAAGTTAAATTACAAGATTCTAACTAAACGCAAAAGACAGAGAAGATATGGTACCCCTTTAAAGATATAGCAAACTATAATATGCAATATTTTGAGATCATTGACCATCTTACTTCACCAGGTTCATGCCTTGTGATAACAATAAGAGATGGTGTTCAAATGTTGACAGTTGGCGAATAAACAGTTCATTTCACTTCTTTTGTAAATATGATTTTTCAACATAATGAAATCCATCTTCTACCCCTTCCCTGCAAATGTAATTAATGTCACTACTGTTGACATTTAGAACACCATGCTTTAACAGAATAAAAACTCTGTCTGGGCCAGAACACACAAAACAAGGCTAGTTGGGACAACGTTGAGTCATTGCTTAGGGTTCTACATGTAGGCGGTCCTTAAATTCACAATTGGAATCTGTATATATCCCCACTAAAATATAAGATAAAGCCTAGCATCATGTCTCTGGTCCTCAGCATTTTCTACTTTATTTCCCTTCGGTCGTATTTCCTGATGGGGTTTACACAAGGGCTTGAGGCAACACTAAATGAACCGGTTTTTCTAGATTGAATGTGTAATTATTCTGTGTTCTGTCCTTGGTATATACACTTTCAAGTTCATTTGACAGCTTTTAGGTGTCCCATGGCAATGGGATAATGAGTATCCACTGCAATCATTTAAAAAAACATGTAAAATCTTTGTGGCAGTATATTTCAAAGAGGTCGATCAGACAAAGTTGTTAAGCATGTATAGAAATTCCAGAACTCCAATAGAATTCCCATATTTCTTTCAATTGACAAAACTATTCTGATTGATAGAATATATTTTATCAAATCAATTCATTATCCATGCTCGTTTATAATCAATGTATTATGCAAAGTACATCAGCACTGTAAAAAGCAATAACACAATAGAGCTCGTATTGGAGCCAACACTATTGGAATTTCTGTAGAATTTCTTCTCACTATGATTACACTTATATGAATTACACCTATAGCTACTGCAGTATGTATTATCAAGACATTCCGCCATTGTTCCACTTGTACATCCTCTCTCTACACTGATGAATTCATCTGTGTATGCATTATATTTGGCTAGGGAATAGCAGTATGGTTTGTCAGCTGGACATTGTTCTGTTCCTATGGCTTGAGTGTTGTTGAAGCAGTCACCAGTGTTGGTGGTATCTGTGCAACTGTAACAGGTAGGCTTGTCCTCTGAAATATAATCATTTTATAAGTTGTATGTTACATTTAGTAAACAGTACATATTGGGCCTCTCTTGTGGTTGATTTGTGAACAGCATCTTCCATCTTTTTTCAGCTTTTAGGCCTCGCATCCCTTATGTTGAGTTTTTGGTTCTCATACCTTTTGGATCCTTTTACTTTGTACGATAGATATCTTTTGACAACATAATAAATTGCATGCAATACATAAATGTATTTCATGATATATTTTTGAAATACCATTTCAGAACCTTTATAAATGGTAATGGTTCATAAAATTGTTTTAGATTTTTAAAATGTGTCATCTATGGTTTTAAACTGGATTTTTGATCATAGATGTCCCTAGTAACAATATAGTGGATTCCTTCTTGTTCTGGTTCTGAAATTTCACATTTTTTCAAAAGATTTTCAATAAAAAATAAAGCAATACTGGACAATTTGTGAAAAAAACATTGAAAATACTGAAAATACAAGAACCTGAATTTTTGTGGTTTTTCATTACTTTACAATAGTCACAATGTTATCATGTAGTCTATTTGCCAAAATGTATTGTACCTTGATACATTCCATGTTGCCTGTACGTAAGTTCATATCCTTTGTACCCATTTTCTGCTGCTTCATCAGTATGGAACACTATAGTGGCCTTGTTTGTGTCTAGTGTAAGGTCACGGGGTATCTCATTTCCACACAATTTTTCTGTCACTGCAGATCCTTCAGCAGTAGTACCTGGAGCAAAAATGATTGCGTACTGTATATAAATGATCATTCATCAGGAAGATCATTAATTAAATCACATTCCTTGAACTGCAATTTTAAAATCAGAAAACCATGACATTGCATTCAGTGGCTATTATCGGGCATGGGCACTGGCCCAAGTAGGCCTAGAAAAGTGTCTCTTTTTGAAAATGGGCCTTTGACAAAACAAAAATCCAATTTCTATGTATAAAGTATTCAAAACACTGTTATGTCATGCGTAACTTCTTGTATTACGTATTGAATTTGAAAACATGACCATTCAAACAGCCACATATCTCCAAGACCAACCTGAAAGTGCTACATATAGAACACTCATCACATCACCCCCCTCTAACCTTCTTCTATTTTCTCTCAATGCCCAGAGTGAGGGTGGATCATATTTGTTTTTAAAGGTTCTAAAGAAAACACAGATCAACCCACGGTTCAAGGCTAATTTCATCTTCAGAGCTGTATATTTAACATAAAAAACTGGATGGTAAGTAGATGTCATGATGCGTATTTGCTATTTTTAAGATGATCATGTCATCCTTCTACCACATGTTTTATATTTGTTTCCTATGTTTTTTAATTTACTCTGTTGTGGTAAAGTGTAATATATTGGTGTGTTTGGAGGTTTCCTGATATGCTTATGAGGTTAAAAATGCCAAAACATGATTCAGGTTCATATGAGGAACAAGAATCACAAAGGGCAGCATTTCAATATTGCTTTATTGTATATACTCTGAATCATGGTTTCAGGCCTTATTTGGAAAATCCGATCTTTTCAGAGAAATAGTCAAAATATTGTGGTTAGATACTTTGGACTTGGGTTGGGTACAGTAAACAACAGAAAAACATGCTAAATGTATAGGAGTCAAAATATTTGTTTTACCTTTTACACTATAAAAATAAATTATGGCTTTATTTGTTTCGGAAAATTATATTTTATTTGGGGTAAAAAGATGAGCTCCTCCATAAGAATAATTTTCTTCAATATGGGCAATACAAAACACAAATTGTGAAATGAAGTATTATTCTTACCTTCATAAATCTGCAAAAAGTCTACACATTCACCATCTACCTTAGGCTGGATATCAAAAAGGTTGAATGTGATTTCCATTCTATATCCTTCTGGCACAGATACTGTTGCTTGACAGTCAATGCTTCCACTGTAATTCATGTCCTTCTGTGAGAAGACATTTGCCTCTTCGAATGCCGGATAATTTTCAACACCACTACATCTCGTCAGGTATATGCTGGCTGAAATGTACGGCATAATACGACATGAATGTGAAATCAACTCATGTTAACAGATATATTTTTTGGGGAAGGAATGTATAACTTTAATCCTCATTCCTCAAAGAATGTATTGGATGCACCTGGAAAAAGATGGTGCCTGTTCAAATTTTTGACAACTTATCTGCATGCTATGTATCCATAAAATATATGTAAGATATTGTGTTTTTATACGAGGGATGACCAATAACTAATGTAAATTTCACATAGTTACCATTTATCAGTTAAATACATTTCTGATTATTTTTATCAAAGATTGAAACACATTCCACATACTGTCAAATCCATTCTATGATGATAGTGGCACCAGGCCTGTCAACTGTCCGGCAATTTGCGTATTTGTCACGCATTTGCTGAAGAATTTGAAGTCACGCCAGTTTTTTTTGCGTGACAGAAAATGTCACGCAAATACGCATTTTACCTGGTAATTGTCACGCAAATATGTTTCTGTAAAATTTTTTTCAAAATATGTTTATGATACGGTAAAAATACGAACGTCGGAAAAAAACGAACGCAATTTGTTCGGATTTGTCACGCGAATCCCGTATATGTCACGCATGTTCATTGGAAATTTTCGTACCTACCCCCCCCCCCCCCCCCCCCCCCCCCCCCGTTGACGATAACGCGAGCGTAGCGAGCGCGAAAAATTTGAGGTGATAAAAGTTTAGCAAAGGTGCTCAAACTTTGGCCAAAGGTGTTTAAAAGTTGGCCAAAGGTGTTCAAAATTTGGACAAAAGTGTTCAGATTTGGACTTCGGTGTCCAACATTTGTAAGTCACTCATATTAGGTGGTCCCAAGTTGACAGCCCTGTAGTGGCAAGCTTCACTTGCAACATTTCATCAACAATTTCAATTTCTTCATGTTTGCACCTTCAGTTGTAATTGTTCTTTAGATGCTTTAGCTTATCCTGATATAGACCCTTGTATTATATTTGTAATTGTAATAAAAAACAATCACCTTAAACAAAATCAAATCCAGACCCTTTTAAACTATATTTCAAATAAAACAAAATGTAAAATTAATTTAATTAAGATAATAGAGGAAAACACAATTTTAAGAAATCAGTATATTTAATTACTAACCTATTGCATTGGTTTGAGTGATCCCTAGCACAAGCATCAGTAATCCTAGCACAAAGAGCTGTTGCAGTATCTGCTTCATCCTGGTAATAACACTAAATTGACCCTATTGATGTGTAGTCCCCTATAGAATCTATGCACTGAATCCCCTTGTTCAGTTCCTGGTCTGATGCTGCTTGTATTGTCTCTACTTAGCTCTTTCTTTTATTGTCTTCTATGTGATCCAGATTTGCCAGTATTGTATTTCTGTTTATTGCGTTATAATGTATTCTGGATTTGATGAGTCAGTTTATAAGGTCCTCTGTCTTTATGAGTTCTAGTCTAGTTCACAATGACCCCAAATTGTAATCACTTTGCAGAGGTGTATACTGAAAATATAATATATCAAACTCTATTACTATTAAATTACAGTGAAGGATTTGAGACTGATGATTTTAGTGTCACCACAAGAAGCTGTGACATATAGTCTCTATCTTTTGTGGAGGGTGTTCAGCATTCTGTGGTCGGAGTTCAGTGTTCAGCATCTGTAACAAATGGCAGGTAGTGATAGTTTGCATGTTAATGCCTTATTCAAGTATACATTCAAAATTCCACGGGTGCTAATTAGGGACAGGGTCAATATGTCTATGTCCAAAAGTTCATAAATTAAAGTGTGATTTAATAAAATGACTCCCTCCCAAAAATGTAACTTTAATTGATACTTTTTTGAATTCATTCAGTTCTTTCCTTTTAATAAAGAATGCGAGGAACACAATGTACTTTTACCCCCACCCGAATGCATAATAACTATTTATGTTTGTGAGCATATATCTATATATTGTGTATTTGACTTTGTTCAAGAGAATACTACTACATGTGAATAAAATTAACTTTTAACTTTCTTAATCCTTCCATGTATTTCTGGCCTATGGTGAATTCCTTCCAGTCATATGAAATACCTTGATGGTTCAAAATGTGTTAACCTATCATCCTTTCAATTAAAAATGAATATAATATTAAAATGTCAACTCATCTTGTTTATTTATCTTTTATGTACCTGAAGTCCAAATGAAAAGTGAAGTAAGTGAATGAGCTACTAACTACCTGACTATATAGCCTCTTTAGTAACACATTTATGCAGGTTTTAATTTTTACATCGAACAACCCATATATAAACTTCCTTACTTTATTATTAAAAGTATATCTAATTATTTTACACTTTAACTTGTGCGCTATCTGATATCAGCGATTTAAGATTGATATTGGACAATTTTGGAATGTCAGATTGACATAGCTCACCGGATATCCAATATATGACTGCGATGATGCAGATACCCTTCACAAGACTCTACCTCCATCTATACTCTTCAAATGAAATTTTATACATTGTGATGGTCTGTACCAAATCAGAGTATGTTTTATTTTCTACCTATAAGTAGCCAATATTTCTAGCTAACTCTCCTATTAAAAGAAAGATCCATTTGAGCTTATTGGGATCTTGTCAGCATCAAACTTGTAAAATGTGTAAATATTAAAGGAGGAGTGTGGTTGGCTAATAGAGATCCAGGATAATGAGTCATTAAAGCTGTGGTTCTGTTCTGTCAATTCTGCCTACTCAGAAGCAAAAACCAATTCCTCCTCTTCTTCAATTATAATCCCAATATTGTACATTTTTATGATAAAACTCATCTTTATTGAATTTCCCACTCCTGATAATTATTTGGAATTAATCCCAGACATCCAAGCTTAATTGGTGATACTCTATTGAATTATGAGTGATTATGCCCTATTGCAGAAGCTAATTGAATCTTGATGTCTATAACAATAGGAGAAGTGTCTGTAACCCATCTGTATCAGTAATAAACCAACTGCCCATAATAGTAAGGGGAAACTAGATCAGAGTAGTTTATTCATCATGTATATATCCATCTGGAGATTTTGTATACTTTTGAACAGGAAATTATATTTGCAGTACCATTGCATCTTCTTTGTAACAACAGACAAGGTCTCTCATATGATTGAAAACGAAGAAATTAATTTGGAACACTTTAATGGTATGCTGTAGAAATAAAACTAGTTTTGCCTAAAGCACCAGTGGACATTTGTTCTTGGTCCCAGATCTGTTCTCTCTCATTGACATACATGTTTATAAAACTTTGAAATGTGAACACCTGCTAATCTAAACACTTATAGCTGGTTCTAGAGGCATTCGGATTAGACATGTTTTCTGTACTTACCCATGGATAATCCTTTGGGTGACTCCGTTAACCCCAGACTCAAATAATCAAAATACAAATATGTCTCTCATTGAATAAAATATCTCAAATGAGTCTTTGTAGCTTTCACCTGTTTTTTGACACGAAGAACTTTGAATTTTTTTCTTAAGATTTTAAACAAATACTACTATTTTATAAACTGTATCTTGCATGCTCATACCTGTACTAACCACAGAGCATTTGGCTTTTTATGAGTGTAGAAAATAAATTTTGCTACATTTTAAGAACCTAAATATTCCTTTGTGTGGGTCTTTATTCATTGGAACAAATTTTTAAGATCAATACATTTAATTGTGCTAATGGCAGTTCAATTTTAGCCTTCGAATCTGTTATGATTTCAAGTGACCTTTGATACCTCACTTGATACAAAACTTCATATTTTGTGTCCTCACAGGTGTTCTCATACAGAAGTGGAGAGTAGGTGTTTATTGAAAAGGCTCCTCAAAATCACTTATAAGTTTTTAACATGATATATGCCAACATTGTATTAAAGTAAATTGTGCATCTATGGTTGAACTATGATCTGTTTATCTTTAAAACATTAAAATTAATTTGATCAACATAAATCATAAAATATAGTTTATAGATATTGGGATATGATTTATTTACGGGGTTTATATTGTGTAGGCACGGCTTGGTTTTTATTTGGGTATAAATGTACCTAAACAGGGCTGTATCCAAAGCTTAAAGTGGCAACAAAGAAAAAAGAGGTATTTTGAAAAAATCTTTTTTAAAGCATGCCAGTGTTTTCGTTCAAATCAAAAATTATCAGCTGAAAGAAATAATTGAAACATCTAGTCAGAGGCCAAATTGAAGAGTTAAATGTCTCATTGAAGAGTTAAATGTCAAAATTTGAATTGATACACTATAGGAAAATTAAAGGATTATCATGAAATAAAGAAAATTAAGTGTTTAAAAAAGGTATGACATGGAAATTTAAGTTGCAAGAATTGTTTTTTTTTGAAAATTACTTTTTACTTGTCTGAAGTCTTTATTGCACCTTTAAATCGAAGTACATTTTACTTTGTTTTACATTTATAATCAGATATTTTAGCATATTTGCAGGACGAAGACGAAATGATTTCTCAATCAAGTGACATGACATCTTGGAAAGTACCATTCAGCAATAATTACTACTTCTAAACATAACCATTGTTCATCATGAACCCAAATACAGGTTTTCATTTAAAGATGTAAGTGCTATTTAGTGTACCAATGTACAGTACATGAACTAACATGAATTTTGCATGAGTTTCACATAATTCTATTCCACAAACAAATCTGTACACATGTTTGTTTGGAGTAAGCATAGAAAATACATCTGTATAATTTAAAAAACATTTCTGTATTGAAGAATGATTCAAAGTTCAATTTGAGAAAATGAAAACAAGATAAGTGAATACTTACCAGTTGTTGTACTGTTTCAACATTTAAAGGGATCGAGTCAAACAATATTTTGTTCTCAAAAGTAACTTAACAAGGGGTTTGATCTTCTTTACTAAACCTATTGTGATTAAATTGACATGTCACATATCTTACTATCAAATATTTAACTAGCTTTGTCAATTTCCCTAGATGCAGAAAACACTGATATTTGGATACAACCCCTTGAGTTATTATTGTAACCTTAAACTTGCGTCTTTACTTCCTTCTTAATGTATCAAGTCTAATATATGCCTTTTAGACATTTTATAAGTTTTTATAAATTGTATCATCTCTTGTTTCAACTGAGCAACATTTTTATATTGAAATTACTTCAGAACATTTATATTCAATAATATGCCATATTCCCAATTTTTTAATTGAAAATGAATTTAAGTTGTAAGTTTATTTATCACAATCGTGTGAATTTGTTCATGAAAAATCCTGTTTTCATCTACAAGCAAAGAGCATAGAAGTGTAGACAGGTCACGTCACTCTGCTTCTTTAGAATCCCGGGTTTAGAATAAAGTTGATCAGACTAAGAATTCAAAATATTATTTTACCCTTTGGGTTGACTGCATCTTTCTTAGTAGCCATAAATATTGATGATGTTCTATTTATGTGTGTCAAATATACCACAATAATTGCCCCAATGTTAATGACCTACCTATTTATAATGGTTACCCTGGTTACCTGTATTTCCATCAGATATTTACTCTGACTGAATCTCGAAAATATTTAATATTAATCAAAAACAAATGTATTATAAATTTCAGAATGTTAATGCTATGTTATAAATGCAAACAGAATACCTGAAGAGCACCTGCTAGTACCAGAAACACAAATTAGAATGGTGACTGTTAGTCCAATCAACTTACAACAAAGGATGTCTTCTATTTTCAATACACAACACTGCACCTGGTTCTTCTTAAAAACACTTACAAGAAAATGAATTGCCATTACACAAGATGGACATCGTGCAGAATTGCATTAAAAAGACAGAATACATTTTTCATAAGCAATGAGCAATGTGTGAAAGATTTGAGATAGCTGATCCAATAAGGAAGTTAATGAAGATCTAAGTTGCATATGTCCAAATTCAATAAATATCATTGCCAAGGACGAAAGCAATGCCCAAATATCGTTTCTGCTGCTATAGCTGCACACTATTTGCATGCTAATATATAGCTTCCTCACAGAGTTTTATCACCCACAGTTCTGATTGGGACGGGAAACTATGGAGGAGTGTTAGCCTCACGATAGAGTTGGACAAGATACCACAAATTATCAGGTTCCTTGACCACTTTTTATACGTGCACACTTTCAGGGTGGACGTGGCACATCGACAAACCACAATCTGCTTCTACAGTTTCAAGTTAAAGGTTTCGGTTCCATTCACCGTGACCATCAAGTATGACAACTTCCCCCGGTAACTTCCCCACATGGCTAAATGACAATATGCTGATTTGCCATCCATCCTGAACTTCCAAGAAGATATACACACATTTTGGAATTGTACTTTCCTAATTTCCCCCGTTTAATAGTGATAGAGCTGGTTAATACAATCAAGAGATTTATCATGTCCCCGTGGATTAGCCCCCTGTCATGATGATCCTTTTTAAGTACTAAATGATAACGATGCAGTACACTTGTAAATTGAATACAGTCGTCATCATACAGATTATTATGTGATTATGTATGATTATATGAAACTTGTATTGAGAACTTAGTCATTTGAAACAATAGAAGCAATTACTCTTGTAATTATTTCCATATTAATTGTACACTGTGTGGATTTTTGAGAGGCGTTGCAGCAGCAACATCTAATTCACTGTTCCGCAACTATATACTTTGACGGAACGTCAATGTAACAAAATGGATGAACTTCTAGGATACGACAAGTTGCAGATTATAATTTGGCACAAAGCTAGAAAATATAGTTTAATTTTAATAAGTTTCTTCGAATTGGAATTTGTTTTGTAAATGAAGTTGCAATTCATATATTTAGCCCCTCGCTTTTCTTACATTGACGAAAGTCCGTTAAAACCAATGGTCTAAATGCATGAAGTTAGTACAGCTAAATACAAATCAAATTCCGAACCGAGAGCATTTCTAAAAGCTAGACTATATTGTCTAACTTTGTGCCAAATGATAATCCGCAACATGACTTATATGTAAGTTTAAAACAAAAAACTCGCATTCAGTTCATCCATTTTGTTACAGTGACGTTCCGTCAAAGTAACTAGTTGTGGAACAGTGTAATTAGCCAGACTTTCCTCTCTCCTCTTACACGTAGTATATCTGCTGATCTATTTAAAGAAACTGTTTGTATTCTCTAAAATCACCAAAACGGAATAAACATATGTTATTGTCGGAGTCTGACTTACTACAAAAACTAGAATGAGATATGGATGTTTTCACAGAATAAGTATTTTCTTCTCGTTGACTTTATACACACCTACCCCCGATGAGAAAAACATTTAAGATATGAATGTCACATGGATCCTTCAATTCCTCTTCAAAAAGTCGTATGTGATGATGATCTAAATGTGCTTCATAAAAGTGTGAAAAGTCATATCCTCCAAAAATCTGAAAATATCACGGACCCCTCGGTCCCTTTACAAAACTAAAACTAAATTGTGGCTCACCAACCGTAAATCAATCTGGGGAACAGATGATGTAACATTAAGCCTACAATGCAATTCGCAAGTCATTTTACATGCATTTATTTCAAAATCTGATACTGATGAGATCGTAATTTGAAGACTCATGGCATGAGCTGGGACTATGTCTGGCAAACTATTGAAACATTAGATATCCCGTTGAGACCAGGGAATGACATGAATGACGTTTACTGACGTTTGTGGATCTGGAATTGAGGGGTGGGAGGGGGATGCATATTTCAAGTCTGAAAAAAGGTTGGGCCCCAAACCAAAAATGGCCCAAATTAAGTTATACGTTAAGGCTCATTTCTTGGAAATTTGGCCTAAAATTCACAGTCAGTATGCAGTTGTAATTTGGGGCAAGCCCAAATCATGATCTACAGGGTGTCCCGAAAGTATGCCCCCCCCCCTAGGCAGACATATTCCAGTCGCCTCATAGTATGTGCCATATATCATTTTAAAGATAATCCAAAGTTACATTGATTTGCCAAGTATCATGGTTTAACTCCCAAATGGGAAAAAGTTACAGGCATTTCGAAAGTTGGTGTTTTGTCAAAATAAAGTTCAATTTTACACCACATTACTAGTCAATGTGACCCCCCTTGGCCATGTTAACAGCAGCAATTATTTTCAGATATGACCTTAAAAGCCCTTCAAATAGGGGTGCGGAATCTTATAACCCTCTTGACACCTGTTGAGGGACTTTAGAAGAGTTTCCTTAGAGTTTCTACCCTCACCGTTCTCTTTTTCCAACTCAATATCCATCCGACCCAAAAAGAATTGCTGCTGTTAAGATGGCCCGGGAGGACATATTGACTAGTGATTTGGTGTAAAATTGAACTTAATTTTGACCAAACACTAAACTTTGAAATGCCTTTCACATTTGAGAGTTGAACCATGATACTTGGCGAATCAATGTAATTTTGGATAAGCTTTAAATTGATATATGACACATACTATGACGACACTGGTATATGTCTGCCTAGGGGGGGGGGGCATACTTTCGGGACACCCTGTATACCAGATGGTATCATGATTTGGGCTTGCCCCAAATCAAAATGCCCACTAATTCCCCTTCCCTCCGCTCCCCCCTTAATCCGCCAGGGGATAAGGTCAGAGAAAGTACTATGATACTAGAAACATGCAATATGAATAACCAACAATCCAAAAACATGTGAAAAATCTTTTTAATTATGATAAATATACAATTACAGAAAGAAGTTTATTCCCGAATACGATTTGTCTCTTCAAAAGGGTCAATAAGACCTTTTTGATGATTAACCCAGCAGCCAAAGTAATATCGTGATCACATGTCATAAGCATAAAACACACCTCTGGATCTTTCCGTTGGAAATTGTCCAAAACTGCAGTCCTAACATTAGGACTAAGTTTCTGCCCCCCCTCCCCAAACCATATGTTGTAAACACAGAACTTAACTGTCAATCAACCTGCTCCGATGTTATTACAATGTATTACCTCAATATTTTCATCATATTTGGGGATTGGGTGAGGGAATTGGACAGTGATTTGATACAAGCCTTTAAATACATAATTTACTTATCTCATAACTCATTGACTAATTTCTCATTGTTTGTATTTCAAGAAATAAGTCTTGTTCACAGACTCCATTTTTATTTTCTTATTCCTCGTGCTGAAGTAATAAAAATGAAGAATGTGCCAGAACTCCAGGTTGTTAGAAAATATAAAAACAGACCTGAAACTATGCATGCGAATGCCAATCTCATGTAAAGGTAAATTCAAATAACATTGCGCCGGTTGATATGCATTAATAAAATCCTATTTACTAAAATGAATAATAAACCAAAAAATTATGAACCAGAAATAAACAATAAACCATAATTTACTCCATAAACAACGTACTCGATTCTAAAACTATTTTTGAGAACAACTTACAACCAAATGATATTAGACAAAGTGATCAGCTTTTTGTTACATGTACATTCATGTTTCAATCAATGAACATAAAAGAAGGTAAAAACGTTTCGCATCGGTACTAAAAACATTGAATATTTCTTTTATAATTACAATTTCTAACTCATATCAGTACAATGTCTTACTATCTCACTCGCTTGAACATTAACATTTAAAATTAGATTTAATTTTGATTTCAACACCGTTAGTTGGCTGACTTACCCTTTCGTTTCTGCGACTCCAACCCTCTATTAGTTTATCACTGTTTATGCTCTGTGTATTCTTAGAGATCTCGGTCCATATGTTCTCTCGCTCCGCAGGATGTTCTTATTTAAATAGATCACAATAAATGCATTTCCCTCATGATGTGGTTACAGATTTTAATGTTCTGTAGCGAAGCCAGACCAGACTACTACTACTGTCATAGATGATGTAGGAATATTGACGCAAAGACTTTACCAGCTACCAGGGAAATGACAAACACATGCATGCAGATGATGTTACAGCCATTACAATGCGACCCCATTTAGCAACAAAACATCACGTGACGTTTAGGACGACATGTGTTTGTATACATACATTGTGTTCTAAAAGCCCCTTTCTTTATAGTAGCCCCCATACACTTCCATGTCTAATTACATTTTCATCTGGCAAATTGATATAAAAATGGGCCTTATTATGTTTTTAGAACCAGGACCTGTTCATGACTGTATGTTCGCAGTATGAACTAATTGGTGGTTCAGTCATCGCATAGTCGTTACTGTCACGTTTCACCAATTAATGAGTTTCTAGATAAAGTACTATAAGGTCACTAGATGGCAGTAGTGATTCAGTTTTTATGTACTTTTTATAGAAATATAAATACATTTCTGTTGGGCTAAATGATTTTTACTTAGGCCCAAAACAAATCACATATACTATAGCAAACATGTATAAGTATATAATTTATAAACTAGTATCCACGTATTCTAACTTTTCATTTTTTAAAAAGGAAGATCATAGATACAAATGAAAATGTAAATTAAGTTTGCAGTGTTATTGTAATGTTCGTGTCCTTAGATTTTTAATCATTTGCTTTTGGTGTTTAAGTAATATAGTACTATGCATTGATGTTTTGACCCGATGCGACCAATGTTCCAAATACATAGTATGTAGCTTATCATATATTTACTGGTTCTCTACTATTTCATGTTGTTGTGACACAAACCGGCATCTGATATCCTAATTATTTTCATGTGCTCATAATGCATTGGCATGATTCACGTGATTCTTGCAGTAAATATGATTTAGTTGATTTAAAAGCGTTGGTTTTATCTGAGACTATCATAAAATTGTTATTGAGGTCATATCCAAACCCTGTGAAAACTAACAGTTGGAAAATGCACATTGTTCAAATACTTGAAAGAACGTTTCATTAATCTATCTTAATTATGTTCGAAATCTTTAAATTACCACCATGCTCCTAATTATGGCTGTGCTTCCTTTTTGCAGGTGCTCGTCACACTTAGTGCCTTTATATCACATAAGTATATATAATATTATTTTTAGCAATCACCAAAGCTGTTTTTCAGATGAATCAGGATCAATGATTTTTCAAGATTACTTTTAGCTATTCTTAATTTCTCAACTACCTTATATCATGTACCATTTCATATCATATCGTATCATTTCATATCGTATCGTATCGTCATTGTTTTTAAGTATTTAAAAGATAAAAATCTTCAAAATATCCGATATATTTATTTTTATGGGTGCAGTTCATATTTATAGGTTTCAGGCCACAGTAAGATATTAGGGAGGTTAAGCTACACATGTACACGTTTTTAAAACACAGTACATAAACGTGCATACTCATGGTCCTTGGATTAGTTCTCCCATTTATACTGTTTACTTGGCCGCGATTGAGTATAAATATAGGCCTACATACGGAAAATATAATAATTAGGTCCCTGGAAAAGTGAATTGAGAACGGGACAGTAATCCCAGCAGCTCGAAATATTACACCCTCTCACATATAGGTTCTCTTAAAACGTGTAGCTTAACCTCCCTTTAAGATTCAAGTTTTTTAGAGAACGTTTACGTGAACGTGTAGAATTAAGGTCCCCTGTGGATTGATTTTCCCATAGTATCTACTTGCCCGACTGAGTATAAAGGTATATAACAAGAGTTGTAATTAGGCCACAGGAAAAAACATTTGGTTAGGGGACAGTAATCCACGGGATCATAATTTCACACATTGACGTCCAGGTTCTCTTTAAAACGTGTAACTGAAACATCCCTATTGTAGAAGCTCTGTGTCCGACTTCTCTCAGAAATAATTATCAGAACTAGCTTCACGTGCACATTTTATGCCTATAAATAGCTGACATTAATTTCATACTAAAACTATTATAAAAGACATTTGAGATCAATTATGGTATTAGATGTTATCGGCATCCAAATACTGTAACGGTACGAAAATACACTGAAATACGTGAAGCAATAGGATTGAGAAGATGAAGAAGTTTGTTTCAAAGTTGTTGAGTCGATAAAAAGATGGCAGTTTGTGATGGAAGATGGTGGAGGATCAGTCCTGGCGATGTCCCTGGTCAAATGGTTCATTTCAAAGCTGGTGGCTTTATAGCAGTGAAGCCCGGTTTTGAAGCCGGATGATTCTGACATTACTGACCACATCTTTCTGTTTTTCAAACTACAGCAATATGCAGATTGATATGAATATAATTGTTAGAAATGCCATTGTGGATTCTCACGATGGTTATGTGATGCCACAAAAAGGTAATAATTTCGTGTGTTTTCTCCATAACCAATGCTCCACAATCCACTATTCGCTCACCCAGATATACAATCAAGAAAGGATAAAGAAGGCAAAAGGCGTACGACAAAAGAGGACCAATGGTTCATAATTAATAAAGGTTAATGGTCAAAATAGTCTTCTAGATTGTCGGAAAATTCAAAGTACAATAAAAAGCAGAGTGGATTGCTCGACAAATAATTGCTTTCATTACGAGGTTACCCCAGTATGTGTGACTTTACCACATGCCCTAGTACGAATCATATCTGGAGGTCTGAGGTCGACATACCCAGACAAGCCCACAATGCTCCAAGTGCACGCAATATATATATACTTGTGATCAAAAACAAATAATATTTATCAGATTATCAGTTGGTCAAGCATTGAGGAATAAGTCGTCAACATATCATGCTTTGATATGGGTTGTCTCTTCTAAATGTGTTACATAACCATATCAAGGAAGATGTTGCGATGGAATATTCCTTTGCGGACAATGTCATGGCTTCCACCAAAATAGCTACCTACCTGCCCAAAGGTTGACTTGTAATCATAAATCACAATGGTACAAAGGTTGTGTTGAAACAAAATTGTAAATCACCATCCCTGTTGTACTGCTCTCCAAAGATTTAGTAACCAAAAATCGCCTTTGGACCGAGTGTTAAAACCACTTTATTTTCCACACTTAAAGAGGCGGTGTAGAATGAGGATCTTGTATAAAACCAATCCTCAGTCTCTACTTGCTCACTGGTTTACATAATTCAACAAGATGAAGTTGCTCCTTACAGTTGTGGCATTAGCACTGTACTTTACAGTTGCATCAGCGTAAGTACAATTCTAAATTCATGGCATTAGGCCGATGCGAAGATTAGCCTTGCCCAATTCGGTCTCTTTTACTATCTTGATTTCTATTATGACCGCCGGTAATAATTCAAGATCAGATAAGTTAAAAAAAATACCGACTTGGGCAAGGCTAGCCGAAGATGTGAACGAACAATTTGCTCATGCAGAATTAGCATCTTATTTATACCAGTTTTAGATAAAGTGGAAAACAATAGTTCCCATGTTATTTTCCCATAGGGAAAACTCATGCGATCCATTGCTTTCAGCTTAATTTTGGTCACCCATGGTGGATATCTTTAAAACCAATGAAGTAATTACTTAAGTCATTTAAAGGTGTTAACTGGGTGTCAAAACGCAACATATTGATGCAACAAAAATTGAATAAACAGGGGTGGAAGGGGTTGAAAATCAGGACGACATTTCAGAAAAAACGTGTGGGTGGGTTGTTTGCATCTTCCCTGTCTCAAGGTTGAAATTATTTTATCATCTCTATGAGTGCTTTTCCTGGAGGTTATGCACTGGCCTAAGATATGCAAATATGTTGCGTTTCTTTCCCTTCTCCTTTTGCGGTTTACTGTATCCATATCAAGTTAAAGAACGAGTATCGACGAATTGCAAATACAGTTTTGACATTTCGTTCCCCTTTTGTAGACAGGTGAACGAGAACCTTGTAAATTTGCTCTGGAACAATATCGAGAGGTTACGACAGTCAACGGATGTGAATCAGCCATGCGTCAATGGAAGAGTGTTCGAAGCCATGTTCTTTAGTTATGACACTGATGGTAAGTTAACCTAACGACCTGTCATCTTCTTTTAATTTTAACATGTGCAATAACTTATAGTAGTTCCAGATTTCAGTAGAAATAAGAACCGAATGCCATTTCCCTCTCCATATGCCCACTTTCTCTGCTCTCTAATAGTAAAGGTTATCTTTTTCACCTCCATATGTCACTTCCCCCCATCTCTACATGTCATTTCCCCTCCCTAAATGCAAATGACTCTATCTCATTCTTCTTCTACCTAACGTAACCCCTCTTTCTATTCTTCTCTAAACGTCATCCTCATGACCACTCCATACCTACTTTCTTGCTCAGTTTCTCAAATCTCTATGCCATTCCCCTGCTAGCCTTGCCCATGTCGGTTTTATTTGTTATTTACCTTGATTTTCAATTGATATAAAATTTAAAAAAATAAAAAGACTCCGACTTAGGCAAGGCTATTCCCCTTCCTACATACCCCTCAACCGTTCGCTTCATCTGCCCTCATCTCCAGACTTTTGAACAACTTCGTGTTATTTTCCTCAATGTAAAAAAGATATGTATTATTTTGTTTTAAAAATGTGATGTAGATTGAAAAGAGGGACGGAGACATCATACAGCCTTCCTTACAACCCCCTTTTACCTTGAACCAAGGTGTTAAAATCCATTAATCCTAACTGCTTAGTTAGGATTAATGGATTTTTAACACTTTGGTTCAAGGTAAAGTCTTGTCTGCACATTTTCAGGTGAACCGTTTGGTAGATCAATTTCAAATTATCAGGGATGATTCTTAGTATGAAATCAAGATCTGATTAGTTTTTTGGCATTCTGGATAAATGTCAAGGCAGCCATTTTGGATTTTCCGTCTTAAAATCTTGCCCGTAAATACACGTCGCACGAAACTGGGGACAATTAGAGTAACATTATGGCGTCAAAATACCAAAACAATACAATGGCCGGTATAGGGCGCAATCAGCATTATAACGTCAAAAACGACAAGCGTTACATTTTGTCAAGTTTAGTCAACCTAAAAATAAGATGCTTTATTCTTATTCAATCCTGGTGAAATTCACAGAACAAGAAGATCTCGAAGACAGTATTTCTAAAATGTTTTTGATTTTTGAAAAACGGTCAGGAAATTCACTCGGGGCGTTAGTAAAAATTGATATGTATGGGATTTGTGGTAAAAAATCGATGCGTTACATTTTTTCAAGTCTCTAAAAGCAACTCTTATTCTCTTATTATTTGAAAAATAAAGAAATCGGTTATTGTTTTGTAAATTTCGCCATGACAATATTGTGCAGTTAAATTTTTTTTGAAATCAGACCTAAATTAGAAGGTTAAATAAATGTAAACTTATTGCTTGTCTCCCTCGCCTTCAAAACCTTACACAATTTTGAAAATCTTAAAAGCGTTCATATAAGACGATTTGAACTGTAGCCGCTAGGCAGTTGTGACGTCATAAAAGCACATGTTTCAATGAATAAAATGTGAAATTTTAGTAAAATTCTGATCAGTATTTCAAAAGTTATCCTGATTTCAACGAACCGTGAAAGCGTGAAATGTTACGCCTTACAGCGTATTTGACGATGTCGGAGTACATTTAACTTAAAAAATATGGTAGATCCCATCACACTTTTCAAGGAAAAATAATTTCAGTGAAATGCGAATAAAAAATACTTCAAAATGATATATAATGCATATAGTTAGCTTTTTAAATAAGGCAGATATTAACGCTTAAAGCTGAGATTAGCCCGTATTTCCCGAATTGTCCCCAGGTCCGTGCACGTCATAAAAGTCTTGTCTACGCGTTTTTAGGTGAACCGTTTGGTAGATCATTTTCAAATTATCAGGGATGATTCTTAGTATCAAAATCAAGATCTGATTAGTTTTTGGGCATTCTGGATAAATGTCAAGGCAGCCATTTTGGATTTTCCGTCCTAAAATCTTGTCTGTAAAGTCTTGTTTACATGTTTTCTGGTTAACTGTGTGACGAATCAATATCAGCCTACACTCCACTATTATGACATGTAAATCGAGTCAAAGGAAAATTGCTTCCTCTATATAAAATGTTTCAAAAGAGGGCATTTAATCTGGAACGTTTGCAATAACATTGTAATATTGATGCTATTTATGTATTTATATAAGTGTCTCATAAGCCGGCATCGGCTAGAGGTTTTTTATTAATGTATTTTAGTATTGTATTGTATTGTATATGTATGAACCTGTGACACTAGCCTACATGTATAATAAACTATATAAACTAAACTAAACTTTAATTTCTTTGTTCAAAACAAAAAACATACAATCATAGAAAATAGAAAATTGAATAGCGAAACATCTTGTTTGCTTATCTCAAGTTGATGGCAGAGTCATTCGATCGGAGTTTGTACCACGATGGCGTGCCAATACCAACATGACAGAGGCTGACACTAATGCTGTTTTTGACTTGGTTGTACGTATCGGAAATTCTGGGAACCCTAACAGCATCGAGAGGAATGACGTCGAGGCGTTCTACAACACATTTACAAGAGATGGTATGCTTCACCAGTTAGAACCGTCCTCATCTAGTTGGCATTTGTTCCGTTCTTTATAAATTCTTGTCTTGGGCCATGGGGGATATTTTGAATTTTGTCAAATTAGATTAGTGTCACTTTGTCAATCTTTCAGTTTTGAATCAAGTTCGGTTGTCATTGTTGCTAGTTCTGTTTTGTTTATATACTATAATATATTTAGTATTCCTTGATGAAGGTAACATTACTGATTGTGTTTCCAATGACGTTGTTTTGAGGTTGAAGATGATCCAAATGTGCCTTTGCTTGTTCTTCACAATTATTGGTCTTCACAACCTGTATTAATTTTGGTATAGTGCAGCTTACCGATCCAAAATTTAGAATCCTATATTTCAACGATTGTCCGACTGAGAAATGGGACCATAGCCCATGCAACAATATTGATTCGAATGGAGATAGGTTGTTGGTGAGTCTATTTAATGGCCTGATAACATTTTCTGGACTGGACATTACTGAGCTCCCGAGGAATCTATTTTCTGAGGGAACTCGACTCAATTTTTTAGGGTAACCATGTTCCCGAGGCCTATGTTGATTTCTTTTAATAATTTTAGGCGACGGATGCATCAGTGAAACTGATTTCAAGGCCCGATGGAGGGTGGTAAGTAGTAAATATTGAATCTTTTATTGCAAAAGTGTCTCTATCTTTCATTAGTTGTGAAGTAAATTCCGATAAACAAAGCTCGCAATTTGTGCATTTACATGGAATTATTTTAATTTAAGATTATCGCTGATCTGCCAGACAAGGGTGCACAGGTTCCACCTCCATCCGTTAATGTACAGATATCATGATCTATCGACAGATTATCATGGACAGATAGACTAAATCATGTGTGATAAAAAGAGTAATAAATTACTTTTAAATAAAAGTTTCTTTGTCATAGTAAGTTATTTGTTCTTTTGTTCTCGTTTGGATTACGAGTGTTCAACTTTCTCTGTATCTATAGACTCTATATACAAGGCTTACTCTATAACTCTATGTCCGATCATAAGTTCGAATAAAAGTTGTGTTTCAAATATAAATTGCATGACATATACGAGACCAATGTTAATGCTAACAGGGGGAATCGGACCTGCAGGCCTTACTTTTTATACATATTGTTTTCTGTTTCGGAAAATTCGATATGTGATGTATCTAATGGCGTCCAACACAACCTAATGGCGTCCAACACAACCTATTGACAGCCAATGCTACCTAATATCGTCCATACGATATATTGATATATAATAATACGCATAGTTGTATTAGTATTAATGAATAAATTGACACATGTTGATACCTAGTTTCGTTTTAGAATCTATATCTACGTAAAAGGTTGATAGATTATAATTCATTGTTGATCTTGGTGTTGCGCCATATTTGAATGTGAGTATTTTATGTCTCCGTCTTTATATGATATATTATGCAAATCTGGAATGGAAAACTACATGAAGTTCATTTTAATTTGATATTGAATATTAATTCTTTTAAAAGATCAACGTAATAAACTTAAAAATTAATTAAAACCCTGACAATTTGTCTGAAAAGATTGACCGGAATTACATGAATTTGGAATTAAATTCAATATGAAAATTTGGGGATACCCCTTTTTGGGGATGCCTCTTTTCATTGCACTGTGTACTTGAAGACGATTGTCGAAGTTGAATTATATTAAAAACTGAATTAATACACATGTGTAAAAGAAAGTATGCACTTTCAATCACTGATTACGTGTCAGCGTATGGTATCGTGTCAGATTGTTGGACTATTAAATATGTTTGTTAATGGAACCATTGGGAAATATCAGTGTCCCAGATCCAAATGGTAATACATTAAATGCATCTATTGCAACTATAATTGTGTGCTTAAAATGATCAAATGTTTTTTTCATTTAAATCATTGAACGACGATTTTGGAAATCTGGACAGAACACAACCTGACTTTGTTTTCCAATAAAAAGGATTGCTTTATAGACGACCACTTTTCACAGCAGTAAAACTATATTCCAGAAACTACGATTTTTAATCATCATGAGTCCTAACGCAGATTGTTATGTTCTTTCTGAATAATTAAAATAAATATATACCTACAGGTATGGTAAACAACTACAGTCTTGTCAGATTCCATTATTTCGTAATACGACGATACGTAAATTTAAGAAAATAGTATGCTGTCACAGTGTGAACCCATTGTGAGTTTGACAATTTTTATGCATGTAAGTTATCTAGTATAATATACATGTATACACCACGCATTAACATCTCAGTACACTAGCAGACAATTTAAACATTTTTAACGTATTCCTGAGCCTCAGGTTTTAACACCACGGGGACCTTATCATCTGATCCTTAAAATAATATAAACTGACAACATGTTTGATAAATACCAAGGAGGATTGGCTCCCAGAGTGCAACATCGATATTCTGCCCCATATATGGGCATGTCGTGCTACAAAATTTGAATTCCAACTACCGCCATTTTGTTCACTTCAACATTTGAATCGTGAATTTTGGTCTTATTTCCCAACGAAAAATTCCAAAACTCACAAAAAATGATCGAGATATTGGTTCGAATATTTTGAACTGTTTATTTTGAATTAATAATCGGTTATAATTTCAGAAAATAACGACATTTCGGCGTTTTCATTGTTGGAAAATATCGACTTCGATTCTGGGAGCCAATCCTCCTTGATAAATACGTTATCTAACAAATTGTAGGCCTAATTACGACAAGCCAAATGTCACCAGCAATTTGTTACAAGTGAGAAATCCCAACCGCTGAACAATGTTCCCTAAACTTAGATACCCTGATAACGAATATATCACCACTCTGGCTGTACTGTAACAAAAATAGGAATAAGTCATTCAGTTATAACACCGTAGGGTAACATACCTTAGTATAAATGGTTAGGGAATGAACAAATATTGGGTAATAGATGTTAACTTATTGAGAATCACGGCAATTAATCACATGGACGGCATTACGTTGTTGGCTGGCTTGTTTGGTGGACTGGACTGTTTGGTGGACGGGATAAGGACAGGTGGACGGGATTAGGAAACGCAATTGTCCACCTTTTCTATGATATTAACCAATCAATGTGCGATGATTTGAAACGAGACCCTGCAAATAATGTTCGTTTTATTGATGTTTCATATAGGCCTAGTTTTCAAGTGGTTTTGATAATCTTCACCGTGTTTTTTAATAAAAAGAAAAATACAAAAAGTGAACGGAATTAGGTGATCCCCTATTTCTTAGTTTTTCAAAGAAATCTACAAATATTTCGTTGCAGTTTCATCTTTACATCGTAATTTCAATCACCGCCATCACTTTTCAAACGATCTACCTTGAAATGTCAAGACGTCATGCCATTCCAATACTTATAGAACTTAATGTGACTGTCATTCACCATTTATTAAGCAGTAAAAAATTAATTTGCTCCATGGGTGACAAATTATTCCAAATTTCCCGGTGAATCTAATTTTAGGAGATCTGTCTGTATGGGAGTATATTAAATGAAAAGATGGCAGCACAAATACAAACATATATTTCTGTTATGATATTATATTTAAAAATAAACTCAGAGGAAGTGTAAATTGTCACTCGTTATTTTTTGTTCCCTGCTCATCACCCTAATTTTTTGATTTTGAGAGAATATGGTTTGAGAAACAATTAAGGTCAGTGTATTGACCAGTTCTTCATGCATTCATGGAAAATGAAAAAGTGAACCGTGGGCTGAGCGATTTTTACAGTTATGACGTTAATCGTTACATTGTTATTTATAAACAAAGGTGTAGACATGACTTCAAAATCACCAAAAAGTCAAGTGACATTCGACATTCAACATTTCCTCCAAGAAGATTGTGAGATTCATATTAGGGCATCTGTCTGTCACAGGTATCATTTGTCCATATCCATGGACAACAGTGAGAATCAGTCAAGATGTCATGCATCCTTATATCATTCCCAAAAGTATTTTTCTTAAATTGAGTTCGACCTTCACATCGGCCTTTATCATTTAAATTTCCCGGTCAATTTTTTCGTGCAGTGTCAGGTGCTCCGAAGTGCATCATGGGAGTGATGTCACGATTGCGGCCATCTTTGAAAATGAGCAAGAGTTCGAAAAGTTGAGAAGGGATTTACGTTTAAAACAAGGCGTATGCGACCGGTGAGTAAAGATTGCGTTGTCTGTATAACTGTTAAATGTAATTGGGATTTATGTTAGCTAGCATTTTTGTTGTGATGAGCCTCGTATAGTTCAGAATTCTTGTGTAGAACACATTGTCCCTTGTTGCCTGAAAAATGCACCGAACGACCCGATTGTGGTGAATAGGAATTTGATTTTAAAAGTTGCTCAAAAGTTTGAAATTACAATATATATTGGCAATAACTTGTTATCCATACGTTACATGGTTATGTACCATACTAGGAACAGTGAGTAGGTGAATTGGTATATTGCGGCTGTGTTCCAATGTCAACAAACTTTTTTTCATTCAATAATCTTACATTCGATTCAATTTGTAAAGGCCTAATTTCACAGTCTTTTTCTTGTATTTTTGCAAACAAACAAATCAATTATATCTTGTGAATACTGTGGTTGAAAATTCTGTTGAGTCCATTTTAATTCTGTTTGTAAGTTCAAAAATCATGATAACTTCAATACGACAAATCTGGCCTCAAATTTCTTGCAAAAATTCATTCTGTGCAAATAGATCTAGTCTACATTGAACATTATGCTTGGCAGATCATATTTCTGAAGCATAGTTCGAAACTACAGTTTAGGCAATTAAAAAAATGAGTTGTCGATTTTCTATCACCATTTACAAACCATGGTGGTTTGAAAGCCCATATTGTATAGATAGTCCCTAAAATTCATATATTTTACATTTGTATACTCTCATCCACTGATGTATGGCCACTTGAAAATCCTCACTTCAGCAAATCCATGACTAATTATTCATGGCCCAAACTGTAAATGATAGATTGACAGTATAGATAAAACTTGACAGAATCTTGGAATTGCTAAACTAGGGCTGGGGAAAATGCAAGAAATATACTTTTATGTGTCTAAAATTAAAGAGTCTGTCAATAAAATGACTCGAATTAAAATTTTGAAGTTGTTTGGATTCACAGAACAACATTGATTCTTTAGCACTGTCACAATATCAGATTTGTATTTTCGAAGAAACATCCTTTACATATACCACTTTTGCATTATTTTACAATTTCCTATGTCCCATATTAGATGCGACTTGCTGTAACTACTTCCAATGTTTTAGGTCTCCCGGCTAGTGTCTACATGTATTTGAAATGTGTTCTTCATTGCTTATATAGCAGACAAGAAACCTGGAAACTCAATTCTTGTTGAAAAGGTCAATGTTTGCCTTAAAATTCTTCTCCTTAAGAATACACGCTCGGTATATGCACAGCTTCTGATAATGGACTAGGAGGGTTTGATAGCGTGACTGGGGTAGTTTGACTAGGGTATTTGATCAGTGTGTAGTCAGAAAAATGATTGGGAGGGTACCTATTTTCAAGATTTGGGTTATAAATTCAAGAATAACACCCAGTCAATTATCAGTCCCTGCATATACCAAGGATGAGGGTAGAGACATACTGTTAGGTTTCAGTTTTGCAACCCCCTGCAGCTCCTCTTGAATTTCAATGGCTCAACTTCCGCGAATCCTAATATAAGCACAGCTTTTCAAAAATCTTCATCCAAGTCCAAAATTCTGTGGTGTCAGACCTTATTGTCTTAGGGAGAGGAAAAATTAATGGGGTCTTAAGACACAACAATAAATTACTCAAACTTCTTAGAAACAAAGATCAGGGATAAACAGATTAAGTAGAAAATGTGGATGTTATAACTGAGAAATAGGTCATTTTATCATTTTACATTATAAACCATAT